TTGGACTGTAATGGTATGGCTTCACAGTATCTTGTGTTTTGACCAACAAATATTAGCCAGTATGGAGGTCCATCTTCTCTATACCTCGGAATGTTTTCCAAGATATCCATAAACCAAGCATTTGGTGTTGAACTAAAGATTTTTATCATGAGTGCTTTCTTTGTTGCCTTAGAAACATAGGGGTCCTTGTTTGGATTCGTCATTTTTTACCCTATAAAATGGGTTTATTTGGCGCATTAGCAGGAGTCGCATCTAGATTTTGCCCGCAGTGGGAACAATAGCCAGAGGTGCATTTGGAATTGGAAGGAAGATTTTGAGTACATTAGGTATACTTAAAGAGAAAGCACAACCTATTATACAAACTGTACAGAAAGGTTGGGAGGTAGCACGAGATGCAGCAAATCTTATTCCAATCCTGAAACAAGAGGAAAAGTTCAAGGATGGATGGACAATGTAGGAAGAGAAGCAGGAAACTACTATAACAAAGCAAATGACTACTATAACCAAGCAGGGCACTATATGGACCAAGGTGAAAGATTCTTTAACAGAGGATATAACCATGCACAACAATGGGTAAACAACAACCAACCGCAACCACCTCAAACGTGGGGAATGTAAATTTTTTTACTGAGATGAAATGAACAATACAGCATTGAGACAAATGGGTTCAAGATGGATTTGTCGACTTCCAGCAGTTACACAACCACGTGTTTGTCAAGTTCTTCCTATACCTCAGGAAGTTTTAGACCGACTTAAAAAACCTAAACAACCAGTTGAAAACAAAACAAACTAAAATTTTTTACTGAGATGAAATGACCGAAGAAGTTGAAACGGTAGATTTGACACCACAAACAAAAAGTTCAGAACCATTGTCAAAACCTGTCAAAGAACTTACAGATGAAGAGAAAAATTCATAATAGAAAGTGCCAGGTCTGGAAATACAAACCCTAACTACAAAGTCACTTTTCATAGAAATGGAACGGCAAGTATCTCAAAAAAGAAACAGACTCTCACAAATAAAATATTGAAGTCTGAAGGAGTTAAAGAGACAACAGATGGGAAGGTATTCTTCACCGACCAACAGTTCATTATAGAACATCTCATTGACTTAGAGTCGAAATATTCTAAACTTTACAACAAACACAAAAAGTTGAAAGGAAAACAAAAACAAATGGCATATGATATTTATGAAGATGTTGACGACACAACCATACCTGCAAGTGAGGTAAAGTCAGAGGAACCGAAAAGTGACGAAAAACCAATAGAAGAAGGGAAGCCACAAACTGAAGAAAAACCAAAACCAAAGTTTAGTTTCCAAACTAAACCAAGTCAACCTTCATTAGCTGGTATGGGTTGGCGTCAAAGACTTATGGCAGCAGGCGGTTACGTAAAGTAAAAGAAAAAAACATTTTTTCAAAAAATATATTTTTTTATTTTTATAAAAATGTACGCTGAGTTTGTTGGAGAAGACCGTTGGGAAACTTGTTTGTTAGATGAGAAATATGAAATTCACTGTTGTGAGTCATTTGAAGTCAGAAACAAAAAGACAAAAAGAGTTTTAAGCGAATGGGAGCAAAATAACGGATATGCTAGGATGAGGGTTGGTGGGAAACACTATCTTAAACATGTTGTCATTGCAACTCATTTTATACCGAACCCTAACAATCTACCTTTTGTAGACCATATAAACCATATAAGAAATGACAATAGACTTGAAAACTTACGTTGGGTCACTTGTTCTGAAAACAATAAGAACAAAAGCAATTTTCGAGATATAGTATTCGAATTTGTCGACGAACTAGAAGATGAAGCAATTGAAATTACAGACTATGGCAAGCATACGTTTGAGTTTTACTACTATAGCGAAGAACAAGACTCTTTCTACTTTTATACCGGCGTAAGCTATAGAAAATTACAAGTATATTTTACTAAGGAAGGCTGTGCTTATGTAAACGCTAGAGATACAGATGGAAAAAAAGTTAGACTATATCTTAACAAATTCAAGAAGCTATATGGCATACCATTTTAAAACGTTTTTTAAAACAGTATATTTTTACATATATTAAATGTTTCAGGTTGAAAAACAAAGAACAAATGTAGCAGATACAAAACCGTTAGACTATATCTTCACAAATGCCGGTAGGACTATTTCAGATGAAGAAATTTCATCCGGTGCTTACAGGTTTGACTTTCCAATTCGTTGGCTTCAAAGTCCTTCAGATGCAAAGGCAATAGGATTTAGAAGAGTTTTGTTTTCAAAAAGAACTAACGCGTTTATGTTTGCAGTATATTTTCATGGTCAGTATAGAGCTTCTGACGGTCTACTAGACAAATTTGACGAAATGAGAATCTTTACGGTTCGTTCAGACGAAAATCTTGAGAAGACTCTAAATGACTTTCAAACTCAAATAAACAAATACTACTGGGAATTTCAAGAAAAATACGACTCTTTACTAAACGGAACTTACTATCTGAAACTAGAATATGACAAGATGAACTCCACAGTTTCATTTCAAAGGATTGAAAATAACCCTCCAAGAGATACACAGTTTTTATTTTGGCAAGTAGACAAACGTTCTTGGCACAATTTCTTCGGTTACTAAACCAGAACGAACCATTACCACCTGACGGTCCGTTCTGGTTTATACGCCCACCAGCAGATTTGACAGTTTATAGAAACGTGTTTGACCCTCAAAATGTCATGTGTCATGCAAGTTTCAGTTCAAGCAACAATAGTTTTCTTTGTATTGGTAAGGACTTTTATGACTTTGCTTCTAAATTCTACGAACCACCTAGTAACAGTTTTCTCTGACTTTCAAGTTTGGTTCACAACAAACGGTGTGCAGCATATTATTCCATTGTACTACGACTTTTATCTCGAATTGTCTTTCATATATAACTACGGAGAAGTGCTGAAAAAGTATTGAAAAATGAGTTTTGGTTGAAAAAATACGGTGGAGCCAAAAGTGGCTCGACCTCAAAACAAGCATTTTGTGAAGAATATACCAACCCGCGGAAAACAGCGGGTTGCTTTTTATACAAAATTCAACAGGTAAATTTTCATGAATTTCCTTAAGACAGAAAAAAATATATTTTAGGTGTCACCAGGTCACTCGGTCAACTAACATCTTTTTGAAAATGGTGACAACATGACATTTTGACAACAACACAGGAAATAGACTTCATCGTAAATGTTTTGTTAAGATTTCATCGTATATGTTTGTTGAGACTTCATCGTATATGTTTTGTCGAGATTTTTATCGTTGTGGTCCGACGGTTAAGCCACAAACGAATGTCCGACGTCCCACCAAAAAATATTTTTATTTTTTATTGTACGTACTGAATGACAGTCGAAGCAAAAACGTTCACGAACAAATCTAATGGCGAAACATTCACAAAAGGCACTTACAACGGTATTGAAGTCTTACGTAGAGACAAGGATGGTTATATAAATGCAACAAAGATGTGTCAGCAGTTTAGGAAAGACTTTAGAAGGTTGTTGGAAAATAAGTCCTGGGAAGAGTATTTTAAGGCATTTTGTGAAGAATATACCAACCCGCGGAATTCCGCGGGTTGCTTTTTATACACAGTTCATGCAGAAATTCCGGATGAAATCAAACAGGTTAGAGGAATGTATGTAGACCCAAGACTCGTAAACTATATTGCAATGTGGGCTTCTCCAAAATATTGTATAGCAGTTGGAAAAATTATGGACTCCATAGACAAGAAAGTTCATGAGAAGTTAGATGAAGAAGAACTCGAAGATACAGTAGAGAATGCTAAACCTTTGTTTGAAGAAGAAGTTAGAAAAAATGTGCTTAAACAAATAGAACATGAACGTGAGATATGTTCTGGTTATAGAGACTCGCCATACGAACTAGACCAATGGGAACAAGAAGATTTAAAGAGAGAATTTAGAGAATATGAACTCGCTAAGATAGCATTTGAAGCTGCAGAAAAGAAGTTAAAAGTTTGGGGTCGTTTTGTACAAAAATATTGTGAGTAAATGAACCATTTTTTTTATTGAATTCGGCAAAAATATATTTTAGGTGAAGAGGTGAGATTTCACCTGTTTTTTCACCTCTTTTTTCACCTCATGAATTTTCATGAATTTTATACAGAAAATGCTTGTTTTGAGGTCGAGCCACTTTTGGCTCCACCGTATTCTTTCAACCAAAACTCATGAATTCAGCAAAAATATATTTTAGGGTAGAAGGGTATATCTACCCCGTTTTCTACCCTCTTTTCTACCCTCTTGAATTTGTCATGAATTTTCCCGAAATAAAAAATAAAGTTGGTTTTTTTAAAAAAATATTTTTTATTTTTATTGTAAGAACATGTTAGCAACAACAGCACCAAACTCTTTAGTCATGAACCCAACTTCAATGTTAGTAGAGATGAAAAGCTTCATTCCTTCTTCATATACTTTCGAAACAGAAATCCAGATAAAGCAAGAACTTCTCCAAGGAGATTTAGATTGCACTGCGAAAGATGAAACAAATGAACAGTATCTTTACGACATGCAGGACATTATTGACCATCTACCTAAACTTCCTGAAATCCAACAACAAAAGCTTACTATTCCAGAATTCGATGAAATAGAAGTCAAAGCAACTGACTCAGTAGAAATAAAGAAGTTCATACGAAAGGTTAACTATGAGTTTCTTGGATTTCATTGCAACCACAAAGTCATGGACAAAGATTGCGATATGGTATATAAGAACATCTCTGACATATACAAATCTGGGGAGTTTAAGACCTACGACAACTTTGTTTCGTTAGTTGCAAAATGTGTATGGCAGATAAGAGATAAAGATAGAAGAGGTAAGATATGGAATGAACAAATAAGACCCGCAACTTTTGAGTTAAAGAGAGCAATTGACGCCTTAGTTGTTTTAGCAGGTAAGGTTTCAATGTACAATGCTAAAATGAACCCACAATGTTCAAAATGTAAAGCAGCAATGAGGAAATATAACTACTCCGTCAAAGAGATAGAAAGAATGAGAAACGACTATGCAGACTTAAAGAAAGAAGCAGAAAAGCCAGCAGAAGATAAAATGGATATGTTGACATTTCTTAATAAAAACTATCCAACAGCAGAAGATTTCCTTCTATCTGACGTCAAGAAGAAGTATAAAGAAACTTTCGGTATCGTTAAAACATTCGATGTACTGACAGAAGAAATAGAAGCTACGAAATTGTTTAGGATTTCAAATATACATCATACAATTCATGTAAAACGCTTATAAAATAACAGGTGAAAAAAGAGGTGAAAAAAGAGGTGAAATCTCACCTCTTCACCTAAAATATATTTTTATTGAATTCAGCAACAAAATTCGTGAATTTCCTTAAGATAGAAAAAATAAAATAAAGTTAGTTTTATTTTTTTTATTTTTTTATTTTGTATGTAAGAACATATATGACAAACACTGAGTTTGAAACAGTTAAAAAGATAGACAATAACACTAAATTGGTTAGAATTGGTGATTTAAACGTAAGATACTCAAAGAAATACAACAAATATTCTTTGTCAGACATTTTATCTCCATTTGAAAAGAGAGCAAAGGACTGGGTTAGAAATGCTTCAACTCAGAAAATTTTGACAAGAAATCCTGAGCTTATGATATCGGTAAAATTCTATGGAACTGCAGCATATCTTATAGACAAAAGTCTTATACCAATAGTTTTGTTATGGTTAGACCCAGTTGTTGGATATAATTTCATAACATATGGTTCGTTCGATACTGAACGTTGCAGTGAAGGCTTACTTTACATCGTTCAGAAACCGAAGGACTTCAATAAAAAGATATAAGATAGGAAGAAACATATAATATAACTCAAAGATATGACAGTACAGTCAATAGAGTCAAGGTTGTGTTTGTTAATGATATGAGAGCTGCTGAAACAGAACTACTTGAAAAGTTTGAGAAAATGTATGGTGCTCCCATAAAAGGTAAAGAAACGTTTGAAGTAGATGAGATAGATAAAGCTATAAAATTATTTGACGAAGTTGCTGAAAAATACATGTAAAAATAACGTTTACCATGTAAAACGCTTATAAAATAACTGAGGTGAAAAAACAGGTGAAAAAAGAGGTGAAATCTCACCTCTTCACCTAAAATATATTTTTATTGAATTCAGCAACAAAATTCTGAGTAAAATGGCATAAGATTGCTTCCCTCGAAAAACCGAGGATAGAGATTCCGTACGAAAAACAGTGAAATTTCTCTAGACCGACTTCCTTCGGGGTCGCCAAAACTCTATGAAATCATGAATTTCCTTAAGATAGAAAAAATAACGCTAATTTTATTTTTTTTATTTTTTTATTTTGTATGTAAAGACAGATATGTCAACAACAGAGAACACAACAACTGCTATCGTTCATGAAGCCATAAGTGAAGAATACGAGTGGGTTCAGTATAACAAACAACTCCGTCTCATTCGTTCGGTCAAAGATGACATGTACCAAATGCAAAGTATTTTGACAGCATGTTTTGCTCCAGATACTAAGAAACCACAAGACTGGTTTAGGAACCAAAGCACACAAGAACTTTTGAGCGAAGCACAGCGAGACATACTTTTTTCTGAAAACAGTGAAGAACAGCGACTACGAGAAAAATCTTACTCGCCAAAACTCTATGAAAACAGTGAAGAACAGCGAGTAAGTAAAAAACCCCAGTCGCCAAAACTCTATGAAAATCGTGAAAAATTGCCAAACGGTTTGAGAGGATATTATGTACATAGACTTCTTGTAAATGCTGTAGCAATGTGGGCTTCGCCTCGTTATGCTTGGTATATTTACAGACTTCTTGACGAAATTCATAGACAAGAACGTGAAGAGATGGAAAACAAGCTTGAAGCAAAAGACAAAAGCATTCAGAAAAGAATACCACGTTCGGTACCAAAAGGAAAGGAAAAGAACTATAAGTATATGATTTATACTGAAGAGATGGAAAATGAAGAAGATAAAGATATGGTTATGTTGCATTTAGTCAGAAGAAACAACAAAAGCTTTTACGACCTTGCTAAGATTTACAAATCTGACAGAAATTGGTTCTATCGCGAAAACTTACCGATTTCAATGACACCAAATGAAGATGTGAAACAAATAGTTCAAGATACTTTACCTCAAACACACTATGATATTAAAGGTTGTACAATTCTTACATTCAAAGAAGATTTGCCATTGTTAAAGGAAAAAATAACAGAGTATTTTGACAACTTCAAACAAGCAGAGTAAATGAACCATTTATTTTTCAAGCTTGACACCAAAGATGGCTCAGGTAGCTCTATAAGGTAAATTGCCTCATCTGCTGGGTCTATGTCGGTCATTGTTTCAAGACAAGTCTTTTACTTTTTCAAGACAAGTCTTTTATTGTTTCAAGACAAGTCTTTTACTTTTTCAAGACAAGTCTTTTACTTTTTCAAGACAAGTCTTTTACTTTTTCAAGACAAGTCTTTTACTTTTTCAAGACAAGTCTTTTACTTTTTCAAGACAAGACCCGTTATTTTTCAAGAAATTTTTTGGTGTAAAGTTCTCAAATTTGAGAACAGTGGTCTTGATTTCAGACGATACCCGTACTTTTTCAAGACAAGTCTTTCACTTTTTCAAGACAAGTCTTTTACTTTTTCAAGACAAGTCTTTTACTTTTTCAAGACAAGTCTTTTACTTTTTCAAGACAAGTCTTTTACTTTTTCAAGACAAGTCTTTTACTTTTTCAAGACAAGTCTTTTACTTTTTCAAGACAAGTCTTTTACTTTTTCAAGACAAGTCTTTTACTTTTTCAAGACAAGTCTTTTATTGTTTCAAGACAAGTCTTTTATTGTTTCAAGACAATGTCCGACGTACCACCAACCGAGTCCATTCCAAAGCCAGAAGAACCGACAGCCCCAGCACCACAACAGACTTACTAAGACTAAACATTTATTTTTCAAGCTTGACTTTTTACAATTTGAACTTTGTTCGCGTAGATGTGAATTCTGAAAGAAGTATGAGGGTCTTGTATGACTTTGTACTTCTCCCATAGTTCATGTCTGTCAAACTTACCTGCCATGGACTCTTTCATAAGTTCCATGAAATCGTCTTCGGACAATCCGGGGAAAAGTACAATGTCAGTAAGTATTCTCTTTACATCCTTACTTAAACTCTTTGCTGTCTGTACACAAATGACAACTGAGATGTTAAAGTGTCTGAGCTTCTTGAGAATTCGACACATGTCTTGTTCTCTGTTCTTTAACAAAGGATGAGAAGCAAAGTCATCTAAGATAAGAAGACATCTGTGAGGGTAAGTCTTCCAATCGTAAGATTGCAATTTCTTCGAAATGTATTCTATCTCTTTCTGTTTGTTTCTGAAGTGTTTCTTCTCTAATATTCTCTGCATTTCCTCATTTGGGTCTTTAAACTTCGAGTTTATATACTCATTTATAGCATTGTACTTCAAAACTCTTCTTTGGTACTTCTTTATCCAATCTAACAACTCAGTATCCTTTATACATACTAACTTAGACTTTTTTATAATATCTTTGAACGAATTGACGGTTTGGTCAAAATGACCAGAAGTACTACAAATGACAACTAACTCATAGAATGGGTTCTTCTCATCTAGTTCTTGTTGTTGTGCAGCCATTTTAAGATAAGTGAAAGTCTTACCCGACCCAGGTGGTGCAATTAGACCTGTTATACCATTCTGAGCAAATAAGAACTTGTCATGTATGGGTTTTATCTGAGCATTTTCTAACTTCCTCTTGTTCTTGTTTAAAACATTCTCAAATTTTTTGTCAATGTCAGCAAACTTTTTTTCTAACATATTTTTAGAAAAATTAAAATTTTTATCTTTTAGAAAATGTCTAGCGATTTCGCTATCTATATTCGAGACAAGCTTTTCGACAGCAAAACATCTGTCGACCATAAAATCTTACATAGTGTAAACAAGAAAGGTGAATTTGTTCTAAAGTTCTGTTTCTGGGAATATGACAAGAACCATAAAACCTTAAGCAGAGAAGTCTTAAAATTTGTCAATGACAGACTTGTTGACAGAGATGACGCCTCTTGGAAAGATGAAGTCCAACAAAAGTTCTTAGAATGCAAAGAAGACACATGCGCTGTTCTTGAAGATGAAATAGGAAACAGAATAGAAGAGCTATTAAAGGACAAAGAACTTTTACAAAAATATGGTTCTGAGAAGTTTGACATAACTCCACCAGAGAAGAAGAAGAAGAGAGAAAAGAAAGAAAAGAAAGTAGAAGAAGAGAAGAAAGAACCTGAACCAGAGAAGGTGAGATATGACATGTAAAAATAAACTTTTATTTTTAGAACATTTCTGGGTCAATGTCAATGTTCTCTTCCTCTTTAGGAGCAAACACTGGCTTAGACTCTAAAATCTTTTTACCTAATTTACCTTGAACTTCAACTATCTTAGACTCATAATATTCATAGTCGTCTGCTTTCTTTGGTTCATAAGGTATAACAAGTTTGTATGCTTTGCCTTCTTTAAGGTTTGAGAACCTTCTGTCAAAATTTTCTTTGACTGCTAACAAACCTTCTATGTCTAAGTCTTCAAATTTCGCACCATTTTTAGTCACAATAGCAAACTTAACAGGTTCGATGTTCCAAATTTTGTCAAATGTAGACTTTTCAAAATTGTAGAAGTAAACATTCAAATATGCGAATGGAGCTAACTTATCTTTGACTTCTGTCATGTACTTGTTGACTGAAATATATTTCGTCATCTTTTCTATCGGATAAAAAAATATTTTTTTTTAAAAACGTTTTAAAATGGTATGCCATATAGCTTCTTGAATTTGTTAAGAAGTATTTTAACGCATTTTCCATCTGTATCTCTAGCGTTTACAAAAGCATAGTCTTCCTTAGTAAAACATACTTGTAATTTTCTATAGTTTACGCCGGTATAAAAGTAGAAAGAGTCTTGTTCTTCGCTATAGTAGTAAAACTCCAACGTATGCTTGCCATAGTCTGTAATTTCAATTGTTTCATCTTCTAGTTCGTCGACAAATTCGAATACAATATCTCGAAATTTGCTTTTGTTCTTATTGTTTTCAGAACGAGTAACCCAACGTAAATTTTCAAGTCTATTGTCGTTTCTTATATGGTTTATATGGTCTACAAAAGGTAGATTGTTAGGGTTCGGTAAAATGAGTTGCAATGACAACATGTTTAAGATAGCGTTTTCCACCAATCCTCATCCTAGCATATCCGTTATTTTGCTCCCATTCGCTTAAAACTCTTTTTGTCTTTTTGTTTCTGACTTCAAATGACTCACAACAGTGAATTTCATATTTCTCATCTAACAAACAAGTTTCCCAACGGTCCTTTCCAACAAACTCAGCGTACATTTCAAATAAAATAAAAAAATATTTTTTTGAAAAAATGTTTTATTCCATGCAATGTTTTACTTCTCATCTGTAACAAACAAGTTTCCCAACGGTCTTCTCCAACAAAACTCAGCGTACATTTCAAATAAAATAAAAATATACTGTTTTATTCTTGTTACTTTGTTGTTGCACATTTTTATTATTCTTGGACTTTTGTTGTTGCATTTTTTATTCTTGACTTTTGTTCCATTTGTTCCATTTGTTGCATTTGTTGTTCTTGAGCTATTTGTTGTTGAAGTTGTTCTTGTAATACAATACTTTCACCAGTTGCATCTTCCAATTCGAAACTTTCTGCCGTCATTGACAAAATACATAGGACATAAAAGTTTTACAGGAACAAAGTTTGCGTCGACTAAGGTTAAGTTTATGTTTGCTAAAGTGTTTTGAGTTTACTAAAGCTGAAAACTCTGCATTCGAATGAACAATAGGCAAACAGCACAGAGAAAGTGTTGTTTATATACGCATGAGTATCTTTTGGTCATAGTAGTTTCTGTCGACATTCGAATAGCACTTGAACCTAAGTTTGAAACAATATATAAAATAGGTGTACTTAAAGTCAATGGAATAGACATTCCTTGTATGACACCTTTTCCTGTTATAGGAAACTGTTGGTAGTAAAAACAGATATAAGTTTTGTATTATAGCTCATATCGTTTATACTAAACTCAGTCGGACATCCAAACATAATGAAACCTGCTCTAGTTGCAGCACATGTTACATCCGTCCTTAAAGTATTAAATAAGTCAACAAAACCTGTTGGTGGTATATCTGAGTAAGTATCTTCAAAGAAGTATTTTTTACCATTCACAACAACAAAGTCTTCTGGTGTCAAAAGAGCAAAACAGGCTTTAGTCGTCATCGTGTTTAAGGTCAGTTTACAATATCGTCCTTGAGGACTTTGTAAGTTTGTTGTTATAGAATTATATGACTCAGGGTTTTTAGTCGTAATAGTATAAACCACTATGTCTTCTGCCATTTACTTAGCAAGTAAATTTTAATGAAATGTTGTGGTCGTCAAATATTTTTATGACGTCTGGGAAACTATATTTTAAGTTCAACGTTTCACCTCCTTTCATAACGTATATCTTGTCAATGACATTATATGAAACACCACAGCAAGCAATGTCGGGTTCTATTTCTTTGATGTTTATATCGTCTGCCTCTGTCAAAAGTTTCAATAGTTCTTTCAAAACTTCATGAGGTGCGATGACATATGAGTTCACTTTTACAGGGTTGTGTTCGACCAAGTTTAACATTATACCTAAAGCTTGACAAATCTTCTCCTGAGTTTTAAGCTTATCTTTCAGTTGCATGTAGTCATTTCGAATATCTGCAACAGAACTTAACTCTCTGCTAACTTCAGGGTATGTTGGTTGTTCTTTTACAGGAACTATTGTTATACCATCTTGGTCTTCGTATGGTTTCCCCACTTCAACATCTCTTTCTTTGACATTGACAACAACACTTTGACTGTTTGTTTGAGTTGGTGAATTTAACTTCACATCTGCCACCGCCATTAAACCTTTTGAAACACTTACGCTTCTATTTTTCGGAAATGACATTTTACTTAGAATAAAAAGATGGACGTATTTGAGTATCTCTTCGAATTGAAGCAAAACAAAGTTTACACACACAAACAATACAAGTTCATTGATAGAATAGTTCTTTACACAAACAATGGAAAATGTTATAGAATAGCAGTCTTTGCTGAACCAAAATATTTTCATAAAGCAAAGAAAGTTGTATAACCGAGATGGTGAAAGTTCTTGAAGCAGACACAAAAATATAACAACAAAACTGACCGATATTTCTAAAGGTAAGTTTATAATACAATTTTATGTCAAACTGGCGTCTGTCATATTTGACGGAGAGAAGTCAGTTCAAGAACAACTTACTGACCTGCTGCCAAAATCTGCTCGATGGAAGCTGTCGTTATGCCAATCTGAGGAGCCCCAGCAGGTTTCATCGAACGAATCTTCAAAAGAGCATCTTCCGTGAAAAGTGCTATTGGTTTTGTAAACTTCTTTGCTTTCAATTCATCTGGACCGTCTCTGTCACCAGTATATTGTATTTGAACTGTACCAACAGTTGAAATACCACCCATAAAGTCTTCTGAGTCAGCAAATGGAATGCCAAGCCAAAAGTTTGAACGGTCTCCATTTGTATATTGAGTTTTTTGACCTCCTGTATGAGTCCATACTTTCACATATGGCATAATAGAACTTTGCATTTCAGGGTTAATGGTCGTTGTGAAGTTGTTGTTAAAGTTCATAGCATCTAATGTCAAGTTGTATGACCTCATATCCTCAACTGTAGAATATTCTTCTCTTGGATAATATTTGCCATCTATGTTTATATGGTATTTAATACCAGGGTTGTAGAAGCAAGAATAGTCATTTATAGTTCGTCTGAACAGTACAAACATAGTATCTGCATGTTTCATTGCAGTTGTTAAAGCAATATCCGTTCTTGCACCTGGGTCAGCACTTTGGTTTCCAACTTCACCTGCAAAGTCTTTGACAGATATTTGGTGTATAGGGAACATAAGTGGAACTGCAATATATTTGGCAGCTAAAGCATTTGAAATATCTGGGTCCAACATATAGACTGCAAGTCTGCTTTCTATTCTCTTGCATTCAAACTTTTCGCATGTAAACTTAACTGGGTCCCAAGCATCTCCAGCAGCATTGAAATAATAGTTTACTTCAGTGTTGAGGTTTGAGAAACCAAAGTCTAAGTCAACTTTGTCTTTGCAAAATTCGGCGAATGACGTTTTATTTGTTCCCTTTACGTCTGTAAGAGTGAATGGGTCTTGTGTTGGTGCAATGACTAAGTTATTTTTGCTTGGAGTAAGTTCGATAGAAATTTTTCCTGCCCAGTTTGGCAAGTATCTTAAAAACCTGAAGATGAGGAAAGATGACAAAGGAACTCTAAGTTTCAGTTTTACTTTAGTGGCAGCATTTCCATCTGAACCAGAAAGGTTAACATAAACTCCTGGAACGTTAGGTCAAGTCTTCTTATTTTCTCAATAGTTGCATACTGGTCTGTTTGTTCTCTAGCTTGTGGTTGTACTGAGTTTCTCAAAGCGAACCATTCATAGTTTGCCCATGTTACTGTTTGAACTAAGTCAGAGTTAGAATATATCTTATATCCCATGAAAACTTCTGGAGCATATTGGTATCCGACATAGAAAATTCCATTGCAACCTTTCTTGTCAGACAACTTGGCAGAAGGTTTTATTTCAATGTCTTGTTCCACGTATAAGAATGAGTTGTCAATAGAAATAATATGAAACCTGTCGCAAGCAATATCTACTGTTGTTGAAGAACCTTCTCCAAACTCACCTACATTTCCATAAGAAACAGCAGTTGTATATTCGTAAGTTCCAGGAACTATTTCTGACCTTCTAATGGCATTGTCGCATTCGTTATACCATTCAGAAACATTTCCATTCATAGCATCCAAAACTGTTGGCGTTATATTCTGAGCGGCGTACATTTCATATGAGTAAAAATATAGAATAGTTGGATTTATATGTCATAATAGAACCCACGTGGACCAAGCTTTACTTTCTTCCTGACTGAGTTTTTAACTCTTCTTTTTCCTTCATTGCCCTCTGCTTGAAGTTGTTGCATCTTTGCATTATGTTCATCTAGTATGTTGCAAATTTCCCATGTCCTTTTTGCCTTTGGGCTCTGGTCGCCCATCTCAGGTAACCTATATCCTAGAAAGAGTTTGTCATAGTTTGTATTTGAGTCTTTGCGTATTGTTTGCATGACTCTTTCCTGAGTTTCCGGTTCAAGCTCTTCAAACAGTGCCTGTCCATATGGAATAAGCTCGTTTCCAAATATATGTTTTTGTAGCCATTCTGGTTTTCTTTCCATGTTACCAACTATATCTTTTGTGAATGGGAAAGCTTTTACCCAATCTTTCAGTCTTGCGTCGTTTATTTCTGTAGTTGGTTTTATTTTGTCAAGGAACATGTTTTTCAATACTAACATTTCATTTGGTACTGTCCATTTGAGTTTTCTTAAATATTCATCCCTTCTCGATTCATCGCCTGCAAAGTAAGTTTTTATGACATTTTGTAAACTTTCGTTTGCAAGGTCATGTACAATAGGTTCTCTTCCTTCTCCCTCCCTAACTTTCTTTCTAAACTCTTCACCAAATATACCATCTTTATGGTTCTGTGTAGTTCTTTGAGATAAATGTTTTAGAACGTCAGGTGTTATATTTCCATCAGCCATGTTCATTTCATACTGGTCCAAAATATCTGCATCTTTCATATCTTTCAATGGCATTAAAGCCGCGCTGAAAATACCAGCTATATCTGGTTCACCATTGACTTCCATTGCGTCTACAACTTCTTGGAATTGTGGTTGTAAGTTTATGAACCACCTATCCGGGTTAGCTTTATGACCCCATCTCATTGTAGTTCCATCGTCTGCAGAAACAAAAGTAGGTTTGTTTCCATCTTGGCTAGGTTCTGAATGAACTTTAAACAATGTTTCATTTCTATATGTTTTCTTGAAATTTAACCTTTTATCTTCACCGAGTTCATCCGAAGATTGAACGTTAAATGCTCGTAAGTAAAAAGGGTTGTTGTATTTGTGTACATTTTCTTTCAGTACTTCTATTCTATGCTGAATATTTTCATCTGGTGTTGGAGTCTTTTGTATGTCGGCAAACATTTTTCGATATTCTTCTACTATGTCAGCCGAATCTTTCTTAGACTCTTGGAAAGATTCCATATTCTCCGCATACTCTTGTTGAGGGTCAAGATTTTTCGGCTGTTCCAAATCTTCATCTAGTTCTGTGAAGTTAGTTTCCAAAGGAGTGACTTGTTCGTTTCCTTCAGGCTCTTCTAGCTGTTGTTGCTGAACTATTTCTTCCATGTCTGGTTGTATCTGAACTTCTTCCTGTGGAGTTTCTTGTACCTCATCTGCTGGCATTTCATATATTCCGAGACCGTTTTTAACAATTTCCCTATCTACGTCATCCGCATTCATAAGCTTTTGTTCTTTCGTTCCGTCTCTATTTTTTACGCGTTTCATGACGAAAGTTGAATTGTCATTTAGCTCTGACATCAAATATCTCGGAGTAAATTCGTTCATGTCATTTGGATGATATGCTATTAAATCATATCCCTTAGCGAGCTTGTATTTTCCAGGTTTGAGATTATATCCGTTTTGGTGTTGAGCCATAAAGCTAAATAGGTTCGGGTCAGTATTTCCATCCTTGAACTTTCCAATAGCTTCTTTATATCTGTCACTAAAGTCAACAGTATCTGGGAAACCACACTCTTCTTTAAGCATTTTTAAGAATTCTTGGTTTCCTTGTTCTCTACTTCTTTTATGTCCTTGCTCTGTTTGTGGTTGTTGTTGTGCAGGGTTTTGAACTGTTGGTTGCTGTGCTGGTTGTTGTGCTGGTTGTTGTGCTGGTTGTTGTTGTTGTTGTGTTGGTTTTGGTGCATGCCTGTGTCTGTGTCCATGTGACGATGTAAATGTTTTAGGTAGTCCTGGTGCAGGTGCTTCTCTTGGAGGGTTTGGTGGTATATAAGTTCCACCAGCTGGCACATATGTTCCATCTGCAGCGTAATGTCCTACCTGACTTTTCGTTCTTAAGAAAGCATTTACTAGGTCTGTTTTGGTCTGTTGTAACTCTTTTTCTTGACTTTCCACAACAGTTGCTCTAACGGCGTCATAGGCACTTTGAACTGCCTGTCTCGTTGCTGCATCTGTTATTTTCGTCATATTTTGTGCTACTTCTTTTAACTCTTTGTCGAAACCTTCAGACTTCAGTTTCTTTCCAGATGAGAAGTCGTTCACTTGTTTCACCTTACTATGAAGAGCTTCGAAAGCGTTCTTAAAGTCAGCATTTGTTAAAGTTTCATTTGAACTGTCTTCATCCGCTTGTATTTTTGTCCTTATTGACCCTATGAGTTGGGCTGCTTTAGCGTTGGCTTGGGCATCTAACCAGTCATTGTTAGCTTTTATATATTCTGCGCTTTTCATTGCCTTTTGCATAGCCGCGTCGTTATTTTTACTTTCTTGTGCTAAGTTTTCATACTGTACGGTTTGGTTTTGCAACTGTAAAAGTTTTTCTGCCTTTACATTTGCTTCAACTTCTTTTTTATACTCATCGCTATCCATATATGTCTTCAGGGCTTTTTTTTTATCTCTTCATCTTTCAGTTTTTATTGAGTAGTATGGTTTTTCAAATTTATGACATCTTGTTCCATTTTTGCTACTTCTGTTGCTTTTTCTGAAACTTTTTCGCATATTCCTCTGTACTTAGTTCTTTCAGTTGTTCTTCTTTCTTCTTTTTCTCTACGTTTAACTCATTGAGTTTCTTTGTGTGTCTGTCATATTCTAGTTTCTTTTCGTTTTCACTTATTTGCTTCTGTATGTCTATGTTTGACTTTTTGACATCTGTTATTTGATTTTTGAGTGAACTCAAATTCATTTGACTTTGAGGGTTATAGGCTGTTCCGTCTGCAGCTCCACCATAGCCTGCCATTTTCGCTAAAAGTGCCGCTCTTAAACCTCCACTCTGTGCACCAAGAACTCGGTTTAAAAGCATAGGATTGCTTGACATTTGTTGCAACATAGTGGGGTCATTCATTATTTGTTGTTGCAATTGTTGTTGTGGTGTCAGTTTTACTATTGGATGTTTCAATGCTCTCTTCCTCTTACGTATATTCTTACGTAGCTTACGTGGCATTTTAAGTGAAGTTAAAAAGCGGTTTTTGACAGATGTTTTGTAAAGACTTCTTCGTAAAGACTTTGTTGAGACTTCTTCGTAAATGAGTGTAAATGACCCAAAAATATAATTTAGGGTAGAAGGGTATATCTAACCTCTTTTCTAACCTCTTTTCTACCCTCTTGAATTTTCATGAATTTCTTCGTAAATGTTTTGTCAAGACTTCTTCGTAAAGACTTTGTTGAGACTTCTTCGTAAAGACTTTGTTGAGACTTCTTCGTAAATGACCCAAAAATATATTTTAGGGTAGAAGGGTATATCTAACCTCTTTTCTAACCTCTTTTCTACCCTCTTGAATTTTCATGAATTTCTTCGTAAAGACTTTGTTAAGACTTCTTCGTAAAGACTTTGTTAAGACTTCTTCGTAAAGACTTTGTTGAGACTTCTTCGTAAAGACTTTGTTGAGACTTCTTCGTAAAGACTTTGTCAAGACTTCATCGTAAATGACCCTAGTAGTATATTTTTGGTGTAAATTTCATGAAAATTCAAGAGGGTAGAAAAGAGGTTAGAAAAGAGGTTAGATATACCCTTCTACCCTAAAATATATTTTGGTGTAAATTTCATGAAAATTCAAGAGGGTAGAAAAGAGGTTAGAAAGAGGTTAGATATACCCTTCTACCCTAAAATATATTTTTGGTGTAAATTTCATGAAAATTCAAGAGGGTAGAAAAGAGGTTAGAAAAGAGGTTAGATATACCCTTCTACCCTAAAATATATTTTTGGTGTAAATTTCATGAAAATTCAAGAGGTGAGAAATGAGGTGAAAAAACAGGTGAAATCTCACCTCTTCACCTAAAATATATTTTTGTCTGATTTTACGAAGAAGTCTTGACAAAACATTTACGAAGAAGAAGTCTTGACAAAACATTTACGAAGAAGTCTTGACAAAACATTTACGAAGAAGAAGTCTTGACAAAACATTTACGAAGAAGAAGTCTTGACAAAACATTTACGAAGAAGTCTTGACAAAGTCTTTACGATGAAATCTTGACAAAGTCTTTACGATGAAATTCATGAAAATTCAAGAGGTGAAAAATGAGGTGAAAAAACAGGTGAAATCTCACCTCTTCACCTAAAATATATTTTTATTGAATTCTGTATAATATTCTGAGTAATATGACAGATGTTTATATAACACTTTCTCCGGTTTATAGGACCTCTCTCATATTCTATCTTGTCATATCAAAACTCATAGTCATGTTTGTCCTCTAAGACTTCATTTATACTAAACATCTTCAGGGCTAGAAGGCACGAAGTGCCTGGAAGCCCCACTACCTTTTTTTTTTTTTTTTTTTTTTTTTTTTTTTTTTTTTTTTTTTTTTTTTTTTTTATATTCTATCGTACATTTATGACTGCTAATGCTTATATCATTACTAATTAGAATTTTTATCTTTCGAGATTTTTTTTTAGACAAAATGCAAAATCGTTTCAGAATTATCTAAAAATGCCCCATGTAAATATCATTTCTATCTACAATATTGTGTTTTAATACTGAATTAAAAATATCAAAATCAGTTCCATCAACCAATTATATAGATCTAAGGAGTAATCATAATTTCATTGATTATCCTTTATAACCGTAATTTGATCGCTCAATTTCAAAATCTAACCATGACCGATGTTACAGATGAAATATATTATTGGTTTTTGTTTTACAAAGGATCAGTATTAGTTGAGAAGAACGGAGAAGCAATGAGAATCCCATTACAAAGACAACCACCGATTGAACCTGATTCCGAAACATATATTCATCAGAAGGTTCTTACATTAAAAGATAAGGATTGCAAAGCATTTGATCTAAAGGATGAAGTTAAAGAATCAAATCGATACGTTTTAGTTGATTTAAGAGCTTCATACTTTTCACTTCCAGAAGAAGAGTACTTAGCTGCTGGTAAATGCTATCAATATGTACATTGGTACAGAACTAGTAACTTTTGCCCAAGATGCGGCCATAAAATGGAACTTACAGGCCCAATCAAAAGATTATGCCCCGAATGCAAGTTTTCAAGTCATCCAATTGTTTTCACATGCATATTAGCATTAGTTAGACGTGATAACAAGATCTTATTGGTTCAATCACGTAGCCACAGAGGAAAATACAACTCATTAGTTGCTGGCTATCTTGAATCCGGCGAAAACCTTGAACAATGCGTCCAAAGAGAAGTTATGGAAGAAACAGGTCTCACTATCAAGAATCTTCAATACTTTGGAAGCCAATCCTGGCCATATCCATCCCAAATGATGGTTGGCTTTATCTGTGACTACGAAAGTGGTGAACCAAAGCTTCAGGAATCAGAATTGATCTATGGAGCTTTCTATACAAAGGACGAACTTCCTGAACTTCCTCCTCATCTTAGTTTATCACGTAAGATGATTGACTGGTGGGTAGAGAGCCAGAAATAATCTATTCAACATATAAATCAAATAAAAAACTATCTGATACTAAAATTCAAATTTTTTCTTTACGGATTTTCTGTAATAATATATAAAATCCACACATACATCGATTATACTATCATGGATTCTAGTATCTTGCTTGCAATAGAATATTTTATTTTAATATTAACATATTCATTTCATAAAAGATATAAAAATAAGATTACACTTCATTATTTTAATTTTAGAGTTTATTTGAAACATACATGAATTGCCAAATCAATACAGTTGCATTGTTAAAGTAAGTTTCAATTCAGAGAATATTTAAATCAAAGATAAGAAAACATCCAATATGGAAAAATCATGTCTACATTAAACAATTAAACAGTACACAATGTGTTTAAGGTAATTTATGGATGATTTTTAAAAATTTTTAGATGATTTCGTAAATAATTTCTATTTATTAAACAAAAACAACAAAAACAAGAATAATGAGACTTAGTCTGTTATGACATGAGGTGGGATGTTAACGTAAACTTGAGATGGAGTGAGACAAATCAAACTTTCATTAGTTTGCTTGCAAACACAAAGAACAAAACCAACAGGATACATAACTTCTTTTTCCTCCCAAAATTCTATCAATTTTACAAGGTATCGTTTGAAATCAGTTTTAACCAATTTATCACTGGGAACTTCGCCTCTCAATCCTGATCCAACGATTTCTACTATCATATTCTTTCCTTTCTTACCAATACATGTTACGTAATCACCAGGGTTTATCATAAAAACGTTGTATTCATCAGCAGAATACGTTTCTTTGGCTTCGTAGACCTGTGCGGACAAAGCTGACTCGTAGATGTATTTAGGATCGATGTAATTAAAGATGTTGAAGGTTATTTCGGCAATTGGCGAAATAAATGGAATTTTACTGAGTTTTTTACCAACAGGACGTGGTTTTAACTCATCAGAGCTCCTTCTCTGAGCATCTACACAACTTTGCAATGTTTCTCGATTCAGTTTAATGCTGTTAAAATAGAGATGAATGACTTGCGAAATTTTTATTATGGAATCTATGGAGTTCTGCATGACTTTTTGGAATTTTTCGATAATAGTCTCGTAGTTCGTCAATAAAACTTCAATTTCGAAGCAATAGCTTCTTCTAGATTTTCCTAATATCGTTGTAGAATTATAACATTTCTTTTCGAGTTCTAAACATTCGGATTTCAGTTTATCGATAACATTTATATCTTGTTCTGCTTCAATTTCATGACATTTATCAATATATTTTTGATATAATTCCGTATAGCCTTTTTCCACGATTTCTAGCCTTGCTTTTGAGTCTCCTGAAGCTGCTCGAATGTGAGTAGTCATGTAAAAGATTTTGTGTTGAAATTCATTGAGTGATTTTAAGAGAATAGATTCAACTTGGTCCATAGCAACGTGAAAACAGCTACCGTGTGCTATGTATGTGCGTAACCATTCCTGTAATGGATGAAGAAGTTGTGAAATCTGAGGTGGCATACTCTCTCGATGAAATTCGATATCTTCAGACTTTTTAAGCAGCTGAACAATATATGAAAACATAACTATAACTTTTTTGACTTGTTCTAATATCGCATTTCGTTCATTTAAGTGGTCAATTGCATTAGAAATGATAGTATCGTAGGGAGTTTTAATCATATTGAAAATAAAAAAGTGACAATTGTTGTATTTTTTCTGTCTGAATTGTAATTGGATATTCGAATTAAGTCCATTTTCTCACATAAAGGTGATTTTGATTCCTTTTTATTTGTCACATGTTACATCACATAAAAATGTCGTTAGCGATTGAAAAGTTTTACCGGTGAATGCCTCTAACTTTTACCGGAAGAACTATTATGATATGAGCATATTCTATTGTGAATTTAAGAGGGAAATCCACTGAGTATTTAATGATATTTTCATTTTTGGAATTTAAAATAAGATTCATTCATTCAATCAATCAATATGCTCATACAAATTTCATTACACACTTCTGTAGAAGCTACTGTGTCACCGCGAGCAAGCTCCTGCTGAAGTGTGTTACAAACATTCTTGAATCATGAAAGAAATGCGAAACTGCAGGAATGACTTTCAAGCAAGAGGCTTTCAACATTAAAAATGCTGCTGGTGAACAGTATGCAAATAAGAATAAACTGTTTTAATTTTTCATAATTACTGTCAGTGATTTTGAATGGGGATTACGGCTTTACTGTGCTATATTGAATTTTCATGGACCTAAATTGGCAAAGTCCATAATAGGGATGTTTCAATATGCTTATAAAATATATATAGTATTTAGAACATTTTTTTGTCGAAATTTATGAAAATCAAATTAATGTTTTTTTTAGAATAAACATATAATATCAGAAATTACATATATTATACATTAACAAAAAGGGGGGAACTCATTTTTTAGACCAAAAAAGTGGCACCTGAGTATATTGTTTCTGCTTTATCTGATCATTGAAACGGAATTGATCCACGTTATTAGTATGAAACAATGATATACTAGGGACTAAAGAATATTAATATTACAAAAACCCAATTATTCGATGTTCAACTCATCATATCTTGCATTAAAGTTGATACCTTTATTTTTTCGAAATATTACAACAGTAGCAACCTTACGTATTACCAATGATAGCTAGAGTACTGTTTTTGCATAAAAAATTTAAAACGATATTAAAACAACAGATTGACTAGTCATTCTGGTATAGTATCATGCATATTACCAAGTGATAAAATCTCAAATATCTTAGCTTAACATCCGTTTGATTATGAGATACAGATCTAATGTTGCTTGTTAAGTAGCCATAGTCACTAACTTATAACATTATTATGATAAGAAGACTAAATGTGCGAGTTTAATATACATTTGATTCAGATTTATTATCGAAAATCAATTCATAATTTATATCTTGAACTCATCTGTGAATAAAATCATGATTTTATTGATTATTTTCTAGATATTTACAATATTTTCTAAACATGTGAAGATAATCCTTAATTTGAACCAGAAATAATTTTAAATTACTAACAATGGATGGTTATCTATATATAATAATATATTATTTTTGATAGTAAACTATGACTGATTTATAATTTAGGAATATATACTTCTTTTCTATATCTTTGAAAAATAGTTATATGATTTTGCTGTATAAGTGATATATTTTAGTAAAAATATTATAGAATAACAAAAATAAAAAGGTTTTATCAATTTGTAACACAATGAAAATGGTTTATTTCTCTCTAAATTATAAATTTTCAAAAAAATTAACCTCATTTTTCCAAAAAAAATCGAGAATTAAAAAAAACGACATCATTTCTAGAAAATTGCATAGGCTTTTTCTAAAATGGAAAAAATTTGGAGAAATTCACCAAGAAGAACTTCATTCTAGGTGTCCAAAGCAATTGCTGTCAGTCAAAAAAACCTCGAAAATTTTAAATATTGATATCGATTTTCATCAATCACTTAAAATCGATTGTTTGCAGTCGATGTTATAACATATTATTAAATTTTAATATATTTGAACATACTACAAATCGTTTTTGAAACTTATCAACATTTCGCGCAATTTAACAATACTCTAACTCTCATACACAGTTCCCATTACCACAGTCTTATTTTAAGAAGAAATGATTAATAAAATCTAAGATCTAACGATTTATTTACCCAATTCGAATAATATTTTTAATTATAAATCCTTATTGGTGCATGTTTTATATACAGATGTAGAAAGAAAAACGAATAAAGTGTTACTTCAAAAAAATACCCGAAAGCACCCTAATTAATAAACAATTTACTTTTTTACCATCGAATTTTGCTCGTCTTGAGCCATATTTTTCGTTTAATTTTCATAATACGATAAAACATATGGGTTATCAAGTAAAGTATGGATACTTTAGAAGATCATAATATATCTCGAAATCAAACGAAAGCCATTCTATGAGTCCATACACACTATTACTATACTTCATATGTCAAGCATAATGGGAACAATTTTGGTCGATACCTTTGTTGTCGACGAAGTTCCCCCCTTTTCATTAACATAAGTGTGGGTATTGATTTAACAACTTTGTACCTTAAAATTTCGCTTAGGAAGGAAAAAGGGAAAAAAATAATAACAAAAACTAGAATCGAACTTGATCGCGATGTTATCCAGCTGAACTATATCCTATTCAAATATTGTTATAAAAGAGAATTTAAGATCGCTAAACCCCGCCAATTTTCTAATTCATGCAATTCTCCTCAAATGATATGGATAAATTTATTTCATTTAACTACAGGAATATAAATATTATATAAAAATCCAGAATGAGATTTTCGATTTTTACCAATGAAAATTACCTACTATTCTTTATTTTGATTTAGCCTTTAAATTAGATTTTATTAATATTTATTATAATTTTGGCTTCTCAAAATCACTTTTAGGAAATTTTTCAAAAATCTCACTCAAACTTAATATTCTAACTTACCACTATTTATATAAAAGAAATTTTAGATTTATCTTTAAAAATATTATTTTGGACAACCTTGTCACGTTTTTGGCTATTCGGCCACCTATTATCTGATGCTTCTATAAGCGCTCTGGCTGAATGATCATTCTAAATATTTTAAAATCGGCGAAAAATATCGACCTCAAAAATTCAATGTGGCCACTCAAAGTTAAAATACCCATTCAAAATCACTGACAGTATTTATTCATTTTTAAATGTGAAATTACGTATCACTATCATTTATTACGTATGGCTTATCAATATCATATATAATCTACTTGAGACTGTATGTGCGTTTTTACTTATTTAATATTTTTAAGATTTCTTTGCATAAAACAAGACATTCTAGATGGAAATACGACTACCATCAACAAAAAGTAATAAAATATTCAGGCAACACAAGTTAAATTTCATTTTTTTGAATGGTTGGATGATCTATAATGCTCAAATGATCCAGCTATATAAAGAATTACCGAGCTTTGCAAACAATGAAAACAAAGAACTCAATCGAAACTTACAAAATGAGTTCAATGAATTCAAAAATTTAATAAATGAATGCGAAGATCTCCAAAATAGAGTAAAAGCCATTAAACAACAACACATTGATACTGAAAAATGGCTAACAGATAAAAGAAATGAACTAAATTTACTCGAAAGCCAAATTGACGAAGAATTACATAAAATTTCTATGATAAAAGGCGAAAAAGAGAGTATTAAGATCGACATTGATAAATTTAAAGATAAGATAGCATCAGTAAATTGGAAAACACGTGAAATACAGTCAAAAATTCACATAGCAGAAGATAGAATTCTCTTTTTTGAAGGAAAAGCACAAGAGAATTCAGAGTCACTTAATTATTTTCAAAAAATTGTAGCAGAGAACGAAGAATTATTAACTGTTTTGCAGAAAAATCATAAAGAAGATGCAATTATTGTAAAAAATATGATTTCGCAGATAGAAAAGCAAGAAAACATGCTTAATGTTATGAAGAAGAGACTAGATGACGAAGTTTCTACGACAAAAACCTTACAAACAGAGCTAAATACATTTTCAACGCAATATCAGAAGATTTATGACGAAAACCAACAAATTTTACAGCTGATGAATACACCAATATCAACACTGATGTCAATTAACAAAGAGATACAGGAGAAATCCCAATTTTGCAAAGAAAAACAAGAAAAATACCAAAAAATTTTTGATGAAAATCAGATTGAGAAACAAAATTTGGATCAAATTCTGAAAGAAAACAAAGATTTTGACTTGAAAATTAAAGATCTTTACAATAAAGTGAATATCGCGACAAATGAACTTGATTTAGAGGAAAATGGACATCAGGAGAACCTGCAGAACATACAGACATTAAGTCATAACTTAATTAAGCTTCAAAATGATGAAAAGTTTTATAAAAATCAAAATGAAAAAATTGAATCAGAAATTCAAGTAGAAATGAATAAAAAGGCATACTACCAAAAGAGATTAGATGATATAAATGCAGTTTATGAGTCGAGAACTGATTATACAACTTATTTACAAGAAATAAAAACAAAATTTCAAAATGAGTTGGAAGAAACACAAAATGAACTTAATAAGCGTGATAAACTTATCACGTATTACAAGAATAAGAAGCAGAAACTGATTGATGAAAACATAAAAATCCAAAATCAAATTATTGAAATAAATAATGATAAAAAAACAAGAAAACATGTTTCAGACGCACTAACGCACAAAATGATTGAACTAGACGATGTTGTTAACGCTCAAGAAGAAGAAATGAATAAAATTAACAAAATTCAACGGAAAATTGAAGAAAAAATCGAACAATACAAAAACATTCCGAAGCCACCAAGTAAATTAACTCAATTACAGTCAGAAATAATTGAATTGAGAAAAGTTCGGAAAAATTCTAAAGAAAAAGTGATTTCTTCGAAAGAAAGAGTTTCATCTATTGATGTAGAGATAAAGAAACGAATAGATCTCAAAGGAAACTTAGAAAAAGAGAAAGAAAATTTAGAAAATCAAATATCAGTTTTAAATCTCGAAATTGAAGCATATAATAGGAGAAATTTTGATTCGATCAAAGAAGTACGTGATAAAACAGTCGAAGTCAACCTTTTGAGGCTAAAAATTTCAAATTATTCCGAACCAATTTTAGAATCATCAAAAATCATTGAAACAGAAGAAGACAAATACAAGCAATTGATAGAATCAGCTAAAACAAGACTAAGGGAACTTGATGAACAACATTTATCAATAATTTCCAGATTAAATTCCGAAGAAAAGGAAAAACACGAAATTTCGATGAAATTATCAGAAACCAAACACCAGATTGAACTCCAGAAGCTTAGATATGATGAAGAAACAAAGCCAGTTGCTAAAAATGAAGAAAAAAGTTTTAATATTTCCGAAGTTCTTCTAAATTATACGAAAGAAAGGGAAATTCTTATGAAACGAAAGGAAGAACTCGAAAATAAGATCCAATCCGCTCTAAATGAGTCAAACGCCCTTCAAAGAGCAACTTTGAAGCTAAATCACATAAATGTTTGTCGAAACAATGAAAAGTTAAGTGAAGAAAGTGAATACGACCAACTAAAGGACACAATTAAAAAATTGAATGAAGAAATCAAAATTAAAGTTTCAGAATTCAACAAAATGAACTTGAATAGAGAGATACTGAAACAGAGACTTGAAAAAACATCGATAGAATCATCAAATATCAACAAAAACATAATGAAAATCGTTTCAAAAATCAAATCTTCAAAAAATGACATTGAATTCATTGAAAATGAGATTAAAACACAAACAAATGTCATTAATATGCATATTGCCAATCATAGGAATACACAAGGAGTTGATTTGAAACAAAAATATCCATTTTCTAAATTTGAGATCCAAATTGAGACCGAAGTCAAAAGAAATACAATAGAAACAGCAATATTTGAGTTACAAGAGCTCTCAAAAGATAACAAAGAAATTAAACAAAGAATTCACAACTTCATTTCACAAGAAAAGATAAAACTTCGGCCAACACCTCCACTTCATCCAATTAGTGCTCGTTCATACGTCAGAGCTTCTCCACAAAGAAATCACAGCAATCCAAACTTTAAATCACAAAGAGAAAGCAAACTCACAATCAAGAACATCACATTAGATATAAAATAATGTATATATTAGTTAGAATAAATTTTTTGTTTGTATTTTCAATAATTTTTTTTTATTTTTCTCTCCAAATCCAGATAATTCATGCCCAAAAGTGATAACGACCTTCTTAGTTAGGTTATAGACATCGAAAGTGGCTTCTTTAGCATTGTCAGGCGAATCATAAAATGTCTATGATGAAATAGTACTTCCATAACATCACTTGGGTAATTTAGCCAAAATCACATTAATGCAAGTTTGCTTTTGCTTGTTCTAGTAACAAGTGAAATTTGATTTCGGTTTTGAGAGTTTTTCAGCCCTTAGAATCATATCGAGGTCGAATTTGTTGAATTGGGACTCTGTTACAGAGCAAAAACAGTTTTTGGATTTGAATTGAGCGATTTGTCATGATGAATATAGGAAAATATCACGGATAATATTAAATTTCGAGAGTATAATCTTTGGTATCATGAAGTATTTAGTTACTTCTATCATACCAACTTTAATTCTAGAATATATCGTAATTCTAATAAAGCGCTAATTTTGAAGGCGCGACCTAAAAACAGATATCAAATGATAAGTTGTTCTACATTTGGCGCCCAGAACTCCCAATTTTGCACTACAATGGCAACAATTTGCTTAGAATTTTTTTATTTTTGAATCGAAAATAATCGTCCTATAGGTTTTGTTTATTGAAAAAACACAAAAAGTGCCATTAATCATTTGAAAGGGCACGTGACTATAATTTTTTCCTCATTTAATGTACACATATCAGGCATTATCTTTTTCCTGAAATGCGGTGTACTTTCTTTTCCTTCAATTATTTTGTGAGGATATCAATTTTTTTGTGATTTGAAAATTTTCTGGGTATTCAATTTTGATTCTTGGTTTCATTTCACTTCGAATGAACGCTCCATCTGAAAACAAACATGCTTCGTCTAGAAAGGGCTATAGACGTCTTACTGACGAAGAACGTGATTATGTAATTAATCAATACTTGAATAAGGTCAAGATTGAAGAAATTGCATCGAATCTTAAGGTTAATATCCGCAGAGTTCAGGACATCGTTCGAAATTATAAGAAAGGAATATGCAGTACTTTCACCCAAGAGCAGGAAAATCAATTGGTTGAACTATATAAGCAAGGAAAAACAACTGTAAAGGCTTTACGCCCTTATTTTACAAATATTGATGGATATGCCATCAGAAATAAAATAAAAATGTTCATTCGCTGGGGTATACTAAATCCGGCAGATAATTGCACTACGCCGGAAATAAAATCTACCCCAGAAGTTATGAATGAAGCATTAGATACATATAATACTTGCGTTGGCGAAATATTAGAAATCTCTGAAAGTAATTTTGATGATTTCTGCTTTAATTCCTTCAAGTTCGACACCGCAAATACATACAATACAAATGTTTAGTTATCTTTTTAAAAGATCTATGTTTGTTTGTTTTAATTCCTCAACATTTTTTAACCACACGCCTTTTGCAGTACCACTTGCAAGTAGTATAATAGAGAAACATTTTAAAAATGTTTCCAAGAAAGAAAGACAAGCTTTATTAGAATTTTTCTGAACGATTTTCTTTATCCTTACCGAAGATAACAAATTATAGCCTTCTCAACATAGATATGTATGACAATGGATATGGAATGCTATAGAAAAAAAAAAAAAAAAAAAAAAAAAAAAGGTAGTGGGGCTTCCAGGCACTTCGTGCCTTCTAGCCCTGAAGATGTTTAGTATAAATGAAGTCTTAGAGGACAAACATGACTATGAGTTTTGATATGACAAGATAGAATATGAGAGAGGTCCTATAAACCAGAGAAAGTGTTATATAAACATCTGTCATATTACTCAGAATATTATACAGAATTCAATAAAAATATATTTTAGGTGAAGAGGTGAGATTTCACCTGTTTTTTCACCTCATTTTTCACCTCTTGAATTTTCATGAATTTCATCGTAAAGACTTTGTCAAAACTTCATCGTAAAGACTTTGTCAAAACTTCATCGTAAAGACTTTGTCAAAACTTCATCGTAAAGACTTTGTCAAAACTTCATCGTAAAGACTTTGTCAAAACTTCATCGTAAAGACTTTGTCAAAACTTCATCGTAAAGACTTTGTCAAAACTTCATCGTAAAGACTTTGTCAAGATTTCTTCGTAAAGACTTTGTCAAAACTTCATCGTAATGAGCGTAAATCAGACAAAAATATATTTTAGGGTAGAAGGGTATATCTACCCCGTTTTCTACCCTCTTTTCTACCCCATATGTACTTACTGAAAAAGTATGTGTTCCATCTGTCATTTTACTCAGAATTTTACACCAAAAATAATGTTTAGGTGAAGAGGTGAGATTTCACCTGTTTTTTCACCTCTTTTCTCACCTCGTGAATTTTCATGAAATTTACACCAAAAATATACTACTAGGGTCATTTACGAAGAAATCTCAACAAAGTCTTTACGATGAAATCTTGACAAAGTCTTTACGAAGAAATCTCAACAAAGTCTTTACGAAGAAATCTCAACAAAACATAGACAAGAAAGTTCATGAGAAATTAGATGAAGAAGTCTTAACAAAGTCTTTACGAAGAAATTCATGAAAATTCAAGAGGTGAGAAATGAGGTGAAAAAAGAGGTGAAATCTCACCTCTTCACCTAAAATATATTTTTGGGTCATTTACGAAGAAATCTCAACAAAGTCTTTACGAAGAAATCTCAACAAAGTCTTTACGATGAAATCTTAACAAAGTCTTTACGAAGAAGTCACAACAAAACATCTGTCAAAAGCCGCTTTTTAACTTCACTTAAAATGCCACGTAAGCTACGTAAGAATATACGTAAGAGGAAGAGAGCATTGAAACATCCAATAGTAAGACTGACACCACAACAACAGTTGCAACAACAAATGCTGAATGACCCCACTATGTTGCAACAAATGTCAAGCAATCCTATGCTTTTAAACCGAGTTGTTGGTGCACAGAGTGGAGGTTTAAGAGCGGCACTTTTAGCGAAAATGGCAGGCTATGGTGGAGCTGCAGACGGAACAGCATATAACCCTCAAAGTCAAATGAATTTGAGTTCACTCAAAAATCAAATAACAGATGTCAAAAAGTCAAACATAGACATACAGAAGCAAATAAGTGAAAACGAAAAGAAACTAGAATATGACAGACACACAAAGAAACTCAATGAGTTAAACGTAGAGAAAAAGAAGAAAGAAGAACAACTGAAAGAACTAAGTACAGAGGAATATGCGAAAAAAGTGTCAGAAAAAGCAGCAGAAGTAGCAAAAATGGAACAAGATGTCATAAATTTGAAAAACCATACTACTCAATATAAAGTACTGAAAGATGAAGAGATAAAACAAAAAGCCCTGAAGACATATATGGATAGCGATGAGTATAAAAAAGAAGTTGAAGCAAATGTAAAGGCAGAAAAACTTTTACAGTTGCAAAACCAAACCGTACAGTATGAAAACTTAGCACAAGAAAGTAAAAATAACGACGCAGCCATGCAAAAGGCAATGAAAAGCGCAGAATATATAAAAGCTAATAATGACTGGTTAGATGCCCAAGCCAACGCCAAAGCAGCCCAACTTATAGGGTCAATAAGGACAAAAATACAAGCGGATGAAGACAGTTCAAATGAAGCTTTAACGAATGCTGACTTTAAGAACGCCTTCGAAGCTCTTCATAGTAAGGTGAAACAAGTGAACGACTTCTCATCTGGAAAGAAACTGAAGTCTGAAGGTTTCGACAAAGAGTTAAGAGAAGTAGCACAAAATATGACGAAAATAACAGATGCAGCAACGAGACAGGCAGTTCAAAGTGCCTATGACGCCGTTAGAGCAACTGTTGTGGAAAGTCAAGAAAAAGAGTTACAACAGACCAAAACAGACCTAGTAAATGCTTTCTTAAGAACGAAAAGTCAGGTAGGACATTATGCTGCAGATGGAACATATGTGCCAGCTGGTGGAACTTATATACCAGCTGGTGGAACTTATATACTAGCTAGTGGAACTTATATACCACCAAACCCTCCAAGAGAAGCACCTGCACCAGGACTACCTAAAACATTTACATCGTCACATGGACACAGACACAGGCATGCACCAAAACCAACACAACAACCAGCACAACAACCAACAGTTCAAAACACTGCACCACAACCAACAGTTCAAAACACTGCACCACAACCAACACAACAACCAGCACAGCAACAACCACAAACAGAGCAAGGACATAAAAGAAGTAGAGAACAAGGAAACCAAGAATTCTTAAAAATGCTTAAGGAAGACTATGGTTACCCAGATACTCTTGACTTTAGTGACAGATATAAAGAAGCTATTAGAAAGTTCAAGGAAGGAAATACTGACCCGAACCTATTTAGCTTTATGGCTCAGCACCAAATGGGATATAATTTCAAACCTGGAAAATACAAGCTCGCTAAGGGATATGATTTAATAGCATATCATCCAAATGACATGACTGAATTTACTCCGAGATATTTGGTGTCAGAGCTAAATGACAATACAACTCTCTTCATGAAACGCGTAAAAAATAGAGACGGAACGAAAGAAGAAAGGTTTATGAGTCCGAATGACTTAGATAGGGAACTTGTTAAAAACGGTCTCGGAATATATGAAATGCCAGCAGATGAGGTACAAGAAACTCCACAGGAAGAAGTTCAGATACAACCAGACATGGAAGAAATAGTTCAGCAACAACAGCTAGAAGAGCCTGAAGGAAACGAACAAGTCACTCCTTTGGAAACTAACTTCACAGAACTAGATGAAGATTTGGAACAGCCGAAAAATCTTGACCCTCAACAAGAGTATGCGGAGAATATGGAATATTTCCAAGAGTCTAAAAAAAATTCGGCTGACATAGTAGAAGAATATCGAAAAATGTTTGCCGACATACAAAAGACTCCAACATCAGATGAAAATATCCAGCATAGAATGGAAGAACTGAAAAAAAATGTACACAAATACAACAACCCTTTTTACTTACGAGCATTTAACGTTCAATCTTCGGATGAACTCGGTGAAGATAAAAGGTTAAATTTCAAGAAAACATATAGAAATGAAACATTGTTTAAAGTTCATTCAGAACCTAACCAAGATGGAAACAAACCTACTTTTGTTTCTGCAGACGATGGAACTACAATGAGATGGGGTCATAAAGCTAATCCAGATAGGTGGTTCATAAACTTACAACCTCAATTCCAAGAAGTTGTAGACGCAATGGAAGCGAATGGTGAACGAGATATAGCTGGTATTTTCAGCGCGGCTTTAATGCCATTGAAAGATATGAAACATGCAGATATTTTGGACCAGTATGAAATGAACATGGCTGATGGAAATATAACACCTGACGTTCTAGAACATTTATCTCAAAGAACTACACAGAACCATAGAGATGGTATATTTGGTGAAGAGTTTAGAAAGAAAGTTAGGGAGAGAGAAGGAAGAGAACCTATTGTACATGACCTTGCAAACGAAAGTTTGCAAAATGTCATAAAAACTTACTTTGCAGACAATGAACTGAGAAGGGATGAATATTTAAGAAAACTCAAATGGACAGTACCAAATGAAATGTTAGTATTGAAAAACATGTTCCTTGACAAAATAAAACCAACTACAGAAATAAACGACGCAAGACTGAAAGATTGGGTAAAAGCTTTCCCATTCACAAAAGATATTATTGGTAACATGGAAAGAAAACCAGAATGGCTACAAAAACATATATTTGGAAACGAGCTTATTCCATATGGACAAGCTCTGTTTGAAGAGCTTGAACCAGAAACTCAGGAAAGAGTCATGCAAACAATACGCGAAGACTCAAATACAGACTATGACAAACTCTTTCTAGGATATAGGTTACCTGAGATGGGCGACCAGAGCCAAAAGGCAAAAAGGACATGGGAAATTTGCAACATACTAGATGAACATAATGCAAAGATGCAACAACTTCAAGCAGAGGGCAATGAAGGAAAAAGAAGAGTTAAAAACTCAGTCAGGAAGAAAGTAAAGCTTGGTCCACGTGGGTTCTATTATGACATATAAATCCAACTATTCTATATTTTTACTCATATGAAATGTACGCCGCTCAGAATATAACGCCAACAGTTTTGGATGCTATGAATGGAAATGTTTCCGAATGGTATAACGAATGCGACAATGCCATTAGAAGGTCAGAAATAGTTCCTGGAACTTATGAATATACAACTGCTGTTTCTTATGGAAACGTAGGTGAGTTTGGAGAAGGTTCTTCAACAACAGTAGATATTGCATGCGACAGGTTTCATATTATTTCTATTGACAACTCATTCTTATACGTGGAACAAGACATTGAAATAAAACCTTCTGCCAAGTTGTCTGACAAGAAAGGTTGCAATGGAATTTTCTATGTCGGATACCAATATGCCTCCAGAAGTTTTCATGGGATATAAGATATATTCTAACTCTGACTTAGTTCAAACAGTAACATGGGCAAACTATGAATGGTTCGCTTTGAGAAACTCAGTACAACCACAAGCTAGAGAACAAACAGACCAGTATGCAACTATTGAGAAAATAAGAAGACTTGACCCTAACGTTCCAGGAGTTTATGTTGACCTTTCTGGACAAACTGCAGCAGCAGTAACCAAAGTAAAATTGAAACTTAGAGTTCCTTTGTCATCTTTCCTCATCTTCAGGTTTTTAAGATACTTGCCAAACTGGGCAGGAAAAATTTCTATCGAACTTACTCCAAGCAAAAAAACTTAGTCATTGCACCAACACAAGACCCATTCACTCTTACAGACGTAAAGGGAACAAATCAAACGTCATTCGCCGACTTTTGCAAAGACAAAGTTGACTTAGACTTTGGTTTCTCAAACCTCAACACTGAAGTAAACTACTCTTTCAATGCTGCTGGAACTGCTTGGGACCCAGTTAAGTTCACATGCGAAAAGTTTGAATGCAAGAGAATAGAAAGCAGACTTGCAGTCTATATGTTGGACCCAGATATTTCAAATGCTTTAGCTGCCAAATATATTGCAGTTCCACTTATGTTCCCTATACACCAAATATCTGTCAAAGACTTTGCAGGTGAAGTTGGAAACCAAAGTGCTGACCCAGGTGCAAGAACAGATATTGCCTTAACAACTGCAATGAAACATGCAGATACTATGTTTGTACTGTTCAGACGAACTATAAATGACTATTCTTGCTTCTACAACCCTGGTATTAAATACCATATAAACATAGATGGCAAATATTATCCAAGAGAAGAATATTCTACAGTTGAGGATATGAGGTCATACAACTTGACATTAGATGCTATGAACTTTAACAACAACTTCACAACAACCATTAACCCTGAAATGCAAAGTTCTATTATGCCATATGTGAAAGTATGGACCCATACAGGAGCTCAAAAAACTCAATATACAAATGGAGACCGTTCAAACTTTTGGCTTGGCATTCCATTTGCTGACTCAGAAGACTTTATGGGTGGTATTTCAACTGTTGGTACAGTTCAAATACAATATACTGGTGACAGAGATGGTCCAAATGAATTGAAAGCAAAGAAGTTTACAAAACCAATAGCACTTTTCACGGAAGATGCTCTTTTGAAGATTCGTTCGATGAAACCTGCTGGGGCTCCTCAGATTGGTATAACGACAGCTTCCATCGAGCAGATTTTGGCAGCAGGTCAGTAAGTTGTTCTTGAACTGACTTCTCTCCGTCAAATATTGACAGTACGCCAGTTTTGACATAATATTGTATTATAAACTTTCCTTTAGAAATATCGGTCAGTTTTGTTGTTATATTTTTGTCTGCTTCAAGAACTTTCACCATTTCGGTTATACCAACTTTCTTTGCTTTATGAAAATATTTTGGTTCAGCAAAGACTGCTATTCTATAACATTTTCCATTGTTTGTATAAAGAACTATTCTGTCAATGTATTTGTATTGTTTGTGTGTGTAAACTTTGTTTTGCTTCAATTCGAAGAGATACTCAAATACGTCCATCTTTTTATTCTAAGTAAAATGTCATTTCCGAAAAATAGAAGCGTAAGTGTTTCAAAAGGTTTAATGGCGGTGGCAGATGTGAAGTTAAATTCACCAACTCAAACAAACAGTCAAAGTTTATTGTCAATGTCAAAGAAAGAGATGTTGAAATGGGGAAACCATACGAAGACCAAGATGGTATAACAATTGTTCCTGTAAAAGAACAACCAACATATCCTGAAGTTAGCAGAGACTTAAGTTCTGTTGCAGATATTCGAAACGACTACCAACAACTTAAAGACAAACTTAAAACTCAGGAGAAGATTGTCAGGCTTTGGGTATAATGTTAAACTTGGTTGAGCACAACCCTGTAAAAGTGAACTCATATGTCATCGCACCTCATGAAATTTTGAAAGAACTATTGAAACTTTTTGACAGAGGCAGACGATATAAACATCAAAGAAATAGAACCCGACATTGCTTGCTGTGGTGTTTCATATAATGTCATTGACAAGATATACGTTATGAAAGGAGGTGAAACGTTGAACTTAAAGTATAGTTTCCCAGACGTCATAAAAATATTTGACGACCACAACATTTCATTAAAATTTACTTGCTAAGTAAATGGCAGAAGACATAGTGGTTTATACTATTACGACTAAAAACCCTGAGTCATATAATTCTATAACAACAAACTTACAAAGTCCTCAAGGACGATATTGTAAACTGACCTTAAACACGATGACGACTAAAGCCTGTTTTGCTCTTTTGACACCAGAAGACTTTGTTGTTGTGAATGGTAAAAAATACTTCTTTGAAGATACTTACTCAGATATACCACCAACAGGTTTTGTTGACTTATTTAATACTTTAAGGACGGATGTAACATGTGCTGCAACTAGAGCAGGTTTCATTATGTTTGGATGTCCGACTGAGTTTAGTATAAACGATATGAGCTATAATACAAAACTTATATCTGGTTTTTACTACCAACAGTTTCCTATAACAGGAAAAGGTGTCATACAAGGAATGTCTATTCCATTGACATTAAGCACACCAATCTTATATATTGTTTCAAACTTAGGTTCAAAGTGCTATTCGAATGTCGACAGAAACTACTATGACCAAAAGATACTCATGCGTATAAACAACACTTTCTCTGCTGGTTTGCCTATTGTTCATTCGAATGCAGAATTTTCAGCTTTAGTGAACTCAAACACTTTGGCAAACATAAACTTAACCTTAGTTGACGCAAACTTTGTTCCTGTAAAACTTTTATGTCCTATGTATTTGTCAATGACGGCAGAAAGTTTCGAATTGGAAGATGCAACTGGTGAAAGTATTGTACTACAAGAACAACTTCAACAACAAATAGCTCAAGAACAACAAATGCAACAAATGCAACAACAAAGTCAAGAATAAAAAAAATATTTTTTTTATTTTTATAAAAATGTACAGAATAGATGTTTCAGATTTTTATGACTTCCAAGCATTCAGAAATATGTGTCCATTTCGAGACTATAACAAAGCAGTCGAGAATTTGAAACGTTTAGTCATTTATGTTGACTCTGCCCCAGAATGTTATGTCATGAAAGAATGGGATGTTGTCTTTAACAAACCAAGAGCAACAATAGTGTCTGAACAAGAATGTAGACAGAAACTTAAGAAAATAAAAGTCGTACAAGTTGGAATGAAGATGTTAGATGCTTGGGATATCTTATTGTCAAAGTTAGAAGATTTTTCAGTTCGTGGTATAAAGTTCTATACACCTTCTCCAAACTTCTATTCTATCTTCACTGGATATAAATACGAACAAGTAGAATGGAAAGAAAATGTTATAGAAGCTTGGTTAGACCATGTCAAAGAAATTATATGCAATGGAAACGAAAAGGTTTATGAGTATATCTTATGTTGGTTTGCAAACATCTTACAACATCCAAGTGCTAAAAATGAAACTGCTCTCATTGTAATTGGAAAACAAGGAACAGGTAAGAACACTTTCTTTACAGATATTTTGTGCAAACTGTTAGAGGGCTATTCGAACCCTAATATGACAAACTTAGAAAACATCTGCGGTAAATTTAACTCTTCAATAGAGAATATGAAACTTATAGTATGTAACGAACTTCAAAGTATAGATACAACAAAGGTTTTAAACTCAGATGCTTTGAAGAGTCTTATAACAGACAAAGTTGGAGTTGTTGAAAGAAAATATAAAGACCAAAGAGTTTGTGAAAATGTTGCAAATTTCATCATGGTTTCAAACAATACTGTTCCGATGAAGTTAGAAAGTTCTGACAGAAGATATGTAGTTGTCAGAACGTCAGAAGCTCATATGCAAGATACAGAATATTTTGACGACTTAGCAGAAACTTTGACACCTAACTTTTACAACCACTTGTTCTCATATTTCATGACATTAGATATTTCAAAGTTCAATCCAAGACAAATTCCATATACCGAAGAAAGACAAACATTGTTAGAAGCAAACAAGAGTGTATATGAACTGTTCGTAGATGAAACTGACTTTGAGTGTTTAGATGAAAGGTCATTGTACGACTCGTATAAACAGTATTGTCAAGAGTATGGTTATATGGCAGCTTCTAAACGTACATTCTTGGCAAATGTCAAAAGTCTTTTAGATGTTCAGAACGGCGTATATACAAAGAAAAATTTTTATGAGTAAATTTTAAAAAAAATCTTTTTTTATCCGATAGAAAAGATGACGAAATTCATCTCAGTAAATAAGTACATGACAGAAGTCAAAGAAGAACTAGACCCATTCGCTTATTTGAATGTTTACTTCTACCATTTTGAAAAGTCTACATTTGACAAAGTTTGGAACATCGAACCAGTTAAGTTTGCTATTGTGACTAAAAATGGTGCGAAATTTGAAGACTTAGACATAGAAGGTTTGTTAGCAGTCAAAGAAAATTTTTGACAGAAAGTTCTCAAAACTCGAAGAAGGCAAAGCATACAAACTTGTTATACCTTATGAACCAAAGAAAGCAGACGACTATGAATATTATGAGTCTAAGATAGTTGAAGTTCAAGGTAAATTGGGTAAAAAGATTTTAGAGTCTAAGCCAGTGTTTGCTCCTAAAGAGGAAGAGAACATTGACATTGACCCAGAAATGTTCTAAAAATAAAATTTTATTTTTACATGTCAAATTTCTTTTTCTCTGGAACTGGTTCAGGTTCTTTCTTCTCTTCTTCTACTTTCTTTTCTTTCTTTTCTCTCTTCTTCTTCTTCTCTGGTGGAGTTATGTCAAATTTCTCAGAACCATATTTATGTAAAAGTTCTTTGTCCTTTAATAGCTCTTCTATTCTGTTTCCTATTTCATCTTCAAGAACAGCGCATGTGTCTTCTTTGCATTCTAAGAACTTTTGTTGGACTTCATCTTTCCAATCGGCGTCATCTCTGTCAACAAGTCTGTCATTGACAAATTTTAAGACTGCTCTGCTTAAGGTTTTATGGTTCTTGTCATATTCCCAGAAACAGAACTTTAGAACAAATTCCCCTTTCTTGTTTACACTATGTAAGATTTTATGGTCGACAGATGTTTTGCTGTCGAAAAGCTTGTCTCGAATATAGATAGCGAAATCGCTAGACATTTTCTAAAAGATAAAATTTTTAATTTTTCTAAAAATATGTTAGAAAAAAAGTTTGCTGACATTGACAAGAAATTTGAGAATGTTTTAAATAAGAACAAGAGGAAGTTGGAAAATGCTCAGATAAAGCCTATACATGACAAGTTCTTATTTGCTCAGAATGGTATAACAGGTCTAATCGCACCACCTGGGTCGGGTAAGACTTTCACTTATCTTAAAATGGCTGCACAACAACAAGAACTAGATGAGAAGAACCCATTCTATGAGTTAGTAGTCATTTGTAGTACTTCTGGTCAATTTGACCAAACCGTCAATTCGTTCAAAGATATTATAAAGAAGTCTAAGTTAGTATGTATAAAGGATACTGAGTTGTTAGATTGGATAAAGAAGTACCAAAGAAGAGTTTTGAAGTACAATGCTATAAATGAGTATGTCAATTCTAAGTTTAAAGACCCAAATGAGGAAATGCAGAGAATATTAGAGAAGAAACACTTCAGAAACAAACAGAAAGAGATAGAATACATTTCGAAGAAATTGCAATCTTACGATTGGAAAACGTACCCTCATAGATGTCTTCTTATCTTAGATGACTTTGCTTCTCATCCTTTGTTAAAGAACAGAGAACAAGATATGTGTCGAATTCTTAAGAAGCTCAGACACTTTAACATCTCAGTTGTCATTTGTGTACAGACAGCCAAGAGTTTAAGTAAGGATGTAAAGAGAATACTTACTGATATCATACTTTTCCCTGGATTGTCCGAAGACGATTTCATGGAACTTATGAAAGAGTCCATGGCAGGTAAGTTTGACAGACATGAACTATGGGAGAAGTACAAAGTCATACAAGACCCTCATACTTCTTTCAGAATTCACATCTACGCAAACAAAGTTCAAATTGTAAAAAGTCAAGCTTGAAAAATGTAAGTGTTTGAGTCTTAGTCTGTTGTGGTGCTGGGGCTGTCGGTTCTTCTGGCTTTGGAATGGACTCGGTTGGTGGAACGTCAGTCATTCGTTTGTGTCCTGTCGGATGGAAGAACTTTTCCTGTTGGAAGGAAGGACTTTTCCTGTCGGATGGAAGGACTTTTCCTGTCGGAAAGAAAAACTTTTCCTGTCGGAAAGAAAAACTTTTCCTGTCGGAAAGAAAATTTTTTCCTGTTGGAAGGAAAAACTTTTTCTGAAGGTCGGCCAAAAAGTTCTCAATTTTCGAAAATTTGAATGGTTTACGGACGGACAACAAGAAAAATTTTTCCAGTTGTCAAGAAATTTTTTTCCTGTCGGAAGGAAGAACTTGGAATGTCGGAAGGAAGGACTCGGAATGCCAGATGGAAGGACTCGGAATGCCAGAAGGATTTGACGAGGCAATTTACCTTATAGAGCTACCTGAGCCATCTGAAGTCAAGCGTAAAAATAAATGGTTCATTTACTCTACTTGTTTGAAGTTGTCAAAATACTCTGTTATTTTTTCCTTTAACAATGGCAAATCTTCTTTGAAGGTAAGAATTGTACAACCTTTCATATCATAGTGTGTTTGAGGTAAAGTATCTTGAACTATTTGTTTCACATCTTCATTTGGGGTCATTGAAATCGGTAAGTTTTCGCGATAGAACCAATTTCTGTCAGATTTGTAAATCTTAGCAAGGTCGTAAAAAGCTTTTGTTGTTTCTTCTGACTAAATGCAACATAACCATATCTTTATCTTCTTCATTTTCCATCTCTTCAGTAAAATCATATACTTATAGTTCTTTTTACCTTTTGGTACCAACGTGGTATTCTTTCTGAATGCTTTTGTCTTTTTGCTTCAAGCTTGTTTTTCCATCTCTTCACGTTCTTGTCTATGAATTTCGTCAAGAAGTCTGTAAATATACCAAGCATAACGAGGCGAAGCCCACATTGCTACAGCATTTACAAGAAGTCTATGAACATAATATCCTCTCAAACCGTTTGGCAATTTTTCACGATTTTCATAGAGTTTTGGCGACTGGGTTTTTTTACTACTCGCTGTTCTTCACTGTTTTCATAGAGTTTTGGCGACTGCGGTTTTTTACCTACTCGAGTTTTTGCGACTACGAGAAAATCCGTAGTCGAATTTTCAGCTTCATTTAATAGTTCAATAGTGCTTTGGTTCCTAAACCAGTCTTGTGGTTTCTTAGTATCTGGAGCAAAACATGCTGTCAAAATACTTTGCATTTGGTACATATCGTCTTTGACCGAACGAATGAGACGTAACTGTTTGTTAAACTGTATGTACTCATATTCTTCATTTATAGCTTCATGGACTATAACTGTTGTTGTGTTCTCTGTTGTTGACATATCTGTCTTTACATACAAAATAAAAAAATAAAAAAAAATAAAATTAGCGTTATTTTTTCTATCTTAAGGAAATTCATGAAATTTGTGCTGAATTCAATAAAAATATATTTTAGGAGAAGCCCACATTGCAACTGCATTTACTAAAAGTCTATGTACATACCAACCTCTCAAACCAGGAGCCAAATTCTTGCGATTTTCATGAGTTTTATGCAAGACCGAAAAAAGTCGGTCTAGAGAAATTTCACTCAAAAGACCAAAAATAAACGCTTTACATGTATTTTTCAGCAACTTCGTCAAATAATTTTATAGCTTTATCTATCTCATCTACTTCAAACGTTTCTTTACCTTTTATGGAGCACCATACATTTTCTCAAACTTTTCAAGTAGTTCTGTTTCAGCAGCTCTCATATCGTTAACAAACGCAACCTTAACTCTATTGACTGTAGAGTCATATCTTTGAGTTATATTAAATGTTCTTCTATCTTATATCTCTTTGTATTGAAGTCCTTCGGTTTCTGAACGATATAAAGTAAGCCTTCACTGCAACGTTCAGTATCGAATGAAACCATATGTTATGAAATTATATCCAACAACGGGTCAATCCAGAACAAAACTACTGGTATAAGACTTTTGTCGATGAGATATGTTCTTGTTCCATAGAATCTTACCGATATCATAAGCTCAGGATTTCTTGTCAAAATTTTCTGAGTAGAAGCATTTCTAACCCAGTCGTGGATGTTTTCTTTTCAGATAGTGTTAAAATGTCTGACAAAGAATATTTGTTGTATTTCTTTGAGTATCTTACGTTTAAATCCCCTATTCTAACCACTTTGGTGTTATTGTCTATCTTTTTAACTGTTTCAAACTCAGTGTTTGTCATTTCCTGTTCTTACATACAAAATAAAAAAAAATATTTTAAAAAAACTAGCGTTAATTTTATTTTTTCTATCTTAAGGAAACTCATGAAATTTGTTGCTGAATTCAGTAAAAATATATTTTAGGGTAGAAGGTGACATCTCACCCGTTTTCTCACCTGTTTTCTAACCTCTTGAATTTTCATGATTTCATCGTATATGTTTTGTCAAGACTTCTTCGTATATGCTTTGTCAAGACTTCTTCGTAAATGTTTTGTCAAGACTTCATCGTAATGAGCGTAAATCAGACAAAAATAATGTTTAGGTGAAGAGGTGACATCTCACCTGTTTTCTCACCTGTTTTCTCACCCAAGTTATTTTTTAAATTTTGTGAAAACTCAACGGTTTGACACATGCCCTAAAAATTATTTTACTCAGAATTTTGTTGCTGAATTCAGCAAAAAATAATGTTTAGGTGAAGAGGTGAGATTTCACCTGTTTTTTCACCTCTTTTCTCACCTGTTATTTTATAAGCGTTTTACATGAATTGTATGATGTATATTTGAAATCCTAAACAATTTCGTAGCTTCTATTTCTTCACGAAGGATATCGAATGTTTTAACGATACCGAAAGTTTCTTTATACTTCTTCTTGACATCTGAAAGAAGGAAATCGTCAGCTGTTGGATAGTTTTTGTTTAGAAATGCTAACATGTCCATTTTATCTTCTGCTGGTTTCTCTGCTTCTTTCTTTAAGTCAGCATAGTCGTTTCGCATACGTTCTATCTCTTTGACAGAATAGTTATATTTCCTCATTGCTGCTTTACATTTTGAACATTGTGGGTTCATTTTAGCATTGTACATTGAAATCTTACCTGCTAGTATGACTAAGGCGTCAATTGCTCTCTTCATCTCAAACATAGCGGGTCTTATTTGTTCGTTCCATACCTTACCCCTACTATCTTTATCTCTTATTTCCCAAACACATTTTGCAACTAACGAAACAAAGTTGTCGTAGGTCTTAAACTCCCCAGATTTGTATATGTCAGAGATGTTCTTATATACCATATCGCAATCTTTGTCCATGACTTTGTGGTTGCAATGAAATCCAAGAAACTCATAGTTTACCTTTCGTATGAACTTCTTTATTTCTACTGAGTCAGTTGCTTTGACTTCTATTTCATCGAATTCTGGAATAGTAAGCTTTTGTTGTTGTATTTCAGGAAGTTTAGGTAGATGGTCAATAATATCCTGCATTTCATAAAGATACTGTTCATTTTCTTCATCTTTCGCACTACAGTCTAAATCTCCTTGGAGAAGTTCCTGCTTTATCTTCTGGATTTCTTTTTCGAAAGTATATGAAGAAGGAATGAAGCTTTTCATCTCTACTAACATTGAAGTTGGGTTCATGACTAACGAGTTTGGTGCTGTTGTTGCTAACATGTTCTTACAATAAAAATAAAAAAATATTTTTTTAAAAAAACCAACTTTATTTTTTATTTCGGGAAAATTCAAGAGGGTGAAAAAACAGGTGAAAAAAGAGGTGAAATCTCACCTCTTCACCTAAAATATATTTTTGTCTGATTTACGCTCATTACGATGAAGTTTCGACAAAACATTTACGTTCATGTTTGACAAAACATTTACGATGAAATCATGAAAATTCAAGAGGGTGAAAAAACAGGTGAAAAAAGAGGTGAAATCTCACCTCTTCACCTAAAATATATTTTTGTCGAAAAAAATGGTTCATTTACTCACAATATTTTTGTACAAAACGACCCCAAACTTTTAACTTCTTTTCTGCAGCTTCTAATGAAATTTTAGCGAGTTCATATTCTCTAAATTCTCTCTTTAAATCTTCTTGTTCCCATTGGTCTAGTTCGTATGGAGAATCTCTATAACCAGAACATATCTCACGTTCATGTTCTATTTGTTTTTCATGCATTTTTCTAACTTCTTGTTCGAACAAAGGTTTTGCATTCTCTACTGTATCTTCAAGTTCTTCTTCATCTAACTTCTCATGAACTTTCTTGTCTATGGAGTCCATAATTTTTCCAACTGCTATACAATATTTTGGAGAAGCCCACATTGCAATATAGTTTACGAGTCTTGGGTCTACATACATTCCTCTAACCTGTTTGATTTCATCCGGAATTCCTGCATTAACATTGTATAAAGCACCCCGCGGAATTCCGCGGGTTGGTATATTCTTCACAAAATGCCTTAAAATACTCTTCCCAGGACTTATTTTCCAACAACCTTCTAAAGTCTTTCCCCTGACACATCTTTGTTGCATTTATATAACCATCCTTGTCTCTACGTAAGACTTCAATACCGTTGTAAGTGCCTTTTGTGAATGCTTCGCCATTAGATTTGTTCGTGAACGTTTTTGCTTCGACTGACATTCAGTACGTACAATAAAAAATAAAAATATTTTTGGCTTAACCGTCGGACATTCGTTTGTGGCTTAACCGTCGGACATTCGTTTGTGGCTTAACCGTCGGACATCCATTTGTGGCTTAACCTCAAAACAAGCATTTTGTGAAGAATATACCAACCGCCGGAATTCCGCGGGTTGCTTTTTTTTATACAAAATTCAAGAGTTTTGCGTGTTTTCTACGATGTTAGAAAACGTGTTAGAAAACATGTTAGATCTAACATTCTAACATAAACATTATTTTTCAATACTTTTTCAGCACTTCTCCGTAGTTATATATGAAAGACAATTCGAGATAAAAGTCGTAGTACAATGGAACAATATGTTGCACACCATTTGTTGTGAACCAAACTTGAAAGTCAGAGAAACTGTTACTCGGTGGTTCGTAGAATTTAGAAGCAAAGTCATAAAAGTCCTTACCAATACAAAGAAAACTATTGTTGCTTGAACTGAAACTTGCATGACACATGACATTTTGAGGGTCAAACACGTTTCTATAAACTGTCAAATCTGTTGGTGGGCGTATAAACCAGAACGGACCGTCAGGTGGTAATGGTTCGTTCTGGTTTAGTAACCGAAGAAATTGTGCCCAAGAACGTTTGTCTACTTGCCAAAATAAAAACTGTGTATCTCTTGGAGGGTTATTTTCAATCCTTTGAAATGAAACTGTGGAGTTCATCTTGTCATATTCTAGTTTCAGATAGTATGTTCCATTTAGTAAAGAATCGTATTTTTCTTGAAATTCCCAGTAGTATTTGTTTATTTGAGTTTGAAAGTCATTTAGAGTCTTCTCAAGACTTTCGTCTGAACGAACCGTAAAGATTCTCATTTCGTCAAATTTGTCTAGTAGACCATCATGACCTCTATATTGACCGTGAAAATATACTGCAAACATAAACGCGTTAGTTCTTTTTGAAAACAAAACTCTTCTAAATCCTATTGCCTTTGCATCTGAAGGACTTTGAAGCCAACGAATTGGAAAGTCAAAGCGGTAGGAGCCGGATGAAATTTCTTCATCTGATATAGTCCTACCAGCGTTTGTAAAGATATAGTCTAACGGTTTTGTATCTGCTACTTTTGTTCTTTGTTTTTCAACCTGAAACATTTAATATATGTAAAAATATACTGTTTTAAAAAACGTTTTAAAATGGTATGCCATTTCATATTTCTCATCTAACAAACATGTTGTCTGACTGCTTGAGGGTTATGTTGGTACCATTCAAACTTTACACTTGCAATTCCTTCAATTGCATTCAAAATGTCTGAGTCGGAGTCAACCATTTGTTCTCTCTTTGTAGTCTTGAAAGCGTCAAGAAGTTGTGCGGCTGTTGTGACATTGCCATGCGCATAGTATATATGACCGTCCAAATCTGTTATAGTTAGTCTGAGATTGTATCCTTTCTTATTTCCGTCTTGTATGGCAGCAAGTACACCCATGAAGCCTTCTTTGTTCTTTCCTTCGTCAAAGTTAACTGTAAAGGTTCGACCAGATGTAATTTTACTTCTAACCTCGCGATACTTTTCATATGCATATCTTGTTCTTTCCATGGGAGCATGTGCGTCTTCACCCTTTCCTTTTTTCCTTCTCAAAGGATGCAATTGTTCGTCATGTTTCCAGTAGAATCTGGCAAAGCCGTCGTGTCCTTCAACTTGCGGTTCACTAACATCGAAAGGCATGTCCATAAGACGCTCTTCTTCTAACCTCTCTAATCTGTTTGGATAATTTGCGCGTGCTGTTTCTAAGTCCATTGCGTAGCGAAGACCAGACAGTTTGTCATAGACTTTTATGGGTCTTCCCTTCTTATATTTAAACTTCTTCGAAACTCTCCAACCATATCTTTCTAACTCTGCTTTTATTCTAGCAGACTTTCTATCCATTCTATATGGGGGCATTTTTATAAAAATAAAAAAATGTTTTTTCCTTTACTTTACGTAACCACCGGCTACCAAAAGCCTTTGACGCCAACCCATACCAGCTAATGAAGGTTGACTTGGTTTAGTATTGAAACTAACCTTTGGTTTTGGTTTATCTTCAGTTTTTGGCTCACCTTCTTCTATTGGTTTTTCGTCACTTTTCGGTTCCTTTGACTTTACTTCACTTGCTGGAACAGTTGTGTCGTCAACATCTTCATAAATATCATATGCCATTTGTTTTTGTTTTCCTTTCAACTTTTTGTGTTTGTTGTAAAGTTTAGAATATTTCGACTCTAAGTCAATGAGATGTTCTATAATGAACTGTTGGTCAGTGAAGTAAACTTTTCCATCTGTTGTCTCGAAAGCTCCTTCAGACTTCAATATTTTATTTGTGAGAGTCTGTTTCTTTTTTGAGATACTAGCCGTTCCATTTTTATGAAAAGTGACTTTATAGTTAGGGTTTGTATTTCCAGACCTGGCACTTTCTATTATTGAATTTTCTCTTCATCTGTAAGTTCTTTGACAGGTTTTGACAATGGTTCTGAACTTTTTGTTTGTGGTGTCAAATCTACCGTTTCAACTTCTTCGGTCATTTCATCTCAGTAAAAATTTTAGTTTGGTTTGTTTTCAACTGGTTGTTGTTGTTTTTTAAGTCGGTCTAAAACTTCCTGAGGTATAGGAAGAACTTGACAAACACGTGGTTGTGTAACTGCTGGAAGTCGACAAATCCATCTTGAACCCATTTGTCTCAATGCTGTATTGTTCATTTCATCTTCAGTAAAAAAATTTACATTCCCCACGTTTGAGGCGGTTGCGGTTGGTTGTTGTTTACCCACTGTTGTGCATGGTTATATCCTCTGTTAAAGAATCTTTCACCTTGGTCCATGTAGTGTCCTGCTTGGTTATAGTAGTCATTTGCTTTGTTATAGTAGTTTCCTGCTTGTCTTCCTACATTGTCATCCATCCTTGAACTTTTCCTCTTTGTTTCAGGATTTGGAATAAGATTTGCTGCATCTCGTGCTACATCCCAACCTTTCTGTACAGTTTGTATAATAGGTTGTGCTTTCCTTAAGTATACTAATGTACTCAAAATCTTCCTTCCAACTCCAAATACACCTCTGGCTATTGTTCCACTGCGGCAAAATCTGGATGCAACTCCTGCTAATGCGCCAAATAAACCCATTTCTTATGGGTTAAAAAATGACGAATCCAAACAAGGACCCCTATGTTTCTAAAGCGACAAAGAAAGCACTCATGGTAAAAATCTTTAGTTCAACACCAAATGCTTGGTTTATGGATATCTTGGAAAACATTCCGAGGTATAGAGAAGATGGACCTCCATACTGGCTAATATTTGTCGGTCAAAACACAATACTGTGAAGCCATACCATTACAGTCCAAAAATATTTTAGATGTGAAAATGCTTTGACAATATTCGTTGACAAATACCATCCAACAAAACTGACATCTGATGTGAAAGTTCTTTCAAATCAGACGATATTAAAAACTATCTGCGTTCAAAAAATGTAAACCAATATTTTATTGTCGACAAAACCATTCTGCTCTTGGTGTCATTGACAGTTGTATAAAAATCTTAAGAGACTTAAACCAACCACAAGGTGGTGAGGTAGATGAAATGTCATATGACGACAAATACAGACATTTCTCCATGGCAAAGATGAGACAAGTTTTTAAATATTTACAATAGCCGTAAACAAAAAGGTTTGGGAAACCACTCCCCGAAGAAATGAAAACAACCCTGACTTAGAGAAAGACTATATATTTAATAGTTTAGTCAAAAGAGACAAACAAGAAAGAATGCCAGGCTTCAAACTTAAGAAAGGCGACAAAGTAAAATAGAAATACCTAAACGCGACCCATATGAAAATACTATTGACTATGACAACAATGGGAACTCGACAGGTACTCGCATTCGTGTTCGTAAAAATAGAAGAAAGTATACAAGAGAATATTATGAAGTTTTAGGCAAACATGGCAAAATGTACAGACTGCAAGCAGAAGATAAAACTACTATTGTCAGACCTCGTTTCAAACTTGTCAAAGTTCAAGGTGGTATACTTTCAAAGACAGTTCCTAACAAATATAAGACAACTCCTGACGAATATGCTAAAGAATTGAAAATGACGACTAAGCAATTCTATACCATGCGTAAACTGTCATGTAAGGTGGCATGTAGTCTTTACTTTGTCCCGTTGTTTGCGTATATCCTGTAACGCGATGTGTATGGTTTCCATCTCCCTGAGTGTCACTCCAGTAACAATTTATAGCAAACTGAACGTCGTCTTTAACATCATATCCTTTACCTTTTTTCAAGGCGTGCCAATCCCAAAATTTATGCTTATGCCAACCTGCTTGAGATGTACTTAAATCTACGTAGTGACTGTGCGCAGGTAAGTTTTCACCTGAAATCGTTTTACTTCCACCTGTTTCCTTTGAAGAGTTTGCACAATACAAAAACCTGTCGACTATTTGAGTCCAAGTTCCAAAACCCAGAACTGTTTCTGGTTTGGTAGAGTTCATTGACGTGTAAATAGAACCTATAGGATATAGTGTTTGAAGTATTTCTGTCTTTAATGTTTGAAGCTCTGTTTTGTCTGCTTTTTTATATAACTCATCGTTAACATATGTTTTGTCAGCTTTTTTATCTAACTCATCGTTAACATATGTTTTGTCTGCTTTTTTATCATATAAATCTTGAGCAGTGAATTTAACATTGTTTTCATCCTCCATGACATAGACATTTCTACATCTAGTGTATTTCATCGTCGTTATGTCATCCTCCGATGTTAAACCTTGTGGAAAGTTAGGAGGTTTCCAATTTAATACATCCCCAGTTTCTTCAACCGTTCCTTCAATATTTTCTATACCAACAGTTGCGAAGAAATCGTGTGTATGGTTCTTATCTGCCTTCTTTTCAAGGCTAACGTTTAAGTCTGTTATTTCAGAAGATGTATGTGTATGTCCAACGTCACTTTTCCTGTTTAAGGTTTCTTGTAAGTTTGTAATATTTGCAATGGTATGTGTATGTCCAACGTCACTTTTCCTGTTTAAGGTTTCTTGTAAGTTTGTAATATTTGCAATGGTATGTATATGAGTCTTTTTAGAATATTCGTTTTCAGCTCTTGTCACTTCACTTGACATTTTATTGTCAACATATGTTTTATCTGCTAGTTCAGGATGAGTATGTTCTTTCGTTGCATATGTTGCATCTGCTCTGTCATGTTCTTCTTGAACTTTTTCAATGACATACTCTTTGTCAGCTTTGTTGTCAACATCTGCTTTCAAAAGAAGTTCATCTATAGGTTTCTCGTTTAAAGTTCCTTTTGTTGGATTTACACAGACAGTATGGTTCTTACTGTCTTGAAACAGAAACTCATCTGTCATTGGGTTTATCGTCAGTTTTAAGTTTCCTTCTTTCAATGACTCAGATATCTTAGAATAGTTTGAAAAGTTTGTTGTGTTCTTATTTAGAGCTTGCAAAATGAGTTGTCGGTTGTGTTGTATTTCTCTCATAGACGCTGTTTCTTTCGACATTTTTATTCTAGATAAAATATGCTTTCAATAGAAAAAGAAAATTCTAGAGTTGCTACAACTAAACCATTAGATGAACTTTTTACTAACGTCGGTCAAAAGTTTGAGACAGAGACCGTAAAGCATGAAGGCTATCGTTTTGACTACCCGTTAAGATGGCTAAGAGACCCATCCGTCACAAAAGCTATTGGCTTTCGTAGAATGAAGTTCATTTCAGAAGCCATACATGGTTTCCCATTTACGGTCGCTTTTGAAGTTCGATACTATAACAAAGAAAAACGTACGTATGAGAAATTTGAACAGGGAAAACTTTTACAAGTGAATTTGCTTGTAAACTTAGAAACAACTCTTCAAGCTTTTCAAGAAAAAATAAACGATATCTATCTCGAATATGCAAAACAGTACAACATTGACGAAGGAGAGTACCATCTCGATATTGTTTATGACAGGAAAAATGCAACTGTTAAAATCGATAGAATAGAAGACCTTGGAGAAGACGTTTATATTTCTACAAAATATAACAACTTGGCATGGTATAGATTTTTGAGGATGTTAAATCAGCCTGCAGAATATCCAGTACACCCGAACTTTTATGAAGTCGAAAACCCTAATGGAACATATGAAAATGTTTTCGACTCAGATGCTATTATCGTTCATGCTTCATTTTCTGGCGCCCAAAACTCTTTTTTATGCTTGGCAAATGACTTTTACGAAAAAACCTACAAAGCTATATGAACCACCAAGTGGAAGTATTTCAGACTTTCAAGTATGGTTTACTACAGATGGAAGAAAGAGAATAATTCCATTATACCACGCGTTTTACTTAGAACTTAGTTTCATATACAACTACTATCGAACGGTAAAAATATAATTTTTAATACGGTTGAGGTGTTGGATTTGGTTGCCAACTAGACTGTGGTGCAGGTTCAGGCTGTTGTATAACAGGAGCTTGCTCTTCTGGTTCAGGGTCTTTAGGTATAATACCAACGAACTGACCTACTCTTTTGCCAATATTTTTGACTCCGTTCCAAATTCCTCTTCCGACGGTTTTTATTCCATTCCATATACTCTTCCAACATTTCGAAAGAAGTTTCCTATTCTTCCAAAGAAACCCATTTTACTATATGTAAAAATCTAATGTCCACCTAGTCTCTTACGTTTCCTTCTGAGTTCCATAGCATTCTTTAACTGGAGCTCATACATTCTATTTCTCCTCTGGTAGAAAACATACTCTGGGTCAACTCCTGTGTTCGCGTCATCTGCATAGAGTTGTTTATATCCCACTTCAGGGTTTGTATAAAACTCTTTCCATCTCATATTTGCATACCATGGTGGCAAACCTAACGCAGCGTCATTTGACATGGCAGTTTGCATTTGTACATCTGTTGGCACTTGACCATAGTTTGCCATTGCAGTTTGTATTCTAACTTCATTTGGAATATTCTCTGGGTTTGGTTGTCCAGGTTGCTGTGCATTCGCTAAGTTCTGTGCGTCCATTTAATATTAGATAAAAATATCTCTTACGAGTACATATGCTGAACATTTGCAGGCATTGGTTCATCTTCATATTCTCTGTACTTTTCTGCCACGTCAAAGAAATAAATGACACAATGGAAAAAACCTAAAACAAGTAGTCCTATTTCAAACCACATTTACTTACTAGTAAAATTTCTTTGTTATGACTTCTTCGTAAAGACTTTGTTAAGATTTCATCGTAAAGACTTTGTTGAGATTTCTTCGTAAAGACTTTGTTGAGATTTCTTCGTAAATGACCCAAAAATATATTTTAGGTGAAGAGGTGAGATTTCACCTCTTTTTTCACCTCATTTCTCACCTCTTGAATTTTCATGAATTTCTTCGTAAAGACTTTGTTAAGACTTCTTCATCTAATTTCTCATGAACTTTCTTGTCTATGTTTTGTTGAGATTTCTTCGTAAAGACTTTGTTGAGATTTCTTCGTAAAGACTTTGTCAAGATTTCATCGTAAAGACTTTGTTGAGATTTCTTCGTAAATGACCCTAGTAGTATATTTTTGGTGTAAATTTCATGAAAATTCAAGAGGGTGAAAAATTAGGTGAAAAAACAGGTGAAATCTCACCTCTTCACCTAAACATTATTTTTGGTGTAAAATTCTGAGTAAAATGACAGATGGAACACATACTTTTTCAGTAAGTACATATGGGGTAGAAAAGAGGGTAGAAAACGGGGTAGATATACCCTTCTACCCTAAAATATATTTTTGTCTGATTTACGCTCATTACGATGAAGTTTTGACAAAGTCTTTACGAAGAAATCTTGACAAAGTCTTTACGATGAAGTTTTGACAAAGTCTTTACGATGAAGTTTTGACAAAGTCTTTACGATGAAGTTTTGACAAAGTCTTTACGATGAAGTTTTGACAAAGTCTTTACGATGAAGTTTTGACAAAGTCTTTACGATGAAATCTTGACAAAGTCTTTACGATGAAATCTTGACAAAGTCTTTACGATGAAATTCATGAAAATTCAAGAGGTGAAAAATGAGGTGAAAAAACAGGTGAAATCTCACCTCTTCACCTAAAATATATTTTTATTGAATTCTGTATAATATTCTGAGTAATATGACAGATGTTTATATAACACTTTCTCTGGTTTATAGGACCTCTCTCATATTCTATCTTGTCATATCAAAACTCATAGTCATGTTTGTCCTCTAAGACTTCATTTATACTAAACATCTTCAGGGCTAGAAGGCACGAAGTGCCTGGAAGCCCCACTACCTTTTTTTTTTTTTTTTTTTTTTTTTTTTTTTTTTTTATAGATCTCAAAAATATTCAATTCTAATAATCTTTCATTTTGAAATCGCATAAATAATCAATTTCTTTCTTTTTATGACTTTACTAGGACGAAAAACTTTGTTAATACAATATTTCTTTATAATCATTAATGCAACAGATTTTGCCAATTCCTTTCGAATATTCTGAAATTTTGATAATCATAATATAAAACCCTGCACCATTCTATCCGTACATTTCCATTTTAAAAAAATTCAAAATTGAGAAAGAGTTTGCCTCAATATTCAAAAATTCTGAAGATTGAAAATTCTTATCATTTTTTCCACAAATTAACAAGCTGAAATATATATTATACATTTCTATTTTTTAAAGGATTTTACGTTTAAATTCTTCTGAATTATTTTTCAGAAATTTTGACGTAGAGTGGTAAAATGCTTTCAAGGAGAATGATATGATCAGAATTTTACTTCATTATGCTTAGAGAGAGACTATATAATCTCATCTGCACAACACTACAAGGCGATTACGTTACATATGATGATACAAGCCGTCTAACAAGCGTGTTCAGTGAGCAACTTGGCCTAAGCCAAGAGCTTGCATCTAAATTATTAAATCAATACTTCAGAGGAAGGTATATCAGCGGCGAAACAGCACGTAATCTTGCAAATTTAATATATGAGAATCTTGTTCAAATGAATCTTGACTCTCAATTGGATGAATATGCGAGGGCATTGAAGAAAAGACGCATTGATAGTCTCGCAAGAGAAATTGATTCAGAACTTTGCCGTACAATTCGAGGCGGATATGTTTCTTATACCCGTGCTGAACGGGCAGCACAAAGTTTTAGCAGAACCATTAAAATTCCATATGAATTTGCTTATAGGATAATGCTTGATTATGCACGCGGCAAATATTGCAGTTATGACGCAGCTTCATATTACTCACAAATGATGGCCGAGAGAATTATCTCAAAGTATGAAATTATCCAGATCTTCAAGAAAGAACAGTACCAAGAGCTGAGCAGGTTGAAGAAAAACAAGCTCCTGCAAGAAATGAAGTTAACCCAAAGATTGAAGAAGAAAACCAGAATAGCGACAGCGACATTCCTGAAAAAGAAGAAAAACCAAAAAAAGAAACAAAAGAAAAAACAAAGGAGGAAACCGAAGAAAAACAAAAGAAGGAAACCGAAGAAAAACAAAAGGAAGAAACCAAAGTAAAACAACCAGAGGTAAATGAAACAAATGAACAAATCAATCCAGATGAATGTGCTGAAAACAAAGATATTTCAGAATCAACTTCATCAACAGAAGAGAAACAAACTGTTCAGAAAACTATCGAGGAAACCCAACAATACTGTGATTGCGCAGTCCAGACAGTTTTGACTAGTGAAATCATCGAACAGCTCTTGAAGACACAAAACAGATTCTTCTTGGAGTGATTATTGTTTAAACTTTTATGTATTATTCAATATTTTTATTTTTCTGAAGCATGCTCTTCATTCTCTCAATATTGGCGCTAGCGATGACTTTATATTTATTGTTGAATTCCATTATGGTTTCAAATGATATTTTGATTCAGGTCTGAATATGGCTAAATATCAACATATATAAATAGATAGCTAGGATTGAACTTATATTTATATTGCATAGGATTCAATGACTTCATTCATTGCATTTTCAAAATAAAATTATAAAACAATTGGAAATTTGTGATGTAACAAACTCTTCCTTCTTATTTATACTGTCATTTATGAATTCATAAAAATTGAATTGTTATCGTTTTTTACAGTTTTGAATTTGCATTCAAATAATTGAGGGACACTTTTGAGCAAGAGGTAGGGCAACGATAGAAAATTTTTGGAAAAAAAGTTCGGAGATCTTAAACGTATCATATTCCCTGCATGGTTTGGTATCTTCCGCCATGCGTTGTGCCAAACATATTGACACTTTCCAATAATTAATTTATGGTATGAGTCACAGAGTTAGATTATAAAAAGAAAGTAAATAATTGCAATTAGAAATCATATATGTCGGAAATCAAATGTTGATGAGCAGAAACCTTTTACTCATCATAAAAGAGATAAATCACTAAAGATTTGTATACATTAAAATTTGATATTTGGTGCTCGAAAACTGTCTGATGGGACTCCTCCAAAATGAACCAATCTATCGCTGAGGACCAAATTAGATGATGTGGATGGCGTATTCTCTAATTCTAACTTAGGAAGAATGGAAACAAAACGAATGACGACAACAACATGTCAAACATAGATTAAATATCTATGAATCAATAAAGTATACGTGCATTGAAGGTGATAACGATCACTTGAGGCTTATAACTCTTTGACTAAATTATGCAATAATTAAATATAATCATTTTTATATTTTTATACTGATAGTAATTAATATACTATCCTGCTTAATAAATGGTATGATCAAATTTGTTTGAAAATTTAATTATGTATATGAAACTATGTCTTCTATATAAAAATCAAAATTTTCGGACGAACCTAGATTGAAGCTTTATGAAAATCTATCATTTTTGTTAATTGAGTTAATATGAATCTTTTACATATGTATATATAGCATTGATAGCTTATATAATCATGGTTTATTCCATATTAACATATTTTTTCAGTTAAATTTGTTAATAATATCATGTAACAAATTAATTCAAGATTAGAATGTCTACAAAATGCTAACAAATAAGAACAAAATACGATTTCTCGACTTAAATTTTAATATGGAGTAGTTTTTCGTTTAAATCTAATTAAAAATGAATAAAAACTTATCTTGTACTATTTTCATTCAAAGATTTTAATAATGTAAATCATGCATTTTCATAATTCAGTACAGTTCTTTTTAGAATTAAAGTTGATGAGGATGATATTTGTGATTTAAAATAATTTGTTAATGTTCACCTTTTATTCATCACCTTGTGGTATGCCCTAAAGCAATAGCATTATCAATTCTGCTGAATTGATCAACTCAAAATTCCAAAAAAAATTCAAAATTTCAAAAATGAAATTAAACAATTTGAATTTTCACATGAAAAAATCAATTTCGAAAAAATTTGGAAAATCAAAGTATTTGATAATTAGTCAAATAATCAATTTACATCGTTTTTACTCATAAAAAACAACTAATTTTTGATTTTGATATCATATTTGATAAATACTCATTCCAGAGTTGACGTAATGTATTAATTATTGTTAGAGATATTGCTTTCGCAGCAAAATTCTTATTTCATGAAAGAAAAAAAAAATGAATTTATTCCAACAAAAACAAGTAAACAGATGAATGGAAACGTACTATATTTTCATAAATGTAGTAATCAGCGTGTCAGCTTTTGTTTATCATGTTCGAGTCAAAATGTATTAACTTGTAATAAGAAATATTCGAAGATTATATGAAGTATTGAGCATTCTTTGTAGAAATATTTGTAATTCATTACTAACATATATAATAAAGTTGTTTTTTTTTTCCTTATTGCAATAATTTTGTCTGATTTTAATAACTTTTCATGTATACGAGTTGTGTGAATATGCATCATAATATGCGTAAATATACTTATTTGCGACGAATAATGTGGTTGCATAATGGAGGTGCTAAATTTTGATTTTTAATATGGGGCTTTGGTATGTATAATCATGTTCTTATCTCAACGTAGGAGTATTGGTGCAATATGATTAAAATTTACGAGGTTGATCTTAAATTGAATAATTCTGGAGTATAAATCACAATGCAGCTAATTCTATGTTAAAGATAGATACAGATTGTAGTAATCAATTAGGGAGTACAAATTCATTCTTTCATTTCTGTCGTATTGAGCAGAAAGGAAGAGATCATAACCCTAGGAAAAAAAGCCCAAATTTGTCACTTTTCATAGTACGTTAAACTCAATTCGCTCGGCGAATGCCGAGCACACGTACTCATCATTCAACATAATATTCTCATTCTTTGGTTATTATAGTGCCAGACAACACAAGATTTCAAAGAATTACTTGAGTTTTCAATTAATCTTAATCCGATTTTAGATTTATCGAGAACTCCATCATCACAATCACATACTTCAGTGCGGTAACTACAATTATCCATATACAGAAGGAAGTTCTTTTCGAACAACTCATTTGGAGTCTGTTTTGGAAAGAACTTCTTTCTGTCCGACTTAATTTCATAGTTCCTGATCAACCAAAAGACAGAAACCACACACTATCTACTTAGGAAAGGAGTTCTTTCTAAATCTTCCTTAAATTGAGATTTTACGAGAGATAACCCTTCTATTGCACTTAAAAATGAACATTTTGATATCTTTAGTATCACACATGGTCATATATAGTATTTCATCTACATGAATACATTCATCTTTCGAAATCTCTCATTAAATGGGAGGCTTCGAAAGATGAATCGTTTTATTCATACAACTTTAAATCTCGAACACATTTAGAGAGTGAGTATATCATTTTATTCTTGTTTTGAGTTTATTCTGATTCAAAATTGCAGTGAAAACAGAAGTTCACACATCATATCTGAATGTGAGCTCATCTATACTTATACGATCTCAATACCTCCACTCTAAGCATAAGAGGTGAAGTTATATAAAAATTATCAGATGTGTTGAAGTCTCAAAAGTATTGCCTGAATGCTTGTTTCATATTTGTCCAAGTAGTTTCAATGAATAAATGTATTGTTTTTTATAATTTCGATTTATTTTTAGAAAATATTCAATATAAACCTTTATTGTGTTATTTACATCTCATAAATTCTCTGTCTAAATCATATAAAAGCGCGTTTTACCCCTATGAATCAAGAAATTCATTCAATATTCATGGTATATTTATTAAATTTATACGATTTACTAATAATCAATATTATATCCTCATAAATAGCAATATATTTTGGTAATCTATGATAATCATATACAATATTTGAAATCAAATTTTCATTAGTTTAGGTTCCTTGTTAATAGTAAACCATTATATTTATTACTAATAATAAAATCTATGTGTCGTATTGAAATTCAATAAAATTACTTATTCGGTCCAAAAAAACAAATTAGATAAAATTTTTCTTTTTTATGTAATTTTTGTTTTTCATTTTTCTCAAGATCCTAAGTTATGTTCTAACTTTTGACATCATATCCTATCATGCTAGGCTATATATTATAGCATATCCAAAAGGCAAGGAAATCTATCAGAGAAGCCTTTTTGACCTATCGTTGCCCTACCTCTTTTGAGCAGTGGTTAAAATCAACAATCGTCATGAAAAATGAAATGGACATATGATAAGTAACAAACTACCATAAAAATTAAAATATTATAGTCAAATAATTTAGGGTATAAAAAAGGTTTAATAATATGCTTTACCAGGCACTATAAACAACTTAGTAAAAGTTAAAAGCGTCATCGAAACCAAAGTTGTCAGAAAAGGCGAAATCGAATGGATTATCTTCAACATCAATTTTTTCTGAGTTTTTGGATTCGGGAGAAGAAACATCTGTCATTATGCTCTCCTGCTGAGGTTGATTCATAAACTCAGAACTTGCCATTGGCTGGAGAGCACGCTGGATCTTCGCAGATCGACGCTGTAACAGGCGATATCGATTTTTAAGGGAAACTTCTGGTCTGCCCTTGAAAGAAGTTGCGATGAATTTCCATTTTTGACCAAATTGAGCAACCATGTCAATTAATTGTTGATCTTCTTGTTCGGTCCATTCTGATTTGTTTAAACCTGGCTGTAAATATGCGTGGTACCTATCCTTGCATTGTCTTGACGTTCTGTTACCTAACGCAAATGAAACAAGTTCCCAATTTACATTTTCACCTGCTGCGCTAACAAGAGCAAGGATCTGACGATCTTCTTCATCAGAAAACTTCACCTTGCGGCACTTAGGTTTATATTCTTGCTGAATGGGTGCTGGAGTCATTAAAAATTTTGTAAATTTTTCAATAAATTCAATATAAATCAACGGTTATTATTTGGGAAGAATTGCTGGGAAAAAAGTAAATGAATTTATTTAACATTTTCAAAGACGTGTACGACCACACCATTTTATTAAGTTATTATTGATGATATTCATCCTCAAAACAATAAGACTCACGAAGAATTTTCGATTAAAAATCGTATTTACATTTTATTATTGATATATAAAGGAAAAACAATATACTGATAGAATTCTTCTTTACACATGAAATTTAATAAGTCATTTTATTGTCATAAATTAATTTCAATTATTTAATAACTTGAAGTCATACAGTTTAAGGGTTTCGTTTTGCTAAAATTGTCACTTTTATAGCATATTTGTTTTTGGATGTTTTGCGAAACCAAAAAAAACTATGATATACAATGTGTGTGTAAAGAAAATACTTTATTTACTAGTTAAAAAATCATTTGGTATTGATCAAGTTATTTTTTCTGGATAAGATATTATATGGATAATTGGATAGAAAATACAATTATATAATCTTGTACCTGGTTTAATTAAGCTAATTGTCATCAGAAACTTGTAATTTTTATGAATTTCAGATTTTCTTTTCATTACTGCTTTTCTTAATAGGTCAAGTTCTTATTTACGTTATAAAGTATGATATTTACAAATATCAAGTTATCATGTTTTTTGAGAAATTATGAGAAACAAACAAAAATGAAAAAGATAGGAATAGCAATGAATAGTGATGTGGGTATAGAAAATGTAAGAGATATGAATGCAAAGCAATCAGTATTTAGGACATTGACCATAGATTTCGAAAAAAAATGCTGCATATTGAGCGAAAACTATGATTATATTATAAGGCTGTCATTTAAAGCATAATGAAACTATTCCCTTTTCATTTTAATCGAATAAGATAGTAAAGATTTTTGAATTAGCTAGAAACTGATGAGATGTTTTCACAAATCAGATTTTTAATCTCTATAATGCATAATTCACTCAATATCTCAATTTTGATATTGCGAGATATTTTTGCTATCGGTTTCGCAATTTTGACACAATAGCAAGAGGGTTCTATAAGCATTATTATCAACGTAGAATCTGAATATCATATCAGAAAATGTCGCAAATCTGACATTTACCCGACCAAATAGCAAAAATAATTGAATACTTTTCGCAAAAACTTTAAAAATCGATAAAAATATGAAATATAGATATTAAAGAGACTTTTTATATAATATTCATAAAGATTTTCCAAAAATATGATACCGCAAAATTAAAAAAGTGACGTCTTGAGTGGAGTCAAAGGTCGAAATTGCTAGCTAAATGTTTTTTTAGCGAAATTGCGTATTGTACGTTTTTTTCGCAAAACGAAAACCTTATACAGTTTAATTAAAATACTTTATTTATTTAATTCTATCACTCAAAAATGAAAATTGCCTTAATTGTTGAAATCGGTTCCGGATTGAAAAACATCTGATTATAATGATTTCATATTTGAACCAATCAATGAACATCACGAATAGTGTTATTACACTGAGTTCGGATAAACGATTGTTGCGTTTCATGATTAATTTTTTATTTCATCTTTTGACTTTAATCTCTAAGCTTCTATTCATTCCATAACCTAAAATAGATCATACATACCAGAATATAGCAATCAAATATGAATAATAGTAAGTTCATATGATTTATCTATTTACAAAGTTCAAAAATACTCTGAATTGAAGCTCCAGATAAATAAGATTAGGAAGACTTCCGTAAGATTGAAATGGTACTTCATATACTTCCATGTTTCATCATTCAGAAAGTGTCTTATTCTAATATATATATATAGGGTCACTTTCAATCACATGACATCAATCTATAATTTTTTTTGACGCTCTAAAGGTTGATATTCTATTTTCACAGTGAAAAAAGCTAAGCACAAGTTATTCATACCTTAGCAAATCATGGCATACGAAAAAATCAATCCAAGAATTATGTCTATGATATAAAAATATTTCTAATTAAAAAAACTTAAATTTTTTTACTGATTTACTTCTTCTCTTCGTTTGTCTTTCTAAGTCTTCTCTTTCCTGCCTTGATTACTCCAGGAACCTTGTGTTTGACCTCTTCAACCTGTGGTTTCTGTTCTGGTTCAGCCATTTTGAGAGGTTTCTTCTTTTCTTTCGGTTTTTCTTCCTCTTTCTTTTGTTTTGGTTTTTCCTCTGAAACTTGAGGTTTCTCAGTCAAATCAATGTTTGCGAATGCGTCAGCCAAAGCGTCTTTCTTCTTCTCAGGCTGTGCACCGAACAATGGCTTCTTCGCAGCCTTGATGACGATGTTTGACCTGTCGACTTTCTTCGATTGTTTCCTGATCTTGATTTTCTTCGCTTTTTCTGGAGAAACTTCTTTGTATCCTTCAACCTTCTTGAGCTGTTCGGCTGTGGCTGCAACCAATGGATCAACTGGACCATCTGTGTCTTCTTTGAGGAAGTCGTCGTCGTCATCTGCGACATCAAACGAAATTTCGACGTCTCCAGCAATTTCTTCTGGAACTTCAAGTGGAGGAAGTGTTTCTTCATCGTATTCGACTGTGAGTTTGTCTTTGAGCTCCTTGAATTCGGCGGAATCCTTGAGTTCCAGGAAAATTTCGACTAATTGAAGGGTTACATTGGCCAAATCTTGGACTTCGGCGTAGATACAGCTCTGGAATTGAGGAAGCCTTTCAGTGAAAAGCTTTTCAGCACTGGAAAATGATTCTGGTGTATCACATCTGATGTAAAGTTTAAATGCAGTGGAAAGTGTACTCATTTGGACACGTTCGTCGCAGTAGAGCATATTCTCGTTCAAAATAATGTCCAATAATGCAGCGTTCTGTGAATATTCCGCAATAATGTAAAGACATGTCAAAAGAAGACTTGTTGCGTCTCTGTAGTTCCTCATTCCGAGGATGTGGCCCATAGCATCGACTAATGCTTCTCTGGTGGCCGGAACTCTGGTCGCTAAGTCCATGAATTGGTTGGATAAAATTTCGAAACAGGTAAACCCGCCTTCGTCGATGAAATCGAGTAAGACTTGGATATACCAGTTGAAATCAGAGACCAAAGCGTAATCGTTCTTCGAACAAATCTCGATAATTCTTGTAACAATTGTATTCTTGAAAGAAACGGACAGAGAATCCTTGAAGGCCTGGAACATCTTTGCAACAATGCCATCAATGGTCTTAGAGTTGGCTAAAGCGATCAAAAGATCTAATGCCATCAATCTGACGACTTCATCGTTGCTGTCGAGGCATTGTGTGATGATTTCCTTGTTCTGGGCAACAAGCTTTGGCTGAATCTCCATTAACTTGATGAATAATCCCAAACAAAGGAATCTGAGATTTGCATCTTGATGTTCAAGGAAATTCTGCATGCGTTGGGCAGCGTATGTCAAGAGGATAGTATTGGTAATTGGTACTTCGATGATTGTCCTGACAACTTCGAACAAAACTGTAATAGAAGAAGTAGTTTCGAGAATATTCGTAAATGGATTGATCAGCTTCTTCGGGAGACGTGGCTCGACATCGCAGAGCATGCGTAGAAGGTTAACAAGCTTGAGAAGGCACAAGTTTGACGCTGGATTGTCAAGCATTTTGTAAAGTTTCGGAATTAATGATGTAAAGTTGGAAGCGTTGTGGCGGCAGAACTCGGCCATGACATTGAGCGTAGCGAAAAGAACGCCTGGGTTTGTATCGTCTAATCTTGCCTTTAATGCCTGGAAACCTGTGCGAAGAGCATCAGGATACTTAAGGCAGATGCAGTAGAATGCTGTAATGGCCTTCTGGCGAACATCTGCTCTTGCAGATGACATAAACGAAATGACATCATTGGCTATGTGCTGACAAATTGGAACTGAGAGGTATGATGTAACGCCACTCAAAACATGCGATGTGATTAGTGTGTTGTTAGTGGTAAGATCTTTGCGAACACGGTTTGTGGCCATAAGAACAACATCTGAGTTTTCATTCCATAAAAATCCAGAAGCTGTGTAGCAAAGCCTCTTGTTTGAGTACTCGTCGTTCGACATAACTTCAAGAATCATGAAGTCGGCCCATGTTGTGTCGTAACCGAGAAGATTTAAGTAAATAACTTGCTGAACTAAGACTCCTTTGTCTTCATCCTTGAAGACATTGGCGTTCTCTTGGATTTCGTGTGATAAATCTGCGACAAACTCGTCAGTTGTGTTGTTTAATGAAGCCTGAATATAATCGCGGACAACGTCAGCAAGAGAGCGCCTGATCAATTGCTTACTAGCCTTTTTGAGCTGCTCACCAGCTTTTTTGACTTGTTCTGTTGTCTTGGATGTAAATTCCTTGAATTGCTGCATTAAAAAAAATTTGAATATAAAATGATCGCTATAAACATGTCAAAAAATTAATTTGTTATAAAAACCAAGGATATATCTTGTACTTATTATAAGTTTTTTAAATATGGAAATTTAGAAAATATATGTTTATTAATACTGACGTGGATATATTCAATAAATGCGATTTTTTGAATGCGATGCGGAATAAATAATAATTATGCCAGAAGAGTGGATCCGCAGATTTTCATATAAAATCACAATATCCGTGCATTCTATCATCAAAATTTCATTCTTCATCCTTCAAATCTATGAAATACAATTTACACAATCAATATTCTGATCACTTTATTAATCAATGCATGAGACCTATAGATATGAGGAGAAGTCACTAGAAATCTTCAAAAAGCTGATCATAATCTTAGCTATATTTAGTTTTTATAAGAGAATTAAAATAAACGACGAAAAACTCAATGAATACTTAGATACAGCATAAAATTTCATGTTACTGCATACATTTTTGTAATAGATTTTGCAAGGAATAATCAAGATTGTTTTGAATTCGCTAGTAGATATGCAGTTTGGCTTGATTACTAGATTCTGTTTTGTATCGTAGATGCAAGAATCAAGTGTGAGAGTTCCTTGTCGATAAAACATCATTTTATTTCCGACAATGCTCGAATTAGAAATAACATAGTTTTCGTTTGTATTGTAGAAATATATAAGATAGTTATTTTTGTTCGAAATAATTAATAAGTGATCATAATTAATATGAACATTAGAATGGCCAAGAAGAGAATAACATGTATTATTAGTTAATGTCCAAAACTTTGAACTGCCACCTACTGAAACCCAAGCAGAGTGAAATATTGTTAAATCCGAAATTTTTGCTTGAGAAGAATTTGCATTCGTAAAATAAGCGGGCGATATATCGGCCACTATAAAATAATGGTAAGAATCACATCCAGAAAAACTCAGTTCGTTAAAAATATGAGAATTAAAAGATTTGTCTTGATTAATTGTAAGTATTATAGACATATAATCACTCTTACAATTGCAACATGATATAAAACTGCATGAAGCATTATTTCCTCTATGTAGGATGCAAGTTCCGCAAAGTTTTACACTTTTATAAGAATAATAAGAGGTTTTATAGCAGCGTTCAAAGTTACAATGTGAAACATGTAAATTAGACTCTGAATTCTCAATAAAAATAACTGCACTACCTCCCTTGATATCAGAAAAGTGGGAGTTATGAATCAATTGCCACTTTTACTATCACATCATTTTAGATAAGATTTTCATAGAAAAGGCCATCAATGCTAAATACTATGCACCATCGAGGCCATGTGATGATAGTGCTTTCTCATTTTTGATAAAGCAGTTGAAAATGATTTTAAATATGGTGAATTATCTCTCACTTTTAGAAATGATATGAAAAACAGATTTTTCCCTACTCCCTCTCATTTAGTATGATTGCTCATGATAGATCCATACTTGTTTTACATCAATTTGTGAAATCTTATCAAACTTAGCGAAAATAGGATGATCATTTGAAAACAAAGGCATACTACATTTGAGTAATTAAAAATATCAATTTTTTTCTGCTCCATAAAAATGATTTTTTAAGGCTACACTTACGCCCATCTGTCTTTAATTCAAATTTCTGACAACTGCCGTGAAGCTTCAGTGAAAATTAACCTTAACCATCTGAATTGAAGGCCATGTCATAGGGGCGTAAGTGCACCCTTAAGGGAGATCACATCTTTGATATTTCATTTTTAAGTCTAAAAGTGTCACAGCAAAAAATTTTACATATAATATGTCTCTTTCAGAGCAGCCATCAAATGAAAATTTGCGCAATTACAGTAACCATAAGCCAATTAAAGTATTCGAATACCCAGATCAAGCATCAAAAATTATATTTGGTGTCAATTCCAATAATATTATACAAATATCTTCACAAATTATCGAATTAATAACAACCCACAAAATACCTATCCAAATGGTGCTATATTTGATTGATATTTTTTCACAAATTCATGCTAAAGAAATTAAATTATTTTCAGAACTTTATCAAAAGATATCGAACGCATTTTCATACATAAATGAACCGAAAAATAAGAGATTAGCGACGCTTCTATATTATCAAGGTTTCAAATTGGAAAACTTCGAACCTAAAATGAAAGAAGAAGAAATTATGAATTTATATCCAACAGATTCTCCTTTATACTACATTACATGGGATAAAGTTAATGATCTTAAGAGTAAATTCCCAAATCTTGGTATTAATCAGGAGATTGATGATATCACACCACTTGACTGTGCAATTAGATATGGCTCAGAATTGTGTTTCAATTACTTGAAAAATTTAGGAGCTGAATACACTAAATACTCCGAAAAATATTGTGTTCAAGGCGGAAATAAAGAGATCTTTATGCAAATGATAGAAGAAGGTAAAACATTTGATAACATGATTAATACAGCATTGAATTATCGAAACTACGAAATTGCTGACTACCTTAAAACAAATTTTTATCAAACTCCCGATTCAATAACAGAAAGTATGTATTTCGGAAATTATGAAATTGCATCTTATTTACTTTCTAATGGAGAAGATATCAACAAAATATATAATCTTTTTCATTTCATATTTATCATTGTTTTATCACATTCTCTTTCTTTCAATATTTATTGATGTTTTATGAAATTCTCTTTTCTTTTCATATTTATCAATGTTTTATGGCATTTTCTTTCTTTTCAGATTTATCACTGTTTTATGACATTCTCTTTCTTTTAATATTTATCATTGTTTTATAAAATTGTCTTTCTCTCCATATTTATCATTGTTTTATTTCATTCTCTGTCTTTTCATATTCATCATTGTTTTATGGTATTATCTTTTTCTTCATATTTATCAATGCTTTATGGCATTCTCTTTCTTTTTATGTTTATAATTGTTTTATAAAATTCTCTTTCTCTTCATATTTATAATTGTTTTATTACATTCTCTTTTATTTCATATTTATCATTGTTCTATTACATTCTCATTCTCTTCATATATATCATTATTTTATGAAATTCTCTCGATATTAATGAATACCCTCTTAGTATTGCCATCAAAGCCAATTCAATCGAAATTGTCCAATTCCTAGTTGAGCATGGCGCAGATGTTAACATGAAACTTATTATCTTTCTTTTCATATTTAAAATTGTTTTATGAAATTATCTTTCATTTAAAATTGTTTTATGAAATTATCTTTCATTTAAAATTTATCATTGTTTTATGGCATTATCTTTCTCTTCATATTTATCATTGTTTTATTACATAATTTTTCTTTTCATATTTATCATTGTTTTATGGCATTATCTTTCTCTTCATATTTATCAATGTTTTATGACATTTTCTTTCTTTTCATATTTATATTTGCTTTATTTCAATCTCTTTCATTTCATGTTTATCATTGTTTTATAAAATTCTCTTTCTCTTCATATTTATAATTGCTTTATTACATTCTCATTCTTTTCTTATTTATCATTGCTGTATCACGTTTTCTTTATCTTCGTATTTATCATTATTTTATGAAATTCTCTCGATATTAATGAATACCCTCTTAGTATTGCCATCAAATCAAATTCAATAGAACTCGTCCAATTCCTAGTTGAGCATGATGCAGATGTTAACATGAAACTTATTCCCTTTCATTTCATATTTATTATTGTTTTATTTCATTCCATTTCTTTTCATATTTATCATTGATTTATAGCATTCTCTTTCTTTTCATATCTATATATGCTTTATGACATTCTCTTTCATTTCATATTTATCATTGTTTTATGACATTATCTTTCTCTTCATATTCATATATGCTTTATGAAATTCTATTTCATTTCATATTCATCATTGCTTTGTGGCATTTTCTTTCTTTTCATATTTATAATTGTTTTATGAAATTCTATTTCTTTTTATATTAATTATTGATTTATGACATTTTCCTTCTTTTCATAATTATCGTTGTTTTATGGCATTTTCTTTATCTTCGTATTTATCATTGCTTGATAGGATTCTCTCGATATTAATGAATGTCCTCTTAGTATTGCCATCAAAGCCAATTCAATCGAAATTGTCCAATTCCTAGTTGAGCATGGCGCAGATGTTAACATGAAACTTATTATCTTTCTTTTCATATTTATTATTGCTTTATGGCATTATCTTTCATTTAATATTTATAATTGATTTATGGCATTATCTTTCTCTTCATATTTATCATTGTTTTATTACATAATTTTTCTTTTCATATTTATCATTGTTTTATGGTATTCTCTTTCTTTTAATATTCATCATTGTTTTATTACAATCTCTTTCTTTTCATATTTATTATTTTTTATTACATTCTCTTTCATTTAATATTTATCATTGTTTTATGAAATTATCTTTCTTTTCATATTTACCATTGTTTTATGGCATTCTCTTTCTTTTAATATTTATCATTGCTTTATTGCATTCTCTTTCTTTTCATATTTATTATTTTTTTATTGCATTCTCATTCTCTTCATATTTATCATTGTTCTATACCATTATCTTTTTCTTCATATTTATCAATGTTTTATGACATTCTCTTTCTTTTCACATTTATCATTGTTTTATGACATTTTCTTTCTTTTCACATTTATCATTGTTTTATGACATTTTCTTTCTTTTCACATTTATCATTGTTTTATGGCATTATCTTTCATTTCATATTTATCATTGTTTTACTTGAATCTCTTTCTTTTCATATTTATCATTGTTTTATAAAATTCTCTTTCATTTCATATTTATCATTGTTTTATTACCTTCTCTTTCTTTTCATATTTATTAATGCTTTATCACATTATCATTCTTTTCATATTTATTATTGTTTTATTGCATTTTCTTTCTCTTCAAATTTATCATAGTTTTATTACATTCTCATTCTCTTCATATTTATCATTATTTTTTGAAATTCTTTTGATATTTATGAATGCCCTCTTCGTATTGCTAACAAGATTAAAGCAACAAATATTATCAAATTCTTAATCGAACATGGTGCTACAAATGACTAATAATTCTATTTCCAATAGCATTATTATATATTATTATAAATATTATATTGCTATTTAAAAATAAACATCTCATAATAATTTAATGTCAATTCCTTGCATTAATATACGAATTTAAAGATGATTACATATCTCATGGGATCAATATTCATTTTTCAATATTCTTTCCCATCAAGACGATAGTCCCAATAATTTTGTATTGTTTTTGTTAGATTAGCAAGACATTTAAAATATAACTTAATATGAAACATGTAAAGTAGACTCTGAGTTCTCAATAAAAATAACTGTACAACCTTCCTTGATATAAGAAAAATGGGAGTCAAAAACCAAATGCCACTTTTCCTATCATATCATTTTTAATATTTTAAGAAGAGAGATACTGTTCAATGAAAAGATCAGAGATTTTAAGAATTACGTACCATCAAAGCCCTGCAACGAAAGTATTGCTTCATTTTTGAGAGATATGTTGAAAAAAAAGTGTAAACATTGCGTATTATCTCTCATATTTATAAGTAATGTCCAATCAAGTTATCGGGTTTTCCTACTAGTGCAAAAAACGCGCAAATTCAATTTTAAATAATCGTTTTTGTGCATTTATTGCACTCTATGTAAAACCCAAGTTATCAGAAATATTTTGAATTTTTGAAGTAAGTATTTCGTCACACAATCGGAAATATCATGATTCAAATGATTTCAAAACAAAAACAAAATAAAAATAGTTTTTAATATAAAAAAACAAAAAATAAACAAAAATAAAACAAAAAAATATCAATAATATTGATCTGGTTCCATTTCTTCTTCAGCAGCGAAGAAAGATCTATCAAGTTCATTGATATAAGCCATATCAGGTAAATAGATACTTGCTGGGAACGTGCACAACTCCAAGTTAAAGTTGTTTTCTTCTCTATTTTCTTGATGTTCTTGTTGTTCTTCTTCCTCTTCATTTGTATTCCTTACAATATCTCCTTGCATTGATTTATTATCATCAATAACAATCTTCAAAACATCCTTCATTATCTTATCAATTGCAATCATGTCTACTTTCTCTGTTTCTCTCATCATCTTCAGAGCATCTGTATCAATGAATGTAGACCTCATTTTTGTACATAATTCCGCTGTTTGAGAGAAAGGAGAAACAGGAATTTGTTTGAGATTATCAGTTAATTCCACAAAACGTTTGCAATCACTTAAAGCAGCAATATTTGGATTCATTTGTGGGAATTGTTGTATTGTTGCAAATGTTTGTGGCTTCGAATCATGGAGATCAATTTCATGCAATCTTGGAACTAAAATTGCAATTATTCTGTCGAAGAAATGGAATTCAGGGAAGTAAAACAACTCTTCAGATACATTAGATGATGAAGATGAATAGTCACTGATGTATTCCGTCATTTCATCCTTGAATAGTTGAGTATAGATTGTTATATCTGGATCATTCTTTTCTTGTTCGTCAGCAATGAAATAAAACTTAGAAAGTGCTTTAAAAACGTCTTCATCTTTGTTTGTAAGCCTTATTATTGCTGTGGCAATGGAATACAATGGAACAATCAAACTCCTCGATCCGGATTCTAAACAATTCGTGAAGAAATTACAAATAATTGGAATGTCACTTTTATCAATTTTGTCGATGATTAATTCGACCAATTTCGTGACCATTGTGAACATGTCGTCTGTTATTGACATTGCAGTAACAGCGAATGCCTTTTCCAAGAACTTTACTATTGTTTCATCATCTTTCTCGATGTAGGAAGACAAATCCTGCAAAGATTTCTGCATCATCAAAACTTTCGGAGTTTTTGTCAAAAATCGAGAAATATCTGTAATTACAACACTCCACATCCAAGGTAACAGACTCAACAGAGCAGTATACATCCATTTAGGACTACTAGAGAATAATGCCGGGCAGCGTAATTGTACCATCAAGTTCAAAAACTGGAAAAATCTGTCGGGATTTTTGATTTCGCCTGAAAAACCTAAAATGTATTTGTAACAACCAGCGAATCTGTCTCCCCATGGTTTATGGAATTTCCAGAACGTGTTGATGGTAAACTGTGTTCCATTGTAATGGTGTTGGTCTGAAATACATTCAAACAATGTTGGATGTTTGAAGAAAAATTCCAAAACTGACAAACCGGCGTCAAAAATGTCAGTTAACCAACTCGTGTTGCATTTCAAGGATTCTATTGCTATCCAGAATATTCCTGAGTCAGCAACTAATATATTCTTTTTATGCATTTTTTCTGCAATGACTTTCAATGTCTTCAAAATTGTTCTGAAATAAAAAACAGGGATTTTCGAACTGTCCAAATCTTTTTTCACATTCAATAAATGATCCAAACAATGCGAAATATTGGCAAGAACTCTTGCGAAAATACCAACAATCGCTGAATCATAAACTTCTTCATTTTCATCGTAATCAATTGCTCCTTGGAAACATTTCAAAGCTATTGAAGAAATTGATAAATCCGAATGACACAAACCCCATTTTAGACAATTCAAACTGAACTCTTGTCCTGAGGAATGGCCGAATTGTGTCTTCAAGAACTTCCACAGATAAAGAGAAATCTGTTTCGGCTTAATCATGTTAGGAGCAAATGGTTCATTGAAATTTGAAAAAGTTTTATCCATCAACAAAGAAAATCTACTGATTATGTCATCAGCAATTTGTAATGTTCTATCTGCAACATGTGGTTTGATACTCGTGAATATAGTATTAACTAGTTTCGTTGTCTCTTCAGGATACAAATATTTGAAAATGACACAATATGACAAAATTTTTGGCAAATATTTAAAAATTGGTTTGATTGCGTCTTCTGATAACATTGTTAATACTTTAAGAGGTGCCAGCATCTGCGCTTTATCATCTATGTAACTAAAATCGAAGTAGGAACTCGATGCTTCATAGAAAATCGGAGGATCCCTGTAATTTCTGTAAAAAGCATATTCATATGACAAAAATGAAGTGATGTAATCCAAAACATGTTGGTCGGAAATAGTATAAATATATCTCAATACATGGACAACGGTGTCATTAAACTCTTTAATGGCATAGATAATTCCACGAATGTTGTCTTCAACTAAAAACGGTTTTTTGTCACCTTTTGACACATGAACACAAAGAGCTCTCCAAATATCATTGTTTGCAGCATTTGGATTATCGGATGAGACGTGTTTGACAGTGGAAAACACTTTGTCGACGAATGAGAAACAGGAGAATCTCATGAATCTTAGTTCTGTTTCTCTGGAAATGACTCTGTTTTCGTAATCAAACAAAACTAAGTTGAACCATGGAATAAAATATTTCAGAGTTGAACGAAGAATCTCAGGATTTCGGATAATTTCCATGAGATCAAATAGTACTTGTTCTAGGACAAAAGGAAAGAGATCTCTCATCTTTTTGGATAATGCAAGAATTGCAGGGTCATCTATTAACGTAAGAGTGGAAAACTGTCTGCAAGTGTGTAGGAAGAAGTCAAAAATATTTTGTAGTTCGTCAATTCTTCCTTTCATTCTGAATAAATAAATGACAGGCGTCAAAGTGGCCAAAAGAATAAAAGCGTCATCAGTTAATGCACGCTGGGGTCTGGCCATGTAATGTATGGACACGAGAATCAAGGATCCCCAGTTTTCGTAAATAACTTGGAGATATTTCAAAGATTTATCCTTCTTTATTGGTTTACAGCACTTCCAAATGTGGTCGTACAGCATTTCATCAAATTCGATTACGGAATTTTTCATTTTTGGCCTGAAAAAGTCACAGATTGCTTTGAAATACGCTTCTCCCTTTTCTGTATCGACAGAATACTTAAGGAATAGAGGGAAAAGGACTTCAAAGTGATGGCTGAGCAAACCACTGAATATATTTGGAACTCCATCTGTAAATGACCAAATTTCGTCTAAAAACGGGATACTTGAGACTTTTGTTTCGTCCGGATGCTTACAACATAAAAACCACATGTTGAGAGCGTGGATTGCAAACAATCTGGTGTTTCCTGTGTATTTTTGAGCAATATTAAAGATCGGATCAAAGAAATTGACGATTTCTTTGACTTCTGGTATATTTGTGTCCATAACGAATCTCATGGATGGAAAACTAGTGACTTTTGTGTCAGAAAATTTTTCCATAATATTCAAAAACAGTCTGTAGGATGTAGAACAGAAGAGCATGACTTGATCTTCAGTTATCCTTGATGATTTCAGCACGTTTTCGTTATCAATCACTAAATCCATGACTAATTTTGCAGAATACTTAAATGCCTGAGTAAAAATCTTGATAAATGATGGTTCGTGGCATGCTTCGGTAAAGCCTTTCGACCAACAGATGGAACTAAGCATATATGAAGTTAATCTGCAATCATAATTTGATTCTAATAATTTAATGACCAATTTCGAAAAACAACGATGCGACAAGCCTGCAAAAATCAATAGATACGATGTAGGCTTCTGCGAGCTTGATTGGATGATATAATCTAATAATTTGTCAATGTGGTCCAATTTTGGATTATCTGTGAAAGATGCGAGGATGGTGAGCACGTTGACTAATAATATCTTCATAGAATTGACGTTTTCGTTGAAACTGTCAATAAAATTTTGTAATTGAATTATAATTCTTTTTAAAAGGTCTGGAGAATAAAATCTAGCAGCCTCAAGTGCTATAGCCGCTAAATATAATTGCCAGAGAGTCTGGTTCGTTGATTCAACTAAGAGTTCGAAATTTAATAGTAAATAAGGTTTTTGAGGGCAAGTTTGCAAAATTGTTGCTGGCTGTCTATCAAGAAAGCTAAGGAAATTCATAATAATTGGTTTTGACTGGATTTTGATAAATTCATCAAACATTGTAAAGTTATCGTCTTTTTTGAATCTTCCAATCGAAACCATGACTTTCATAGCGACAAACCTTACTGTAGGATGGTTAGAACAGAGGCCAATGATAGCGTATACAACAATTGTTAGCATTTGTTCGGTGGAAAGTGATCTTTCGTCCGAACAAACGTAAATATCTAAAAATCTCGCAACCATGTGGAATAACATGTATTGTTGTGACGAAGATAATATTCTGTATTTCTCGAAAACCTTACAGATTGAGTCTAATATGTCTTTTGCTGCTGCTTTATGTAAAGATATCAAAGCTTGGCACCAAGGAATCATAAACGGCATATTTTGGTTGTCGTAGCCGAGTAGTTTCGACATAATGAAGTCTCCAACGTTTTTGAATGGAAAACTTGAGAGTTCGAGGCATGTTAATAGAGATAATTTTAAAAATCTGAAAAGTAAGTTCTTCGATGTATCTTCGATTTGTACTGGATCGACAGATTTGTTCATACTGAATGAAGGAAACCCAGAAATCTGTGTATAGTATTTTTGCCAAGCATCAACAACGATTTCGTATGAAGGATAGCTGTAACCTCCGACTTTTTGGAATTGAGCTCTATCCTGAAATGAAGACAGAGCTAATAACATCTCAATACGGCCAGGAAATCCACAAGCAAGTTGAAATTCTCTGAATTTTGGAGGTACGATAATTGTTTGAACGGAGAGCATAAAAGATTGAACGTAGAATTTAGGAATCTTAGAGAATTTGATTTCGAAGTCTGAATTCTTGCATAAATCTTTAATTATTTTTGTGACGGTGTTTCTGAGCTGAATAAGCGCAAGTCCAAAGTCTGTCTTTAGAAATGGACTTCCGTTTGTAAAAAAATCGAAAATAGTATTATCATCCCATTCAGGCATTTTATTGTGTTCATTTAACGGAGCATTTCGCAAAAAACCGGTCGGAGGATCGCATATTATACGGCAAACAGATGCATATAGATTTTGTAATCTCGGATCGTCAACTGCGGAAAAAATCGGAATAATATTTTGGACAAAATACACAAAATCGTAAGCAGCTAATTGTGCAATTACCTGTGCGATAATATTTTCATGTTTTTCGACGAATTCGATGTTGCTTATTAAAACACAATAAAATGCTTCAACGTCGTTTTGCGCAAGCTCTGGATGATGAAAACTGAAATATTTACCAGGTATTGTATTTGCATCTGATCGTTGCTCAGACGTGCCTCGTAATTGAAATAAGATTTTTTTGAGTTCTTTTTCGGCATCTTCGAATCTGTTACTACTGACAAAAAGAGAAAACTTGTTTCTCTTTTTCATCAAGTAACCGTGATTCTTGCAAACAAAGTCTTTTACCATCAAAGAAACTAAAAACTTTTCAATCTTGCGTCAAAGAATTTTTCTTATTAGTGTATTGCAAATAGGCATGCTATTGTTGCATGCTAAGTTCGGTCAACGATAGAAATTGAGTGGAAATTAATCGTCGAGGAAGTACGATTATGTAAAGTAAAAAAAATGTTGTGGGATTTTTAATATTATATATTATTTTATAATAAAAATTTTTTGAGTCATTTTAAGAAGCACATATAATTTTTTGAATTTAAAAATTAAAGTAGTGTCAAACGAATTTATCACTTAATTTAATACTCAGATTTCTTAAAATTAATGAAAAAAAGGTTTTCTGAGAACTTTTGAGAATGGTTTTCAAATTCCATTATTGAAAATATATAGGTATTGTATGAAATTCAAACTCTATATTTATTAAAATTCTAAATTTTTAATAAAATAACTTTTCAGAGGAATATGATTTTGAATGGTTGATTAATAAGTATAAAAATGTCTACGATTTTAAGGAGGGAATTGTTCCTTATGAGGTATACATTATAACTGTATACCTCATAAGGAACAATTCCCTCTTGATAGCTGGGAAACTTTCTCTGAATAACTTATCATTTGGAGAAAGTTCCCCAGCTATCTATTAGGAACTAAAGGCTATGAGGCACTAATATATAATCAGTGCCTCATAGCCTTTAGTTTCCTATTAAAAACGAGAAAACTTGTTCGAAATGATAAACAATTTCGAACAAGTTTTCTCATTTTAAGGAGGGAATTGTTCCTTATGAGGTATACATCATAACTATATACCTCATAAGGAACAATTCCCTCTTGATATCCTGGATATTTTTGAATATATTTTTTTAATTAAAGTTCTCAAAAGTATTATCAAAAGTGATTTTTTTAAAAATATCTCCAATTAATTAACTAATTAAAAGTATTATATTTTTAAAATTAAATAGTTTTTCAATTTTTTTGAAGGAATTGAGATACTTCCCACGACAATAAAATTGAGAGGTTTACATTATGACTGATCTTAGCATGCAACACTATTGATATTATCTAAAAGGATAAAAAATTTCAGATAAAAATTCATTTTTGTAAACTTTGAAAAAATTCCAAAAGAGCTGATTTACAATATTTTTTGACATTTGTAAACTAAGCAAGGTTAATTCATGCTTGTAATGCCTCAATAGCACTATCTTGAATCTTAAAAAGGTACAAAAGTTAACGGTGATATAAATCTCACATATTATTAAAATTATTATAAATTAAATTAATAATAACATAATACATCTATTTTTTTTAATTAGATAAGATTAAATCAGCTGACAATGGGAAATACATAGAGAGTACCCAAGTGCCTCTATATAAACAATAGCATGATGGCTTGTTTAATATGCAGTAACCACTAAATAATGCAAAATAATGAACGTATTTGTTTGATTCTGCATCATTATCATCCACAGCAAATACAGTTAAAGTGTGAATTCCTTTTCTGACATCGCTCATATCACGAGTTATATTGAAAGTATGCCACTCCAAGTCAGAAATTGATTGTGCACCGTGATTGACTTGAAGTGAGTTATCTATTTTAGAAAAAATCGTGATTGTTGCAGCGCCATCTTTATCAAGAAATTCACCATTGATTTTAACTTTGTCTTTTCCTGAGAAATGATAAGTTAAATTAGAATCAACTCTCAAATCAGGTGCTACGTTATTAACAATAACATATTGGAAATTAGATACTACAGTGCTAAAACCATATTCATCTACTCCAGATATATATAAATTATGTTTAGATCCTATTGTAAATGGACCTATTTTAAATTCTAACCTTGTTCTATTTTTAGTATGATAACAATTTATTATTTCTGTTGTGTAAAGAATATTTGCTTCGCCTTTAATCGTTACATTAACATAAGTATCATCTACTACTTCAATTTCAACAAAAGCTTTCTCAGTTGGAACATATTTCTCCTTTGGCCTTCCTATTACATTTATTTCGGGTTTCTTATTCACTAAAATATCGAAAAATGTTGATGTGGTTATTCCTGATTTCGATGTAACTTTGTATATAATTTTAAGAAAACCTGTTTCTTCAGGTAATCGAAAAGAATCTGTATATATGTACTCATTCCCATCATCATTATGGGTAAGAATTGTTTCTTCTTGGTTCATGGTGTTTATAGATCTTTTTATTGTGGCGATCTCTCCTGCTCCTAATGTATTTAGAGAAAAATCAATGGATATAATGGAGTTCGGATCATATGAATCGTTTAGGGTGCTTGTCTTCTGGAGGAAATAGCCAAGATTGGTGATTCGGGCAGCTCCATTTCCTTCTCTTCCAATGGTTTGCACTTGGTTGTCTGGAGATGGCATCGATTGATTTCCTGGAATTGATTGCGCAATAATTCCATTGAATGAAATCACTTTTCCTATGTATCCTGATCCACCTCCAGCGGAGCCTGCATATGAATCTGAATATGGTGGTAAAGTTCCACCGAAATAGCCACCGCCACCACCGCCTGAGGATCCAAAGTAATGTAATTGACCTGCTGATCCTGCGCCATTTGCATTTCCTTTAGATTGAGTAGCAGGAGTTCCAAAAATTGGTCCCCAAGACATTGGCCGGCCGGCTTCGATACCTCCTCCCCATGATTCAGGAGGCAAGCTACACGAATGGAAATCAAAACCTAGTCCGCCGGCCCCGCCTGCGACTATCATTCTATTTGAGAGTGCAATTCCATCTACTCTGATGTCGGTGGCACCACCACCAGCACCCCCGTGCTCATCAAATTTGCCATCTGATGCGGTATCACCTCCACCATTGAAGCCACCTCGTCTGTTTCCAGTTTGCGGATAAATTGCGTCTTGGCCTTTACCGCCAACAAAAACGTAAACTTCCGAAGATTTGTTTAGTTTTAAGACACCGACGGAATATCCACCCTTCTTATTTTCATGGGTGTAAGCCTTGCTACAATATATAGTATTACCTCCCTCTGCTCCCCAAACTTCAACTTTGTAATAGCCGGGAGGAAGGATTGAGTGGTAATATGTGCATTCATAAGTATTACTACAAGGATAATTAAAGGTTGCAACAGTACCATTGCTGGCATATTTGCCTAAATCACCAATTTTGGAACCTAATTTCCACGAATCCATTCATTTTTCAAATAAATGATGTGTTTTGAGAAGTGAAATCAAAAAATGAATTCAAAAAATTCCTCTGAAAATTATTTTAACTCAATACTTAAGAATATACATAAAGATATAGTGTATTCTCAATTATCACAACTATTGGTCGCTAGACTCCAACTCCTTTTTTAAATTTCGCATCAAGTTGCAAAGTAGGAGCTGAAAGAATCAAAATAAAGTTATAAAAAATACAGATTACTAATTTATTGTAGATTGATGATAGAAAAAGTGTGCACATACTTACTTTAATACTGATTAATTTTTGAACGAAAATCAGAAATAATCAGCGTATGCTTGAAACATTAGAGTCTTGATTAAACATACATGATATTAGCTCTGTTAAAACTAGTCCATAATCATCTAAATTAAACGATTCTTATGGTTTCCTTGATAAAGCAGATAATGATTTTCAAAAAAAGTCATATGGATATACTCCTCTAAAGCTTGCACTAGATTTATAGTTTTTTGAATAAGAAACACAGATTCAAATGTGGTTGAAGTATATTTGGGCAGCTTTCAGAAGGATTGCTCCAATAACACCATATATGAAGAATTTATAAACTTCTTTGATCTGAATATAATTTGATAATTCTGTGATCATTATTTTTTCGCTTTCAGTTTTATGATTAAATGATAAGGAAATGTTCTTATTATATACTGATGTTACATTAATACTACATATAAGTGTATGCGATGATTTAAGAGTGCATGGCGCTTTGATTCCTGAAAAATATCCAAATATTTTTGAATCTAAGGGAACTTCTGGTAAAAAATCTATTGATATGAAATTATCATCTTCAATGATTGCGGTATCAATTATGCTAAGCGTTGGTTCGTGGCATTCAAAGCCATTTCCGGAATATGGATAATTGCAGACACAAATTCCTGGATCAATGCATGAAGCATGAATACTGCATGGAAGATCACATTTCCAGCATCCTTTCCATTTGATGTCAGATGAATTAATATAGCCATCTTTGCAAATGATTTCATTATTGAGAATTATAGTGTTTTTCGGCATTAAATCACGCAGAAACGATCTTATCTGGTCTTTTCCGTCAGGTATTGACGAATCTAAAATAAAATTCTTAGAAAATGCTGAAATAGAGAGCTCTTCTTCATCAGGAATTATTCCAAAATCTCTTGTTTGTATTTCTCCATAGTGGAAATTTAATGATTCGTATAGTGATGTAATGAAAAACAAGATTTCAAAAAAATAAAAAAAAATCTTGTTTTTTTTTACATACAATTTCATGGGATCATGTGTTTCTAAATCAGGACAGGTTGCAGGGGAAGATGAAAACAATGAAGAAGAGGAGGAGCAATACGAAGAAGATGAAGACGAAGATGCTTTTCTCATTAAAACTGTACCTTTTGCTGATTTTGTTTTCCAAAATGAGCCCATAATACATGATTACGAGTTTATCAAGTGTGTAAGTTCCAAATCTTTCTCTTCGATATACTTAGTAAAGAATGTTCAAACAAATCGATATTTTATTGCAAAAGTTTATCAATTTTCACAGTTTATTATTAAAGATGCTGAAGAAAATATACAACCGTATTACAGAATACAAAATTCACTGGATATTGTTTCAGAATTGAATCATCGGTATATAATTTCTTTAGTAGACGCATTTACAGATGAAATTACTAATACACTAAACATTATAATGCCATTAGCTGCACTAGGAAATCTTAAAACACTATATCGAAAAAAGCAATGCACTCAATCTTTAATTAATCTATGTTTCCTTCAAACAGCAATGGCACTATCATACATGCATTCCAAAAATATCGTGCATAGGGATGTAAAGCCAGAAAATATTCTGGCCATTTCCGAGGATTTGTTTGTTCTGACAGATTTTTATTTAGCACAACATGTTAAAGATGACGAAAAAGTATCCGATATTACAGGTACAATCGGCTTTTTGGCGCCAGAAATTTTCAATGGAAATGAATATTCTCCAAAACCAGCCGATGTCTGGGCATTTGGCGTGTCATTATATGAGATATGCTTTGGAAAATTACCTTTCAATATCGAAACGAATGAAGAATATTCATATTTAGAAGCATTTGAACATGTTAAATTATGCTTGGATACAAACGAGCTTGAAATACCAACAGATGATAAAATGCTTTCAGACCTCCTAAAGAAGATTTTACAGCTAAGTCCTGCTAATCGACCAACTTTTGATCAAATCATTGCCGATCCATTCTTTGATCCGGCAAGACCAGTTGAAAAAGAAATAGAAAAAGAAGATAATCAATATCAATAGAGTTATTCTTAATTTTTGTTTGTTATTTTGTATAAAATTTATATATGTATTTATTTCCTATCAAAGAATACAATTTATTCTTACTGTTGACTGATAATCTAATGTAATAGGTTTTTCTTCGTTTGAATGAAATTCTTGCAAGAAATGCATATTGAAATTAAAAAAAGGAATTCAACATATAATAACAACGAATAACTTTGAATTTTCTAATGAAAAGAGATTCAAATCAGCATTTTTAATCACAATCGATTTGCATCAGAATTTTAGTTTACATGTTGGGTGTGATTTTCCGTTTTGTAAAGTAAAATTTTTAATGAGTGAAGGGCTTATTCAGAATTTCGAATACATCGGAGCTCATATCAAAGATTACATTGACGACAATAAATTGTTTTCAACGTTCGAAACCGAAGACATCGCAAAAATAATGAAATTTGCAAATATGTCAACAAAAGACTTCATTACTATTCTGGAACAGGCACAAACTACAACCAGTGCAAATAAATTATATTTCTCTACTCGTAATGCTGGCGTAGCTATTAAAAACTTTGAAGATGCAATTTCTCTTCTTAAAACATTAAAGGAATTCCTCAAAATGAGAATACTTGATGGTGTTATTGATTTCTTTATTCAATCAGATAAAGAAAAGTCTGATTTGATCAACCAGATACAAAATCTTCAGGAAAAGTTAAATACAATTCAAAATCAAGAAAGTAACAAAGAAATTCAATCAAAAATTGCAGAACTTAAGAATTCTGATAATTTTGAAAGTGTTTACAATTTTTTTGATGAACTTTCATCTCAAGGAAATACAAAAGTGATATCAAAAGCATGTGAAGAAGGACTCTGGAAGATGAAAGGAAAGATTGGTATTAATATACTTCATCAAGCAAGTCGATATGGAAATCTCAAACTTGTCAAATCTCTCATTGAATGTAATTGTAACATAGAAACACCAAATGATACTGGAGTAACTCCACTCAATATGGCATCAGCTTTCAATCACCTTGAAGTTGTTAAGTATCTTATCTCAGTTGGTGCTAATAAAGAAACAAAGTCTAATAGTGAAATGACTCCACTCATTTGGGAATCATTAAAAGGTCATCTTGAAGTTGTTAAATATCTTATCTCAGTTGGAGCAAATAAAGAAGCAAAGAATAATGATGTACATACTCCACTCATTTGGGCATCATTAAAAGGTCATCTTGAAGTTGTTAAATATCTTATCTCAGTTGGAGCAAATAAAGAAGCAAAGAATAATGATGGACATACTCCACTCATTTATGCATCATGGGAAGGTCATCTTGAAGTTGTTAAATATCTTATCTCAGTTGGAGCAAATAAAGAAGCAAAGAATAATGATGGACATACTCCACTCATTTGTGCATCAGGTCAAGGTCATCTTGAAGTTATTAAATATCTTATCTCAGTTGGAGCTAATAAAGAATCAAAGAATCAAATTGGATTAACTCCACTCATTATTGGATCACAAGAAGGTCATCTTGAAGTTGTAAAATATCTTATCTCAATTGGAGCTTATATAGAAGCAAAAGATAACAGTAACAATACTCCACTCTTCCATGCATCAGGAAACGATCATCTTGAAGTTGTTAAATATCTCATCTCCGTTGGAGCGAATAAGGAAGCAAAGAATAAAAGTGGATCTACCTCACTCTTTTTGGCATCATTTTATGACCATCTCGAAGTTGTTAAATATCTTATCTCAGTTGGAGCTAATAAAGAAGCAAAGGATAATAATGGATATACTTCACTCATTAGGGCATCAGATGATGGTCATCTTGAAGTTGTTAAATATCTCATCTCCGTTGGAGTCAATAAAGAAGCAAAGGATAATCTTGGACATACAGCGCTATATTACGCAAAGGATAATGTTAAAGATTATCTAATATCTATTGGAGCCAAATAATCCAAACGAAATAAGGGTTTCGTTTTGCGAAAAAAACGTACAATACGCAATTTCGCTAAAAAAACATTTAGCTAGCAATTTCGACCTTTGACTCCACTCAAGACGTCACTTTTTTAATTTTGCGGTATCATATTTTTGGAAAATCTTTATGAATATTATATAAAAAGTCTCTTTAATATCTATATTTCATATTTTTATCGATTTTTAAAGTTTTTGCGAAAAGTATTCAATTATTTTTGCTATTTGGTCGGGTAAATGTCAGATTTGCGACATTTTCTGATATGATATTCAGATTCTACGTTGATAATAATGCTTATAGAACCCTCTTGCTATTGTGTCAAAATTGCGAAACCGATAGCAAAAATATCTCGCAATATCAAAATTGAGATATTGAGTGAATTATGCATTATAGAGATTAAAAATCTGATTTGTGAAAACATCTCATCAGTTTCTAGCTAATTCAAAAATCTTTACTATCTTATTCGATTAAAATGAAAAGGGAATAGTTTCATTATGCTTTAAATGACAGCCTTATAATATAATCATAGTTTTCGCTCAATATGCAGCATTTTTTTTTCGAAATCTATGGTCAATGTCCTAAATACTGATTGCTTTGCATTCATATCTCTTACATTTTCTATACCCACATCACTATTCATTGCTATTCCTATCTTTTTCATTTTTGTTTGTTTCTCATAATTTCTCAAAAAACATGATAACTTGATATTTGTAAATATCATACTTTATAACGTAAATAAGAACTTGACCTATTAAGAAAAGCAGTAATGAAAAAAAATCTGAAATTCATAAAAATTACAAGTTTCTGATGACAATTAGCTTAATTAAACCAGGTACAAGATTATATAATTGTATTTTCTATCCAATTATCCATATAATATCTTATCCAGAAAAAATAACTTGATCAATACCAAATGATTTTTTAACTAGTAAATAAAGTATTTTCTTTACACACACATTGTATATCATAGTTTTTTTTTGGTTTCGCAAAACATCCAAAAACAAATATGCTATAAAAGTGACAATTTTAGCAAAACGAAACCCTTAAACGAAAAGGGATAAAGAGATTTTCCAATTCCACTAATGCGGCTCACTATATGTGACTTTGATTAAAATTTATTTTTTTTACAAATCCGCATTTTTTTTAATTTTACCACCAAAAAATGGGTCAGAGTATTCATCTGAATTTCGAATACATTGCTGACCATGTTAGCGATTATATTGAAAACGAAAATCTTTTTACTATATTTGAGCTAGAAGATATCGAAACAATCATGAAATATTCACATTTGACAGTAGATCAATATATATCTCTTCTCAAACAATCTCATTCAACTATTACTCCTACAGAATTATATATTTGTACACGTAACGCAAATGTTATCATCCAAAACTTTCAAGATGTCATTTCAATTCTGGAATCTGTGAAAAAATTCATGAATTTCAATATATTTGATAACATTATTAGTTCATTAAATCATAATACAAAAGAAATACTTGATTCTTCAGAAAAATTAAAAAACTTCAAGAAGAATTAAATTCATTTCAGACTCATAGAAAAACCGCAGCCACAAGAACAACTACCAACCAAACTAATGAAAATAACAATGTTTCAAGAGCGGTTTTAACTAAAATCTCTGAACTTAAAAAATCTAATGATTTTGAAAGTGTTTACAAATTTCTTGATGAAATTTCAAATATGATGTCAAAAGCTTGTGAAGAAGGACTTTGGAAAAAGACAACAGACTATAATAGAAATGTACTCCATATTGCAAGTGAAGCAGGAAATCTTAAGCTTGTTAAATCACTTATCGAATGTAACTGTGATTTAGAAGCAAAAGATAATTATGGATTTACTCCACTCATATATGCATCATTTAGAGGTCATCTTGATGTTGTTAAATATCTTATCTCTGCTGGAGCTGATAAAGAAGCAAATCATAACGGAATTACTCCACTTATTTGGGCAGCAGCTCAATGTCATCTTGAAGTTGTCAAATACCTTATCTCAGTTGGTGCTAATGTAGATGCAAAAGATAATAATGGATGCACTTCGCTCTTTTTAGCATCAGAGAATGGCCATCTTGAAGTTGTTAAATATCTTATCTCAATTGGAGCTAAACAAGAAGCAAAAGATAATAATGACAGTACTCCACTCATTTTGGCCTCACAAAAAGGTAATCTTGAAGTCGTAAAATATCTTATCTCAAATGGAGCTAATCCAGAAGCAAAAGATAAAAATGGCAATACTCCACTCATTCAGGCATCAGGAAATGGTCATGATGAAGTTGTTAAATATCTTCTCTCTAAATACACATTTATAAAAGCAAGGAATAAAGATGGATGGACTCCACTCATTTATGCAACAGCTCAAGGTCATCTTAAAGTTGTTAAAAATCTTATCTCATATGGAGCTAATACACAGGCCACGGCTAATAATGGAAGAAACGTGATCTCATTTGCAGAAGGTATTGTAAGAGATTATATATTATATCATTCTAAATAATTTAATCGGATATGGATTTTGAATAAAGATTCTTTTTTTTATAAGGAAGACGAAACTATAATCATGAAATCATATTCTTCGTGTATAAACCTTCAAACCCCTCAAATCTTGAGTGGCAGTGATGAAGAAAATGGTTTCAAGATTTGAACTTAAGGAAGTACTTATGACTGAATGACATGGCCTTCAATTCTGGTCTTTAAAGTTGTTTCTCAATTGTGACTTACACCGTTGTCAGAAATATGAATTAAAGTCATACGGACGTAAAAGCAGCCGATAAAAAAAAAGAGGAGATTTTAATTCATAAAGCACAACAAAATAGCAAAAAGAAACATATGAAAAATTTATTAGGTTCATGAGTTTTGTGATTTTGGTGTCTTATAAACGTGATAATATAAAGCTTCGTTCAATAAGTAAAAAATAAAAACAGCTGGGTGAGCAAGTGCGTAGAGAGTTGAAACAGGAGGCTTTGGGTTGATAAATCCTGAAGGTGAAATCAAAATGTAAGTGATGAAAAGGCAAGTAAACGATTTGCAAATGTTTGGAGCACATTCTTCATTGAGATCTTTCTTGAAGGCATTAAGAACCTTTAAATCGAAATCTGGCTCATCGTATTTGAAGTTGTAAGAAGAAATTGAAATAATTACTAGAATTATTCGAAGAATCTGCGTTATTATACCTGTAGCTGTAGATAGTGTAGGAGCAACGATAAGAACAATCTTTAAAGCAAGCAAAGAAGTATCAATTAAATTTCCGTTATCTGCTACAATTGAATAAATGAAACAAAACACAACTCCTCCAAATGTAATTCCATGGAGGAATTTGATGTTCTCTGGATGGAGTCCTCCGAAGAGAATTGTAAAAGAAATCACAAGAGCTGGTAAAGAAATAAAGCACAGGATAGTTTTGTATATACGTTGTTCATCGTTGTAATACTTGTTACGGATTATTCTGGACAAATAGTTAATGAGTTGGATGAAAAGGCAAGTTTCGACATATGCAACTGGGAAATCGAACGCAATTAGGATGTAACGATGAATAAATCGAATTGCAGCTTCGGGTAATAATGAGCAGAAAAGGATACAAAGAGCTGGTCCGAGAACGAACCAATATGATTCCAAATTATGACCTTTTATTGATAAAATAAAGATCACTGCGAATGGAATAAGGAGTCCAAGCATGAAATAAATATAGTTTGGATTGTTATCAATATTAAATCCATGCTCATAATATTCAATCATGGTGAATTAGAAGTTTACAATAATCGTCAATAATTTTATTTATAAAAAAATGTAATTACTTAGATTTCAATAGCTACACTTGCAAGCTAAACAGATTCAGTCTTTTCTTTGAATAAGTCCAAGATATTTAATTTCGTAGATCTCATTATGATCGTTTTTACATGGTTCCAATATTAAACTAATAATACAATCTAAGAAGATTCGAATCATATAGTTGAGAGCTGAAAAAACCAAGACTAAAACAATTATTCGAAAATTATATATATGATATTTCTATGTAAGTAAACAAAATACAATTACCTTTTGCTGAAACAATACTTATTTCGCTATGAATTCGCATATTTTTATATTTTTCAATGAGAGTTTCGATATTGCCTGAATGTCCTTCAATTTTTCTTGGACAAGAATTTATGGTACAGATATCTATAGCCGAAGCTCCCACACAAATTAAATGGATTTCTGCTCAAATAACGGGAAAAGTACAGACATTAAAGCCATCAGTAGAACCAGCACTATTATCACTTGTTCATCGAGCTCTTGGAGCTCCCCAACAAGCACCTTTCTTCGGTCATGTCATGAGTGGTTCAAGATTAATAGATTCGGATATTAAAACACCAAAAACTTATTGTTTATCTATCAAAGCGGATGGAATTCCACCTTCTTATGATGGAGAAGCAGTTAGTATTTCATACGAACTACGAATTGTTTCACAAATCGGCCAACAGATTTCTCAACCGACGATTATCCCAATAAAATTCATTTCTCCATATAAATCAAATTGCATTCTCCAAAACACACAAAATACTGCTACATTTACACTTACATCTATTGAATCAGCTTCAATTCCTTCTCCTATTGCCTTATTATCTCCTTTTCCACCAGTACAAGAAAAGTCACTTGATATATTTAGTATAAAACAAGGAGATTCGATAGTAGCATCATTAAAACTCAAACTTTCAGCGAGATCTGGAGGAGATTTTTCCGGAATTATTGATATGAAGGAATCTACATCCGGAGTTACATCTGTAAACATTCGCATCATAAGAGTCGAGAAATTTTCAAATGACGTAACAGATCAAACAATTATTGTTAATGAAAACTTACCACTGGACAAAATCATAATGAGAAGATTCTCCCTTCCTATGCCTTTCAATACTCCTGCTGAATTTGTTACAGATCTCTTTGAATGCTCTTATTCAGCTGAATTTAATTTTATTGGTCCTGCTGGAGCCTGGAAATGGGTTGCTCCACTTCAAGTATTACCTCCATTGTTATCCTTATCAATGCCAAGACAAGCAATTGAACAAATTAGCCTATAATAATTTTATTTGTTATATTTTTTTGTTTTATATATATAAAAATATCTTTTTGTTTCTTTTTTTAAAATATAACAATAATACAAATATTTTATACAAATAAAAAAAATTATATAAAAAAATTATTGAATTATTGAACGATCTCTAAGGTATTCGTATATCCTAAGCATGTGGTTGTATTTTGCAGAGCCTTCAGAACCGATAATTCCACCTCCCATGAAATATTCTGCTTGAATTGCAACAGCGAAGTCAACAATTGTTGTATCGCATGTTTCACCACTTCTTCTACCGACAATTACCTGCTTTCCCTTCTGTTTGAAGAGCTTTGCTGTTTCAGCAGCCTCGGAAAGTGTTCCTGCCTGTCCTGGCTGCAAAAGAATGGCATCTGTCCACTTCTTCTTCAAGCCTCTGCGGGACTGCATCGCTTGGGAACCATAAATATCACCACCCGAAACAATTGCGGATTTTTGGATACCTTGTTGTAAATTATCCCAGCCGCCATGGTCTAGATCACTATTACCATCGTTAAGGATCGTAATGGATGGGTGCTGTGCTAAAAGATCTAAATAATATTGTACTAATTGTTGAGTATTCTTGTAAACTCCTTTTTCTACTTGGTAGAGTTGCCTTTCTGTATCGTATAAATATGATGCTGCACAATCTATGCCAATTTGTATATCTGTGCCTGGTGTAAGACCAGTTTCTGTGATACATTTCTCAATTAAAGCAACAGTTGAGGAAATAACTGAAGAATTGCTTACGTAACCACCTGCCTTACCAACAGCAAATACTTCTTTATCGCCGTAGAGCTTATCTTGTACGCGATATGCTATTTCAGAACAAATTCTGAGTTGTTCGATGTAAGAAAGCGATGATTTTGGAATAATAAAAACAGATTCGAATAAAAGTGGCGATGTTGCATGCATACCACCTTGTATTACAGTGATTGCTGGTGTAGGAATCGAAAAATGGTCAATTGATTGTTGAGGGTAAATTGATTCGTATAAGTATAAGAAAAGAGGCTGTTCTCGAACAATTGCTGAAGCTCTTGCTAGGGCGAAAGAGGCTGCACTTAAAACATTAACAATTCCGGATTTGCCATCCAAAACTTTCTTGATAATCATATCAAACTGATCGATTGTCATGAAGTTCTTGCCTTGAAGAGCTGATGATATAAGTTCAACAAGAGTGCACGCGTTTCTGCTGCCTAAACCTAAAAATCTCGTAGTGTTTGTATCTAAATATGGTTTTTGCTCTTGGTTAAAGACAGAAGTACCAATGGGAGCATTTGAAACAGCTACCATCACATTTCTTCCGAGCATATTCGCCCAAACTTCAACTTGAAGAGTAGGTCTGCCTGTAGAAAGAAGTATTTCATGACCTTTTAGTTGTGTAACAGTTGGAGGCTGTGATTGAGAAGCAAATTTATTTGCTAAAACACCGTATGGATCATTTGGACGTTCGTGAACAATCTGACCAATAAATTCTTCTAGTTTTTGTTCAATTGAGTGTTCCCTGATATAATCAATAGCTCTAAGAGGCTTGGATGCTTCAGCAGAATCACCCTTCGACATGTGATATAAAAATCTAATTATACGTTATTTTTATATTCCTATAAAAAATATGCATTGATAGACAATTTCTTGTCTTTGCAACGTTAAAGGTTTTATTCATTTTTAGTATATGAGCTTGTAAACACTGTAGAATCACTTGCATTGATATATTCGATACCTGAATTGAATATCGACTTTTTATCAAGTACTTTTAGAATCAGTTTACTCCATTCCAAAGAACCATACTCACCATTATTATTGGCTCATACTACTTTCGTAAAAACGGAAGTCCTTCGATATTTTATTTACGTAGATGATTTTTCGCAGAAATTCCATTTGAAATCATATTCATCTGTTCATAGAACTCTTTTTGTAGACTGTACTTTTCATTATTTTCAAAGAGAAAAAATTAATATTTTTCAAAAGATACTAAAGATGAAAGAAAATATTTACATAGAAATCAGTAACCAAACTGGTTGAGAAATGCATCAATATTATGTGCTGTATCCAGCATTTTCTGAGTTAGATAAATAGGAGGTTCCAATGGAGATAAAATTGTGAGGGGCTGAGTAGGAGGTAGTGCTCGCTTGATGACACCTTCAACAAGTGGAGGGCTTTCAATTGTAGTTTCATTATTATTACTTGATTTTAATGAAACAGCTTGTTTGTCATCGCGGACTTTAGTAGATTTTGCAGTATTATGCTGCGACTTTGTATGTTTTGATGGCTTGCGAAGCAATTTTTTCAATTGCTGATAATGATATCGACATTGCACATCAGATCTATTACCCATATAATTAGCAATCTTTGCCCATGCTGTTTCTCCGTATTCTTCTACAAAATCGAGTAATTTTTTATCTTCATCTGGTGACCAGCGTTTCTTTGAAATACGCGGGTCTAAACCTCTAAACCATCTCTGAGAGCATTGAGCGCGGGTTCTAGTTTCACCAACAATTTCTGCAACTAAAGACTAATTATCAGTACCATTTCGAAGTATTCCTGCAAGTAATCTTTTATCTTCTTCTGAATTCCAAGGTCTGGCCCGCTTTCGTCCGCTTTGAGAAACAGTGTTTGACGTATCTGAGGATGAATCAGAGGATGAAGTTTCAATCTCTGTTCGACTAGTAACATCTGTGTCTATAACAGTCTTAAGCATATCAAGAGGTGAAGTTGAACCGAGCTTTTCTGTGAAAATTGATAAACATTCATTGTATGATTTAGCATCTTTGATAAATAGAAGCAACGTGTTTTTGAGTTCTTCAAAAACAGCATCACTTATATCTGGGTTTAGATCCTGTAATTGAGAAGCGAAATATTCCAGAATGCATTGTTGACCGAGAAATGAGCGAGTCATTTTTGAAAATTTTTATTATAGAAATTTGCATAAAAAAAGGGAAAAAATTTTAAACTGATGTAAAGTTTTGGCTACACAAAATAATATTATGAAATGATCCATTGTATGTAGCCTACAATATCTTATTGATCAAATTGGCCAGAACAAACTAATCTTGCGACTCAAGATTAATTACACAAGAATGAATACCAGATCGTATTATATATCACTAATTCTGGTATACAATTTGATGAACATCTCTGACATTAAAAAGGAAGGTTTATTCAAGAGTATATTACACAATTTTAAGTCAAGGAATGGAAATAGAGTTCTTTATTGTGTCGTGCTGTAAATAACAGCGACTTATTTCCTTGAAGAACTTGTTTGGATAAATATTGGCTACGATTTCAAATCTTCATAAGATATCCGGAATTCGAAATCATCCTCTCAATCTGCAGCACAAGTTTAGGTTATAAATTAATTACATATAGCCGCCTTATTTCATTAGATTTGTACCAAAGCAAGAGAAAAATTATTCAAATCAAATGCATAGATGTTTACTATTGATATACTTAAGGAATTGATTACTAAAATGATTATTTTATTGAGAAACCTTGACCCTGCCAATTTGCCAATCTGCCAGTGGCAATTTGCCAAAATCATTTAGATGTTCATCCTCTTCTTTATTTGTGCTCTCTTCTACTCATTCAGACCACGTATCACCAAAGTAAGAAATGGAATGTTCGACGACAACCAGCTTTCTTGTGTTAAGAATTGTATGGAAGGCACCCGAGGCAGAATGACCGTAGAAAAAAGATTTAGATGTGGCCAATATTGCAAAACTAGATTAGGATTACCTAGTGAATCAGAGAATGATGATACAAACGCGATTTAGAATTTTTTTAAAATTTGTTTTACGCTATTAAATATTTCTTACTATTCTCTCAATAAAACATTTTTCTTTATTTCAATTCCTTAATAACTCTAATTAAAATGTTAAATATGAATATATTAATACTAATTTTAGGGTTATTTTAATAAATTGCAGTGGTTTTGAAAAGAAAAGTAGAATATTTTTGAAAGATATCTTTAATTCTTTTTGTTGACAATTGAATAGTACTAATTTCAGAGAAAGGATTTAAATAACACATGTAAATATGGTAATTATCCAGAAGATATGATTGATAAACATATTGCTTGAACAACAGTACTTCAATTTAACAACAAGATCATATCAAATCTTCTTTTTGACAAACTTAACAAAAAATGTTTCTCTCTCTTTTATCATTTTCTACGTGCCTTGAGAAAAATTCTTGACCACTAGATTTTGCGTTTTTGACTATGGCATCAAGTGTGTATCAACTTCTTGTTTCTATTTTTAATGTAAAACGTGGAAATCTTGAAAGAGACTATTCAACAAATGATCTCAATTCTAGTGTGGATCAGATAGCTTATGATTTCGATCTCAAAAGAGATAGAGTCGCTAACTAATTTAGACTTTCGAAATATCCATCCCTATCAAGGCAAGTTTTCTTTAGGATTGATTTTGGAATAAAGTGGATTGCAAGAGGTGTAGCTCTTTCAGCTACTGTTGTTAAAATTACAAAGGCAAATGGTGCTTATACAGTTAATTGTCGTCAAGTAGATGCAAATGGATTGCTTCAACAAGCTAAGTTTGCTAAACCAGGAGATCTGGTTCCAAATTCAGAACCGATAATTATTTTCCAAGATGATCAGCCACTTACTGGGGAACAAATTACCCAGGTTTATAATATGCTTTATAAGCATATAGAAGGCACGCTCAATGCTTACAAGGTAATGTAAATATAAGATTGATTTTAAAATGTCTTTAATTAACTTTTTTCCCATTTCAATGTAAATAAAAGTGATTTATCTGAATCTATTTACTTGGTCAATTGCTGTGGGATTAATCATGCTTAGTTTTACTGAAATTTTAATTTAATTTTTTGGGATTGAATCCTTGATGTTGAGAATTGTAATTTAAACTAGGATTGAAGAAACCATTATCAAGGATATGGAGTATTTCGATAATTTTGATTTTTTGTTGTTACAAAATGGCTAAAAAGATGTAAACATCGCAATTTCAATTATGTATTAGCATTCGATTAACACCAGTAGAAATGCATGAAATTCATCAGATCTCAAATTTGAAGAAACCTGACATTTTTGAATTAAAATGCGTAGATTATCATAGATGGTATATTAACCATTTTATTTAAAACAGTAATCAATTGGTTAATTTAGTTATATGTTAAAAGCAAATCTTAATCATATATATATATATATATTAATGGAGATTATGAAAATAACGTGCTAATTTTAAAAGTGAAATTTAAATTAAATACGTTATTTTATAATTTTGAGAACATTTTTGGAATATGTATATATTATGATTTATTAATAATATTTTTACTATAAATTATAAAAAATTGAAAACATTAAGGGTGCACACGAGAGGATCATGTAAACTTCAGAATTTAGAACCTTATTTTTAGGCATTATCTTGGCTACCTATTTAGGCTCGAAAAGCAAAAAATATCAAAAAATACAACTTGAGTCCATTATGACCCTTTCATGGAGGTAGTTTTTATCCGCTAGTATTTTCCCTTTGAATCTCTTTACAATTCGAAATCAAATTCAAACCTCAGTAGAAGAAAGGAAGAATCGACTTACTACGGTTGTAATACGAATAAATACATATATTTAATTATTTTTATTTACATAATAATTGTTTGAAGCTCATATTCCATCAAATTTTTAAATAAAAACATTAAAATGTTGAAAATGTTCATATATTTTAATAGGGTTTTGGCACTTTATTGAGGAATTACTACATACATAGTCGAACTGAACTTGGTATTTTGAAATTTAAATTATTTATCAAAATTAAAATTTAACTTGAAATTTATAATTATTTAGTCATATTTTGCATAATTCTAAGTAGATTTTGTAAAAAATCAAGAAAGAAAAATTTTAACGTGCTTTATTTTTTCTTTTTTATAATAATACATATTATTATATAATTAACATATTCATAATGTTTCACCCTTTCAAAAATATAATCCTCCTCCTCTCAAATAAACGTACATACGGGTGGCCTCTTTTTTCAAAAAATTAAAATTTGAAATTTTGGGCTCAAATATTAGAGATTTTTTCAACCTTCAACGATATATGTTGTCTATATCAGACCTCCTTTCTTTTTGATACTTAACATTGTTCCTAAATCTTAGCCGTTAAGGCTGTTCTGAAAATATTTTTTTTCGAAAAAATTCGAAAAAAATTCTTAAAATTCAAAAATCCCTTAATTCCTGAGGATTTTGGAAAAAAGTTTTTACATGAACATGTGTATATTATATGAAGTATATTGATAAGGTAAAAATCAAATTTTATTGCATATTCATCGAGAAAATAAACTAACAAATCCCTCAAAATTGAGAGGGTAATCCTCCTCCTCTCAAATAAACGTACATACGGGTGCACCCTTAATCTGCGTTTATTTCAAAAGTACAATTTTGAATATTGATTCCAATTTCTATAAATCCTAATATACAATACTCAAATAACATTTTTCTAAAAATAAAATTTTGAATTTTTCAATATCGGAAAATCATTTCTAGTAGCACACACAATTATATACACCATTCTTTTTCCCAACTTTTTCTTCTTTCAAATATTTCGATCAAATTTTCAATAAAGTTTTACAAAAATAAATAAGCAATTGAATTAAAATAGCGATCAATTTTCCTAAAATTAATATCTAAACCATAAACAATTATCCATCTTTCTATTTTTTCCCCTTTATCGCACTTCCTCAAATTTTAGACCATTGTGAAAATTGTGAATAAATTTGTAACTTCTTATAAAAAGTATTTATTGATGTTGATCAAATTCACACCACAAACAATTCTTAAAAACTTCCTTTGTAAATTTATCAAATTTATAAATTTTAAAATGATCCTTTCTTTTCTTCCATTAATTCCAATATTTTCTTTACAAGTCCAGTTCAACAACTATGCGTACTGTCCAAATCGTCCATCCATGAATGATGGAATGTGTTCAATAGAATATATTGAAAATGTTTATCATTCTCCAACAGCTTATTTTTCGATTAATGGAAGTGCAGATATTCAATCGTCTTCAACTATTTTATATAATGGTATAATTGTTTTTTCAAGCCCAAAACTTGAACCTGGCAGGAAATACCAGCTTACAGTCAAACTTTTTGTTGACGGTGCTGAAGTCTATACAAATCCTAATCTTACGTTATTAGTTTTAACTGATATGGTCGCCTCTAATTTAACAGTTTCAAATCCAATCATCGCCACGGATGGAAGTTTATATACTACACATCTCGTATATACTCAGATTATGTATTTTGATTTTGATTTTACATTTTACGTGCTTTTTGATCCAGACTTTGTTGAAATGTCAATCAAAGATTACGACGAAGAGATGAATCCTATCAGCTATTATACTTACGATGACCCTGAATTCATAAATCGGTTAAAATATCATGGATATACGGCTTTTAAACTTAATTTTTACTCTAATGGAAATAACATTTATACCTTTGAATTACGGACATATATGTTTAACAGACTAAGTCCTGGCGTACATAAAATTTCACTGTGGTCTACTGACCGGTATTCGTTTTCAAATATGTTAAATGCAACGATTGAAATACGTCAAACGCCATTCATTTTAATCCTCAACTATCCAAAACTAGTCAAGGTTGGAGATCCGATCTCTTTATACTGTAGATCCCGCAACTTTGAATATGATTTGGAATATTACATTTACGTCAACGACTTACGAATCCCGAAGGTATTCACAAAACCTTCTTCAAATAGAAAACTCCTTGACGATATTACGGATTCACATTTCAATATAACTTTCCCTGCTCCATCAACCCCAGGAAATCATACTTTTATTATCAAGCAATCATATAAAGATGCTATCAACAGTACTGTTAGAACCAGTTCTCAGGCTACAATTGCTGTTCGATCGCCCCCAGTCGTAGATTCTGTTTCAACTCCAACAAACGTCGAATCTCAAGCGACCTCCATGAGACTATCTGTTTCTTATACAGATCTAGATGCTATCGATCAACTTTCGCTCCTCTACAAGTTCGATTCATCATCAGATTATTTTATGTACGGAGAAAACTTAACGATCACGTCGCAAACAGGTGTACTCGAAGTAGATATCGACTTGCCAACAGATAGAACACTTGGATCCCATAAAATATTTGTAAAATTAATAGATTCATACAATTACGAATCAAACACAGACAAATACTTTGAATTCTTCATCAGATCCAAACCTGTTGTCACATTCATCTCATTAGACAAAGAATTCTATGTTCCAGGCGATAATTTCATATCTCAAATTAAAATTGAAGACATTGACAGTGAAGATGTCGAAAGAATCGAATACAAATATGATTCTGAGTATGTATTTTTAGTAGATAATGTCATTCCAAGCGAAAACATTGTCTTACCATCAATTCCCATTTCAAACACTATAAATACAAGTTCAGTTACTTGTTTTATTCGTGTTACAGACAAATATGGCTTTTCTAATGAAATACAAATAGATTTAACAATTCATTTCAAGCCAAAATTGTCTATTGAACAAATTCCTGAAAAAGTTGTTCCAGGAAAGAAATTTTCAGTAGTTTTTTCAGTTGATGATTTTGATACAGATGATGTTTTTAAGATTTATTATAAATCATCAACTGATTATAATTTAGTTACTGAATACACTGATCAATCAACTATTTTAGTATCTGTTCCTGAAGACTCAAAACCCGGTGATTTAACTGTTTATTTCTATTGTGTTGATAAATACAATTTATCATCAGAAGAAATAAATAAAACACTTATTGTTAAAGGAAAACCATCAGTTTCTATTACAGGACCTGAAACCAAAAACGTAATTCCAGGAAACACAATAACTTTAAAAATAACTGTTACTGATCCTGATGAAGATAAAGTCAAAGTTTTCGTTAATGGAACAGACACAAAAATATTTAATGAAAATGAATTTGATGTTATAATAACAATACCTGAAATTCATGGTATTTATAATATATCATCAAATGCAATTGATGAAGATGGATTAGTTTCAGATACTTCTATTTATAGTTTTGATGTAAGAGATCCTCCAAAAATTGTTTCATGCAAATTAGATAAAAAAGCTTATGTAGTTGGAGATGAATTCGTTCCTTCATGTACATTTAATGATTTAGATACTGATGATTACTTAAGAGTTTATGATAATACAACAGGTGATTTCGAGCCAATATTTGTTTATGTATCAATGATGCAACAAACTATTGAACAACAAATTAAAACTTACAAAATACCAGAAGATTTCGAAGGAGATGAATTCGCAGTTTATATTAAATGTACTGATAAATATGATTTCGAATCAAACACCATGAAAATATCAGTATATTTAAAAAATCATCCACAAATAAATAATGTCAGAATTAATAAGGAATCTTATATAAGAGGAGATCATATAATTATTGATGGTGAAGCATCAGATGAAGATGAAAATGATGTAATAACTGTTAATTTATCAGTCAACAATGATGTTTATTCTCAAATTATTTTGGCGAATTCATCAGAAAAAACATTCCATTTCGATGTTTTAGTTAAAGATGAATATGAAATCGGATTTATTGATATCAGTTTGAATTCTATTGATTTATATGGTTTGAAATCAATTCCTGAGATTAACTTGTCAAAACCATTGTATTTCGTACCAATTATTAAATCATTGGAAACAGTTGATCAAATTTATGTTTCTCCTTCTAAAACAATCAAAATCAAAGTTAGTATTGAAGATTTAGATATAAATGATTCAATTACTGTTTGTTATAAAAGAGAAATAGATCCAGAATTCAATGATTTAGCTGTTATAAAAACAAGAGAAGAAATATTTGATATAATGATTCCAGAAGGAACAAGTTCAGGACCATATAACATTGAATTTAAACTATTTGATTCTCATGATTTGATGTCAAATACAAAGAATATAATTGTTCAAGTACGAATTCCTCCAAAGATTACAAATGTTTCTTCATCAAAACTAATTTATACAAAAGGAGAAACAATTGTTGTTAATGGAAACATCGAAGATCCAGATCAAAATGATGAATTCAACATAACAATTAAAATAGGAGAACTAAATAACACAAAAACAATTCAATCTATTGGTCAAAACACACCTTTTAGTATTAGTTTAGATGATGTTCCTTTAGGTGATTATAAAGCAGAAATATTCGTTACTGATCAATCAATGTTTACATCAGAACCAGCACCAGTTGATGTCAAAGTCAGAGATGCTCCAAAATTAACAAACATTACTCCAAAGTTTGAATATTTCGCTAAAGGAGATAAAATCATTGTTTCAGGAAAGATCGAAGATGAAGATCAAAATGATGAATTCAACGTTACAATGAGAATATTGAATTATAATAATACAATAACTGTTAAATCACAAGGAGAAATAACATCATTTAATATCAGTTTATTAAATGTTCCTCTTGGAGATTATACAGCTGAAATATTTGCAATTGACAAATCAATGTTTTCATCAAGCAAAGAATTAGTTCCAATTAAAGTTAGATTCCATCCTATTCTTAAGAACCTGACAACACCAAAACCATTCTTTGCTAAAGGAGAATCATTTGTCATCAACGGTATCATTCAAGATGAAGATTTAGATGATGAATTCACTGTTACAATTCGATCACAATCATTTGAGAAAGTTCAAAAAATTAATTCTAATGGATTAATTACTTCATTCTCTTTCGAAATAGATCAATGCCCTGTTGGTGATTCTTCAACAACAGTTTATGTTGCTGATAAATACGGTTTCTTAACAAAATATCCATTAACTGTCAAAGTAAGAATTGCTCCTGTTATTGCTGATCTTTCTTTCGAAGAAAAACGTTACAAGAAAGGTGAACAATTGACACTTCACTTCACTTTCTCTGATGAAGACATAAATGACTTAGTAACATTTAGTGGTGACATTGGATCATCACCATTCAATGATGAGACTCATTATGATACATCAACAACACAAAAAGAAGGAACAATTACATTTACTATTCCTGAAGATTGTGAACAAGGATTAGTTGATATAAATCTTAAGGCAACAGATTCAAATTTATTAGTTTCAAACATTTTAACGAAGAAGATTTATATATTATCTAGTCCAACAGTTAAATATTTAGGAAAGAACCTTCCAAAGAATGCAAAACCACTTGACAATGTAACAGTTTTCTTCAGTGTTTCTAATCCTGATTCCGATGAAACTGTCAAAGTTTACATCCAAGTAAACAACAGTGAACAAATATTATTAGGATCAATTAATTCTCCTGTTGAAAACTATATGTTTAACTATACAATATTTATACCTTTGGATCATCCAAATTATACAATTCCTTATAATTTCACTGCGATTGATTCAACAGATTTGATTGGCAGAAATCAAACAGAAATCATTGTCGCAAGTCATCCACCAATTGTTAGATATATTGAAGAGTTTATGCCTTATATGTTAAACTCATCAGTTCCAGTACGATTCGCTTTAATGGATGAAGATAATGATGATACTTTATCAGTTAATTTCCACTTGTTTAGAAAGAATTATTCATTACTTTATAATTTGTTAGAAAACCAAATTTGCAACAGTTTGACAAACCATACTGTTCATATACAGTTACCTGCTGATATAGAAGATAATGAATATACAGTTGTTATTACAGCAACAGATAGAGCTGGTCTACAATCATCAGATGTTACAAAATTACTTGTAAACACTAAAGCTCAGTTTGGACAAGAAGGTCAAGTGTATAAATTCGAATTCGAAATAGTAGTTGACACCAGATGGTACTATGTTGTATTAGTAGCCAGCGCTGTTATATTATTGTTAGTCGTCATTTTAGTTACAATTATTAGATGTATTCCTCCCAAAAGAGACGACTACTTAGAATTCGAAGACGAGGAATACGAAGAAGAAGATATATTAGAAAAAGAACAGGCCCCTATAAAAAAAGAGTTCAACTCTGATGACATAATGCTTTCAGCTGGAGAACAACTTGATGAATCTGATACAGCTGAAACTGTCTCAAAATCAAGTTCCGACATTATGCATCAGAATATCCCTACTTTTGTTTGAATAAATTGTTAGTACTCATGTATATATTGTTAAATTAATCAAAATTATTTTTTTTTTACAATTGAGATTTGGAATGAAATTAATCAAAATAATTTATATTCATTATGCTTATTTTTATTTTGGTGTCAGTAAGTACAAAGAAATCTGTGAACAATAGACGATACAACAACAGCTCGTAAAAACAGGATTTTTCCAACAGCATACATATGTGCATAAGAAACATATCTTAATTCCAAGATTTCATGTTCTGAATCCAATGTCAGACACGTTCCTATTGATCGAACTGTTATTTTCATCGATAACATAGAAGCTTTAATATAATGTAAACATTTATGTGTGAACAATGTTTTTCACAGTATTTTTGCCCTAACTCTATATTTAATACCCTTCATATTCCATTGATCTTCGAAAATAGCGATTTATAGCATAAATTTCTTTGGAAATGAATATAACCACAAAATATAATCCTTTGGATATGCTAGATCATCTAAATGACTGAAAATTTTACGAAATGTAATCACCAAGGGTTCTTTACATCATTCAGTTTTCAGAGGGATGATTGTATTGTAGCATTATATTCAATATTTACCAACTCAAATCTCATGAAATAAGATTGTGCTCAGTCCTTACAGTTTTTTATATAAAAAAATAAATTCAAATAAATGAATCTTACAGAAACATCCAAAACTCTTTTAGAAATGTTGGATAAAGTGGATGATTCAGACAACCACATAACAAATGATAAGATTTCTGTCAGTTCCAGGAATTCAAACACAGAATTCACATTCGATAAATCGTATTCACCTGTGAAACTGAAAAAGAAGTCAGAGAAAGTTAAAAATTTCCTGAAAAAACAAAATGTTCCGAGAGAAATAAGCAAAGAAATCATACAGAATCAAGAAAACTTCGAAAAATGGAGTTACTCAATTATTAATCCTCAAAATCAAAAGAAACCCTTAACTCCAACTCCACAAGTACAACATGAATACTCAAGTATTAAATCTTCTTCATCATTTTCTTCTTTTAAGAATGAAGATGGAAAAATCCTTGCAACAGATGATTTATCACCAGAGCAAAAACGAATTCAAGAACTTGAGTTCAGACTCTCAACAATGGAAAAACGCTTACAAGATGAAACTCAAATCAGACAAATTCTTTCAGATTCATTACAAAAATTACTTACTTGCATTAAGGATAAAAGCATCTTAATCAAGTCATCTACCATCAATAATGTTGATACAATGTTTTCCAGGCTTAATCTCCCAAGTCCAAGACCAGCAACAGCGAGATTATTGAATCAGGAAATAGATTCATTAATTTCGGATCTGAAAACAGAAACTAAGATACCAAGCCCATCTTTGTCACGTTACTCTCCAACTTTCGAAACTAATAATACTGCAAACGTTGAAATTTTATCAAAAGGCTGTTTTGATCTGGCCAATTCTTTAGCAAAAGGATTCTACTCAGGTAAACTTAGTGATTTCGCAGAATTATCCAAGAATCCTGTTGAATTTGCAAGACAAATAGGACAGATAAAGCAAGCACATGACGTTGGACTTGCGGATATTAAACTGAAGTGCGAGTTGTATAAAAAGATGTGTGATCAAATCGAAGAATTAGATAATAAGAAGATTATTTCAGAAAAAACTGCGGAATTGGTTCAAAGCTTGGCAAAGAAGATGAATGATATATCCATACAGTTTAGAGAAGAATATGAAGATTTAGTTGATAATTTACATTGATAATTTTTTTATTTTTTATCAAATCATATTTGATTATTATATTCTTTTGTTTTTATATTAATTTTGACAATAAACACGCTCAACATGTATTATTATCAATTTTGAAAAATTTCCAATATATTTAAATAGTTATAGAAAAGAGGTTATGAATTTACAGCTTATATCCTTAATAATTTCATTTCATCCAATTTACAATCCTTCATATCGAACAAAATCTAAATATTTTCAATATTTTCCAAAACAAGCTATGAACTCAACGAAAATCCAAATGTCTTAACATAGAGTTCGTATTCATATACTATATTCAGCGTCCAGTATAGTTGATATTATTTTTGTCTCCATTTCTGATGTAATGAAAAAATTTTATAGCTAAAAATCCAAATATTTTAAATCAAGACCATCGCGTATATCAAGTTCTCGTTTTTATAACGAAAAATACAAAGTTTTAAAAGATTTCATTTCAATTGTGAACGTATCGGAGCTCATCTGATCTATTTTTGAAACCCAAATCGTATTATATATAAGTTCCTCCTCTGAAAAGTCAATATCTGATCCTTACATCGAATTGTAACGGTTTTACTGCGCCATAAAATTTTTTCAATATTTTTTTTGTAGAATGGAAAATCAAGCAAATACTCAATCTTCTCAAGTTTCGCAAGTGTTTCAGACACAGAGAGAAGTATATAACATACGTGTACCTCAAAATCCATATACTCCTCGTCCTCCAATTTCGTACCGAAAACAAGAGCCAATTGTAAATTCAAATACAGATACAAGAATTGAATCAGCTCATGCACCACGAAGAATCAACTATGCTACAATTCTTCAGCAAAGAAAACGAAATCCAGCAAATGATATCTTAATTCACGAAAAATCAAATGATATTCAACGAATAACGACACAAGTTTTAATGGGTGATCAAATAGATGAAATGGATCCACAATTATTAGGACTTGTTGCTCTTAACTTACAAAACAGACGTAAACATCTTGAAACAAAAGGACAATTTAAAGATTCTATTCATGTCCAACAATGCATTGACAAGGTTCGCGAGGCCCAGTTAGAGGCAAATAAACTTGCTGCTCAAAGATACGCTTTAATTGATATAGATTTACGTAAATCATTCACAGATACAGATTCAACGATCAACGAACATGTTTACGAAGCAGATCTTGCTAAACTTGACGTACGATACAAAAAGTTAGAAGAAGAATTGAAAAATCGTCAATTAAAAGAACTCGAAGAACATGATTTAGAATGGAACAGTGAAGCTAAAACACGTCAGTATTCTCATCTTTCATCGAATTTACAAAACCTTCGAGATATGCACACGAAACTTGTAAAGGCCAAGCGTTATGAAGAAGCCAACATTGTTGAGAACGAAGCAAATATCAAGGAAGATGCAGAGATGCGCGCAAATATGGCAAAACGTGATTCTGATTACCAGAGATCTTATGATCAATTATTAGAGAAACATAGAAAAGAAATTGAGCAACTTAAAGAAGCTAAACAGTCAAAGGTTAATTTGCTTACAAGAAAATCCGAAATTAATGATCAAATTATCGAAAATCGCAGAAGAATGTTAAGATTTAACGAAGATATCGCAATGGATAAAGAGAAACTTTGGAAATTAAGACACAGAACAGATCGATACAACATACCAGTCGCAGATTTGCAAGGAGCTTCTTCTGAACACAAAGGAATCACTCAAGTGCCAAAATGCAAAATGCTCAAGCTTCCACCTCTTGTTACGAAGTCAATGACCGGATATTAATTGTTATTTTTATTGTTATAATGTTAAAATGTTATTTTATTTCGATTAATTCTATTTGATACTATTTTATATGAAGTATGTATGAAAAGAATACCAAACTATATATTACCTTAAACAATTGGAGAGATTTAAAAAATTATATTGACAAATTATTCTAAAATTATTATATCGAACTACATAATGAATAGATTTCACAAATCTAAGAACACGCCTTGAATCTAATTATGGAAAATAACAATTATGAGCTCAATTGAATATAGTTTACCAGAATAATGGTAATAAAGCTTGGAAATATTTCTTACTCTTCATGCACATATACTAACAATATTATCTTTTAGCTAATAATGAATGGTTTCGATCTCTTTTTGCGAAATGGAAAAGCTCTATAATAATATGTAAGTTTCCCAATATAAACATTAATGAATAACATTTTTATAACGTTCTTATTATTTTCAGCCTATAATACATTAATGAAAGAAATTTCGAAATATTAACAGTAAAATTAAGCGTAATGACTGCAATTTTATTGATGAATGATGCATACTAATATGAATTTTTATAAGAATATAATAGTATTCCTTTGGAGAAATGCCAAAAGCTCATATCAGGCAAACAAATACCATTGCAATTTTTAAATTTTAAGGTTGGATTGCTTCTGTCCCTCAGAAATTTTGACATGCGATACCTAAGAAAAAATAAACTAAAATATAAATGCCAAGATGAAATCAAAAACAAAATAAGTAGTATATATAGTCATATATTGTCGTCAAAAAATCATTTCCTCCAATTTTACCAATTACGTATTCATCTTCATCAGACTTTGATTTATGGATTGCTCTAGTTGGAGCTGATGCAGATGATCCGACATTTCTAGACAAGCATCTTGAAAAGTTAGAGTCTCTTTTAACGATGATTTTGGAGAAAAATCAGTTCGATCTTCCTATAACAGGGAAAGAAAATGCTTTATTCAAAGAAATTTACTTCAAAATCATTCCAAAGATGCGAAAATATGGGCAAATGTCGGAGGATCTGCAAAACAAGTTCATTAAATTTTTCGATTTACTGATTAAAGTAGGTCTAACAGGCTTAAACAAAAATTCAAACGAACGAATCCAGATTCTTACTCAACTTGCCTTCGATCAAAATTGCCAAACTTTCAATAATAACAAAGAAGCTCATCTTGATGAGAAAATCCTCGAATTATTTAAAAACAACAAGATATACGATACTTTTCTTGAGTTCCTTGATAAAGATGACGCTACAATATCCGCTTGTTTCGCTTTAAGTCAAGTTTTTATTTCATTACAGATATACTTTACTGATTTTGACATTGTAAAAGCGTTTAACAAATTGTTCGATGCCATTGTACGCGCCGGTAAGAAAAATGCTCGTCTTTTTGTCACTTCAGAAGTTTCAAAATTCAAAGACATCATTTCACAGCATTTTTACAACTCAAATCTTTGTTGCCGTATGATGGATATCTACGCTGTCCTTGCCAGTTGCGAAATTTTCGATAGACAATTATATGGATATCAAATGATCCAAAAGAACCTTGAAAATCCGATGACACAAGACTACTCATTGAATTGGTTTTCAAACGAAAGCAATTTGGAGATCCTAAAACGTCAAGAACTGCATCCACAAATTATGCCAATTTTAGCAACAATTATTTCCATACTAGAAAAGGAAAACTTACTTCCTTTCCATATTATAACTGAATTATGGAACCAAAATAACGTTATCCATTCAAGTGATTTAGATTCTTTTTATAAAATGTTTTTAATCATCGGAGAATCGATACAAAGCAAGAATTTCAGTGAATACATCAGCTTAGTAACAAGTCCTGACAACAAAACAAGTCAATGGTTCAATTTTATAATTAATTTAGCAGTTGTTTTCGGGAAAAGAGAAGATGGTAATGATCCATTCAATGATTTAAGGTCTTATATCTGTAAATTCGCTTTTGATGACAATTCAGATTTCAATGACCAAGCAAAACACGGTTTGGTCCTTGTTTTGAAATATCACATCACTTTTGACAAAATTATTGATATTTCAAAAGTTTTGATAGAAAATTTACCTAATGAATGCTTTTACATTATGCAGAAGATCATTGAGAATGTTAATATAACAGACATGAAGTTAATCATGGAGTTGTTACATATGGCTTTTGATCAAATCATGAAAACAAAAAATAGAAAACAAATTTATGAATTTTTAGTCAGTTTTTGCACAAAATTCGATGTTTATTTCGATAAAGATTTGTGCAAATTGGTTTTTGATAAAGACCAGGATTCACATTATTATGATTTCCTTTCTAAACTGATTGAAAACGCGTTGATTGACACATCAATTTTAGTTTCTTTCATCATGGAACAGAAAAATATTAATTTTTGTTCTTCTTTCGTTTCTCTTTTGAAAAAAATTGTGTTAAGTGATATTCCTGAAGAAGGAATTGACGAATATCCAATACCACATGAAGAATTGTTGTGGAAATTCGTGAAGATCAATTCAGATCAACAAAACGAAATTGCAGAATTTCTCGTGAAATGTTACATGAGAAATGATTTAAGAAAAATTTCAAATAATGAAATGATTGACACTTTTTTGGAAAAATGGATTTCAGAAAATCCGGAACTCACTGATAAAATGATGATTAACCTTTTACACTTGTTTATAACGATATGCGAGAAGAAAGTTGATTATGAAGATTTCGATTTGAAACCACATTTATATGAAATTTCTCCAAAAGTTGAAATCGAAGTTTCTTTCCAAAAACAAACAATGAAATTAATTGTTTCATCAAGGATATCAATCTCTGCTTTAACCAAAAGAGTCTGCCAGTCATATGGTGATTATCATTACTCTTTCCAGTTGAAAATGGAAAACTCTGTTTTGAATCCAAACAAAATTTTGTCAGATTATAAACTCACTTCACCTGTCAAAATGACATTAGTTCAGACGAATGAACAAATGAAAACAAGAAGTGCTAGAGAGTATGATGAGCTTCCAAGCAATGTTATTTATGAATCACATTATGAAATTGTTGAAAAAATGATTGAATTAATTAAAAATGATGATGAAGAAGCCAAAAAACTTTTGGATGACTTGCCAACATATAAAAACACATTGGAACAGATTAATAATATAGAAGATGATGAGATCTTTGATTACAGTGGCTTCCTTCCTCTTCATCATCCTCTTTATTTCATGTATAACTTCGAAACATTGATATCTAGTGACAAATGGCCGAAAATGACGCATAATGGTGGTTTCTTGTATATCATTGGTTGTATTGAAGATTCTGATAACAATATCTGTGAAAATATTATTAATTTTATTTCCAAAAAATTCTCAAAAAGAAAGAAAAACAAATATTCACAACAAATTTTAACAAGTTGTTTAATAAGAATTGCAAATCAATTTGAAGATAGCGAAGAACTATTAGGGCCTATTTTTACTATGTTATCTGATTTAGTTAATCTCAATGAGGAGATCCAATTCCCTCATGATTTCGATGAAATTGTTTCAATGATTTTGGAAAGTGACAATTCAAATATAATTGAAAATTCACAAGTTTTTCTCAATAATAAAGTGCCAATTTCACAAGATATAATCATACACTCGTTGCGTGATGCAGGCCATGAAACTAAAGGACAGATCTATGAGATTTTAGTACAGCATTTAACTGATTTTGATGAAAATCTTTTCGAAGAAATTGTCAAAACATTAAAAGGAAAAAAAGTGACATATTTAAAGCCATGTTTACTTTGTCTTAAAAGTCTTGTACAAATGGAAGACATGGATGAGAACTACAAAGATATCGTCTGTGAAATGTTAATCGACAAGTACTTAAGACTCGATAGTGATAGAAGTGACGGTTATTTTAAATTAGTTTGTTCGATTTTGAGTATTATTAATAACGAAAGATTAAATGAACATATTGATGACATTTTCCAGAATTCCAAGTCAATAAGGAACTGGGATACCAGTGGTGACATTGAAACGAAACATAAAAACGGAGCAGGACTGATAAATTTAGGTGCAACTTGTTTCTTTAATTCAACTTTACAACAATTCTATGCGATCCCTCAAATCAGAAAAAGTGTCATTGAATATGAAGGTGACAACTTGATTTTGAAAGAGCTGAAAGAGTTATTTTCGAAGTTGTATTATTCAGAAAGGCAAAGCCAATCAACAGAGAAATTGATCAATTCATGGGTTGGCTGGGATGGACAGAAATTAAATCCAGTTATTCAACAAGATGCTTGTGAGTTTTTACAAGATTTATTGGATAAACTTGAGAAAGGACTTGGCGTAGATTTCGTACATTCATTGTTTAAAGGAACAACAACACATTACACAGAAGGAATCAATGAAAAATACGAAAGCCAAAAAACAGAATCATTTTTAACTTTGACAGTTCCTGTAAAAGGATCTACTAATATTAATGATTCTTTCGAGCAAATGTCTGCACCGGAATTCTTCACAGGACAAAATAAAATAGAAGCAGAAGGTTTAGGTAAAATAGATGCAAGAAGATACGCAAAACAAACTGAAATTCCGCAATTTTTGATTATGCAATTGTCACGTTTTGAATATAATTATCAAACATGGCAAAGAATCAAAATTGACACTCCTTTCATTTTTCCTATCAATCTATTAGTCAATAACTCCAAATACAAGTTATGTGGAGTCATTGTTCACATGGGAACTGCTGAATTTGGTCATTACGTTTCTTATGTAAGGGACAGATTCACTCAGAAATGGACTTATTTCAATGACGACCAAGTCAGTGAAATTTCTGAAAATGATGTATTGCAAACATCGTATGGAAGTAACACGAGAAGTGCTTATCTTTTGTTTTATGATAAAGAAGGTATCGAATACGAAAACGACATCGAAATTGATGAAGAAATCAAAACAGAAATCGATGAAGATAACAATCAAATACAGATTTCTAGTTTGATTTATTCGACACCTTTCTATTGTTTAATGAGAGATTTAATGAATGATTTGACATTGGAATATTTCTTGAAATACTTCCCATTCACGAAACACACTGAGAAAGCAAGTGTTTTAGGTGAAGGACTGATCAAGAAAATGGCAACAGATGACACAATTCACGATAGATTGAAAGATAAATTTAACACTGGAGAATTCACAGATGGAATGATTTATTCTCCAAACGAAAAAGTCAGAGAATATACTTTGATGTTAATTAAAGAAATTGGTGTTTCTGAAATGACATGGGCTGGTGCAAGTAATTTCTTTTCTGTCATGGCACATATTCACGCTTATCCACAAGGTTTGTATCCTTTCTTTGATTTGTTATATCTTTGTTTGGAGAATGATGAAATCCTAGAAAACGCAAGAGAAGATAATTGGCCATATAAAATTCATGCATTGTTAACAAAAAGAATTCCTGATTATTGCCTTGAAAAAGACAAAAATATCAATGAATACTATGAATCAATTGATATTATGCCTTTAATCAATGTACTTGATTTACTCTCTCAAATGGAAGATCAAGATATTATTAATTATTTGACATCTATTGATTTTGTTTGTAATGTTTTGTTTTCGAAAACAAGTCTTAGAAAATTTGTTGCTATTTTGGAAACTTATGTTGAAGACTTCACTGATTACATTACTCACGCAATAGCAAATAATGCACCTCTTGAAAGGATAACTAACTTTACTTTCTTAGTACAACCTGAAGATACTGTTCATTATTTGTTGAATTTAGTTTGTCAAATTTCCATTTCTAATTGGTTGGCTACTTTTTGTCTCCTCGCGAAGAAGAGGATGCATGTTGATAGGTTCATTGATTCATTAAAGGACTGGATTAACTATTTAGCTTCAGAAGATGGCGATGAACGAATAACTGCTTATTATTTGATCATTTTCTTATGTCCACACAAAATGTTCCAAGTAAATCTTCCTCAATTTCCTTTGAATTTACAAATTGATGCTTCCGATGTTACTTTTACTCCTCAAGAAGACAAGCAGTTAGTTGATCGCTGTTTGAGTATTCTTGATTGCATACATTATTGTAGTGAAGATTTATTCTCCAAAGCTTGTGAAATTTACTCAGATTCTCCAAATTCTATTATCCCTTTGATAAATGCAATTATGACTTTATGTCATGCAGCAGGAGACACGAGACAAAGTGATCTTTTGAAAGAACTCTTGGATAAACTTAGAGGATATACACATCCGTTCGATACTCCTGTAGAAATGATATTAAACAAATTGGCAACTTTTTGTAATTTTGTAAAAGTGGCAGATGATTTTGTTTCACCTCACTTATCATCCAAAGATGAAAAACTTGCTCAAGCATATGCAGGAGGACTTGCCAAACATCTTTTGACTGAAGGAATATCCACGAAATGCGCATTGATTTTGCTGAAAATGTATATAAACATCCCGAGAAGTTCGATTTATCAAAGTATCAGAGAATTGTTTACTTTGGTTTGTTTGCAGCAACCAAATGTCGTAAGGACATTTTTGAACACGGAAGAACTCCATCCGCCATCAATGAACTTCGTTTTGTTCCTTGCAAAAACTGCTGAAGTTCAATTTTCTGCATTAAAGTTACTTTCGCAATCCTTGAGTTTGCTTGATGCTGTAAATGCAAATAAGATAGTTGCAGACTGCATAAAGTACAATAATGGTGATTTGATTGAAGAAGAATTAAGAAAAATTGCAAATTGCGACTATGTCAAAGATGAAGCAAAGGAAGCAGTCCTGAAGCTTCTTAATAGTGAGGAATTGCATAAAGAAGAGCCAAATCTTATTCTTGAAACGGAAGAGCCGAAATCTCCAAAGAATTAATTTTTATTTCTAATTTTATTTTTGTTTTTTGTTACATATAGATCATTGGAAACACAGATATACTATGATTTATATATTTTATTATATATTATTATTTTTTATTTTATATACATATATATATTAAATGAATTGTTTTACGATTTGTTATAACTTACTTTTCTATGTTTATCCTTCATATGCCAGTTCCTGAAAACATAAAATTTAATGTTAGAAATATATTTCAAATTTCAAATTAAAGCTGAAGCTCGAGCTTTACTTTATCATTTACTTGTGAAGATGCTGTTGAATTGTTGTATTGTTCATATTAGAAATACAAAAAAGTGCCATTAATTTCGAATATGAATCCGAATTCTTTTCCAAATCCTGCTCCTCAGAAATTTTATATACCACCACATAACATGCAAAGTTTACCACAATTTGTTCAATTTTCGGATATTCAGATTTCAAATCAAAATCAAGCGCCTCCACGATTCAATATGCCTCTAGAAAACAGACCAAATCCAATGTTTAATTCAAATCCATATATACAACAGCAATACAATGTTCCACAAAATAATCCTATTCCAAATATTCCACAAAATATGAATAAAGTACCAGAAAATCCATATTCAATACCACTAATGCCGAATTCTAATCCAGAATATCAAATACCAAATGCAGAAGAAACTCTTATTCAATCAATCATGAAACAGTATGCAAACTCTCCATTAATGCTTAGGAAATCACCAGAAGAACAACGTATCATTGCTAAAAATATCATGATGAGTCAAGTAATGAGCTTACATACAGTAATTAATCAATTGGCTCTACAAAAGAAAGTCAATGAAGATCCGTCCTTAAGGGTGCACCCGTATGTACGTTTATTTGAGAGGAGGAGGATTACCCTCTCAATTTTGAGGGATTCGTTAGTTTATTTTCTCGATGAATATGCAATAAAATTTGATTTTTACCTTATCAATATACTTCATATAATATACACATGTTCATGTAAAAACTTTTTTCCAAAATCCTCAGGAATTAAGGGATTTTTGAATTTTAAGAATTTTTTTCGAATTTTTTCGAAAAAAAAATATTTTCAGAACAGCCTTAACGGCTAAGATTTAGGAACAATGTTAAGTATCAAAAAGAAAGGAGGTCTGATATAGACAACATATATCGTTGAAGGTTGAAAAAATCTCTAATATTTGAGCCCAAAATTTCAAATATAGATCCGTATTTTTCCCAAGTGAGGGGGGTATCTCCAATCCCAGCCCTATCGTCCTCCCAGTGTCAGTTTTCAATATAAAATCCAAATTTTTTTTGAAAATAAAAATTTCGAGAAATTTTTCTGATTTTTTTTGTTTGATTTCAATAGTTCAAAATAAATTTGGGAGTAAAAAGACACTATTTAATGAAATTCATATGAGTGAATGTGGATAAATACTAGGGCTGTACAAGATTTAAAAAAACATTGCCGGGTTACCGTAGAGGCCTAAAAAAATCGCGCCTCGGCGGCAAGCCGCCTCGGCATTAAGAATGCGCATCTAAATTTTTATATGTCCTTCTTTCTTTTATTTTTCCCTTCCCTTTCTTTTCTTTTTCTTTTTTTTCCCTCCTCTTGCTCTCATTTACCTTTTTTTTCCTTTTCTCATCATTTTTCAAAATTTTAAATTTTTATCAAAAATCTTGCCTATAAAAGCAGACTATGGAACCTTTTAATGCCTCTTAATCAATATTATACAGCATAAAGCATATTAAATGAAAGTAATTACGTATAAATTTATTTATTATCTTATTTATTAATTCTTTAGCATGTATTGTTTAATATTAACTTTTCTGTACATTAAATATGATATCTCCAAAGTATGAATGCCTTGTAACGAAACGAAAACTTAATTTTATGTTGAATATTTGTCACAAACATTAGATTATTAAAATATATGTTGGATATCCCTTAGTATGAGACTTCATGACTCTTGTAGTCTAACGTGAGCTTTGGATTGCAAGCTCTGTGGTTAACGAACATAAATTAATTGTAAAGTTTTCAAAATTTTTCATCGTTTCTATCAGCATCTATTTTTCCTTTAAAATAATATATTTGTATGAATACAATATTTAGTAATTTTTTTATTTCCCATAATTTCATTCAAAATTTCAGAAAAAATTAATTTCTATTCAATATTATTTCAGCTTCAAAACACTTCATTCTTATAGATGTTGATTCACTAAAGTGTGATACTCAATGTCTTATTTCAATGAAAATTGTTCTGCAAATTTATTTCACTTTTGACCTCACTTTTTCCGTAATTCAATTTTTTACTTTTAATATTTTAGATCTTCATAATATCATTTGAAAAATTAACCATATAAAAAAATCAAGTTAACAATTCACTTTTTCCGTAATTCAAAAATCAAAAATATAAATAATATATCTTTTTATCAAATATTATTATTATATTCTATGAAAAATGAGGTCCGGAAATTTTGCGGATTCCCGTAACTCAATTTTACGGAAAAAGTGCAGTAAACTATTCAAAATACGGAAAAATTGGTGTAAACTAATGATTTTACGGTAAAATCACGGAAAGTCCCGGAAGAATATATGTGCCTATATGAAATTATACAAAAATGAATCAAACGCATTTTAAAAGATTGTTCTTGTATTATAAATGCTATTCGCAGATTTATTAGTTGAAGAAAATTACCAAATTTTTGCCGATTTACAAAAAATGATTTACAAAGCATATTTTTATAAGGCTTTAAAAATCTTTAAAATGTGACTGGTGACGGAAATCCATGGTAACCAACCGCGGTTCCCGTTTGGAATGCCATAATAAATACTCTCAAAACATACAATTTATATATTTTTTCTTTATATTATCAACTAATTAGTGATAATTTTTTTTGAATCAGATTTTTTTTCATTAAAAACATAATATATAACACAACAATGATGCACACATACGTATCTACACATCAAAATATAAAGCTTGTTTTGGTCTGGGCATCCCAACCCAAAATTCTTTAAAAATTGAATAAAATTGAATACTTGGGGCTGGGATACCCATCCCAAAACCGAATTGAATTTTTTGAATTAAAGAATATATTTATGTATTTATAATATACATGTGATGTCTATAAAAAATACTAAATTCTAAAAAAAATTCAATTTATTCAAAACGTATACTAAGTGATCACTTCATTAGTAGGATCAGCAATCCTACTAAACGGTGAGAACGCCACTAACTAAAAAGGGAGTCCTTGGAGCTCTTGATCTCTTGTCAGTAGAGTTCATAATGAGGCATGGCATCTACTGATTAGAGATCAGAGCAATCCTACCTTACCTTCAGGAGCTACAAAGCTCCTAATCGTTACGAGAGGGAGCCTTGGAGCTCCTGAAGCTCATCAGCAGAGGCTATTTACCATTTGGGCCTCTTTTGATGAAAGATGCGAAGCCCATCTACGAACCAGGAGCTCCAAAGCTCCTAATCCTTACGAAAGGGAGCTTTGGAGCTCCTGAGTCTTCATCAACAGAGTCCCAGTTGATAAATATCCTATGCTGATGAAAGATGCGAAGCACATCTACGAACCAGGAGCTTCAAAGCTTCTAATCCTTACTAAAGGGAGCTTTGGAGCTCCTGAAACTCCTTTTACTATAAAATAGGACAGTTTTCTTCTGAGGTTCTCATCAAATCTAAGACTTCAGAAGAAAGCTGTTCTATCAATGTATACTTACACTCTCATGGACTACAAGTGTACAATTTTAAGGCAGAGATTATCCGAGGCCTCTCATCAAATGAGGGACCTCGGATAATCTCTACCTTAAGTAGTCAAATAACTTTTCTCACTATTTAGGAACAAAAGAACAAGAGTTGGAGTACTTTAAGGCAAGATTCTTCCGAAATCTCTCATCGAATGAGAGACTTCGGAAGGACCTTGCCAAATCCTTGAACGCCAATATCCTTGGAACTGAGCTAGAACCAGGGAGAAGTAGCATACTATAGAGCACGATGGTAATCTCGGAAATGCTTATATCGCCCCAAGCACAATATTTAAGAAGTCTAACTCATATATACAAGAAGTCAGGCTGAATAGATATTGTGCATATGGTTTGCAGAACTCTCATGATATTTAAAATTCATGTTATCCCAAAAAAGGTGACATTTTGGGTGTATCGTCCATCCCAGGGATGCAAAAATCACATCACCTTGGATCTATAATTTCAAATTTTAATTTTTTGAAAAAAGAGGCCACCCGTATGTACGTTTATTTGAGAGGAGGAGGATTATATTTTTGAAAGGGTGAAACATTATGAATATGTTAATTATATAATAATATGTATTATTATAAAAAAGAAAAAATAAAGCACGTTAAAATTTTTCTTTCTTGATTTTTTACAAAATCTACTTAGAATTATGCAAAATATGACTAAATAATTATAAATTTCAAGTTAAATTTTAATTTTGATAAATAATTTAAATTTCAAAATATCAAGTTCAGTTCGACTATGTATGTAGTAATTCCTCAATAAAGTGCCAAAACCCTATTAAAATATATGAACATTTTCAACATTTTAATGTTTTTATTTAAAAATTTGATGGAATATGAGCTTCAAACAATTATTATGTAAATAAAAATAATTAAATATATGTATTTATTCGTATTACAACCGTAGTAAGTCGATTCTTCCTTTCTTCTACTGAGGTTTGAATTTGATTTCGAATTGTAAAGAGATTCAAAGGGAAAATACTAGCGGATAAAAACTACCTCCATGAAAGGGTCATAATGGAGTCAAGTTGTATTTTTTGATATTTTTTGCTTTTCGAGCCTAAATAGGTAGCCAAGATAATGCCTAAAAATAAGGTTCTAAATTCTGAAGTTTACATGATCCTCTCGTGTGCACCCTTAAACATAAATAATTATGATATTTAGGCTAATCATTGCAAATTATTTGATTTGAAATCATTATTTTATTTGAACTACTTTCATTACAATCAGAATGGAGATCTTTTCTTGAGAATGACACCAATAGCAATGATATCAATCATTCTACAAAGATAATGCTCCTTCATTATTATTTGATTCTTCAAAACAATCACTTGAAATTGCATGAATTAAAACTCATTTTAAAATTTGGTGAGAAAGATCTTTTTGTTGATGAGCCAAATTGAGCATTCATGGAAGTTTGTAACAGTAACATCTGACACACATTTTACATAGTAGATTGGCCAAATAGGTGCTGTGTTTCTGGTTTACTTCTCCTAGAAGATGAAGGAAAATCTCAATATATAGACTAAAAATTTAATTAGCTCAAATGAAACAGGTATATAAAACTCTAACATTATAGTTAATATGAATATTCATGATTCTTTGAAATTTCTTAGGGAGAAATGAATTATCGTTCCGATGAAAGGATTTCATAAATCAAAACAATGTTTTTATCTTTTTTCTTGAAGACAGCATTATCAGGAACTATAGTTGCAGACGTCAAAGGATTTAAAATCACATGTACTATATTATCTGATACAGAAATAGCTATTGGAGACGGAAACAAAAATGCTTTTGTAGAATATATAAAACCGATTACTAATTTTACATTACCAGAAACTGCACTCTATAACAACAAAGAATATAAGATTGCTGAAGTATCATCTTATGCTTTTACAGAATCGCCATTTAATAAAATCGTATTTCCAGCATCTGTGAGGAAAATCGGATCATATTGTTTCTTTGGATCCGAAAGGTTAGAGATACTATCCATTTCTAAGTGCAAAATTACAGAATTGCCACCTTATATTTTCGCAGATTGCCCATTGCTTGAGACAATCTTATGCTCAAAACAAGTTCACGAAATTGGAGAAGGTGCTTTCACCAATACAGGAATCACTTTCATTCATGTTCAGTCGCATTTTCAAGTTGTCAATCCGAAAGCATTTTCAGGAGCAAAATTAACCGAAGTAGATCTTTCCACTTGCTCTCTTACATCTCTTAGTGAGTCAATGTTCGAAAATTGTTCAGATTTGACCGATATTATTTTTCCAAATTCATTAGAATCAATTTCGCCATACGCATTTGCACGCTGCGGACTTAAGAAACTTACACTACCATCATCACTTAAGTCAATTGGGCACCATGCCTTTCATTCTTGCGAATATTTGGATTTTATTGACATTTCGAACTGCAACTTACAAAAAATAGAGCCATATTTATTCTCCCTCTGCACATATCTCCAAAGTGCAGTACTTCCTGAGAAAATTGTTGAAATCGGAGCGTTTTCATTTGCAAATACTTCATTATCTTATTTCAAACCAAACGAAAACCTTCAAATCATACGTGAAAGATGTTTCTTAGGCTGCAGGAAGCTCTCCGTTGTTGATTTATCAGATTCTCTCTGTCATACAATCGAATCTTACGCTTTTGCCGATTGTTCGAGCTTAGAAACGTTCCAAATGTCCACAACATTAGTCAACATCGAAGATTACGCCTTCATGTCCACAAAATTGACGAAATTTAGTTCAGTAATCGTTCAATTTCTCGGAAAAGGCGTTTTCTCATCGATTCGGACACTTAAATCCATTGATTTGTCCATGACTCATCTAACTGTTATTCCTGAATTCCTTTTCAAGGATTCTTATTCACTTCATTCGATTTTACTTCCAGAAAGCCTCAGAACGATCAAAGATGGTGCTTTCAGTGGAACAAAAATCACAGAGATACATATTCCAAGCTCAGTTTATAAAGTTGGACCAAAATTATTTGAATCTTGTGTAAACCTTGAAAAACTTGACTTAGGGTTTACAAATATCACTGAAATACCAGACAACTTTTTGGGTGAGTGTAGCCGATTGACAAAAATCATTCTTCCTCCTTTTGTTGAGTCGATTTCCCAAACTGCCTTCATTATGTGCTCCCAATTGAAGGAAATATACTACTTAGGACACAAATTGTTACCTGAAGGAATTCTGTTCCCTCCGAATTCGAATATTTATGTATCTCAAAAATATAAGTCAAAGAAATACGGAATCAAGGATATTCATGTTACAACAGACATGAATAACTATATTCCGGTATCAAATGAAGCTTTCAACCCAGAGAAACAAATTTCAACATCAAAAATTTCAAATTCAACGATGAGATCAAGAAAAATCCTCTGGATATGGATACTAGCTGCTGTGTTCATTTCATATTTCGTCTACACTCATTTCTTGGCGAAATCTGTGTTCATTAGAAGAAATCTTTTGAATCCAGCCAGGAAAACCCTCGAGAACCAAGGTCTATATGCCAAACCTGACCAATATATCTTATAACATTCTTTCTATTCTGTAATATTATTTATATTTATATTAAATAAAACTCATTTATATTTAAAAACAAGATTATTTTTATCCGTATTGAGAGTTGCTCTTAAATATATCAATTAAATCTTTAATTCTAAAATAATTTTTTCCAATTCAAAAGATAAAGCTAATTTATCATTATCACTCAGCGGTTATTCTTGTGTCGAATATATTTCTCTTTCTATTTGCGTTATTTTACTTTGGTCTCATGATCACGTTTTTTTCTGAAACATTCCGTGTAATAAAAAAAAGTTTTTTTGTTTATTTATGGATAAGCGGATAGACCTTTTCGGATTTGATATTTCTTTTCTTCCGAAATGGGCTATCCTCTTACTCGGAATAATCGGCATATTTGCGTCGTTTATTCTTCAAGGCTATTCTCACGAAGCCATATTCGGCAAATTTAAAATGAAAGAGGCTCTTTTCTTAACATTTGTTCAGTTCTTCGTATATTCTTCGATATCATTCAAGTTTTTTATTGATTTGGCCCGAAAAAAGACAATCCTTCATGCGCCATTCTGGTTTTACCTTATTACAGCTTTTGCACTTGTTGGATCGATGGCCTTATCAAATTACTCGTTGGAAAGAATCAGTTATCCAACACAAGTCCTTTTCAGATCTTCAAAATTAATCCCAGTCATGCTTGGAAGCTACTTTTTCCTCCGAAAACGCTACAGTCATATGGAAGTCATCTCAGTCTTCTTAACTGTTGCAGGTTTAGTCGGAATTTCAATGAGTGACAAAAAGGTTAATAATAAATTAAACCCTATAGGCCTAGTAGCAGTAATTTCATCCTTGTTTTGTGATGCCTTTGCATCAAACTTAGAAGAAAAAGCCTTTGCTACGTACCAAGCCCCACAAAATGAAGTCATTGCAATGGTCTACTTGATCGGATCAATAATCATTGGTATTGCATCAATACCAGTCGGACAGTTTACATCTGGCATGAAGAGAGTGATGACAGAACCAGTTTTGGACATTCAAATTTTACTTTTTTCTTCATTGGGTGCTGTTGGCATCCAGTTCATCTATTTACTGATTAACACTTTCGGATCTGTTGTTACTGTTATGGTTACTTCCTTAAGAAAAGCATTTACAGTTTGTTTATCATTTTTATTCTTTTCTGACAAGAAATTTACCAGATACCACTTGATGTCCATTATATGTATCAGTTTTGGTATAGGAATGAACATTTACGGAAAGCAGAAATCGAAGAGCGCAAGAAGATTATCAGATTTACCGGACAAGTCAAAATATGTGAAGCAGGAAGATGTTCCAGATAATGTTGATATAGGAGCATTAGCTGAGAAAAGAGAAGATGTCAAATTTGCATAATCCATGCAAAATTTTCAATTTTTATTTTAGATATGTTTGTTTGATTTTTCATATATAAATATTGTTTATTAATATTATGTTATCATGATAAAAATTCTGTGTTGACTATGATTTGGAGATAATATTGGAATATATTTAAATGCATCTATAATTTAATGTCAATAAAGTATCTCTACAATATTGCCTTGGTTGGCAAGGATTTGTGAAACATCATGGTGCTATGAGCCAAATCAATGGATATCTTTATGTTGTTAGCCTGTATTATCTGAAGAAAATCCCCGTTCCTAGCCTATATTATGTCTGTATGGAATCGTATCCTAGTTATAACTATCATTGATATTAACCTTTTTTTAGAACCTTCAATTTTGATCTGCACTTTTCTGAAATAAAAAAATGATTTCTCTGGAATCGAAGAAGATAAAATATATAATGTTACCAATCAATATAACTATCGCAGTATTATGTATTGCACTCATGCTTGCTATTTCATATTCAATAGAATTCGAAGATTGGAATAGATTTATTTTTATTTATCAAAAATTATTCCATCCAATTGCAACACCATTAACTGTCATCATATTGATAGTTGGCCAAATCGGAATACTTAGATTCAACAAATGCTGGTACTTTAGCTATGCTTTCATACTTCTAATTCTATCTATTATTTATTTGCTATTAGTTATACTCGCATTTCGTCTTGATGGAAATGAAACACTCAAAATGAAACAATATTTCAATCATGATCCTCAATATTTCCAATATGAAATACGTAGAGTTTTATCATTATTAAATGTATTAGACTTTACACCAACAACATGCTACTGTGGTGAGCAAGAAAAAGAAAATTACACAAAATGCGATAGTTCAAAATTTTATTACGTTTTCTACCAATATTTCATTGAAAATAACGTAAATCCGAAGAACCGAAATTGTAACTACTTTGCTGATAATTCTTCCCATATATACGAAGACGTTGGGTTTGATGTTGCCGTAAAAGAGAAAATCACACAGAAATTCCACCGTAAATACAAGGGATTAGTAACTACTAACTTCATATTGTTATTCTCTTACAATATTTTTATCTTCCTCTTTGCAATCTTTGTTAAGGTCAAATAACATATATTTATTTGTTTTTTTGTATACAATATATAAATGTTCTGTTTCGGTTTAGCTTCTTTAATCTTTTTCTTCGTTCTTGTCTCTTCATATCAAATTTGATCGAATAAATTCGAAGTTTTTCTTTGACTTTGACGAAAAACCAAATATTAGATACATCCAAGATACTGATTTTTTCATCAAGACATAAACGAAATTTGATATAAAATGTCAAAATTCCAAAAAAAATCAATTAAAATCATTTTGCTGTAGTACATTATTGCACGCAAATTTTATATGGAAAGTGATGTGTTCGTTCAAAGACACTTTTGATATTCAATTTTATCACATTTTATGTCTGAGCAAAATCAAACAGCCTTTACAATTGTCGTCAAGCCAGGAGAAAGCCAGAAGATCAGCTTCGAAGGCAAAGAACAACTCAGATTCATGCTTGTTAATGCCCACCTTGTTGGAGAAGATCTTAAACTTACCAAAGAAGAGGTTGTCACAATCAAGTACTTAGAATCTCTTGATGACAATGAACCAGAACAGAAGTCAACCGAAGTAGCCAAGTTTACAGAGGAGAACAAGGACGTTCAGGACATCGAATTCAATTGCGGTGCATTGAACGAGGCTACAGTCGAAGTTGCTGGCGAATTCCCAGTAGAAATCGAAGGTGTCTTCTACGAAGATAACGATGATGAAGAAGAAGAGGAAGAAGAAGAGGAAGAAGAAAAGAAGGAAGAAGAACCAAAAGAAGAAGAGAAGAAGGAAGATAAACCAGAAGAAGAAAAGAAAGAGGAATAAATTTTCCATGTAATACATATATTTATGAATATTATTACAACAAAATATATCCGTTATATATTTTGAAAAACCTCGGTTGCGGCCAATTGAGATTTTATTTGTATTATTTTTATATGTATAGCATTTTTATCATATTTTTTTCAACGATTCGCTTCAAAAATCCTTGGAAAATTATTTTTTAACGTTTTCTACCCAAAATCATTAGAAAAATGCATTAGTTTGTATTGTATATGTATAATATTTCTTTAATTTTCAAAACAAAATAAAATAAAAAAATAATTTTGAAATGCCAACATTTGGTCATTGATAAACTTAAATTTGAGGAAGACAATGGTTGACTTACTTCTTGGATAACCCAAACAATCGTTTTCCTAAAGAAAATTTCAAAATCTAAAGTAAATAAAAACTCTTTTTTTATTTTCAGAAAAGAAAGCATGTTTCTAACATGTTACATGACCATAGAATATAAAATAATTAAATTTCGATTTCGATATCTGTTTCATCTTCGCTATTATCAGTTTCATATCCATTGAGTCTAACAACAATTGGCTCTAGTTTAATCTTACTCTTTGTTTTAGTAATTTTCAAAGGTTTTTCTTTCTCTACTTTCTTTTCTTTTTCTGGCTTCTTTTCCTTTACAGGATTAGTTTTATTTGGTCGTACCTTATAGTTTAAGGGTGCACACGAGAGGATCATGTAAACTTCAGAATTTAGAACCTTATTTTTAGGCATTATCTTGGCTACCTATTTAGGCTCGAAAAGCAAAAAATATCAAAAAATACAACTTGACTCCATTATGACCCTTTCATGGAGGTAGTTTTTATCCGCTAGTATTTTCCCTTTGAATCTCTTTACAATTCGAAATCAAATTCAAACCTCAGTAGAAGAAAGGAAGAATCGACTTACTACGGTTGTAATACGAATAAATACATATATTTAATTATTTTTATTTACATAATAATTGTTTGAAGCTCATATTCCATCAAATTTTTAAATAAAAACATTAAAATGTTGAAAATGTTCATATATTTTAATAGGGTTTTGGCACTTTATTGAGGAATTACTACATACATAGTCGAACTGAACTTGGTATTTTGAAATTTAAATTATTTATCAAAATTAAAATTTAACTTGAAATTTATAATTATTTAGTCATATTTTGCATAATTCTAAGTAGATTTTGTAAAAAATCAAGAAAGAAAAATTTTAACGTGCTTTATTTTTTCTTTTTTATAATAATACATATTATTATATAATTAACATATTCATAATGTTTCACCCTTTCAAAAATATAATCCTCCTCCTCCTCTCAAATAAACGTACATACGGGTGGCCTCTTTTTTCAAAAAATTAAAATTTGAAATTTTGGGCTCAAATATTAGAGATTTTTTCAATCTTCAACGATATATGTTGTCTATATCAGACCTCCTTTCTTTTTGATACTTAACATTGTTCCTAAATCTTAGCCGTTAAGGCTGTTCTGAAAATATTTTTTTTTCGAAAAAATTCGAAAAAAATTCTTAAAATTCAAAAATCCCTTAATTACTGAGGATTTTGGAAAAAAGTTTTTACATGAACATGTGTATATTATATGAAGTATATTGATAAGGTAAAAATCAAATTTTATTGCATATTCATCGAGAAAATAAACTAACGAATCCCTCAAAATTGAGAGGGTAATCCTCCTCCTCTCAAATAAACGTACATACGGGTGCACCCTTAATGGATGGAAATGATATAATAGTAAGTAGTGAAATAGAGCTATAATTAGCTATTTTATTAGCTTTCGGTTTTAATTTGTTCAGTTTTTGAAATACGTTTTTATATTTAGATATTTTCCCTTTTGTCAGTATCAACGTAATGGAATTAGATTCATAACATTTATTAGACGTATCACAAACCTTTGCTTTGACAATTTTTACCCCTTCGTTCATGATTAGATCTGATTCAAATTCTTCTGTGAATGGTGTGAGTGTCCAAACATCAGTGATTGTTTTGTTATTTACTTTAATTTCATCCTCGTTAAAGAAAAATGTAAGAGAAATATCACTGTTTTTATATGCACATATATATTCACCTGAAATAGAAAAACTTCGGTTGTTGATTCGATCAATTTTGTTTGGAGTTAAATCATATAATCTGATAATTGGATTTGGATATACAATATTAACAATTTTTGATTCTGAGAATGGAAAAGATTTGCCTTTTAAATCTGTGATTGAAAATTCAATCAAATTTTCACCTTCAATGAATGAATCATCAATAGAAATTTTAATTGAACAAGTATCATATGAATCATCTGGGATTGTATATATATGCTTTTTCGAATTAAAATCGCCGTTGATTATCTCTTTGAAAATTATTTTTCCTGAACCGTCAATATCTCTAATACGAAACTTAATTTCAATGTTGTTGTCAACATATTTAATATATTCCTTCTTTGATGAAGGAATCATTGAAATAGAAGGATCATTATATAAATATTTCACATGAAATCGTTCAACTGTTCGATTCTGTGTCGTATCATAAACACTAACATTCAGATCGTAATTTCCTTCTCGAATTGCATCTGATAGAGGAATATTAATTGAAAATCAATTAGAAATTATTGTTCCAAAATATTCTTTATTGTTAAATATAGCTTTAATTCTGGCATCTGTATTTTCTGTACAACTTTCAAAGTTTCCCTTTATTTCGATTTCTCTATCAATATTGTTTATATATTGATTCTTCGGAGTTCGAGTGAATTTAAGAGTTGGTAATGGTACAATAACAGTAAAGTTATTAGATTGTATAATTTCTGATTTAAATTTGTAAGTATTATAATCATAAAAACTGATAAAACATAAGATGCTGTAATTCTGTGTCTTATTTGGCAATGGCAATGGCATTGAAATATTAAATTCATATAGGAGTGGGTTTTGATTAATTCGATATTGCTCACTAACATTTATTATCATAAACTGTATTTCGCTTGGATCCAAGGCATAAAATATTATCATTTGATATGGAGGATCTTTCACATAAATATATCCATCGATTTTTGGGTAGGAACATACATCAAATATAGTCATTCTGCCAGAAATATAGCTCAGATTTGGCTTGGTATAAATTGGCATAAATCTTAGCGTTGGATCCACATAAAATTGGAACATTAATGAGGGTCCCCCTTTTTCTGATTTTGCTCTTAATGTCAGAGTATGATTGATATATGGACCATGGTCCCAGGGATGTATACTAGACGATCGTTCATATGCTTGTAAATCACCTGGTATATCAACAAAAATAATAAAATCTGCATAAAAGAATCCATCATTGGGATTGATTTGAAATGGATTAATATATCCGCCAGATATTATTGGCCTCGAATCAATTTGATAAGATATACTTGGTTTGAAATTGGAAATATGTTTTATCTTCCCTATTATTAGATATCCACTTATTTGATCTAATTGCTGATATCTAGTATACTCCTTATCAACAATTAATTCTGGTCCTATTGTTTCTAATTTGAGTTTATTATTTTGTGATTTGAAAATATTTTTTGTTGGTTTAGAATAACGATGATAATATTGTTCAAGTTCAATGAAAGAAATATTGAATTCGGACTTTGGTTTAATAGTAATGTTGTCCCATGAAATATTGATAGTATCATATTTGTTGTTATTATTATTTATGTTATCTTCGGATGAAAAAATAGTTGAAGAAGAAGGGGAGTATGAAAGTTTAAGTAATTTATCTTGTTTGACGAATCTAAGAATATTGTTGTCAATGTCTTCAAAAATAAATGAATCTGAACTGTAATTGAGAAGAAGTTCGAAATTGATGTTTTTTGAAAACGAGTTATTGTTGTAAAGTCTGTAAATAAATCGATTGTTTTCTTCATCAGTATTAATAATGATGTTATCATATATGTTTTCTGAAAAATTGACCTCTTGGTCTTTAACTTTGACAAATGATGCAACAAAGAATTCACTTAATCCAAATCCTTTCTCTGTGAATTTCCTATTTAGAAATCTTTTGATTTTTTCAGACGCATCATTGCTTGATTTCACATTATCATAGAGATATTTTCATGTAATATCTGAAATTTCAAAAAATTGTAATTGTTAGGGGTGTGAAGCGTACAAAAAATTGTTTGTACTTTCACATCATTTTTCACAAGTTATTGCTTATCAAAAATTGAAAAACAGAAAAAGTATGTTTAATATAAAACTTATTTTATATAAATATAAATCAAAATAAAACAAAATTATAAAAAATAAAATAAAATAGAAAGTATAAAAATTAGAACCATGGGAAGTAGTGTTTTGGTAAATCTGTTGCTTTCGTGGCTTCAATGACATCAAGGATGTTCTGGTACCAGCGAATGCAGCTGTCTTTAGATGTGTTGCATGGATGTGGAGGTGAAAATGCAATAACTCTGTTCTCGAACTGTTCAGCCATCGAATGAAGTTTATAGAAATCACCTGACAATGAGTTGTCGCTGTCTGTAAGAATCTGGTGGAGAATGGCTCTCATAGCGGAGATTTCCATAACAAATGAATGTGCGGCGGCGGCCATAGCAAGTGAGAATTCGCCTTCGAAGTTTGGACCATAGAATCGAGCATAGTTCTTAGACATCCTGAAGTTCGGACATCCTGGACATTTGCCGATGCCTGATGGATCAACAATCCTTGCTGATGTAGCGTTGAACAAGATACAGCATGTCTCTGCTGTAGGATAATCAACTGCAAGAAGATTGCCGATGACGGCAGAAATAGCATGTGAACGCATGAAATATGTTCGGAATTTGACGAATGATTGGATATCCCACTTCGAACTCATGTATTGCAAAAGAGCGGTGTCGGGTAATTCATTGACATCTCTTTCTGATTTGATGAACTCGTCGATGTACATTCGCTCATGTTGGACGAAGATCTGTGAAAGACTCTTGTATTCGGCAGCAACCATGATCATAGCGTAATCTTTGCCAATCTGGAAATATTCGTAAATAGGATAATTGATGTTTCTGATTCGTGATAAATATGTTGCTGACATGATGTCGTGTGCTGTGTATGTGAAGTTTGTGAATGACTCCATGAAAACGGCTTCGAGTGATGACCGAGTAGGACTGATGATGATAGTAGTGTTGTTGCCTTCTGATGACATGAATTTCATCAACAAAATGTTGTCGTTGATGTAATCGAAATTCTTGTGCAAATAATACAATGAAATGTGTGAATAAATGTCATTGTGTTTCTTAAGTGTCAACATGTTCCCGTTGCTGACTTCCATGAATGTTCGATTGATCTGTTCAATGACATCGAAATTGATATCCAATTCGAAATATCGTTGAACAAAACCTTCGATGTCGTTCTGGTTTTGTTTGCATTGTGAATGGAACTGACAGAAATCGGAGATCTTTTCAACATCAACAATATTTAATTTAGAAGCTGCTTGTTGCAATGGATTAATGTATCTTCCAACTGTTAACAGTTCATTAATGTCGATTGTTGTTGGATCATCGACATATAAAACTTGTTCAACAAATTTACAAAGAACATTAAAACGAGCAATTTCTCTTGGATTATTTTGGAAAATTAATGAACAATAATTCTCGAAAACTTCAAGTTCACGAAGTTGTGAAGGAGCATTATCATTTGCCCATTTCCTTTGTAACAAGTCTGCAACGTCACGAGCTTCTAACTGTTGTGCAGAAATCAATGCTCTTTGTGGCATTTCCATGAAAATATCATGTGCCAAATCAAACAACCATCTGTGTTTTCCGAGAGTGATGAAATGCTGCAACCATGTTCTCCAGATATAAGTGTTATCTTTGGCGAAGATTCCACTGTTGTCTTGAACACTTTTGATGTATTCTGGAGTTCCTGTTGTTGCCGCGTGATTAATCAATGTCAACATCATTGCAACAGCTGTGTGTTTCCTTGCGTAACTTGGTTGTGTCACAGCAACTTTCGCACAAGCGTTGAAGACAGTGGAAAACGTTTCTGGAGATTGGAACGCCATGAAAACATTGAACGAGAAAATCATCATCGAATACCACTCGTTATTCGTCATTTTGTTTTCTTGGATGTTTCGTCCCATTGTTTGGAAGAAATTGGAGATTTGTTCACTTCCTGCTGCAACTAATCCACCTTCTGTGAATCCCAAAATTGTTGGTAATTCATAAGCGAAACTTGGTTGCAACAAAAGGTAACATGGTGAATTTGGAATTTGGTCGGCCATTCTTCTCTTAGGAATTGCGTGGACATTTGAAATCATTATTTCATAACCAGTGAAAAGAGAAGGAGAAATCAACTGTGACATGTCTAACAATTGATATTTCTCATTACGTAATGACTTCCTGAAAATATCCATTGCACACATGATCATGATAACTCTTTCTTTCTCGAATATTGATTTGTATTTCCTTTTCGTCAAGGAATAAATCAAATTAGAAAGTACTCTTTGTTCAGCTTCTTGTGTTGGCTGAACCAATTTGTCCCTGCACTTCTCGCCCATGTCCCTGAGTGCTTCGATTGTTTCATCAACAGCGTTTTCTGTCTTTCTCATCATCAAGAAAACGTTATTAACTAATTTGTTCGTTTTGTTGATGTTGAATCTGTTTTGCATCGATTTCAATGCGAAAAGAACTTTGCATTCCGGCCTTGGCATATCTTGGAAGACAATATCAGCAGTCTGGTATTGTTGTAGCATTGTTAGAGCTGCGGCTGTTCTTTCTTGGTTGCTCCATCTTGGAGAATAGAATGAAAAGATTGCATCGTTATTCACATTCGGTTTGAATTTTTGAATGGAAGGAACTTCATCGGCATCAAAGAAAGCGGAAGACATCAATGGATCGAAAGAGTACTTCAATGCTCTCTCAGCTGTGTTCAATGGAACTTTGATGTGTTTAATGTAAAATGTGTGAATCAATGCTGATAAAATCTTGACATAATATTTCTTGTTTTTGATTGATGTCAAAATTCTCAACAAATCAGCGAATTCATCTTGATTTTCTTCGTTTATAACATTGATCAAAACTGTTTCAATCAGTTCATCACCAACTCTCGTCAATAAATGACTCAAACTAAACAATGGATAATAACAACCGTCTTTTGGTGTCAAAACCGCCGCGATAACCGGCAAAAATCTGTCTCTCCAAAGAGAAATATTCAAATAGTTTTTGAGTAAAAAGGCTGCCTTTGAAATGTCTTCTAACGGAAGATAAGATTTGATGTGATCGATTGCATTGATTCTCATTGGATTATCATCAGAACTTGCTGCGATAACGTAGAGGTTGAAGATTTTCACGGAAATGTCAATTTCGTATTTTTGACAAACTTCAATGAAATCTTCATATAAATAGCTTGAAACATTGAAAGCTTTTTCGATGACGAAATCAATGATCATTTCTTTGGATGTCGGACAAACTTCATCGCTCTTGATTAATTCACTTGCCATCTTCATAAATGTCGTTTCATTTTCAGGTTGGTCTTCAATGTGATCGAAAACAAATTTGAGTAAAATTTGTTGGTCATTATTCAAATAATCCGTTGAAAGAACGGTTTTGACAAGGTATTCAAAGTATCCTGGCAAATAATTTGGATTTACTTTTGGATAGTTAGATAACAAGAAATCCAAAGTATTTGAAGAGATATCAGATAAATGGAATCTGACGAGATGATCAGTGAACAACAATAATCTTGAAGTATTTCTCGTGTTGAAATTCAAAACTAATTCCTTGAAATAATTCAAAATTACGTTTTTCATTGACAAAAAGAATTCCTTGTTAATGAAGATATGGTCAATTAACATGCTGTAGATTGGTTTATAAGCAGAGATGTTTGGATCAGTGAATCTAATAGCGCTATCGATAATTTCAGCCTTTTGTGGAACATCTCTTTCGAAAATTTCCGGCCAATATTTCAAAGAAATCGCGAGATACATCAATGAACATGAATTCACTGGTAACTTGACTGCTCTGACTATACTTGAGTCAATGGAATCTTTGCTGCCATGTTCCATGATAAAAGTGACAAAATTGATCATTAACTCGTATTTTTTGAGAGCTTTGATATGATCCATGAAAATCAAAGCAATTTTTACAAGTTCGTTGAAATTCTCGCCTTCGAAAATGAGATCCTTATTGAGTTTGTTCAGTTTAGTGAACATCCTGATTACATTGGATTTTTCTGACATGCAATTTCTTGAAATTTCATTAGAAATGACAGAAATGAATGAAAATGGCAGATATTTTTGTAAAACAGGAGTATTTGACAAAATTTGTCCCAATCTTATGAAATCACTCAAACTCTGTGTGTAGTTGTTGCAGTAGAGATGGAGTGATTTGATGGATTTAATTGGCAAATCCTCTAAATACTCTTTGCAGGCTTCCAAAAGTCCCAAAGAATGTTTTTGATAAGGGAATTCGAAAAATTTCGAATAATAAAACAACAAATTGAAAATTTTGTGGAACAAAAATGGTGGCAACAATTTCATGATTTGCAACTTCTTGAGTAACTTCAAAGCATAAACAATTGTTGTAACATCTCCATCTGATATTGATTCAGAAGATATTTTAAGAATTCTTTGCAAAATCGGTTGTTTTGGTGCAGAAATTCTCAAAATTTCTTTAATTGCGTGGAATGTTGGTCCCAAATATCTTTTGTCTTCAATGATTTTCATGACACCGCTCCACAGTTTGTCGATGAAATCTGGATCATTTCTTTCGATGCATTTGATGCAATTTGGCAAGATGCAATTAACTAATGTAGGATCACATTTCTGCCATACATTGTATATTGCTGAAGTCAAGCCAATTGCGATTTCATCGTTGTCTTTTGTCAGAAGTTTTTGTCTGAAGTAATGATACAATTCTGACTTCTGGAAATAATTCAAAGAAAATACTTTCGTGAAATTCAAGATGAAGAAATTGTTCTTGTTCTGTGGATACAACTTGCAGGCATAACAATTGATCAATGCATATGAAATCTCTGTCAAAGAATCATAGTAATTGTCAAATGTCTTTTTGTTGTCAGAACATTGTTGATAAGTGAATTTGAAAGCATTTTCTAATCCTTCTGAAAGATTAATGGAACAGAACTTTGGATCATCAGTTAATACATGTATTAACCTGTAGATAAATGATTTGATTCCCAAACAATCCGGTCCACAATTGATTCTCTGGTAAAGTGAAGTGAAAATTGTCAAAGAAGAATCATTTGAAATCATATCATAACAGAAATCGAAAGCGCAAGGAATATCTTCACTGAACAAAAGAGCATCAACTGATTCAGCGGGATATGTTACCATGAGTCTGATAACGTATTTCTTTACCAATTGGATGTAAGCGATGTTTTGGTTCGCGTAAATATTTACTAAACTCTTCAAAATCGCTTTCAAAAGTGGTTGGTCGTCAGAAACTTTCTTCATCAATGATCTCTTTGTGTTTTCATTAGCCAAGAATGTCTTTAAGCAAAGAGTTTTCATCATATGATAGAAAACATTTGTTGCTTTGATTCTATCCTCATCATTTTTGTTTGCGAACTCGATAATTCCCAATCCAAGAGTTTCAGCAAATTCCGGTGGAGTTTTTTCTGGAATATTTTTAACTCTTCTCGAGAATTTCGGATTTGTCGAACTGAACAATGCTGCAGGAGATGTTTCTATTGGCCTTGCAATTGCCTTATTCAAATAAGGAGTCATTATCTGTTCGATGTGGTCGTTTTGTTTGATTGCTTGCAAAGCTAAAGTTACTAATTCCGCCAACAAAGAGTTTCTCGTGTAAAAAGTGTGAACAATGCTCAAACAAATCATCTGCAATAACTGTTGTGATCCTCTGAATGATTCAAATATACTTGGACATAATGTTACAGCCCATGAAAAAGTGACAGTTTTAACCGCTTTTTCAATTGAACCTGATTCATCATTCATCTGGAATAACTGTGCAGATCTTCTTATTATCATATCATTTGCTTCGGTGATTGTTCCACTGAAAACTGCCAAAGTAAACTTATGATAAAAGTTTTGTATTGGACAACTTTCGAGTTCGTATAAACTGAACGCTCTGATTCTTCTGTTGATTCTAACGAACAGTTTATTGATGATGTGTCTGATATAGAACGACATGCTCAAGGCTGATGTATAAACCATGTTAAGGAATTCATCTTTTCCTTGATCGTTTTGATTATCGACAAAAGTGTCAATAAACGTCTTGAAAAGTGTCTTGAAATAATCGTCCATGTTTTCTGATGATATATTCAAGAGCATCCTGCAATCAGCCATTGTAAACACTGTTGGGAGGTGCTTAATGAAATACGAGAATGTTGTCAAAACAGTGTTAGATCTGAACTTGTGATCACTCAAATCTAAAACATGATCAATGATTTGACGAACTTTATGTTCTGTCAATCCTTTCTCGAGTAAATACTTGATCAAGTTTTGCGCCATGTCTGTAAGGTTCAAGAACATTTCGGCTTTGAATTGTCCGATTGTTTCGAAAAGTGAAATCAAGAATAAATTGTCACCTTTTTCTAATAATCTGTCACCGAATTTGATGACCAACATATCACTTAATTTCTTGGCTTTCTGTTTATGTGAATCATTAGAGAAACAAGAATTCAAGAGTATGAACATGTTGATCAATGTTTCCTTGGAGACAAGGTTTCGTTCAGGTCTTTGTTCCAAGAAAGAATTGAATGCAACATTCAATAAATTCAATAAATGGAAAATTTCATCTTTTGAAACAACACTTAAATCCAAAATTGATTTAAGAATTGCATTCAAATCGAATCCGAAACCACCATATTTTATTGGATTGTTTTCTTTGAATGTTGGTTTCTCAGGTTTCAAGTAGATCTTGAAGAATTGTGGTGTATGTTCCAAAATACTTTGCATTGTATTTGGATTTGCTTTGTTCATTGTTTTGAACCACAATTTCGGAATTCTCATGATATGTTCATTGTTCTTTTCATTGAATTCATCGATACAAGAATCAATTACTTGTGCCAAATATGTACCCGCTGCATCAATACAACCATCATCTTCAGTATTAAACGCTGTTTCCAACATCGGAGCGAAAATGTTCAAATTCAAGGCAGATTTTGTTTCATTTGCGTATTTGAACTGTTCTCTTATAGATAAAAGGAAGGAACAACGCTCGGAATCAGTGATTCTAAATGCTCTTGGTTTAATGAAGATCCTTTGTTTCATGTCGTAATTCGATTCATCTGGATACAGTTTTAACAAAACATGAGTTATTACATCAACCATTTCCCAAATTGGTTTAGTGACTGTGAGCATTTTCAAGTGGATGACAATACCGAAAAGAGTTATCCTGTTATATGTAATCAAGGATAGTATGAAAGGAGAATTCCGGTAGACTTGTCTCGTAGCTTGTGCAAATCTAATTGTGAAAATTACCCATTGAGAAATTAAATTTATCGGTTTAGTGTCGACAGCGAAAAGATTCGTGATTCTGTCTGGTATCTGTTCAAGCATAACTTGTGCTAATCTCACAATCAATGGATGTGTTTCTTGGACACATATCGATTCGAAAAATTTTACTAAGTTTAAGGTTAATTTTTCTTGTTTGCAAGCGTTGAATAACTCTGTAGAAAGGGCTCTTACGATATCGTTATGGTACAAAGGATTGATCTTCTTGATTACGTCAAATAACTCTTTGAAGGACTTGAATTCGTCGGTTTTCTTAAAATTCAAGATTAATGGAGAGACATTTGGCGAAAGATCTTGGACAGACAACTTGTTGTTCAATATGAAATGGTTTACGATCAAATTGGCGTGTGAAAACGCAATTGCAAGTTGGATAAATATTCTTGTAATTAATCTAACGTAAGAACGATTTGTTTCTGTCCTGTAGTTATTGGCTTCGTCAAATACGAAGGCTTCGATAAGAGTTGTGCTGAATTGCTTGAAGAAATTGACAGTTTCTGGTAATTTCCTTTTTATTGTGTCCCAGTGAACAATTATATCTTCAATGGCTTTGATATACTTATCTTTCTCATTGAAGAATATGATCTTGTAGTTTGTGTTCAAAAGAGAGTCGAAATAATGAGAATCTGTCAAATGGCTGCTTTGTTCAGCAAAAGTGCAGGTATAATTGTAAATCTGATTTGGTATAATGTTGCTAAATATTGATGTTGGCCCGTTAAAGCAAACAGCATTGAAATTTGTTGTTTGGAAAATAATTGAAGAAATTGTATCGGCAATGTGTCTTATAATGATGTAAACTTCCCATGATCTGTTGTTTTTGTGCTCATTGAAAAGGTATTTGATGAAATCATGTTTATAATTTGATCTTATCGGATGTTCTACGTCAATTACCCTTCGGATTGCATTGCATATCAATACTAATGTTCTGTTTTTCTGTTCTGTAGTTTGTAACTGTAAGTAGAACAAAAACATTGAGCCCCATTGAAACATTCTTTGCATATCATGGTATAATTGGCCGGAAATTTTGTCAAATTGTCTAGTAATGATTTCTATTTGACTTGGAAGTTCTTGCGTAGGCTTTTGACCAACAAATTGTTTAAATAATCCCCACCAACTCGAAAAAAAGAGGGAGATGATAGTTGACGGAGGAAATCTATCGGAACTAAGAATGGACGAATAGGAATTTAAAAGAGTAATGTAGAAATTTTGATATTCTTGATAATTTTCAGCAATATTTGCTTGTGGATATCTAAATGCATCAGCAAGAAATGTAAGTGTCGAAAAGTTGGGATTGACTTTGGTGATTTTATCGATTATTTGGAAAATTTTACTTATTTCTTTCTGAAACTCAGCAAAAGGAAGATTTGAGCTTAAAAATGAAAGCACTTTCTGGGAATAAAACCAAGAAGGAGCTGAATAAAATGATATAGGATTCTGTTCCGTCTCTATATTTGTTAAAGTTTCATTAAAAATTTCTCGCGAAGTAGATATAACATCTGAATGGTTTGGTATTTCCATTAGCTGTGAAAATATCAATTCAAACAGCACAGGATCTGTATTGTTTAATTTTTCTGGTTCTGTATTTATTGAATTTCCACGGAGAAATCGGAGAAAGAGACGTAATGCTATCTCTATTAAGATTTTTTCTTGTGAGTGATATACATTTAGCTGCTTTCTAACAAAATTATCCAGCTGAAGTATAAAATCTTTGAGATTTTGATTTTGTATATCATTGTACTGGATGAACATTTTTCTGAGCCATGTAAGAACGCTCGGTAATTGCTGTTCAGTTTGGTTTCCGAGAATTCTTTCTAATTCATCCATTTTTTGATTTTTTTCAAATTTTCGCGGGATTTTAGTGTTTACATTTTCATATGAAAACATACTATACAATGCGTGTATTCAACGAATTTCAATAAATATTTGAACTAGTGCCGCTAAAATAAAATTGTTAAATTTGAATGATGACTTATAATCATTTAACCGTGTTATCTTAAAATTTTCAAAGTATTATAGCATGGAAATCAAATTAATGATCAAAAATTTTTAAAATAATTTTATCAAATTTATATTCTATCAAACTATATATAATATTGTGAGAAGATGACTTATTGCATGGGACTGTTTTATTTGAGGTTAAAAAATATTGCAATGATGGAAAAATAAAAGTTGAACATTCAAAAATATTCAATCTATGAAGAAGTGCTCAATTAAATATGAATTATAGATGTCTTTTGTGATCAAGTACAACCAATTTTATCAAAGGTAAGCAATTTTTCAAAAATAATTCATTACTGAATTCAGAACTTTTGACTGCTATTCAGGAAAGTCTGTGAGCAAATTAGATCTGCATAAAGCATCATGCCTTCCCTGTAAGTTTGACTTGTCAAGGGTCAAACTATAATTCAAATTTCAGGAGATTTTTACTAAACTTTTTTTTCTGAGTGAAAAAAATTCCATCCACTAAATCCCATATAATACTTCTGAATGTATAGATCTGTTTCTGCATATGAAAGATTTGGAGTTGGAGATGAATTTTGTGGGTATATGGATAGGCTAGAAGAAAACTATTCAAATGAGCTTGCAAAGGAAATTATTAAAAAATTACATGAACGAGCAATTCATTTTCATTTCAGAAATAAAATATTTGCAGGAGTTTACGATAGAATTGAGGACATCACTCAAAGAAGGCTTGATCAAGAAGAAAAATGTAATTTGGAGAATGAACTTAATTTTATTGATCCAAAAGATTATAATAGCACACTTGCTGACTATTCAGCCAAATTGCAAAAAATTGATAACACAAATCTCAATCATGTTAAAAATTATTATTTATCAGAAAACGCTCTAAAGTTGGGAATGGAAAGAGCGGATGTTATCTCAGATCAGTATGATAGATATGATGAACTTCTTAAAGAAATTGAGAATTTAGATAACGAAATTTCAAAAATCCGAAATAAAAACGCTGAACTTCGTAGACAAATTAATCATTATACGAAAAGGCCAAATGAAAATAAGGAAAAGGAGGAACAGCTGAAGAAAATTTACAAAGAATATAAGAAGAAGCATATTAAGCCTTCATCTCTTAAATCCTTATTTAGTGTCTAAGTAGAGTTGATGTGGTTCTTGTTTCAACATTAGTTTTTCATGTTAATAATGATTTTGAATAAAAATTTTGTTCTTGGATTAAATGATAGTTTGTTTAATTGGATTATGTTTTTCTGCAACTGCTGTATTTGCTCCTTTTCTAGAAATCGCATTGGTACAAAAAACAGAATCATAAAAAATGCTCATTATTTGTAAAATGAATTCTGACATTTGAACTTTACATTGAAATAAAATTAACTGTATCCCAATCAAGAAACAAAATTTGGTTGTTTGATGTAAACTGATTTTCATTCAAATATTTACGTTTATCAAAATTTTATGGAAAATGCAATTCCTCAAACTGACATTCCATTTATTCAAATTCCTCATATATTAAAAGAAAGCCAAAAGAAAAGAAAAGCTCAATTTGCTCGTGCAAACATGTCAGCGCAAATACAAAATTCATTTCGTGCAAGTGCAAAATCAGGAACAACTATTCGAATGAAAACAGCAAGAAATGGTGGAACACATCGACATTTCTTTGACGCTTTGAGTGATGACTTACAGGACGTCACAAACGAGTCTTATTCTCTTTGGGATCAATATATTGCAGCACGAGACATATTTCAATCATTAATAGATCATTTTCCAAATCAAAAAGAAGGACTTAATAAAGTTAAATCAGGTTATGATAATCAATTAGAAAAATTAAATCTGACGATTCAAGGATACAATAAGAATAAGCTTATACGACATCAATCTCAGCGAGAAATCAATAAAGAGATTGAACAACTTCGAAAAAAGTACGAAACGAAAAGGAAAAAACTCGTTGACAAAATTTGGTTAGCTCGTGAGCAAATTACGCTGACAAAGCAAGATAACCAAGAATTACAAGAGTCAAAAAAGCAATATATTGCTGATAATACACAGTTGACTTTTAGTTCTGAAGGAAATGTTCACATCTTACAAGAATTTGAAATTGAATGCAATATTTTATCATCAAAATACAATTCTATGAAAGAAGAATATGATAACATAATAGAAAGAACCAAAGCAGCTGAAATTGGAATACATGATGGTAGGATCAGAATTGGAGATGTTTTAGAAGATATATCTATCTCAACAAAGGAATTAGATAAATTAAATCACGAAATACAGAATATCGAATCAAAAATCGATGAATTAAATCAAATGAAAAGTAATGTTGAAGAAACGACACGAAGTAAAGAGTTGATTGTTTTGCAAAAGCAAAGGGAATGTGCTGATGTAGAAAAGAACATTGAAGAATTTAAGCAAAAAGTTAACGAATTGAAGACTAGTATCATCTTACTTATTGGTAGGTGTGAAGGCAGAAAGCTACCAGAAGAACCTCAGCAACTTTTGCAATTTTATATTCAAAATTGCAGATAATGTTTATGTAAACTTTTAAAACTATTGTTTGTATTTTTATTAAGAACTTAGTAATATTTCTTATTCCAACACATACTCTTAGTGTCTAAGAATCGGATTCATTATAAGAATATGTCTGTCGCCCGATTTCTTGTTCACAAACATCATGTATTATTGAATCGCAATTGTAGAAGCGATGCTGAACAAATTCGGATAAGAATCTTTGAATTTGAAAGAATAAGAATTTTATTTGCATCAGTTGATGATTTTAAATAGTACTCTAGTCCCTTAATCGAATGATATATCAAAGTGAAATCTTTTTATCATAAAAAAATATTTGTGAACCGCTGTCAAATAAAAATTCTCTTTGATGGATTTTAAACTTGTTGCTAAGATTGGTGGTGCCCTTGCTGTACTTACCATCGTTTCAAACCTTATTGCCACATTATTGCTTGGCTTCTCAATTGCTTCAACAATCGTCAGAATCGTTACTGCAGTCATTTGCCTTGTTTTAGGATGTGTCTTCGCCTTCCTTACATGGCGTGCTGATGAAAAGGCTCCAAAGTATTGCTACGGATTTGCTGCATTATTTAACATCGGTGTTGGAATAATGTGGTTCTTCATTACATCAAACTTCCACTTAAATGATGCATACTTGAACAGGTTCATTATTTATTACCTTCTTCTTACAGCCCTCCTCGCTGCTTTAGCTTGCTTCTGGCCATTTGTAACAAAGAAGGTTTTCGGAGCTCATCTTGTTGCTAACAACTTCGATGAAAAGCAGGAAACACTCCTCTACGTTGTTCTTGCCATTCTTCATGCTTGCATCATTTCTTTGATCTTCTGCTTGAACTACAAGAATTCTACATCAATTTCTCAACTCGGCATGAATGGAATTGTTTACTCCATTGGAATTTGGTTCTTAAATGCTTTGATCGCTTTCGTTATTGCAATCTTCATTGCTAATGGCGGCAACAGCAAGACACCAGCTTCAATGGTCACACCAATCTCAGCTGATTCTGCATACAGCTCAGTTGCCTAAACTTATAGCTCTGTTTTAATTTTCTTAGATTTTTTTTCTTATTCTTATTCTTCTGAGAATTTTATTCCTTGTAGTCTATTGATATCAATGTTATAATGAATCAATTATATTTTTTAATGAATTCAGAAATATTTGATTGAAATAACATTTTCGAATGATTTTAAAGTGTAATTCGTCATTTCTCATGCTATTTTCTTCATAAACTTACTGTTCACAAGATACAAAAATAATATTTGAAGAATATCAAAACTCAATATTCATTATTTTTTATATTATTTTAGGAAGGATACCACAATGTTGATCTATACCTCTATGTCTTTATTTTGTATTGTTTACATGGTGATATAATAGCATTTCCTATACTGAAGAAATATAAAAATGAGATGATGAAATGTGACAATCCCGATCATTTTAATGTACGATTATGATTTTGATAGAAATGATTCAGCTCTTCGTATTATTTCAGAGCGAGTAACATCAGCTAAAAACAGAGTTGATCAGCTAACAAAATCAAATCGAACTTTACGAGAATACGTAAATCATTTGGAATTAGAAGAACTGCAAACTCTTAAGAATATTCCTGATTTCCCTTCATCTCAGTCTATCATTTATGCTAACGATAAACAACGAAAACAAGTAAGTTTATTAACAGAAACGAATTTACTTGCTTCAAAACTGTTAGATGATCTTGAAGCATTAAGAAAGCAGCGTACGTCACTCGAAAAGAAAGTTTATTCATCTCAATACAATGATTCCCCCATTAAAAAATCTCCAAACAGAGTTAGATTCGATCAACAACAAAATAATGAAGTGCCTGATACAGAATACGATACATTGTCATACTCAGATTTGAGCCCAAGGAATTCTCCTCAATTCAACAAAAAGAAATTACCGTTATATTCAAATTCAGTTAAAAACATTGTTAAAAGTATTGACAACGGATACAAAACTGTTGAAGATATCTTACGTGCACGCGAAGAATCAAACAAAACGAGATTAGAAAATGAAAATAGAGAACACGGTAAATTCATGAAAGAAATGTCAGACAAGATGAGCGAGTGTGAAGAAGAGATCAAAAAGTTGTCAGAAGAAATCAACAAATTACAAAAAAAGTCAAAAATAAATAATATCGAAATTATTCAAGATCTTGAAGAACAAATTAGTCAGGAAGAAGAGATAATCGAAAACTACAAAATAAAGATCTCATCAAGGAAAGAAACGGTAAATAATAGTATTGAAAAATTAGAAAAGGAAAGAGCTGATATAATAGCACAGATTAATAACATAGATAGAAGAATCGTAGCAATACGCGGAGACACTGATGTTCTTCAATCAGAAAAGGTAAATCTTGAAATGAACCTTCAAAGCTTAAATGCAAAACAACATGTACAAGAAATGAGAATCAAGAGTGCTAAAAAGTTGCTTGGAATTTATGATGTCTATATTGAAACCGTTCATGATACTTATTCAGGAAAAAAAGACAGTAACAATACCTAATTTAATTGGAAAACATCTTTTAAACTGCCTAACAAAATATTCCGTGTTAGAAAAATTTGTAAATTCTCGTTGGCCAAAAAAGAAAATACTAGAAATTTTGGATGATCTTTGATCAAACAAACGTTAAAATGTGAATCCTATATCGTTCAGGGGTTAGGATTTTTGGTTTTCATCCATAGGATCGGGGTTCGACTCCCCGTATCGGAATAACTTTTTCTTTTATTTTTTTTTTCTTGTGGATAATGACATCTTAAAGACTTGTTTATTACGTTTAAAATAGCAACTTTTTTCATAAACCTTATCAATCAATATGATAAAAGTTAATTTTATCAATAAATGTTAAAATTGATTATATTGATTAAGCATTCAATAGTTGTTATTTAAAATTCTTCTCATATAGATCTAGCTTTGTTTGAACTTATAGGATTTATTCCACATCTATGAATATTTTCAATAATTGTTCATCGAATAGCCTTCAATAATGGTGTTAATTGAATATTATATAATGAAAATGATTTAAATACTAATATATGTTATGAATATTGCCTATTATATTTATATTTTATCGGTTCATAGATTGAATAATAATTTTAAAGAAATGATAGGTATGGTTTTATATAGTTCATCTGAGAATTTCCAATTATGTTTTTGTTCTTCTCGTAGAGTGTTCAGGGTTCTTCGTACTCAGAGCATGTATAAAGTATCAATTCAAGTATTATAACATTCTTTTCCTTTAGCATTTATGCACAAAAGAATATTATCTCAATCATGCATTTCAATGTTTGCTACTTGTATCAAGCTTTTATGCATATTTTTTATTAATGTCGATATTTGAAAATTTCTAGTCAGATCTGTATTAGAAAAATTATATACACTTTATTGTTATCCTTTGGAAAAGTTATATGCATGAAAAAAAAACTGTTTAACATATTAATAACAAAAATATAATAAACAATAAGATCTATAGTAAATAGATATAATTCCTCTAATACTTGAAGGATGCATGGAAAAGCTGCAATATACCCGTATTTCACCGTCTTCTATTGAAAAGCTTAAATATCATATTTTGACTTTTAAAATCTGTCTTTTGATAAAGTACACATTTAATGACAGCATTTCGCGGAATTCCGGATTCGGCAATCATTTTCGCAAATGCAATAGATTTGTTTTCAATAACAACTGAACATCTAATTGAATTGCATTCATTAAATGCATGAGGTTGAACAATTTTTACTGAGAAAGGAAAATTAATATATTTGAGTTTGAGACATTTGTTAAATGCATACGATTCTATTAAAGAAACACTGTTTGAAGCGATGCTTATGTTCTCAATATTGTTGCAGTAATTGAAGAAATAATTGCTGATAGTTGCACAATTAATAATTAATACTTTTTCTGGTGAATTTGATGCATGATAAATGAGGTTAAGTTTTGAATCTTTTTTGAAGTAAATAGTATTATCAAAGCATTTATAGTTTGATGAATCAAAACTATTAATATTCGCAATTGATTTACATCCAGAAAATGCAAATGGTATTAAATATTCAAGACTATTAGACACTGCAAATGTGACTGATGTAAGATTTATGCAATTTCTGAACGCATCCGAATTTATTTGTCTTATGGTTGATGGAATACTAGTGTTTACTAAAGAACTGCAATTCTCAAATGATCTATTCCCAATTCTTGTTGACCCTTCTTTAATAGTAACATTTTCCAAACTAGTGCACCCAGAAAAACACAAATCAGGGATATTTGAAATATTTATTACACTATTTAATTTTGTGCAATTTTTAAATACTGAAATTCCTAAGCTCTGTAAACGAGGAAAAGAAAATGTAAAAGATCTTAATACTTTACAATTCATGAATGCATAATTTTCAATCACAGAAAGTTCTGTATCATTTTCGATTATTAATCTATGAACCCATGAATTTTCAAATGCGTGTTCTTTTATTATTTGGACTGTTTTAGGTATTTCTGTGCCAAATAGATAATTTATTCCCCAGTATTCATATATAATTGTTTGAGCAGAATTCATTATCAATGCATTTTTGTCAACAATAAGATTTGTATCATTTATGTATGAAACCCAAATTTTGGTTATTCTTTTAATTGTAAAGTCATCTATTAAAACTTTACATTGGAATTTTAAACATAATTTAGGAGTATATGTATAATCGACTAAACTTCTAAGTTTCATTGAAGCATTTGGGAAAACAACTAACTCGATATTTCCACAATTATAAAATAAACTATATCCAAAATAGTCTAAAGGTCCCAATAATTCGGCCTTTATCAACCTTGGACAATACCAGAAAACATGATCTTCGATCCTTTTCACATTTTTTGGAATTGTTATTGATGTAATAGTTGAATGTGAGAAGCAACTTGTTTTAATTGTTGTTACAGAATCCGGAATCAGATATGTATCACTCGGAAGTATTAGGAAATAAAATAAAACAGTTTTATTTTTGGAAAAAACAGCATTATTCTCGATAATTAGATACTGATTATTTTGATCGATTTGCATATTTGTTATCACTGGATTCACATAAGTAGTTGCTATAATTTGAGATACTTTTTCTGATATTCGTAACGAAGAGATTTTAGTGTACATAAATGTTCCCATGTATATGGTAGAAATATTAGAACCTTCTTCAAATATGATGTTTTCTAATGAAGAACATCTAGTAAATGCAAATTCACCGAGATGGTTCACAGATGCAGGTATTGTTACGCTTGTTACTAATTCATTCATGCTAAATGCACTAGAATCTATATATGTAATATCATTTGGAAATAATATATTACTAACTTTTTTACACCCAGAAAAGGCCACATACCATATATATCTGAGTTTTTTACATGAAGATAAATTAATTATAATAAGATTCGAGCATTGATAAAAAGCACCTAACTCAATTTTGGTTAAGTTAGGATTTTCTTCAAATGAAAACGAATGTAATGATGATAGTTCAGAAAAACATTTCTCTCATATTATTTCGCATTGAGCTGATATTCTTAGATCAGGAGATGAATCTCTGACATTAATAAGCTTCTTGTCGTCATTAGAATAGCAACTTCGATCAATATCTTTGTAGAGTAATAAAATGGCAATCATGACGAATCATCGATTCGGACTTAAGGATACCCTTACGTGTCAGATTTTTTGCGCATACGAAGAAGTCATGCTAGACATGAGCTATAAACCTGAAATTTTAGCAACATATTTAAAACTTTTTAAACTACAATACACTTTAATATTCAAGAACAAAAATATTCTTTTTAGTAATTACATAATTATTTTATGTGAAATCTATATAAAAACATATTTTGCGAGCGTAACTTTTTTCTTTATAAGCACCTTATATGACTGATAAACTGTGAAGGCACATAATTGTTAATTCATAGAGTTGATATGTTTCCAAAATTGAGAGGAAATTTGAAAATTGAATACCCTTTCAATTCAATTTTCAAAAGATATCAGCTCCTTCAATAATTGAAGGACGATTTTGATTATTTGCTCTTAAAACAAGTATGCCATGGAGAAAAAAGTTACGCTCGCAAATCTGAAATATAACTATCATATAAAAAAATTAAATTTCTAATTTTTTACTCTATAGATATTATTGGCCATTTGTGTAATGCATAAAAGTTTATGTCATATGCATACATTTGGAAGTATGGGAGACGAGGGAAATTACTTCTATGAGGCACTAGGATTTTTAAAAATTTCTCTATCGGACTCACCATTCAATTTCTCGAAAATTAAAAAAAAATCAATAATAGCTAAAATGTATTATGCATAACAAATTTTAATGTTACACGGTATTTTTTGAACTTCATGACATGAATTTTCTTTATATTATTTTTTTTTTTGGATTTTCTATGATTTATGCGATAGGCTGGAACAACATTGTAAGTGCAATGATATCATTTATAGAGAAATCTAAAACTTCAGCATTCAGAACTCGCAACCACAAAAATATTCATTTGCTAAGTAAGTAAAGTTGATTAAGTTCGACACTTAGCTTTTATACGTAAAACCAAGTGTGTATTGTTATTTCTTGTTAAATTATTGAGAAAAAAATAAATTGTAAGAGAAACGATACTGATTATTGAAATAATATTGAGGGTAGCTGCAGATTTCTTCATTAACATGCCGGAAATTTGTTAATCTTGGTTTTCTATCATAAAATCTGTCGAAGAATCTAAAAACGGAGATATGAAATAGAGATCATGTAAATCTAGAGTATCCTGTCAGAAAAATAGACTAAGCATGTAACCCTTTTTTGGTCATAAACACTTTTTACCACTTAGTCATACAGATGATCATTAAATTTAAACGAGCACTTTTTGTCAGAATTTATTCTTTTACAAAGACAGAAGATTTTAGTATTATTTAATATTAGTGCTGTAGCAAAATTCAAAAAACGGTGAAAATTCAGTGAATTTGTGAATTCACATTTTTTTCGACATTTTTCTTGATATATCCATGCACATTAAGAACACAGCTTTGATACGCTTAAAAAAGCATATTTCATATGAAATTGTTAAAGAAATAAACAATTTATATAAAAATTGCACTTATGGGCAGTTTAGATATATAATTTATATATAACATATATACAAATCCATAGACAAAGTGCAATAACTACAATGTTGTAGAAAATTACAGCAGAAATACTGACTTTTTGAAGGATAATAAGAATTCTTCTAAATGTTGTATTTTTATAATTTGATTGATTTTTTTTTACTATTTCATTAATCTTTTATGAATAATAATTATTTTTAATATATGTGCTATTAAAATTTCAAATTTTGACTAATATATCTAAGTTATCTGAACGAAACATTTAGAAAATATCATACTTACATTGAAATAGCAAGTAGAGCATATTAATAGCAAGTTTCTTGGCTTTATATCTATCATCTATTGTTGTTTGATCAAACAAAATTCACTTCACTATTATATGGTGTCAATTAATTAAAACAATTTTTAATAGTTATTTATTTAGTGCGAATAAGTGCAAACTCATAAATGAATAACTTAATAGTAGAAATGAATTATCTGATATAAATCTCACATTTTGTCCATCAGAAATACTTTAATTGCATACGCATAACTATTAGTAATACGTCTGGAGTGTCAATTAATAACAATCCCACAACAAGTAAAATTCAGATTTTTATTAAACTTATTTTTTCCTAAAAGTTTTCTCAAATTACTATATATACATATGTGGATAAAATAATAGTAATATTGTAAAAAATTAGATAATTTTTTTTATTTGAGAACCTCTCAAAAGTTCATTCAATTTATCAATTGTTTCAGTTTGATGTATATTCATTTCTGGAGCCTAAAACTTTAGCAATCATGACAATATCATATTCTCTTTCTAACTACGCAATGTAAGGGTATCCTTAAAAAAATTGAACTTGGCAAAATATGCCAAAACTGACAAAAAGTAATCCAAAAAAAAAACTTCTTGATTTTGGTAATGAATTTAAACTATCCAAATATTTGGTGACTAATAGATGAAGAATGGAAGAAAGCCGCAAGAATGATTGCGGGATACCGTAGGTAAAATTTTCCACTGAAAAAATTTTAGCCCAAGGACCATTTTTGAAAGGGTCTGGCTGTCAGAAAATTACGTAAAGTATGAGAAAAATAGACATGCAAATAGACATATTTGTTCTGTCAATCTGTTTCACAGAATATGACTTGCGTTATTGTGTATTTTGGTGCTCATTTTATGAGATAGAATGATATAAAATATACTACATCATAAAATTTATTTGACTGGAAATTACAGAAATTGTTGTTTCAGGGAATTTGAATATATATCAAATCCTCGGAAATGAATTATCATATTGAACGTCTTCTACTTCAACATGCTATAATTTCTTTTAACGTAGATGAGTTTTACATAGCATTTGCCGGCAAATACCATGGAAAACTCATCCATGTTAATGATTACAAATTTCTAAAAAAAAATTAAGAATTAAATTTAAAAATAAACTAACAAACATGAGTATTTACATTATTTGCGTGCAGATCTAGCCCAAGCAGGCACAATGATCCTTGCGCGTTGATTTGCTGTCTGAGGAGGCGGAGGAGCCTCTCCAGGCTGAAGGAAGTGAATTGGTTGGATGATTAATGACTCTCTGTATGAATTCTTTTGGTTTTGAGAGTTGTATTTCACCTTATTTTGTTTATTATTCAGAGAATCTGAGTCATTTCTGTCAGGAAGAGGAATTAAAGCGTGACTTCCTTTTCCATACAATTTGTTGACTTCAGATTTCGACGTTACTTCGTTCTGAAGGATAATTGAAGGTCGAACAAAATTAGGAGTTTCATTTCTTGACAAACGGTGTCTGGGGGGGTTAACAGTCCATTCTTCTTTGATCACTGGAGGTGTTGGATATCGTTTCATGATGACATAATTGATCATCGAATCATCTTGTTTTATTTCTTCTTTATTGTTGGTTTTTGATGTTGTTTCAACATCTTTATTCTCTTTATTAGCAGAATTTTCTGTATTTGAAGAAGTTTCTGGTTGAGAATTTGGAGATGGCGGAAGAATCGTTTGGAATGACTTTTTGTTCATTGAGTAGCCTTTATCTAGCTCAAAGAACTGTTTTCTGTAGTCATCGGGGTAAAGCTGTGGATCAATGAATTTTTCTTTGTTCTGATTTGGAAGATTTAAAGGTTGGAACAAAGATCTTTCATTGTAAGCGAATGTATTGGCTTTCTTCTTGTTGGCATAAACATTTGCAACACTAGCTTTTTGGAAATTTTGTTTAAAGGCTGCTGAATTTGGATTATTTCCAAATGCAGGCGGAGGAGTTAATATTGAATCGAAGGAAGTCAGAGAATTGGATTTCTCAATAGGTATATTGATGTAACTATCTGTTTCTATTGTTATTTCCTTTTGAGATTGGAATTTTTGATCCGAAATTCGGTCTTTTATCCTTTGGATTGATTTTGGATTGGAATTCTTGCCATGTGGTTGGGAAACCTGATGCTTTTGTGGCTTTTTATTTAATTTATCAATGCAATCCTGGCTAAAAAGTAAAATTTCTTCATTTTTCTGTAAAGATTTAAGGCTATTTGATGATTGTACTGGTCCAGCATAACTGTTTGTGTTTTTATTCTTATTCAAACGTTTTGAATTTGTAGATTTTTTATCTTTTCCTTTTTGTTTGATATCTTCTTTGTTTATGTGTCTCGGAGCTCTTATTTCACGTGATTCTGCATTTTCTGATACAGCTTCAGGTTCTTGGATGATTATTTCGTGATTTGATTCTTCATTCTTTTCTTCTTCGACTTCTGCATCGTTATCGTATGCATTATTCTCTTGATCTTTATTATCTTCTTCCATTTCGGCTGTTTTTTGAGGTTTTGGCGATGATTTTGCGGAATATTTCAAATTTTCTTCAGTTATTTGCTTTTCCAAGCGTTCATTTCGTATAAATATGGCTTCCTTTGGTTCAACATCGCCTAAAGAAGTGGATCTGAACATTCCTGATGCCAAAACATCAACAATTCTGTTGTAATTATCCAATTGAGGGATTTCCTGGTCACATTCCTTTCCGAATACTATTGGACCTTTAATTATCATCAAATCTGATGGTGTTGATAATATCAAATCTCTTTTTCCATTCAAAATTTCTGATGAAAAAATTTGATTGTCCAAATTAATATTTGCCAAGCAAGTATCAACATAATTGTGGTAATTTACGGTACCATCAAGTGATATTGATACCCAGAATGCATCTCCAAATGAAAATGAAGTGATTTCGGATTCATGACTTGAAATCATTGTTTCTCTGATGTTTTGATTGATTATCTCGTACCTAGATATTTTTCCATTATCTCTGCCAATATATAGAATGTTATTATTCATTTTTATCAGTCCATCTGTATTACATTTCTTTTTCAGGACAAAACTAAGAGTTGTTGCATTGTAAGCGATAAGTTCTGACTCTGTGATAGCAATAAGGTGTTGGCCATCGAATTCAACGCATTTTATTGGTTCAGGAGTTGGAGATATCTGAATTCTGTTCGAAATCTTCAAATCTTCATAGTTACAGATCAGAATTTCGCCTGTTGTTGTACTTATTGCATAGAATGGATCCCCTTTCGATGTAAACTGGGTCAAATAAGTTGCATTAAATTCGTAATCAGATTTCAGAGAAATTGGAACAGTTTCTGTGTTGTAAACTGATAGTTTTCCATCTTCCGTTATAACCATGAGATCATCTCTTTTGGTATTTTTTTGAGAGAAACCGCGGTCATAGAAAATTTGAATGATCTTTGTTTGGTTTGAAGGAGGGAGAGAAGTAAGGACTGCTTTGTTCTTTGGACTTATGAATGTTATGGTGTTGTCATCTGTAAGCATAGTAAGTCTAGCGGCACTGTTTATCTTCGGATTTCTTTGTATTTGTTTGAAACCGCCGATATTTTGAACCCAGAACTTCCATGGAATGTTAATCTGTCTACAGTATATCGTAGAGCCTGTAATTCTGATGATTCGTGGAAAAGAACCTGGATAATACAATAATCTTGAAATTGGCTGTCTGGCGGAAGCGCAACGCCAGAATTTACCTGTTTTGAGGTTCATTAAGAAGAAATCTTGCTTCGCTGTAACAAATAAAACATCAGTCTTTGAGAAATAAAAAGCTGAAATTATTGACTCGTTTGGAAGCTTAAAACATCTGAAAATACTTTGATTCTTATGGTAAATTGTGATTTTATCTTCATTTATTGCTAAAAGTTTTGAAATACTTTGATTAAACGATATTGGAGAAACTTCTGAGATTGGATCTGTAGTAAACTGTGAATATGAACCATCCTGCTTATAAAATCGAATTCCAGATTGCGAAGGAAGAATCAGAAATTCATTATGATAGTCAAACTGAGGCTCATTTAAAATTGTAAAGTTATAGTCATCAAGGAAGTGGCCTTGCAAAGTTATTTTGAATCCCGCTTTTTGAAGGTTTCCTTTCGATGCTGTAGGATCAAATGAAAATCTCCAAATGCTGACGCCTTGTCCTATTGTCAAGAAGATATTTGATTTGGATGAGTAAATTATATGATTAACAAAAGATTGATTTGTCGGAATACCTTCAAGAAATGGCATTTTTAAATTTGATGGAGTTAAAATAATGAAAGAATGATCTGATTTTGTAATTGCTACTAATAATTCTTGCTTCCTAATATAAACGGAGCACTCTGTTTGTGTTGGAACTGACTCTTGTACGGTATCTGAATCAAATAAAGAAATTTGATCAGAAGAAGTAGACAAGTAAAGGTTCTCTGATATAGTATGAACTGAATTTACGCCCCCCGAGCCAATGTTTATTTCAAAAATTGGCGCAGTGCCATAATTCAGATCCACCTTACGCATCTTGTCAAATTTTTCGAAAATTAGGTGGATCGTTTCCACCAATTAGCAATATTGCTCTGGAATAATCAGCTGTTAATAAGTATTTTTTGAGTTAAATTGTATGGAAAAATGCTAAGATTTGAATAAGAAAGAATGGAAAATATAAGGATAAATTGAAATTAAATAGAAGAATATATCTACAAGCAGGACCTTTTCATTATACAAGCTTTGCCTCCCCAAATTTCAGATGAAAGCAAACTTTATTGATCTGAAATAACCCAAGTCGCAATTTTTTGGGAGCTGAAGAAGCCATATGCTTGCGGAATAGGTTATAAATCAAACATTTTGAACATTAAACTCGATCGTAAAAATTGTAATTCCTGTGAAATTAAAAATGATAGTAAATAAAAATCCAAAATACGGGTATTTTTATTCAACGGGATAGATTTTCTTGCTGTCTAAAGTATATTATCCAACGTTGAAATTGAGATGGCATTGTTTGAGAGAATAATTCAGTTTTGGAAATTTTTCTATTGCTGAGTATTCAAAATAAAAAAGCTGATAAGATCGATATTACAATATGCATCAAAACCATTAATAATTAAACGAATTGTCTTTTAGTTTACATTTTTAAGATAAAATAAACATTAACGAATAAATATTGAAAAACAGTATAATTGGTATAGAATAATATTTGCCATTCTTAATTCGATTATGAAATCTTCTTCATTCAAATTTGAATGTTCAGAAATAATAATTATTCAAATTGAGTCTATTTATCCTAAAAATTGACATAGAGAAATTCGAAAAAGTTGTTTCTTAGAGATGAACTAATTATGGTAAGTAATTGAGCTATAAATTATTGTAATGTCTGGCACTTTTGAGTTCAAACAATTTTGTGATGAATTCAACAAATATAAATTTTTTCGAAATAATGCTTCTCATACCTATCTGATTAAGAAGTGATCTCACGCTTATGTTTTTGAATAGTCCATATAAAATTTGACATTTGTAAAAGATGGATAACACGTTCAATTACGAATCATACTATATTTCAATGTATGTTAATTCTAATCCTATCAAACCTATATCTGATCAATATACCCGGAAAGAAGTCAAAAGGCATCGTGACAACTTCCATCATTCTATTGTAAGGTTTCTTGAATATTGTAATTCTAATGGAGAAATCATGTTAAAGATCACAAATATTTGCGAACGATTTGGATTCCAGAGGAGAAGATTCTATGACCTCGCTACAATTTTACAAGCCTTTGGAATTCTCCAAAAAGAAAACCTTGATATGGTGAAATGGGTTGGAATGGGCCAAATTATACCAACTCTTGAAAAGGTTATTCACGAACGAGGCATTGGCACCGCCGATTCGTCAAACATTTCAACGATCTTTCCTTCAGTTCAAAAGTTATTGATGAGTTCTATCGCTGTTGACTTCACCCTTCTATTTATCACGCAAAGAAGGCAGAAACTCAATATCCAGGAAACTGCCTCGTTCTTTGCCAGAGATAATGGTCGTTTCAAGTCAACCTTATGCAAACTTTATCAAATTGTTTATATTTTGATAGAGTTAGGTATTGTTGAGAGGAGAAACACTCCAAATGAAGTTTACCTTGCCGATAGGTACTTCAATTATTTTTGCAACCAGCCAGTTAAACAACCGTTTCCGATTCCAATTACAGTCCAGAAAGTTGCGTCATTCCCCATCCCTTATTTATCCAGATCTAATGATCCATTTGATTCGATATTTTGTATCGAGTCTTCTTACGGGATTGATATTGATCCCGATTTTATTCTTAGTGAGTAAATAGTTTTATGTTTTTAATTTAATTGGTTTAATTTTTAAAATTTTTCAAAAATATTCCACAAGTTTCATTCTAGTCTTTTGTTTTAAGGTCATTTATAATATTTTCATCTGAAATTGTATTTGTCCACATTTATCACTTGTAACTGTGTGTTCACAATCTTCCAAGATATTAATATTGCCAATATCTGGTAAGCTATAAAATAAATTACTTACATAATTTTCTCTTTTCTTTTTGGAATTTCTTTTTCGTATTCCCTTAATCTCAATTTTTGGAAATTTTATCTTTTTCATTGAGCGTTAATTATTTGTCTTTAGAATTATCCATGTATTGTTGAAATAAACTATTTATCTCTCAATCGTACTTCCAAATATGAAAGAATAATACATGAATTTTATATCAACTTTTCCTCAATTTTAGAGTATAAAACAATAAAACAGTTTCCGCTAGGTATCTAGCTTTTACTGAAGATAAGAAAAATATAATTATTAAAAGTATTGCTCAATCATGTCACAATCACCAAATGAAAGGGATCCACATTGCGGGACGTAAGCATCATTTGGTTCAAATGTATCCAAATTATTTTCTGGTAAATTAAGGTCGATCTCATCAGGATTTGGTAGATCCAGAGGTATGATCAGAGATGTATCGACAGGTAGTATGGAAGATGACAAATTTGGAATAGTTTGTGATTGCAGAGTCCAGAAAAATTTCTTTACTGCCTGCTCAGCCTCTGAAAAGTCAACACCTCTTGGCTCCACTTTCTGATTTGGAGAGCCTTTATAGCAATTGAATGTTTCAGTATGAAGCGGGTAACCATGTTTTCCGATACAAATGATCTTCCCACTCACATTCCCGTTGTTTGATCGATCAAACAGCACTATTCGAGGCCGTAAAGTGGGGAGTTTTGGCATAATATAAAATGAATGAAGTTGTTCTCTTAAAATCAGAGCCTCAGAATTATATAATTGGAAAAATGATTTCAATAGTTTACATATTTTGATCAATTATAATATTGTATCTCAATTATCATATTCTCGTATTTTTGAAATTTCAAAATTGAATAATGGAAAAAAAATCCAATAATTGAGTATGGTAATTTTTTCCTACATCACAAATTCCCACAAATACTAATTTCACAAATGACATGGAGGTCGTTCCTTGAACAAAATTCCGTTAAGCCTAGAGATCTATTGCCATTCGTTAAAAATAATTTATCAACAAAATATATCATGCAAAAAAAATATATCATATATTTCCGGCTCGATTCTTGATAGTAACTAACACAAGACAATAAAACCTATGGAGAAAGGAAGAATTGATTATTTAAAAAAAAAATCATCACAAATTGTAAATTCTTTTGAAATGATATGATTAAGAGTAAAATAATTCTCGAAAGTTAACTGACGTACATGCCGATTGTAGAAGGCAACTATAGGAAGGCAAACAAAATATAATAATTGGTAATATTAGGGGTAGTAGGACTGTAATTATAGGTCACAGTAAATAAGCAAAAGCTGCTATTAACAAAAGAAGAATTTTTATTGACAAAAAATTAAAATTAAAAAAATATCAAAATTATAAAGGAAGTAATAGTTTAATAAAAACCGAGAACTTGGTAATTAATAACTAAAGTGCTATTTAAGCCTTTTCGAAGAGTTGGAGTTCCTTCTCTGTGTTTCCTGGCTTGCACCAGATCTTAACCTTGTAGTTGCCGTCGTTTGTCTTAACAACGCCATCGAAGATGAATCCAGCAACAACTTGCTGTGTAGCAGAAACGAGTTCGACGAATTGAACGTTAGTGCCGTTCTTCTGGTTTCCGAGAGCGATAGCATCTTTGAAAGCCTCAATAACGTGTTCATCGTGAATGTTAGCTTCATGAGCACCACCGCAGCAGCATTTTCCGCAAGACTTTGGAGAAAAGTGATGTGACAAAAAAATCAATCCAAATCTTATCAAAAAAATTTTTTTTTGTTTCCCATTTTCAAAATTTTTTGAGATAAAATTTTCTATAATCTCCACCAATATTCTTTGAGATGAGTTTGATCAACAGGATCTGCATCGTATGAGGTTAAGAGAATCCTTGATCAACACCGATAAATGCTAAAAGGGATTGTATTCTTATCTGAATTAGATTAATTAACTTAAGAAAGACACCACGATTTCATCGGAATATTACATTATCGCCAAGGACCCTGATGCTATGTGTCCTGAGAAACATTGATGAAATTGAATTTTTAAAAATTAAATATATGATTGATATCATCTGTAAATTGATAAGGCGTTTATTTTATGGTATTTTAATGAAGATTCTAATCTATATGACATAAAAAAGATCATTTTTATTTCGAAATTGTAGGAATTGTGAATCCATGATCCGTATTCTGATAAATGTGTATAATAGTGATAGTAATTATCCTATAAAGCAATATCAATTTTTTCTTGGATCTTCTTTTGTTATGAGTCGAAGGAGCTCAAATGCTTCTGTCGATGACAAAACAACGCAGCAAGCACCAGGATCGTCTATAATTGTAGAAACTAAACCTAATCTCGATAAAGACGAGTTTGAACAATATTCTTCTAAAGCAGTATTCACAGAAGATCCATTGCCTGAAAAAATGGTATTCCCAACGATTGACAATTACATTGTATATATGAATCATGTTGCTTATAGTGATTCAAGATTCGCCAGAGGAAAGATATTATCTTATACTATAGCAGTGAAACAGCAAATTGAAAAAACTCGAGTGGAATTAGAACAACTGCTCGAATCAGTGAAAGTAGAGCAAGAAGAACTAAATTCTTTAAATACTACGCCAATCTTAAAAACATTAACACGAGATAATGCTGATTTTTGGAGAGCAAGAGTTATATTATACTTAAAACAAGTAAAGTATTCGAAACAAATATCAACAAATAAGTTAAATCGTTGTATTAAAGCGATGATGGATTTAGATTCATTAGAAGTAGTTGTAAACGAATTAATTGAACATCCTCGAAATATTATGGTATCTCAGCAAGCTATACAAAGAATCCCTTCATCCATAAAATACGATTATGACATAAAATTGCAAATCAAAGCAAAAGCAGTCGAATATCAGTTGGCCGATATTAAGATAGCCATGTCATTTATACCTAGACCATTTATCAAGCCAGATTCATGTGCAACAGCAATTCAAAATATTCTTAAATCTGCAGCTAACATTCGCGATCCATTGACTCACTATTTATCCGACTCTTACGAATCTGCAACCTTTGGAGATTTCATACAATCCAGATTTTCGCCAATTCGCTACACAGAAAAAGAACCAGATACAATTGACAATTTGATCGAACTTACTGTTGAAATGATCAAGAGTTTCGCAGGAATAAAGCAGCCTGAACAAATAAATGCCCTTGCAGATTTCTCTGTTCGTTATTGGTTCAAAAGATTACAAGTATGTGAAGAATTTTATCAGCAATACGACCCAAAGATACCAAATTATCTTGCTTCTCTACGGAATAAGAAGATTTCGGAGCTCGGACCACCAAAAACTTTCGAAAAAATGATGCATAATTATCTTAATATGAAACCTGCTGAGTTTTTCGCTAGTTTTCAGTTACTCAATCAATCTATAGAGAATCTACTTGCTCTATGTTTCGAAAATAGCCCTGTAGAGATATCTTTAGAGGCTTATATTATTAATTTAAGATTTGCCGGGTTTTCTGCTCCATATCTTAAGAAGGATATTCATGACAAGCTCACTATCGAATGGGTTGTCTTTTTATGGAAAATTGTCTTCATTTTATCAGATCTTCCATATCCAGAAAAGATTTTTGAGTTTGTAAAGAAATACTATGTCTTGGCCCGTATCCCAAAAATGCTCCTCGACGGGGCGCTTTTAGCTTACTCCGTCATTACTGATATGATTTCAAAAATGAACAAAAATCATAAAGAAACTGTTTGAATAGTTGTTTAATTGTAGATATTTTTCGAATTCTTTTTCAAATTCATTGGTTGAGAATTTGAATTCTTAGCATTTGAGTCCAAACACTTTTTTAAAAGTGTTTTTATTAATGCTAAGAATAATGATTTATGTTACTTAATTTAAAAGACTCAATTAAATTAAATTGTAAATTTCGAAAAAATCTATCAATGAAGATGCTTCTAATGAATTTAATAGAACCTCAGATTACTTTTTATTAGAAAATCATGTCCTAAAAAACTAGTAAAAAATATCAAATAAAAAATCCGTAGAATTTAAGATAAAAACAAACACAAACATTAAAAGTTGTCATCTGAAGAATCTGAAGAATCATTTTGGTGGAAGCTACTTGATAAAAATCCTAATACTTTTTGGTTATGTTCCTCAAGCCTATTTCTCCATTTTTCAAGTTGTCCTTCGGATTCTCTGAAAGATCCTTCTTCTTTGAATTGCTCAATTATTTGGATAATTTGATTTTCGATATCATAAACTGCTGTAATTGGTACATCGAGTACTTCGCTATCTACCGACATTTGGCATAGACTATTTATCTGATTGTTAACTTCATTAAATGCAAATTTGAGAGTATCACTTGCAATTTCTTTGTTTTCTTCAGCAATTGATTCTGGTGTTGTATTTTGTAATAATTCAAGGAAAGAATTTTGGTATCTAGTAATTTTCATTTGGCAATCGGCTATTTCTTTATCAATTTCTTGAATTCGTTTTTCAATTTGTTCTGTTTCATTGCTTTGATACAAATCATGAAGAATATCCAATTGAGCTTCATATGTTTTTGGATCAATTCGAGTGATTTTCTTCTGTTGCTGAAGTGCTGCTTCAGCAAGAATTTTCAAATCCATTTGATGTCAAATTAGAGATTAATAATGAATATTCTAATTATCTAGGGTGAATATATTTTTTTTCGGTTTTAACTATACAAAAAAATCAAAATTATTTGGAAAACCCGCATTAAAACAAATTTTTTATGTAGTATGGTGTAAAAGTGAATTTTATCCTCTTCTTCTCAAGATTCTACCAATAATATTGTAGGGTTCTGGATTTTTGGTAAAATGAGGAACGCATTTTGATCCAATTAAGTAATATCCTTTCTGACACTTCGTGCATTGATTTGCTGATTTGCACCATGAACATGGGAATGGACAAAGCGCGCATTGGTGATTTTCATTTACAAAGTAATTATTTGAAGCGCATGAAGTGCAATATTCTGCTTTTCCGTCGCATTGAGAACAATTTTGTGAACATTGTTTGCATTCCCTTTGTGGATTTGAATAATTTCCACTGCCGCAATTTAAAACACAAGTTGATCCCATTAAATAGTATGGTGATATGCATGACGTACAACTATCTGGGGATATAGAACAACTTCCACAAGTTTGATTGCATGGTTTGCATTGTTGAAGTTTCGTCAATGAAGAATTTTCTCCATAAAAACCTCTTGGACATCTTCGACAACATCTCCCATTATATAAATAAAAGCCTTCTTGGCACCTTGTGCAATAACTATAGTTAGTCCAAGAAGAACAACCACGAATATTTATTGGATTTATTGTAATTAATCCATCTCCCTCATTTCCATTGATATTATCTGAAATAATACGCACTTCACGGAAATATGAACTATTTATAAAGCTTAAACCACCGTGGGATACCCTAGCATATTGAAATGGTTGTGGTATTGGTAACGCATCTACTACATTTCCACATTGATACCCACCACCTGACCCACTATATGCATGCCATCTAGTTGAACTGGGTCTAAATTTAGCTGGGCAATCTGTATAACCTTTGATTCTTTCTGTAGAAGTGCAATTTTCAGAAGTACAGTTAAAATTATTAATGAAATCACCACCAGGGGCTCCAGTGGAGTGATAAAGACCTCCTGAACCGCCTGCAGCAACTAATATTGGCATATCCTTTATCCAGATTGAGCTAGAACCGCCTCCTGCGCCAGCATAAATAGCTACATTTGAATATTTGAATGCAGGGAATGCATTTCCTCCATCATAATATCCACCGCCATTATCATCTGCTGAATCTTTACCTTTCTTACCGACTCTTAAAGTAATATTTGTTCGAAAATTAAGCGTTAAAGTTGATAAGATTTTTGTACCTCTGCCTCCCATTCCACTATTAGATGAAGCACCTCCCTGGGCACCATCACACGTAATTGAATAATTTCCAGCATATAACATGATATTTTGATCGGATGAATATTGACTTGGCGTTGACCGTGATGGTATGTTATCAAATGTACTGAATGATTCAAACAGTAATCCAATGATCATATGATTGTCAGAAAATTTCTGCTATTCTTCAATTTTTTGAATGAATTGCAGAAATTCACAATTTTTTCAGAAGAAAGCATAAGAATTCAAAATTAAATTGCATTACAAAAAAGTTAAACAATGATCTATTACATACAAAAAGACCGATATCGGCAAACTTCTGAAATTTTATTAACTTGATTTTAGATTAATGATGTATGAATGACATTTTATCTTTTTTTATCAAATATATCAAATTCTGAGTGCTCATAAATTTTTGCTTTCCAACATTTATCAGTAGCTAAATTTTGAAACAACTCATTAGCATATATTATCACATGTTAGTGTTTACTAATTTAGACTTTGAACTGTATCATTTCCCCAAATTTATGATCGCTTAGAATTTGATAAAATTCAATTCAAAGTTTGAAATTCTATATTCAAAATTTGAAAGTCAATGGAGCGTTAATTTTTTATAAATTTTTCAAGCAAATCGAGACTTCTAATGAATTTTCAAGCTTGTACCTTGTTGTAAAAGGAAGAATATAAAATTTTATTCTGATTTTGGTGCAATTGTGTAAAAAAAACGAAATTGAATAACAAACAATGAGATAAAATAAAGAATTAAATGGTAATAAATAGAGTTCTATTCTGAACATGAGATTGAAGTTCTTTCTGAATTTGATGAAGTAACAGAAGAGCATCGAAAAGAGCTGCTCTTGATTGGAGATGATTTGCTATATGATAATGAACTGCTTGGAACGCAGCTAAAATTTGTTGAAATGGTATCTGAGCAAGAATTTATTTTTGTTGATATTGAAATGCGGGAAGATCTGTTTGAATTTGATATTGTTGCGTTTGGTGATGATTCTGCCAATATAGATTCTGTATTCATGTAGAAACAAGTTGAATCGTCAGAAAAATCCAGTGAACTAGAACCAAATTTTTCACAATCAGATGAATCCGAATCTAACAAGTGTGTAGTGTTCTTCGTCGATCTTGGAAATGAATTTATATTCGAAAAATCTTCATCATCTGAAGATACATCAGCAATAGATAGGTTTTTCTTGGATTGCTTAAGATTAAGAAATCTAAACACAGGTTGAATTGGATATTGTTTCTGATTTTCTTTATTATTTTGTGTAAAAATTTTTGGCCATATAGGTTCTTGTTTTTGAATTTCTGGGATTTTACTGAGTATTTGCGGATTATATCCATAAGGGAGAACAACTCGTTCTTCTTGTTTCATCCATGAAAAGGATTGCGTTTTTTGATCATTAGTTTGAAGCGCTCCTTTAAGACATGATGGTCCACTTTTGTACGTAGTAACTGGTTTATAGCTGAGTGTTTGAGCGGTAGATTGTGCAAAATTGATTGTGTACATTATAAAAAAATAAAATATATTAAACGTACATTGATTATGAAAGTAAAAGTAATTTTAAAAACATTTGGATGACAATGACAACATAATTAAAAAAAAGAAAAAAAAATGAAAATTTTAAATTGAAAAATAAAAATGCATGAAATGCAGGATTACTATATAAGAAATTTTTATGTTAGTCAAAATCTGGGTAATTACATGTTTCTAATAAATTAACCCAATCAATTTCATTTTGAGGAATATTTTTAGTTTCCAATGCAGGAGTGGTTTGAATGCAGCCATCTGTGGTGGTTCCAAATATTAATCTTCTTTCTGAATCGGAGAAAACATCCTTGTTGCGAGGGTTCCAAATTTCTTCTCTTGAATACTTCTTAATGTTAGAATTGCCTCCAATGTCTTTAACGTAATAAACGGATTGTAAAAGATACCTTGCTTTTTGTTTTATCATGATAATATAGAACGATTCTGGGAGGATGTTTTGGTTTCCATGATTGTCTGGATAGCCTTTATTTTCATACGATATGATTGATACAACATTATCTTCGATCGAACGAAACAAATCATTCCTTTCTTCAAGAGTTTTAGTGAGCATGAATGATTTTGTGAGTTCTTCATCAGTTAACAAACCACGTTCAGGCTGATTTGCTGCTTTAAATTTCGTAAAGACTGTATTTGTATATATTGGTGAATAAGTGTCCCATGTTTTTTCCAACACACTTTCGGTAAGATTTGGATGATGATCAAGCTCTCTTGTGCACAAGGTCGTTAAAAATCCACTATTGTCCTTAAATTGGAGAAATTTAATCAATGCATAGAGCTCTTGTCCTGTTGCATGGTGAGTTTTTAAATAGTTAAGGGCTTTTTCTGGTGTAACACCTGAAAGAGCATTGAGAAACCTGTCCAATGATTTAGCATCAGAATGACAATACTTGCCATTCTTATTGTACTTCTTGCAATGAGACATGCAAATATATGATTTTAAATATCGGTTTTACTCAATTTTCAAAAGAAATAAGTTTTGAAAGCTATTGAAAATTGAGCATGGATAGAGGTTTAATATAAAATTTTTCTATATCATTTTAATCTTATAAAACGCTAATCTGTCAAAATCGCTTCTTAAAATGTGAACTAAAATGAGTTTGAATTCCCTATAGTAAATTTTGAGTGCAACTAAATTGTTTGAAATATCATTTTATTATTTTTTTTTCTTTGAAAGATGAAGGGGAGATTGAGTTTTGCATAGAGAAGTAAGAAAGGTATTGAAAGGTGATTTTGTAAATGATTGGGTTGTTAGGGAATACATCAATCTGTTCTAATTTTTTGTTTTGGTAACAAATCGCTTTGTGATCAAACAAGTTAAAGTTCTTTGTTGTTTTTATTTACTATTTTAATTTTTACTAAAATTTCGAATTGGGGGTGTGGCTCAGTGGTAGAGTGCGACTTTAGCATAGTTGAGGCCGGGGGTTCGATTCCCCCCATCTCCATTTTTGCCTTTATTTTTTCCATTGAGAGAACGTAAAAAATTTTAACGATATAAGAAGATGGAGGAAATTATCAAGCTTTATGATAGTGTTCCTCTACCATACAAGTACGTAAATGTTCCAAGACCCAATGAACCACAAAATAAGTCGTCTTATCCCATTGCATATTATGTAAATCAAGTAATTACTAACCTGACCAGAAGTGGATTCAAACATTGTGGTTTTGCTGTTACTGAAGATAATCGAACTTGGAATGCTTCTTGGGGTCGTCAGTATCAAGCAGATGAATATCAAAGATGTAAAAGCTGGCAAAAAATTAATCATTTTGCCGGTGCTTTTCTAATGGGTAGGAAAGATAATCTTCATAACAGAATGACAGAGTTAGCGAAACGTGGTCCAGGTCTTGCTGATTTTTACCCTAAATCATATTTACTTCCGAATGATAAAGATGCTTTCGCAAAAGCCTATGAAAAAACCAAGCTTTGGATTGTTAAACCTTCAGCATCTTCACGTGGACGCGGAATTCATCTTGTTTGCAGTGAAAAAGATCCAATCCCAACTCAAGCAGGAATTGTTCAAACATATATTGAGAGGCCAATGCTTATTACAAAGAGGAAATTCGATATCCGACTTTATGCTCTTATTACTTCATGCAATCCTTTGAGAATTTACATGCACCACTCTGGCCTTGCCAGATTTTGCACACATCCATACGATATCAACGGAGATTACCAAGATGATCATATGCATCTTACTAATTTCTCGATTAACAAAGAAGATGATCAATTTAAGAGATGTGATGACGGAGTTGAGCACATTGAAGACTCCAAATGGTCACTTCCTTTCTTCCTCAAGCATCTTCGCGATACTGGTATCAATACAGACATGATAATGGAAAAACTCGAACATGTTACGATTATGACCGTAATTGCCGGCATGTCAGAGATCAGGAAGTACCACGAAAAGCTTATTCCTCATCGTCATGCATCATACGAAATGTACGGTATCGATATCATGCTTGATGACCAAATGAATCCTCATTTCATTGAAATTAACATCAGTCCATCCATGTCAGGTCTCGATTCCAAGCTCGACCAAGAGATAAAGTTCCCTCTACAGCTGGATCTCCTCCGCATGGCCAGAATCATTGATTGCAATCCGAAATTAAAGAATCCATGTCCAGCAGTAGACATGATCGACCAAGAATGGCGTGAAACGATGACAAAGAAGAGAGTAAGTGATATCCAATCAGGTGTTGATGGCTGGGAAGATCCAAATTTCGGAGATTTGACAATGATCAGGGATTACGTCGAAGAACAGCCAATTCTCGGTGGATTCAGAAGAGTCTTCCCAAAGAGAAAGACAATGGATAGATTCATCCCTGCTTTCGGAGAACTCACGTATCGTGACAGAATGTTCCAGTCCTGGATAAGAAAGGATAATCAGGGACGTTTAGATGCGGTTATGAAGAATTTTGAAGCATATAAAAACGAAATTCAGAGAATTACAAAAGATTCTCAAATTATTATGAAAAATATGCAATAGAAATTTGTATTAAATTGTGTTCTATATCTATACACCAAGTATTTCTTTTTGTTTCATATTGAAATCTTCATTACAAAGAATATATTAAACTGGATAAGCTCTTAATTGTATTTTGGATGAGTAAACACAAAGGACTTATTGGAAATGTGTTTGATTAAAGATATTAGAAAAAAAATTGGAATGAGAAAATAAAATGGCAAAGTGCTTTATTTAGTATGGTCAAAAGTAAATTTCAAAGGAATTATCGAAGTCTATTGCAAAAATTTAATGATTCAACGGATTATTCAAAATTTCGAATGTTTTTTCAACCAGAAATTCTAGAATAAGGAACTTCTTATAATAAAGGATCTGATTGTAGATATTTTATTAAAAATAGTAATATCGATTTTAAAATTTACAAACATTTATTCCTCTTGAGAATTTTGTTGCATTCTTAAAGCCATTTCATCAAGAGCATCGTAACGGCGGTTGATTGTATCTATAACAGTTTCGGTGTATTTTTCAATGATTGCGCGAGCATCTTCAAGGCAAATTCCTGATGATGGGACAATAGGAGGCTTGAATGCGAGATTTTCGTCAATAACAGGAAGTACTTCTTCGCATTCTGAGAGTGGAACTGGTTGGATTGGAGTAAATACTCTTCTTGTCTCAGGAATTGGATTTGTAGCACGCTCATAGCAGAATTGGAACATTATTAACCTAATTGGATTCAACAAAACATCGCTAACGAATTCAATAACAACTTTTGTTTCTTCGAGGTTAAATAAGTACTGATCCTCTTCATGTTGATGAGTTTCGAAGAAGGCGGCCTTGAATTCCTTAAATAGTTCGGTTTTAATATCTTCAATATGCATAACTGGTTTGTAAGCCTCTGGATCCATTTTTGCTTGGTATAATTCAATTCCATGGTGTAATAGTTTATCCATTGTTCTGCAAACGAACTGAGTTTGAGCAAGATCGTAATTTCTATCAGCACAGAACAAAGCATTGGCAAGATGGAAATCAATTAGAGCTGCACTGCGTGGCTCGTGTTTGTATTGATCTTCTGTAAGTGTGAACATTGCGTATAGCTGCTGGAAACGTTCTTCATCTGTTTGGCATTCAAGGAACTTCTGAGTAGCAGCAGTTGTCCATCCTGCACCAGCTACTGCCTTCTCAAGTTCATCGGCCTTCTTTCCCTTGCCTCCTGGCCCTTTCTTCTCTGGCTTCTTCTTCGTTTGAGGTTGGGGCATTATGATATAACGTGTTGAAAAGTGACATTATTGGGAACTAAAAGGATGATAATTTCATTATTTATCCATCAGTAGAACTTATATGATAGCCTAAGATGTCATTTTTAGGCAAATATGTGATTTTCTTGTTAATTTGTATCAAAATGAATAGGATATCCTCTTAAATATTAGAGAATGAAACAAAATATGAATGAATTTTACCATATGGAATCTATTTATGAATATGAAAAGCATTAATTTTTGAAGATAAAGCTTCCAATTCCAAAATGATATTTGAAATTACTAGAATTATGAAGAATATGGGTATAATTTTATGGAAATATGTATCTACTCTAAGAAAAACTCATCATGAAATTCCAAATTTTTTTCAAAATCGTGAAAATGAAGTCAACATCAAAGATTTTAAGGGTGCGCCCGGGAGGATCATGTAAACTTCAGAATTTAGAACCTTATTTTTAAGCAATAACTTGGTACCTAAATAGGTAGGAAAACTCTAAAAATATCAAAAAATACAACTTGGCTCCATAATAATCCTGTCATGGTGGCTGTTTGTATCCCCTAGTATTTTCCTCTTGAATCTCTTTTTCTGTCGAAATTAAATTCAAATCTCAGAAGTAGAAGTGAATAATCGACTTATTACTGCTATTATACGAATAAATAAATTCATTATATTATTTTTATTTACATAATATCTGTTTGAAGTCCATAATTCTATAAATTTTTCTTCAAAAACATTACAATCTTGATAGTTTTGATACTGTTTAATAGGTTTTTGGCACCTTATTTAGTATTTACTACGTATAGAGTCGATCTGAACTTAATTTTCGGAAATTTAAAATATTTATCATAAGTAAAATCTGATTTGAAATTTATGTTTAACTACTCATATCTTGCATTATCCTGAGTAGCTTTTGTAAAAATTCATCAAAAAAGATTTTAACGTGCTTTAATTTTTATTTTTTAAAATAATGCATATTATTATATAACTAGCATATTTACAAATTTTAGTGCTTTCAAAAATTTAATCCTCCTCCTCTCAAATAAACGTACATCCGGGTGGCCTGTTTTTTGCAAAAAATAAAATTTCATTTTTTATGCTTAAAAAGTCAGAATTTTTATTTGCTTCTGGGATATATGATGGCTATATCAGATGCCCATTCTTTTTGATACTCAACATTAAACATAAAACTTAGCCGTTAAGGCTCTTCTGAAAATATTTTTTTTCCCGAAAAATTTTCGAAAAAAATCAAAAAATTTAAAAATCCGCGAATCTGCAGGGATTTTAAAAAATTCTTTTTAGTAAAACTTAAGGATATTGTATCAGATATATTGGTATGGGCAAATTCAATTTTAATACAATATTCATCGAGATATTGCGCTAATGAAGCGTTCAAAATTGAGAGGGTAATCCTCCTACTCTCAAATAAACGTACATGCGGGTGCACCCTTAATGACCATTTTTTCAAATTCAAATTTTTTTTGGAAGTTTCATTATGGCAAATTATTTTTTTAAGGGAAAAAGTATTTAACTTCAAAATATAAATCGGTGAATTGTTCGTATTATATGTATATTCTTGTTATGATTATGGCATTCCAAACGGGAACCGCGGTTGGTTACCATGGATTTCCGTCACCGGTCACATTTTAAAGATTTTTAAAGCCTTATAAAAAATATGCTTTGTAAATCATTTTTTGTAAATCGGCAAAAATTTGGTAATTTTCTTCAACTAATAAATCTGCGAATAGCATTTATAATACAAGAACAATCTTTTAAAATGCGTTTGATTCATTTTTGTATAATTTCATATAGGCACATATATTCTTCCGGGACTTTCCGTGATTTTACCGTAAAATCATTAGTTTACACCAATTTTTCCGTATTTTGAATAGTTTACTGCACTTTTTCCGTAAAATTGAGTTACGGGAATCCGCAAAATTTCCGGACCTCATTTTTCATAGAATATAATAATAATATTTGATAAAAAGATATATTATTTATATTTTTGATTTTTGAATTACGGAAAAAGTGAATTGATAACTTGATTTTTTTATATGGTTAATTTTTCAAATGATATTATGAAGATCTAAAATATTAAAAGTAAAAAATTGAATTACGGAAAAAGTGAGGTCAAAAGTGAAATAAATTTGCAGAACAATTTTCATTGAATAAGACATTGAGTATCACACTTTAGTGAATCAACATCTATAAGAATGAAGTGTTTTGAAGCTGAAATAATATTGAATAGAAATTAATTTTTTCTGAAATTTTGAATGAAATTATGGAAAAAAAAATTACTAAATATTGTATTATACAAATATATTATTTTAAAGGAAAAATAGATGCTGATAGAAACGATGAAAAATTTTGATAACTTTACAGTTAATTTATGTTCGTTAACCACAGAGCTTGCAATCCAAAGCTCACGTTAGACTACAAGAGTCATGAAGTCTCATACTAAGGGATATCCAACATATATTTTTAATAATCTAATGTTTGTGACAAATATTCAACATAAAATTAAGTTTTTCGTTTCGTTACAAGGCATTCATACTTTGGAGATATCATTTAATGTACAGAAAAGTTAATATTAAACAATACATGCTAAAGAATTAATAAATAAGATAATAAAATAATTTATACGTAATTACTTTCATTTAATATGCTTTATGCTGTATAATATTGATTAAGAGGCATTAAAAGGTTCCATAGTCTGCTTTTATAGGCAAGATTTTTGATAAAAATTTAAAATTTTGAAAAATGATGAGAAAAGGAAAAAAAGGTAAATGAGCGCAAGAGGAGGAAAAAAGAAAAAGAAAAGAAAGGGAAGGGAAAATAAAAGAAAGAAGGACATATAAAAATTTAGATGCGCATTCTTAATGCCGAGGCGGCTTGCCGCCGAGGCGCGATTTTTTTAGGCCTCTACGGTAACCCGGCAATGTTTTTTTAAATCTTGTACAGCCCTAGTTATGATTGATAATTACTGTTTAAACCTATAATTATATTTTCAATTAAAATATTTTCCTCTTAATTGCTTATACAGTCTCTGAATTCTTCAATAATGTCTTACACTCACATATTCACACACTTTCTTTTAGCTTAAAATTGGACTTTTATCTGGTATTTTATTAAAAAATAAAGGAAGCAATGAATAGAAATACGCAAACAAGAGAAATGATTTTAATACAAACAAAACATAATATTAGAAAGCAATATTAAAATATAAAAAGTAATAAAAAAACAAATTAGCAAATAAAGCCACTACTTAGACCCAGAATATGCTATCGGAATTCCATCACTTGCTTCACTTAGCTGCTGTTCATCCGAAGACGTATTAAAATTTGCTTTGCGGTTGGATGTTCTCACAGTTTTTTTGCATTCAATCGTAATTGTTAATCTCATTCTTTCCAAGTGATCATGGCGTTTATAGAAGAGAATGTAAGGACACAAATTGAGTTCATTCAAATCTTTATCGATTTTTGTAATTGATGAATCGTTATGCTGGAACCACTCGCTGTTGCCACATCTAGTCAATGAATAGTAATGGCCAAGGTCAATAGCTCGACCTTCGTGGCAAATCATTCCATAAAGTTTGTAAGCGGCAGTTCTTCGATAAGCATTAAACAATCGTAAGTTTAGTTCATCGTCGATTGTAATTTTGTCGTCCATTTTTTTACCGTTTGATTGAAAACGAATTAATGAGAGTATTAAAACGTTTGGGAGATCTATTAGCTGTTGCTTTTTGGTAGCAGTACACTTATTTTTGCATTTTTCGCATTCGAAGCTGGCAACCTCTTGAGACATCATATAATTTTCCAAACAACCTGAAATTGAGTCAGAAGTCAAAGGAAGATTGATATCAAAAAAGGAAGACACCGTCTTATGCTCGTGCCTACATTGGGTGCATGTTGTAGTTTCTTTCATTTTCCCGGCAAAAAATGATCTAATAGGAGTGGTTGCTTCATTCTGCGTTTTCTGAGATGGACAGAGACATTCATCATCAAACTTATTGAGTAATGAAAGAAGGAATTCATGAGCATCTTGCTGTAAACCTGATCTCATCAAAGGACTAATTTGAGAAATTTGTCCATAGAACATATGGGGTGCAGATTCTGGTATAGTATGCATAGCTCTGCAGAGTTCTGCAAAGTGATAAAGGTAGCAAGCTTTTTCGGAATTCAATTCGTAAATTAAGTTGGGCATGTTTTTAGTAAAATATTCAAATCCCGGGGTATAAACTAGACATTGGAGAACTGCATTGATAAAGCAACTATTCCCTAAGTTGTGCAGGGTACCGAGCGGACGAGAAATAGGGTTTTTCATCATTAGATGCCTTGCCCAATCGACATCATATTTAGTCATTGCTTCTGGATTCTCACCAATTGGCTTAATTTCAAGCCAGCTTCCAGGGGAAGAGTCTATTGAGCTTTTCATAATAAAATTTATCTATGACGTTAGAATTTGAATTATATTGAAACTAGTCAATTTTTTTAAAAATCATACAAGAATATAATGTATAATAAAATATTTTTGAATCCATTCAAAAAATATTTCAGATTCAGAAAATTCAATGCTTCGAAGATATCTCATTTATTTAGGCTATTTGATTGTTTATAATTGTTCTTCAAAATTGAAAACCGTGATTTCTTACTGTAATCTGCTTTTTTTTGAATTTGGTTGTGCGAAATTTGATGAGTTTTGCTGTAATCATGCATTTTTGGTTACAGAAAAGCTCACATCCGACTGTTCTATTATGTCCCTAAGTAACATCATTGGATCTGAATATATTATTTTAATTTCATTTTTTTCATCTTATTTTTGGATATATTTCATTTAATTCATCTTATTGGGCTTTTCAGTTATAGTACATATGAATAAATTTTAGAAATCAATTTCCATTTCATTTATCGTCAATGTTTTCCAACTGAAATTCAGAGAAAAATTTTGATCAGTATAAAACGGTTTTATAATCAAAAAGTTTTCGGAATTTTTTTGATATTTTAGGAATGTACACATTTATTCATATTCATAAATTTTTAAGTAATGGTGATGATGCTCAGAAAAATTTTTCAACCATAATTTTTTATTGAAATAATAACTTCATTTTTATAGAATGCAGTCCAACAAAGCAATTCTTAATAATCAGGATTACTTGTATGAGTTAGCATTAAGTAAACAACTTGAAATTCAAGCTCAAGAAGAGAGAGAAGTTGAAAATCAAAAACAAAGGGAAGTACAAATCAGAATTAACAAACAAACAATGCATGAACGAATTCAAAAATCTATAGAGGTCGGAATAAACGGTGATATGAAAATTAAATTCGTTCTTCCAAATGGAAGAAAGATAATGAAGAGATATACAAACCAGATGACAGTGGAATCCTTATTCCAAAGTATCATTTGCGATGAATGCTACTTTGACTCTAATTATGAGGAGCTTCCATTCTTCTTACGTGATGTTCATGGAAAAATTTTTGAAAGAAGTAATTTAACATTAGAACACGCTGGAATTAAGTCAAATACAAACTTTTACGTCACATTATCTTAATCATATAATATCCCTCTTGCATTGTTTTGTAATAAAGTATATATAATATATATAATTCCAGTTAATTTTATCCAATTAATTGAGATTAAGAATCAAGTCCAATAATTGGTTGAGTAAGATTTGATAACTAAGCTATTTTCCTATTGAATGGATTAATTATTATAATATTTATTTGATTGAAATTTTGATTTTAGAAGATATTGCATAAAAGCTATATTGATTAATACTAATCAAAGAATTGTTATAATATATCATCTCATATATGTCGAAAGTGGTTGAGATTAAAAAAAAAAAAATTTAATAGATTATAGATATAAGTTTATACAATAGAATTTACTTTTCACAAAAGGTTAATCAGCGGGAGCTGGATCTTCATCACCAGAAGCTTCTTCTGGTTTATTAGAAATGTCAATTCCACAAGCATAAAGAATAGCTCGTGTAAATATTTGTGTCCAAGGCTGATCAGGTGGAAAACCAAGTCTATGGACTCTGGACGATACAGGATAGAAATTAATTGAAACAATCTTCTGATTCATTCTGTTTGTTTCTTTATAGGCAACGAGAGGGACACCATCTGCAAAACTAGCAACTAATGTTGCGCCTTCATTCAATTTAACGTTGCATCTTGGACTAAATTCTCCGTGTCTTATTGTTTTGATTCCATCCATGAGTGGATGATTATCTTCAACAATGACCTTCTCTCTGGCGCATTTGGTCAACTGGGTTCCTCTTGCGAACGGCATTAAACTATCCAAAGCTTCATCTCCTAATCCCCATTCATCATCTCTGCAGAAACCGTAGCATGTGACAAGGCCACCACCATTCTGCACGTAATCGTAAAGGAATGAGCATGTTATGTCTGGATTTTCAAATTGGTAATGAGTAAAAGCCAAAACAACATCAAATTGGAAGAGGAGAGTGCTTGTAGGATGACCAGTATCAGCATTGAAGAGGAAAATGTTTTGTGCTTGGATTCCTCCTTCAACTAAATCTTGTTTGATATCTGTGAGAACGTCAAGGTAAACGGATGACAAAATTAAAACTCTTATATTTTCTTTGGTTACAGGTAATGTATGGTATTCTCTTTCTTTGCCATCGCCAAGAAATGCTTCCCACATTTGAAGGTTTCTTTGTTTATTAACTCTGGTCGTACTGTTAGTCAGATTTTGTATTTGCTGGCGGACATATTCAGATGATGGAGCATTCAAATCATCACGACTTACAAGAGCTGTCATAAATTTATGAGGGAATTTAGAGAATTCCGTATTTGGAATCCTTCTAAAATGCTTTGCAACGAAAGGAAGTAACAGAGATGATATAGAATTTTGGTTTCTTGGATCGTTTGGAGCAGAATTCTGAACAAGTTCAGTAATACTCGCGGGCCAATCAATTTGTAGATAAAGAGACAATAAAGTCTCAACTTCTGACTTTTCTAGCTTGCTATTATTCATTATTGTGTATGCGATTGCAGAACTCAGACAAAAAGACGAGGAGTTGAAGTTTTTGTGAGTAATTACTGTATAGAACGTATTATAAGGAAGAGACCATATATCTCCTCTATCAATCAATTCAAAATGAAGGACAATATTATCAATAATTGTTGTCATAAAAGTTTCTTCTAATTGCTTTTGAATATACTGCTTTTGTGTGTCGGCATCTGCTTTTGATTTATCTTGTGTATCATTTTCAGCTTTTAATTTATCTTGAATATCTTTTATCGCGAAATAGAAATACATTGTATTTTCAGCAGTGATATTAGCTTTCATCCATTCAAAAAGAGTGTCAATTAGTGCCTGAATTTTAAAGCAAACGGCAATATTTAAGATGGGACCGAATGAATTTTTTGTAACATGGAAATTTGGATCACTGTATAGGAAATTTAACACATGTGGGAGACATTCTGAACAAGGGTCTGGAAGTGTTATTTCAACGATTTTTTGTGAGGGATCTTTAGCAAATAAATCATGAAAATAACCAGATCTTTCTGCAACAATAGCACGGTGTATAGAAATTCTAGTTCCATTTGCCACCAAGCATAAGTCACTAAATGCTTTTGATTGCAATAAAGATGAAAAAGATACCGCCATAAAAATTATTAAAAAAATTTGAATTGATCGATAAAGATGTTAACAATCATCATCACAATTATATTTATTTATACCATTAAAAAAAAACGATGAAATTGAAAGAGATTTTTTACAGGGGGAAATAATTTAAAATTGGGGAAGCAAAAAATTCGTGATCAACATCCAAATTTATATGGAATATATAACTTTTCAAATCAAGCTTCAACATTTCCATACAAAAATGAATAAATCCAACTCAGTTTGAATTCAAACTCATTTTCATAAATCAATCGTTAAGAGTATGATATATCAAGCTGCAGGAACGCAAGTTGATTTGCATTGTGTACATAGACGCCGAGAAGTTTTGAAGGAAGTTCGTTGTATGAAATGTTTTATAGGGGTTTATTTTTTTCTGACATTATTTAGCGGTCTTAAAAAATTATATTAAAATCGGTTACAACATCACATATCTAGTAAATTAATTTTGAAAGATATCATCCCCCTTTCAAAAATCAATAATTATCAACGGTCTTGCCTCAAAAGTGGACGATTTTTCTATCACAATGAATGATAACAATTATAGATATATAACCAATTATGGAATATTTTTTGACTTATTAGACTACGATCATTTGTTACTGAAAATATTGGGATAATACTAATTACATAAATGATCAAATTAACAAAATAAAAAAGAAATTTCAAACCGAAAAAATTTTAAAAATTCTTCACCTCTTCTAAAAATGACAACTATCCTACGTTATACACCTGATGAATTAATTACACTTTACAAGCCAAGCCCACCTCCCCCAAACATTGAAAGCTTCGGCCCCGTTAAATTTACTGGAAATTTTCAACCTTTGCAATATTTTAAACCTCCAAAGAAAAAATTTTATCGTGATTCTCTTGATCCAGCAAAAGGTCCAATTCCTGCATTTAATCCTGTTCGCGCTAATAGATTTTCGCAGAATTCCCAATCTCCTCCCCCAAATTATTTTCCGAAAAATTCTTATCGCTATCAAAGGAATGCTAGTATATCAGAAAATGAAGCAGACAATTCCGAACCTGTTTATTCTTTTGAGCATGTTATCGACCAACCTTCCAGTGGCTCAGATTTAACAGAACCAGAATTCCATCGAACTCCCAAACAAAATTATTATAATGGACCACAACAACCGCAACAACCACCTCCAAACCAGCCCTATCAACAGCCTACAATCTTTAATCCTCAATATCCAAATCCAGGATTTTCACCCTATTACAACCAACAATATATGAACACACCATACGATCAACAAATGTATCAGAATCAAGTTTCCTATCAGCAATTTCAACTTATGCAGCAATTTTTCATGTTTCAAGCGATGCAAAATCAAGTACCACAGAATCCAATGGAACAGTTCGAGCAATTCCAAAAAATGTACGGAACAATGCTAAATTTCCAACTTTTCCAACAAATGTATGCATCAATGATTAATTATCCACCTGGATATGCTCCTCAGTACCAACCAATGAATTTCGCACCTCCCCCTCAACAAAATTATACTCAAACACCTCCACAGCCAGCACCAGAAACAAAACGTACGCCTCCAAGACAAAATTTACCACCACAATTTCAACATTACGTTCCTTCGCCCCAGAAATCAGAACAAACAACACCATCACCTCCACGGAATACACAGAACTCATCTTCTTATCAATCCCAGAAAACAAATACAAAATTCTCTCCGAAAAAAGAACAAAGCGACAACGATGACTACAGTGACTATTCAAGCTACTATTCGGAAGAATCCGAAGACGAATATGAAGAAGTTTTTGCTGCTGTTACTGAAAAAATACCAGCATTCGCACCAAAAAAGAGAGAAGACGCTCAGTCTGTTGAATTGCCCCCTCCAGTAACTAAGCGTCCAAATCACGACAACATAAAATATTATAATACAGATAAATATTCAAATGCAGATAAATATGCGCCATATTACCCTAAAAACAACAAATAAGATTGAGATTTCATTTCAAATCATTGATAAATACGATTTATTATGTGGAGTTAATACAAAATTCTCTTATTTACCATGTTATTTTTTTTTTTCTCTCTCTAGTAAGTAAAATATGTTTTATACCACCAATAAATCAACATCTTTTCATTTTTAAATCCTTGTTACTTCTTTATTTAAATATTATACCAAATTTCAAATATAATTCTTTGTACATTGAAATAAAAGTAACAACATACAATCAAATGTCATGAATATGCTTGAAGGTTATAAATGAAAAATCCTTTCCTTTTATTGATGATAAATTTCTTCGTCAATTATCATTATTCCTCCATAAGAACATATTTCAGAATAGGTGTATTATAGATCAGCCATTTCTTATACAGATCAATGATTTTGACCTTATACAAACCTTGTTTAGAGGTGCCAATTTTCAATTTTTTTCCCCATTTGTGTTGAAAAAGTAAACTATTTGAAGAGGTAAATTGAAAAGAAACAAGATACTTTCAGGCATCATAACACTAAAAATAAAATATAGAGTTGCAATACTATTAATTGTATAAACTTTTGCTATATGCAATGGAATATATGATGACTAGACTTTGCTAAAAGTGTTTAGAAAAAAGAAGAGATTTTTTTTTCAAAAAATAACTTTATTCCTTTTTCTCCTTATTTTCAACCTTTTCTTCAGTCTTCTTTCTGAAGATATCATTACTTGATCTTGTAGATGCAAGAACACCAAAGGCATTTGCACATTGAAGTTGCATTGCGTCAGCAAATTCATCAGCATTGGCATATTCACTCTTGCTGTGAGCTGGGAGGATTTTAACAGTAACCCAGTTCAATGGAACAGACATTGCGTACCAGAAATAGAGAAGAATATTCGGTTCTGTCCAAGCAAATGAGTTCCAGCCTTCTGGAACAAATGGCATGTGGTAGCGAACAAGCATTGGCTGGACTTTATGATCTGTAAGGAATGCACCACGATGGAACTTAAGGAAAATATCACCATTTGTAAGAGTGCCTTCTGGGAAGATTAAAATCGGTAAAAGTTCTTTGTTGTTTGCATGGTCTATAATGAGCTTAGTTTGTCCACCTGGCATATCTCTTCTAACATAGATTGGATCGATAATATCGAAAACCCATCTGGCAACGCCTTCTCCAAATGAGGCTTTCATGACAACGGAGGTATCACGTGTGCATGAGATAATCATTGGGTCATGAAATGCTGTATGGTTGCAAATAATGACTCTAGCGTCGGGATCCATTGTTCCCTCTTTTCTAATCCATATATGATTGAATACAATAAATAAGCATCTGAAACCTAGCTGAACAATGCGAAGAAGGAAAGTTTTGTATTTTGTTGTATCCATTCCTAAGGCATATTGTAAACGACGTAGTCCTCCAGCAATGGCACAGCATGAGAAGAAACCAACAAATCCGAAAACTGCACGGATAGGACCTAAAGTAAGAATAAAGCAGATAATTTGGAAAATAATGTGCTTACGTGCGTATTTAACCGGCTTTATTTGGCGATTAAACTCTTCATCAGTGATATCACTAAGCTTAGTTTGTTCATGCCACTCTTTATGATCACGTGGGACAATGGAAAATAAAGACATGGTGATTGCCACTTTTATACGTAAATTCAAAACACTTTTCGTCTTTTGAAATCATAATCGTCTATAAAAATTACGAAATTATAATGGCTTTGTTGAGAACAATAAATCATCGAACAATATTCTTTCCGTTTATAATTCAATTTCTTTATCAAAATTGAGAATATGGCGTAAAGTTATATAAAAAATATTTCATCGATTATGGTTTTTTACACATTACGCATTATATTTTAATTGGAATGGAGAAAACTATTGATAATTAACAACACGCAAATATTTATAAACGTTACATACATCATATTGAAAAAAAAAATTCTATTAAATTAACAGACTAATACAGAAGCAGAGCCCGAACTGATAGGAATCGAACTCCTATCCGAGCGTCTGGGGGTACAGATCAATGGAGGAAGGGCAGAAAGGTTTGACATCGACCTTCTGTTTTCAGACTTGATCATTTCGCTAACTGTTGCTCTCCTTTTACGTGCAGAAGCTTGAAGACCAGAGTTAAACTTGTTGTTAAAGCAAAGAGGAGATCTTTCAACAGTTTCAACGGTTCTATAGCTTGCATCTTCTTTTTTGAATTGATCTTGAGCTTCAAAGATATAAGTGCAAATATTCTATCCGTTGACCTCCAAAATTCCGCTGGAATTCTTGGATTTCTTGGAATAATTACTTGTAGAGAAAACAGTAACAACCGTTCCTCCGTGATGTTGCTCAACGGCATTAACGCATTGATGAGATCTGATGATTCTCTTTATGTTGTTTTCGCGTAAAAAATTCATCACAGCAACAGCTCCGAAATAATTACCAAAGCCACGGTAATTCTTGAAATACATGAGTTCTGCCTCACCAGGGTCGCTCCATAATATATCTGGAATAAAAGATCTATAAACTATAGGATCGTATAATGAATTAATAGGTCTTTTCACGGACTCGATCTCATCAACGCTTTTAAGGAGTGGACTTATTCCTCCATGCACAAGGAAGTAGCAATCATTTAAAACGCAAGCTAAAGGCAAATATGAAAACGCTTCATTAAATTGATTGTAAATGTTCTCGTCATATTCTGCAAGTACTTGGTTTTTGAATCCGTAAACAGCGTTGATATCTGAAAATTCATGGTTGCCTCGAATGAGATAAACGTGGTCAGGATATAAAAGTTTCAAAGTAAAGAGCAGAGTAATGACTTCTATACTAAATTCACCACGATCGACGTAATCTCCAAGGAAAATGTATTTACGATTAGGAGGAAGACCATGCGCTGCAAAGATTCTTAAGAGATCTCTAAGATTTCCATGAAGATCTCCAACAATAAGGAAATTATCATTGAGTCTGTATAATGTCGGTTCTGATTGAAGAAAGTTTTGAGTAATAGCGATTAAACTTAATAAATCTTCGTATTTCAACTTTGGAATATCCATAGGAATATTAGATGAATTTCTTGGAGATGATGAAGCAATCAATGGCTGATATGCACAAAGAACATAGTTTGCAATCATCAATTATATTTTTCTGAAGATTCAATTTAAAAGTTTGTTAAGATAATTGAGAGTAACAATTTCGACAGGTTAACAATTTTTTTACGTATAGACCAAGTAGTAACATTGCTATAAGTTAATTAAACTCTAAGCATTTTTTTCATATCTGAACAAAAGATAAATTTCATTATATTGTTATTTATACATAGTAGTAAACAATAATGTTGATAAATTTATTTCCCAAATGGTTTGTAAATAAAATCTATACATTGAAATGAATTTACGTATAACTAATAGTTATATAAATAATATTAAAATTTTGCAAATTACCTCAGACTTTTCAGAGGATTGAGTGGCAACTCAATCCTCTGAAAAGTCTGAGGTAATTTTTAGTCTCTACACTATTTCAATATAAGCTCCATTTTTAAACAGTTTTTAAAAATCGAGCATTGAAAAGTGTGATGAGACTGTTTATTTATCCACATTTTACACGGAAATTTTTCAGTGGTATTTAATTTCACTCACAAATACTTGTTGGGTCAGTCAATTTTTCCCGATAGATTTAAACTACATAATATATCATTAGTTAGTTTAAATTATCAATAAAAATTGTAATCGTTTTCTGACGAAAATTCAATCTTAACATTGTCCATGTAATTGAAAGCTGATTTTACAATGCTTTTGACTGAAGATGGAATTACAACCTTGATTGATTGAGTTGCAGGGGCAAACCATCCATCATCAAAATTGGGTGTTCCTTTTCCGATTGTTACTTTCTTTAGCTTATCATTACTTCCAAAGGCACCATCACCTATCATTACAACAGAATCTGGAATTGTTAATTCTTTGAATCCACATTGCAAAAAGGCGCCTTCCCCTATTGATATTAGATGAGAACTGAATGTGACATCATTCAACTTTGAGCATCCTGGAAAGAGACCATTTGGAATAAAGTTTAATCCAGAGAGATCAGCTGATTTCAGAGATTCACATAACGAGAAGACAGATGACATATATTCCATGCTTTGATAAGTTATAAAAGTGATGGGATGAGTAATTTCAACTGATTTAAGAGATGTACATTGAGCAAAGGCCGATGGATAGATTTCTAAAACTATTTTGAAATTGAATTCCTTTATACTTGTGCAATTCCAAAATGCATTAGCCATAATCGTAGTTAAAATTGGGAAATCAAATGTCTTTAATTTTGTACAGTGGGCAAAAGCACCCGAAGAAATTGTTGTAATATTTGATGCTCCTTTTACTTCTTTGAGCTTGTAGCAAAACATCAATAATCCAGATGGAATGGTTTGACTTTCCATTTTACTGAAATCAAATGATTCAAGAGCAGTGAATTCAAAAGCCTGACTTCCATATTCGACAACCTTATCAAGATTAATTGTTTTTAATTTATAGCAGTTCATAAATGCTTCGTTTTCAATCGTTGTTACAGTGTCAGGAAGTTGGACTTCTTGAAGTTTATAGTTGTTTTGGAAAGCTGCTCTCACAACTTCAGTGAATTTGGAACTGATTTTGAGAGTTTTGAGTTCCTCAAAATTATTAATCTTTAAAATATTACTTTCGTTATATTCAAGAGAAACTTCTATTTCTTTAACTGAATGAGATCTCTCAAATTGAATTGTATCTTCAAGCTTATGTGAAAGAGTTAACTTTTTCAGTTTCCTGTTAGCAGTAAGGCAATATTTTTCAATTGATGTAATTGCCTCTGGTAGTGTTAACTCACTTTCGGATAATTGGGGGGTTACATAAAGTAAATCAGTTTTATCGTAAAGTAATAAATCATTTGAAATTGAAAGATCAGCATTACCATTTTCAACTAATATTTCGTCTAATTTCAAATCATATAATTCCATTTTAACATTATCTTTTGTAGCAAAAGAGCTGAATGTAATTGATTTAAGTTTCTTGCAATTAGTAAAAATGTCCATATTGTCATTTTCTGCTCCCTTGAATGTTATCTTCTCGATTTTACTGCCGGCAAATGCATTATCTGAAGCAGTTGCATTCTTGATGACAATTTCTTTAATTGCAGTGCTTGCAAATGCATACTCATTAATTTTTCTTACTCCACTATTGTCAGTGAATGTATCCAATGATGAGCAGTTGCAAAAAGTATATGAAGGAATATTAGGAACAGATGTTTCCTCATCATCGGGCACATAACCATATGTGACACTCTCTAAGCCTTTGCAGCCCATAAAAATTCCTACGGAATTTAATTTCCAATTAATTGTGAGTGTATCAATTGAATCACATCCAATGAAGGCAAATCCTGAAACACTTGTAGCTTTGTTCAGTGATGGAACTGTAATCTTTGTGCAATAAGCAAAGGCATATGTTCCAATTTGGTATTCATGTGAATTAAAGCTGAAAACAAATTTTTCCCAGTATTCAAATGCTTGGTCACCAATTTCAGTATCATCGTCTTTAAGGGAAATTGATTCTAATACCTTGCAATTATAGAAAGCTCTATCACCAATTTCAGTTGCTGATGCTGCAGTTACTGTTTTAAGGGATGTGCAATAGCTTGCAAATCCTTCTGGAATTTCTGTAGCATCTGTTTCAATAGTTTCAAGGGCAACACATTGGCTGAATATATTACTACCAAGTTCTGGTTTATTTGTAATTTTTGCAGATGTGATTTGTGTTCCTAGGAAAGCAGATTCACCTATCGATACTCCGCTGCCAGCAATTGAAAAAGATTGTAATTTAGAATACATAAAGGCAGAGTTACCTATAACTACGACTGATGCTGGTAAAGATATGGTTTGGAGTCCTGTATATTTAAAAGAAGAATTACCAATTGAGGTAACTTTGGAAAAGTCAAATGAGGTAAGTGAGTAACAATAAGCAAATGCTCTATCACCGATTGAGATAGAGTCTCCAGTTATTGTCACTTTTGTTAAATTATAGCATTCAAGAGCAAAACTTTCAGGTATGATCTGACCCTTAATGGAAAGTTCTGTTAAACTGTAGCAGTGTAAAAATGTTTCAGTACCCAAATCTGTCATTGTTCCTGGTATTGTAATCTTCTGGAGAGAAGACCCAGCGAAACATTCAGTGCCAAATTTTGTAATCGTTTCAGGAAGTTCAACTGTTTTAATAAATAGATTTTGTTGAAGAAAATAATCAGGAAGTTCAGTTGCGGAACTTTGAATTTTGACTGTTGAAACCTGGAGATAATGTATTTTGCTAAATGAGTCAGCTTTAATAATCAAAGTATCAACTTTAGGGTGTTGCTTCATATAATCTTGAAGCTTATTGCCTTGAAAGTCATCACTACTATCAACTGTAACTGTATTACCACTGTCAACAATCTCTGAATTAAGAAATGGGTATTTAGAGAGTAAAGAGCAAAACACAGTTGATCTAAGCATTAAAAATTATGAATTTTTTTTGATAACACATTCAATTTTTTTATTAAAGATTATAATCTAATATATGATATATTATAATTTGAGATAAATTAAAACAATTAAATTTTATTCAATAAGCCGTTAGTATTCAAATATGAACAATACCTTTTTATTGGATAATTTCTTTAAAACATTAACTAATACCATCTTTTAGAGATACTTAATAATCGGAATGGGGTATTTGGTTTAAAACAAGTTAAATTTATTAGATATTCATTAGTTTATATTATAAGAATGAGCATTTTTTCTGACCAACAAATTGAAAAACTTTTGAATTATTCGGTAGAAAAGTATGAATCAAATTTTAGTACGTAAGATGTGCTATGTATATAAATACTTTTTAAAATATATTTTAATTTAGACAATATATCAAAGATTTGTTTTTTGTATTGTTTTCATCTTTTGAATTGATTTGTAAATCACTGAATGGATTTATAACTAAGAGTAAAAATAACTGCGTAATATAGAAATTTGATAAGATTAGATCACCAAATTCTATATTTTCGAATAAAATAATTTTGAATACATAAATGATCATATAAATTTTAAAGAACAAATTAGAAATATATATTTTCTCACAAAAATTGCGTCTATTTTTATATTTTATTAATGAAACAATATAATCTCGAAGACCGTTGGTATCGTATTACATATGTGGGTATTCGTATAGGTATATATATTTTAACCCATAAAATTTTGAGAATAAATTGTTCAATTACAATCGGTTTTTTTAATATCACATCATATCGTTTTGATCAAAAACATCATTTATATTATCTGTAATATTATTTTCATTTTAAAATCATATCATGTTCTCAATTTTTTTATTGTTTTCAATTCATTTTATTGATGCTTCAAAGAACACTTATTACATCTCTCTTATCATCCAATATTTGTCTCAACTCTGAGATCACAGTAGACAAAGACACTACAACTATAACTGATATAAACGATATTTCTAATATCAAAAGCAATCAAGTTACGAGTACACTAATTATAAATGATGACACATCTTCCCAATGGCCACAGACAGCTTCTACCAGCTATTTCAAGTTCAAAAAACTTGTGATTAATTGCAAATCATTAAGCGAATTCACGGCTCTTAAGGTTAATGATCCATCAGGCACTCTTACTGATTATTACTTTGAATATCTTGAACAAGTAACCCTTCCGGATAATATTCATACTATAAGAGGTGAAGCTTTTAAAAATTCTCCAATCAAGACTATTAATCTAGAGAATATTACAACACTTTCAGTCAATGCATTTACCAATTGCCATTATTTAGAAAAATTAACAATTGCTGCTACCCAAATTCCATTGGCCTTTGCTCAGAATTGTCCAATGCTCACGGAAGTTATATTAACAAACGAAAATGTTGATATGCAATCAATGGCTTTCATGTATTGCTCATCGCTTTCAAAAATTGACTTTACAAAAATCTCCTCAATCGGTGAATCAGCCTTTTCTTACACAGGTTTTACATCAATCGAGTTCCCATCCCTCGTGATAGGTCAATCTGCATTTGCATACACACCGTTAAACAAAGTCACATTCAGTGCTGATGTTACCATCAATGGTAATGCTTTTGAGGGTACAAAGATTCAATCTGTTTCAATAGCAATTACTTCATCTAACCCAACACTTTCCTTTGCTAATTGCTTTATGCTCCAAGATGCAACTATCACTTCAGAAGGAGATTTCACAATTCCAAGTGGTTGTTTCTCTGGTTGCCATGCATTAAAGAATGTAAATTGTGAGAATGCTACTTCTGTCAGTGACAATGCTTTCTATGATTGCATTAATTTAACAACAATCAACGGAAAGAAAATTACATCATATGGTAAAAGTGCACTTGAAAACTGTGAAAATCTTGTGATAACAATTAACTCATCATCGACCTCATTTTCATCAAGATCATTTGTTAATTGCAGAAAGCTTGTGTTAACAGAATTAACAGATCACAAGGCAGATTATGCATTTCTTGGCTGCACAAGTATCACAAAACTCCAACTAGAGGAATCAGTTTCAACCTACATGTTTGCAGCATGCACCTCATTAGAATCAATTGAGATTGGTGAAGGGTGCGATGAAATTAAGGAAAATGCATTTGCAAATTGTACAAAACTTAGTTCTATTAAGTTCAACCATCCTGAAACTGTATCAATTGCCACAGATGCATTTGCAAATACCTTATCTCTCGTCAATCTCGACTTAGAAAATGTTTCAGTTACTGGTTATCCATTCAGAAATTCTGGTCTTCAAACTGTTTCAATCGGCGCAAATGTTATAACAGTCACATTTAATCAACGAACTGATGAGTATGAGCCACAATTTATCTTTAATCAATGCGATAATATCGAGAAAGTCACTATTAAAAAGAATGTGGAATTCTTTATTCCACAAAGTTTCCTATTTCTTGATAAAGCAACCATTGAATTCGAGGGAAACAATCCAAACCTTACAAACAAGAATGGAATAATATATGATAATGATGGAAAAATTATTTTTGTTACACCAGACTGTGAAGAAACATCATTAACATTTTCAAAAGAAAGCGATACTATAGATGATGGTGCATTATATTACAACAAAAATATTAAAGAGATTAAAATATCTAAGTTCATGACGGGCGTTTCATTCCAATTTGCAAAACATATTAAAGAAGTTACTATAAATTATGATAATTATTCAAACCCAACTTCAATTCCTGCATTATGCTTTGCAGGATGCATAAGTTTGAAGAAATTAACAATCGAAAACGCTGTTGAATCAATAGGAAATCAAGCTTTTATGTTTTGCAAATCATTGACTGATGTAACTCTACTAGAAAGAATGATATTTGGGGAGCAAGCATTTTCTTTTTGCACTTCATTAAAATCAATTAAAATACCATTGTTTAGTGAAGATGCAGACAGTTTATTTATGGGATGCATATCATTGAAAGAAGTCGAATTCCATCCATTCCAATCCACCATTTCAGATCGTATGTTTATGATGACAGGATTCAAGAAATTCACTGTTCCCGGTTCAATTAATTCAATTGGTGATGGTGCTTTCGGATTTTGCCAAAAATTATCAAAATTTGAGCTTAGTAAAGAAAGTTATGAATTTATGGAACTTGATAGCAGTATTGGAGATTGGTTCAGCAGTGATGCAGATGAGAATATAGATTTATCAAATTTGGATTCTCAAGTTCTCTTTTACTTTTCACATCTAGATATTGATCCAAATGATTTCAATGCTAAAGTCAATACTAATTTCACTTTTGTTATATCTTCAACAGTATCTGCTATCAGAGCAAATACATTCTCTAAATTTGCTTACGTCGACGTTGAAATTGATAAAGAGAATATATTTTTCAAAGTTGACGGAAATTGCATCATAAATAAACTTACTAATGAATTGGTTGCAACATTTGGTGTATTGGATAGATCATTCAAAATTTCAAGTGATGTCGAATTCATAAGAACAGAAATTTATCCAGGAAAAGCACATGTATTTAAAGATGCCAATGATAAAACATTCGATAATGATATTCAAGCTAGACAGCTCAAGATTCCAAGCAGCGTCAAAGAAATTTCGCAGAACATTAATTCCATTGAAGACATAAGATCAATTTGCTATGACGGAAAGTATTTTAATGGCGATGTTAGTGGAAATACTCCGGCTTATGTCTCTAAGAAGTATATTTATCCAACTTTCTTGGATAATGTTAGAAACACAAAGTGCCAATCAAACTATCTTGATAAAGACAAAGCAAGACACCGGATCGGAATGACAGGTCCAGAAATCGGACTCACAGTAGGTCTTGTTATTGTCACAGTCCTTCTAGTAATAGCAATAATTCTTTACATCCTGCTTCCATTTTCGAAACTCGTTCTCAAGGCTGCCGCAGCAGCAGCTGCTCCATAAACAATTTTTATATAACATCTATTATATTTTTTTTGATTATATCAGGAAAATTCTGATATTTTCCTCACTTTTTTTACATGGAAACTTCTGTTTTCTTTTTTCTTATCGCTTTTTTTTAAATTCCGAAACAAAGAAACAAATAATTATTTCTCTTTTCAATTATAAAATGTTTAAATAAAAAAAGTTTTTGCTTAGATAAAATAATTTTTTAAAATCAAACTATTTTATGCTTCTTCACCTTTAGATGAACACTTACTGAATGGGAATACGAAATAGAGAATGACTAGTACAATCAGTGCAATTAGAACTATTACGAATGCAACTGTGAGGCCGATCTCTGCACTACTCATTCCAACAATATGTCTCCATTTGAAGGAATCAGAAAGACTTGTTGAACATTTTGGTCCTGCATTTTCTGATCCAAATAGTACGTTATAAAGGTAATTCTCAGAAGCATAGCTATTATAAATTGTTGTAATAGACGAAGAGGAAGAAGTTGTCAATGAATCTCCTAGATAATATTCACCTTCATAGCACATACTTTGTACAGTGAAATCAACTGATCCGAATGTAGAAATGTTCGATTGAATCTTGATAATTGCAGCTCTTGCAATTCCATCGGATTGTACTAAGAGATCTAGTTCTTCAGATGAACTGGAATCATCACTTGTATCACGCTTAATTGCATTGGAATCAATCACTCTGATTTGTTCTGGAACTTCGTAAACTTTGCCCAATTTTCCTACAGTTGTAACTAAGTTCTTTTTAATCTTACCAATCAATGTTTGGTCTTGGTAATCATAGTAATTGTTTTCTGATGAAAACTCAATCTTAACATTGTCCATACTAGTGAAAACAGTGCTTCCAATGTTTTTAATTGAAGGTGGAATGATAATCTTAATAGTTTGAGTTGCTGGAGCGAACCAAGAATTGTCGAAACTTGGTGTTCCTTTTCCTATTGTTGCTGTCTTTAGTTTGGAGTTGGAACCAAAGGCATTGCTGCCAATCAATGTAACACTATCTGGAATAGTTATTTCCTTGAATCCGCAGCCGGAGAAAGCGAAACTTCCAATCTCAATCAATCCAGAACTGAAAGTAACTTCTTTCAAACTGGAGCATCCATAGAAAAGAGAGACAGGAATGATGTTTAGACCTGTGAGATCAATGGATTTAAGGGAAGTGCAGAAACTGAATGCAAATGATGAACTTTCAGATGCATCCAATGGGAAGTTTACTGTTGTTGTAAGTTCAACAGATTTAAGGGAAGTGCACTGAGTGAAAGCGTGAGGATAAATGTATTCGATAGTCTTGAAATTAATCTCCTTTAAACTCGTGCAATATTCGAAAGCATTCGACATAATGTTATACAAAATAGAAGACTCGAATTTCTTCAATGATTCGCAATGAGAAAACGCGTATTCATCGACAGTTGTGATGTTTGAAGTTCCTTTTACTTCCTTGAGATTCGAACAAAATCCTAATATACCAGCAGGAACTGTTTGACTGATCATTTTACTGAAATCAAATGTTTTAAGGGCTGTTCCGTTGAACGCGTATTCTCCAAACACTGAAACATTTTCGATGTTAATCGTTTTCAGTTTCGGACACATGTTGAACGCGTAGTTTCCGATTTCTGTTATAGTGGAAGGCAAAACAACTTCTTCAAGATTTTCGTTGTTGCTGAATGAATTATCACCAATTTTATCAAACTGTGTACTGATATTGATGAACTTCAATTTCTTGTTGTCTCTGACTCCCATGTAAAATGTTGCGTTTGAATCAAATGAGATTTCGAGTTTCTCGATTGAAGTTGAATGAATAATATTCGATGAGTCAACAATATAAACCGTGAAAGGAATATATAACTTCTTAATGTATCTATTAGTAATAAAAGCTTCATGATTTATATATGTTACAGACTCAGGAATTCTTAATTCACTCTTTGTGAATTGTGGAGTAACAAGAACTAATGTATCATTGCCATATGTCAACAAACCATTAGATATGTTCAATGATTCATGTCCTTCTTCAATGGAGATTTCATCTAATGTCAAATTAGCGAAATTAATTGCATTTACACCTGCAGGATCAGCTATTTTACTGAATACAATTGTCTTCAAACTGTCACAGTTATAAAAAGCATCTGTTTGTGATGAAGAAACACCTGCAAGAGTAATCTTCTTAAGACTACCATCAGCGAATGCGTAATTAGCAATGAAAGCATTAAATAAGTTGATTTCTTTGATGTTTGTACTTGCAAACGCATAACTGTTTACACTTGATAAAACACTTTTGTCAATGAATTCTGATAATGATGAACAGTTGCAGAATGTGTAATCAGGTAATACATTGACATCAGTTGATGAGTTATACGTGTAAGTAACAGTTTCGAGGTTCTTACAACCCATGAAAATACCAAATGACGTCAATCCCCAGTTGATTGTGAGTTCTTCGATTTTGTCACATCCAATGAACGCGTAATTGCCAACAGTAGTGTTTTCATGGAGAGAAGGAAGTTTTAGTTTGGAACAATAGCTGAACGCGTAATCAGAAATTGTGTAAATTTGGTTTTCTTTGAAAGCAAAATCGAGTTTCTCGCAAAACATGAAACATTCTTTTTTAATTGTTGTTTCATTGTCATTGAGAGTTATTGATTCAAGCTTAATGCAGTTATAGAATGACCTTACACCAATGATATATGCTGAATTAGCTGTAACTTTCTCTAATTTAGTGCAGTAACTGGCGAATTCTTCTGGAATTTCGATAACACCTGTTTCAATCGATTCAAGGGATGGACATTCTGTGAAGATACCTTTACCAAGTCTTGGAACATTTGTTAATTTGGCTTCTGTAAGTTGCGTGCCTTGGAATGCGTAATCTCCGATCGAAACGTTACTTCCTTCAAGAGTAAACGCGTCAATCTTGGAGTATGCGAACGCTGAAACACCAATGGATTCAACGGAAGCAGGGAAAGTAGCGTTATTAAGACCGGAAAATTGGAATGCTTTGTCAGCGATCGAAGTAACCTTTGAAAAACTAAAGACTGCAAGTGAGTAGCAGTAAGCAAATGCACTACTGCCAATCGTAATTGACTCTTCGGAAATTGTGATTTTTGCTAAATTGAAACAGTTAGCAGCGAATGTATTTGGAATGGTTTTTGTCATGATCGATAACTCTGTGAGAGAAGAGCAGCCGTAAAATGCACCTTCTCCTAAAGATGAGATGTTACCGTCAATAGTAATGTTCTGAATTGCAGAATTCTTGAAACAGCCAGGGCCTATTGATGTAACATTTTTAGAAAGTTCTACAGATTTAACATATCTGTTTCCTATGAGAAAACCGCTTGGGACTGAATTAGCAGATCCTTGAATCTTAATTGTTGATACTTTGATGCGGTTAATAGGATAATAACTAGGAACAATATTCGATATTGAAATTAAAGTATCTACTTCCGGATAGTTTTTAAGAAAAATAAGAAGATTGGTATAATCGTAATCAGTAGTAACAGTAACTACATTATCTTTGACGCCAATTGCTGAATTAAGTAAAACTTGTCTTGAAAGAAGATTGCTAAATAAAGAAGAGCGAAACATAATAAAATTAATAGTAATATTTGAGAGTATATTCAAAAATAAATTAGTTGAATAATAGATAACAATACTTTATAATTTAATAATGACATTTTAAAATAAGAAATAACCGTTTTTATTGAATCTAAAAAAGACATAATTCTACATGAAATATTATCAAAATATACTTTTCAGTCAGTTTATTTTTTTTATCAGATTTTTATCTGTTTCTTTATTTTAGAGTTTAAAATCGTCGATTTTCGATTTGAACTAATCATATTTGATTCCAAGATCAAAAGTATTAGATTCCACTTCACTGATATTAATTCCAAAAAAAAGTTTCTTCTGAAAAATAGTTTTTATCAGCGATTTTCCTGCATAAATAAGCTTTTTAATATATGATAATGATATATATCCAAATTTGATTCAGATCCAGAATTAAAATTTCTTTCCAACGTTTTTTTTACTATATGCTATATATTGTATTAGCAAAACAAAAATTGATTTATTCAATACGATATAAACATTGAATTTCAATTTCAAATTTTTTTTCTGATCAAATATAAAATTCGAAAATAACATGCATTAAGAATACATTATGTGTATTCGTAAAAATACTCTCAATTTCGAATCCATTCAATTCATTTCATAGATGCTTTATCACTCGTTTATTTCTTCTCTGCTTTCAAAAGGCATTTATATCAACTCTGATATAATTCGTAGTGGAGATACTACAACAATTTCATCAATTAACGATATTTCCAATTTAGAATATAAACATATTAGCAATACACTTGTCATTAGCGATTCATCATCGACTGACTGGCCCTCGTATGCTTCATTAAGCTATTACAAATTCAAAAAACTTGATCTACAGTGCCCGAAATTAACAACTTTTAAATTTGTTTACCCAGAAAACTCAGTTTATGTTCAACCATTCGAATTCCTTGAAGAGGTTTCACTTCCTAGCAGCGTAACACAAATTTCTGAAAATACTTTCCAAAGATCTCCAATCAAGACCATTAATCTTGATAAAGTTACCCAATTTGGAAGCAATTGTTTTAGCTACTGCCCTAATTTAGAAAAGTTAACACTTAATGCGGCAACAATTCCTTCTAATTTTGCCAATAACTGCCCAGCTCTTAAGGAAGTTGTATTAACGGCTTCATCTGTTACTATTGGTAAAAACGCATTCCAATACTGCCCGTCTCTTACTACAATTGACTTTACAAAGATAACTGCGATTGAAGAATACTCATTTGCCTATACCGGGTTCACATCTCTATCACTTTCAGGTGCAAGCGTTGGGAACTATGCATTTGCATACACTCCATTGCTTGATGTCAAGTTTTCCGCTGAATCCAATGTTGGCACCTGTGCATTCAAAGGAACATTCATCAAATCAGTTACAATGCCAATAACCAGTGCTGCTCCAACAATTTCCTTCGCAAATTGCTACCTTCTGGAGGATGCAACGTTTACATCTACAATTGCTTTTACAATTCCTAAAGAATGCTTCTTAGGATGCTACTCATTGAAGAAAGTAACATGCGAGAATGCAGTTACCGTTGGAGAGAAAGCTTTCTTTGATTGCATTAACTTAACAACAATCGAAGGAAGTAAAATTACATCATATGGTACAAGTGCACTTGAAAACTGTGAAAATCTTGACATAACAATCAATACAACCACAACAACATATGGAGAAAAATCATTTGCTAACTGCAGGAACCTCAAATTAACTGAAGTTTCTACAAATACAGCAAGCTTTGCTTTCATTGGCTGCACAGGTATTACGAAACTTCAGCTTTTCAATTCAGTTTCTGAATACATGTTTGCTGTTTGCACATCATTAGAATCAATAACAATAGGACAAGGATGTAATCAAATCCTTGAATTTGCATTTGCTAACTGTACAAAACTGAGTTCAATTACAATCAATGGTCTAAGTTCTGTTGCAATTAGCACAGGAGCATTTTCTAATGATATTTTATTAGTGGATCTCAAACTCGAGAATGCTTCAATATCTTCTTATGCTTTCCAATATTCCGGTATCAAGACAATAACAATGGGAGCTAATTCGGACGCAGAAGCTTTAGCATTCAGCAGATGCGAAGATCTTGAGAAAATTACTATCTCAAAGGACTGCAATACATTTACCCCTAATTTCATTTTTGGACTTGAAAAAGTTGCTATTGAATTCGAAAGTGGCAACGTAAACCTTACGAACAAAGACGGCGTATTGTATGACAAAAATAACAGCATTGTTTACGTTACACCGGAATATGAAGGAAAATCATTATCATTTGCAACTGACGAAGATAAAATTTCTCCAGGAGCATTATACAACAACAAGAACATAAAGCAAATCAATGTTACAAAAAGATTTTCTACAAAGCCTGATTATTACCAACGTTTTACAGTTGAACTTCAATTCACTGCTGCAAGATACATCGAAGAAGTAACAATTAGTATCGATAATTATTCTGATCCTATAGCAATCCCTGAAAATTGCTTTTCTGCTTGCACAAACTTGAAGAAATTAACAATTGTAAAAGGTGTCACATCAATAGGACAATATGCTTTTATGGGATGCACTTCATTAAAAGAGATCTCCATGCCTGACAATATCACACTTAACTCATATGCATTCGCATTCTGCACAAGTCTTAAATCCATCAGTTTACCATTAATTGTTGAAGGAACAACTGTTTCTATTTTAATGGGTTGCACAAAATTAAATGATGTTGAATTCCATCCTTCGCAAGCATTCATTCCAAAGAATATGTTCAAATACTCAGGAATTAAGAAGATCACAATTCCTGATTCTATTACTTCCATCAATGATTACGCTTTCGCTTGCTGCTCTAAATTATCTAAGTTCACACTTGGTAAAGGATTCCAAGACCTTACATTGAATATTTCCAGGTGGTTCATACAAACATCTATGGATGAATCGGAATATTCAATTATTAACATTGCCAAAATGTATGGTATTAAAATAGACGATGAATATTTCATGGAGAACACCAATTTCACTTTCAAGATCTCATCAACAATTAGTACAATTGCTGCTAATACTTTCTCTAACTTTGCTTATATCGACGTTGAAGTCGATAAAGAGAATCCATATTTCAAAGTTGATTCGAATTGCATCATCAATAAATTCTCCAACAAATTAGTTACAACATTTGGTGTATTGGATAAATCATTCACAATTTCAAGCGATGTAGAATTCGCTACAACAGCAATTTATAAAGGACAGGCAACTGTTTTTTCAGATGCTACAGGCCAAACATTCACAAATGATCCACAAGTTAGACAGTTAGTTATTCCAAGCAGTGTCAAAGAAATTTCATCAACATTGACTACAAATAATGATGATATAAGATCTATTTGCTATGAAGGTAAATATTTCCAGACAGCCAAATTTACTAAAGGAAATGTTTATGCAGCAAGTAAATATGTTTTCCCAACAATTTTTGGTAAAACAAGAAACACAAATTGCCAAACTGACTATTTACCAAAGGATAATGCCAGACATCTCGTAGGAATGACTGGAGCAGAAATCGGTTTAACTGTTGTCTTTGTTCTTTTCTTGGTTCTCCTTGTGATCGTAATTATTCTATATATCTTTGTACCATTAACAAAGCTCATAATGAAGGCTGCTACAGAGTAAGAACTCTCTCTTTTTTTTATTTTATTTTAAACATTTATCATTTATAATTTATATTTTTCTCTGCTAATCTAAGATATGGATACACATTACAATCTTTAGATACCAATAATAGTGGTTACTTCATGTTCGGGTGAAGAATGTATAAATTTTATTCAAATATTCTTAATGTCAATAATTGTCAATGAATAAATATTAAGCATATCATATGTATATTTTCGGAAATTAAATGTAAGTCTCCACAATAAGATTTTAGACATCATTTAATAAAAATATGAAATTATTAGAACAATGTAATGGATTAAGAGCATAATTATGCATTTTTAGAAAAATATGAACAAATAATTCTGATTAACAGACGTAGCTAGCTCAATGCAAAAAAATATTTATTGATATTGCATGATCATCAATGGTTAAACAAGCTATCACTTCGAATCACATAAAGAATTTGATTGGAATCAGTTAAATCTTTATTAACTCATTATATTATTTGAGGTATTTTTTTATTTCAAAGAACTTCCTCAAATATATTTCAATTAAAATAAATCAAGATACTCATGATGATTTATTGATACAAACAAACAAAAACAAATGAAAAAACAATAACAAATTGAGGTTCGCAACAATGGAAAGAAAGAATCGAATATATAATTCGATAGTGGAACGTCAGTCTTAAGCTTTGAGAATTGCACTCTTTCCATGTCTGATCTTTTGACCTTGTGGAGAAACAGGGATATTCTCTGATAAATTAAAGTTATACCAAGAATGAGAAGGAATTGTAAGCTTTGGCCTTGCGGTTAAAATGTCTTCGATCTTATCGAGTGATAATCTCTTTAAAGGGTCTTCTTCGAGAGTTCCTGAGATAACTTCAGCTAGCGATCTTTCCACGAACATTGGAATAATGTATTTATAGGAATTCTTCTGTTTAATGAAAGGATTCAAACCGCAAGTCATGTAGTAAATCGTAACGCCTAGCGACCATATATCAGCTAAGAAAGGATCGAAAGCATGGCTGGTTCTCTGCTCAGGAGCCAAATATCCGTAACTACCTACATTATAATGCGACTCATTGGTAGAATAATACCCTGATAGACCAAAATCGGCGATTTTGATCCTTCCGTACTTATCAAAAAGGATATTCGATGGCTTTATATCATGATGAGCAATCCTTTTTGAGTGGATGTATTTGAAAACACGGACTAGTTGTTTTGTGATATTAACAATCTTATTCTGTATGGGTCTTACTTTATTCTTAATAAGCGATTCTGGGGTGCCTCCCTCGCAATACTCTAATATCATGTAATATTTGCCATTTTCTTCAAAATGAGAATAAAGGCGAACAATATTTGGATGATCAAGTGTAGTTAAGGCTAAAACTTCGTTTTCATATTGCGTTTTCTTGGAAATAATTTTACATACAAAATTTTGCTGATAAACTTGATGAAATACAAGGTAGCAAGACGGAAAACATTTATTTCCAAGACCTTTGATAATTTGAAAGCCACGCCCTAGCAAAATTGAAGAGATCTCAGAGTTAGCATCGCACATTTGAAAATTACAATTTTGAAAAGTCCTTCACATTTGAATTGAATTATAAAAAAATTTATGTTATTAACAAGTAGAAAGAAAAATTTAATTCCAAATCATAAAAATTGAATATATCTGATATTGTAGATAGGCTTGAATTTTTTGTTAGCAACTGCCTTCTCACAAAATGATTTTATAATAAATTGTTTTCAGGATATAATTATAAATCAATAAGTTGATCGAAGTTCACTCTTTGAAAAAAATATCGGATAAGTGTTCTCAGATAACAAGTATTGAGTATGGTTATTACTTCGGAAAAATGAAAATCGAAATTTGAAAAAGATTCTCAAAAATCCAATGAGAAGAACTTTTATGATAGACATTTTTGCTAATTCAAATTTGAAGAATTTTAGTTAGTGAGTTATTTACTGCACATGAATATAAACAATGAAAACAACTTTTCTATAAAACCGTCAAATCGTAAAAACGTTTTTACTTCGGCACAATTTAATAAACTTTGAATGATTAAGCTTAATTACCGATAGTTTATCAAATTCACATTTAAAAGGATGTTTTTGAATTGCTTTTTTTAACGAATATTAATTCTTCTAAACAACCATATTTTTAATATTTAACCTAAGCGCAATAATCCTTCACAATTAATTCATAAGTCTCATCACACTTTTCAATGCTCGATTTTTAAAAACTGTTTAAAAATTGAGCTTATATTGAAATAGTGTAGAGACTAAAAATTACCACAGACTATTTCAGAGGATTGAGTTGCCACTCAATCCTCTGAAAAGTCTGAGGTAATTTGCAAACTTTCAAAAACTTTTTCAAACTTTAAAATGCTATCGATATATCGACTGGTTGTATTATATCCAAATTGCTATTAAAAGTGAGGTAACATCGTTGGACATATTCAATTCCATTATTCTTTTCGATTACTGAAAATGCAATTTACGATCGATTCTTTATGATTTATTGTATCTCATACATATTACTTTAAGATTTATATACAATTCTAAAAAGACACGCCAATACAATCAATAATGTTGAACAAATAACTTACAAAGAGTTTGCAAATATATTGCCTTATACAAATATATTCATGTATTAGCAGCTTATGAGAAATTTCTGAATTTCCCAATCTTCCATTCTTCATCTTATGTTTTTAATGAATAAAATTTAAAATATAGCTTCAAAAATTTTATTTTGGAATATAAGGTTAAGATCCAAAGCTAAAATTATTAAGAAGCAATTATGATTTTTTTTTTTCTTGTATATATTAGTCACAACTCTTGAATTAGAGATGCATTCACCATAAACTTGCATTTCCTTTTTGTGCTTTAAGTACTTTCATTTTATATTATATTTCTCTTATTTGAAGTTGTTTCCGCATTTTCTGCAGCACAATTCGATTCAAATGCTTAATAAATAAGATTTCCAAAATTGTTTTTGGAATATCATCCTAATATTTCACATGATTTGAGAAATGAATAATCATTTAATCAAAAACATATTCAAACTAATTAATGCATCATTTTATGATATGCATTATCAGTTTGGCACATTTTTAAGTTTAAAATTTATTCTTTGAACCCATTATTAATTCATTCGATTTAAGTTTGTTCTTATTGCCTTTCTCCGAAGCACCAATTCATCAATGGATTAACTGTTTCGAATTTAGTTGATTGTTTGCTTATATTTGAACAGTATTTACTTACAAATTTTATTTTTGTTTCCTAGAACGAGATATTTGTAAATTTATCATGATAATTTTTTTACTAACAAATTTTATTTGAAATGATTTATTAGAAGTTGATGGACATCATGCCTTTTATTTTTCTTTGCAATTTCAATTGGTGATTCTCCATTTTCATCATAAACTAGTTTGATGTCATGATGACTTAGGAGAATTTTCGTTATATCTGCAAAACCAAACTGTGCAGCATAATGAAGAGGTGTCCATTTATCATTTGCTTGTATATTTATATCAATTTTTCCATTTTCTAAGAAGTACTCTATACAATCTATTCTTCTATTTATAATTGCTTGATGCAGACAAGAAAAACCAAAGTTATCTTTAGTATTTATATCAGCACCTTTTGAAATTAAGTTTTTAATTGTTTCAATTTTTGATGACGAAATCGAAATCATCAAAGCAGACTCTCCTTTCGAATTTCTCTTTTCAAGATATAGTCTTTTATTATTAAGTAATTCATCAATTGATTCACTATGATTCCTTAATATTGCAAGCATTAATGGTGTCACATCATTAACATTTAAAAGATTTGGGTCAACATCATAATGATTTAACAATTTAATTATCATAAAATTGTTTCTTGCGCATGCTAAATGAAATGCATTAGAGTTCTTGTCATTAACAACATTAATATTTGTTGATTTCTTTATTAAATAATCAAGACATTCGATGTCATTATCTAAACACGATTCTAAAATTGCTTCTTCAATTCCTTTGATTTTTTTAACTTCAATCAGCCATTTTAGTAATTCTAGATTGTGGAATTGAACACAAACATTCAAAACACCTGTAAAATCTAGTTCTGACTCTTCACAAATATCAATAATCTTCAAATCTCCTCCAGCAACAGCAAAATAAGTTAATTTTCTTCCAAATGAATCTTCTTTCATTAAATCAGCTTCATTCAATCTCAAGAAGTTGAAGCACTTAACTGATTTATAATAAGCGGCAATTTGTATCAATGAAGGCTTCCTTTGAAGGAAAAATTCTTTGAAAAAAATTGAAAATTGAATTGTTTTGTTGATGTCAAAATTTGGATTAGTAAAACATACTTGTAATGCATCAATATCATCATTTCTAAGTATATCTGCTAATGCATCTTCATTTCCTTGTCCTAATCGATAATCTTTTAGTAATTTAAAATTATTTTCAAAAAACGATTTCTTCTTTTGTAAAAGATACTTATTTACGTTCTTCAGTTCCATGAAACTTCCGGGATTTATCTCTTCTATCTCCGGAGCAAGCCAAAGATAAAATATTGTATCATTTTCGAATAAAGACAATAATTCTGAAATACTAGCATACTTTGCTTCAACTAGTTTGTAAATCATATTATAAAGTGAGATTTTGTGTAAACAATGAATTGGTAGTTGTAGAAATTTAAAAATTTGTTCAAAAAAGAAGCTTTTGGGCATGAATTCAGTGTTGTTGATAATAAAATCGATATAATAATTGATGTTACTTGGTTTAATTATTGAAAATCTGAAGATCATTTGCAATAATAATTTTTTCTCCGATATTTGAACTAATTGATCATGTTCTTGCAAGGATTTTATCAGATTATTCAGATCATTACAATCGTATAATGCATTTTGAAGACATTTATATGATTCAATGTCTTCATAAAACATAAACTAAATAAAAAAATGAAGAATCAAATAAAAGAAACATAAAATCAATTTAGTTAACAAACAATATTTATAAAGCAATGATTTTCATTATAAGAGCTTTGTTAGTTTCTCCAGATTTTTCTGGAATATTCCTGTAGCAATCGAGAAGAGCTTCTTTTTGGCCATTATCGATAAGGTCTGTAATAATGTCCTGCACCATACATAGCTGCGATGCAGAAATAACAGCGCACCAGTACATAAAGTACTGAATGAACTTATCAATGGAATTTGGATGTACGACCATCATTATACGAATAAAATCATATAATGTTGCACCTCTTCTTAGCGTTGCAAAAAGAATTTCAAAATTACGAAGAGGTTCTGCGAGAAACAGCCTCAAAGGGACGTATTTAGGCGGTGTAATGGCTTGTGCTTCATAATTCTGCGAATACCATGTCGTAATTTCTGTTCTTGGAAATTCAGAAATTGGATACGTCACAGATTCGCATTTCATTGCATCGGACCACAGCATCGTAAGGCCTACAAGCTGTCCGAACTCTTCCTCTGGCTTAATCTTCTCTCCATTAAACTCTCTGAAATAATTTTCAATTTGTCGTTTTACAGGCGACGGCAAATGGAATTGCGTTGAGTCCTTGAGAGTATCAATGCATTCCTGTAAGAAATCATCGTCGACATTCTCAAATTTTATGAGAATTTTCAAAATTATTGAAGCAGTTGTTGAATTTTTGATGTTTTTAAGGGTTTCTAGGATGTTTTCTTTCTGTGGAACAGCTTTACTTAGACATTCAATGATGCTTTGCTGCAAATCTAAGTCAGGAGTTGAAATATTTTCAAATTGAGGATGATCAAGGTCAGGAACTTCAGGATTTGCTTGGATCTTGTGGTGCCTTCTTGTGGACATCCTAAGATTTGCAATATTTCCGTTATGATCCATATAAACAACACTACAATTTGTAATATTGAAATAATTTTGGAAAAGTTTGCCAGTTCCTTCGAGTTTGATGCAATCAAGGAGATCAAATGATGGTATTGAACATACAAATAACGCTTCTTTCCTCGGAGCATAAATAACAAGTATATAATGTTTTGAATCTCCGTACCAAGCTAATTGGGCATCACTAATGGCCTTTTTGATGGATACAACACATTCATTGTCAACATCAATGATTGTAATGCGGCCAATGTTATCGGAAACTGCAATAAAACGTTTATCTGGAGATGGAACTAAAGAAATCGCAATTTTAGTAATATCGTTGTAGTCTTGAGTACTTTTGAGTAGCTCTGGTTGATAATCTTTGAAATTTTTGCCAAAAGGATTAAGAGATTTGGCAAATTTTGTAATTCCTGTGGTAAATGTTCCTTTATATGGAGAATTAATATCGTAAACAGTAAGAAATTGCTCACTTGAGGTTATATATAGCTTCAATGATGTCTCTTTATATTTGACAATTTGAATATTTTTAATATCTGAATTTTGAATTGTGAATTTTTGAGCAACTGGTGTATATTTGAGATTTGCATTAGCATATTCTAACTCTGACTGTGCAATATATACAAAAATATTAGGATGAAAAATTAATGTGTAAGAATTTAAAGATTCTGATGATGGTAATGAATCAATTCTATTGTAAATGATTTTTTGAAGAGGAGATGCATGGAAATTGAAAATTCTAATAACAGAATCTATTGAAATTGTAATAAATTTTCCTAAATTTGTTCCACAACCGCAGATCCAGGGACTTTCGGCGATTGTAGTGCATGAAATTATTTGTTCGTTCGATTCTAATTCAACTTCAATTGCTTTTACCTTTTCATTTGAATTAAAATAGACTTTTGATGAAGAAAATGAGCAAAATGAATTTCCGGATGGTGAGAAAGCAACATCATTATTCATTAAACGCGTTGCCTCTGCTTCTGGAGATTCAGAACGTACTCTCCAGGCTGAAGAAATCTCCATTCTAACGCAAAGTTACAGGCGTAACACACCGTTAAATCAATATTTTTTTTATTGCATCATCAAAAAAAGTATTTTTATATCATTTCAGCAAAAAAATCAGTAGTTATTTCGAATTGATACAAATAGAAGAATACGAAAAAGCTATTACACCTAGATTGGTACGAATTTTTCCCAAATTCAAAACAAGGAACAAAATATCTATATAAATTCGAAAGACTAAACACAAGCGATCATAGTTATTACGTATGCTTTTGTATTTTTGGCGCATTGATCACAGATGGCGCCATTAACTTTATTACATCCCAAGATACAACAAAATCTCTCATTGAAACATCAGAATTTTATAATTGCTCTAATACAAAACAATCTGGAGGTGGTTTATACTTCTATAGACATGGTGAATGCGTCCAAAATCGAATATGTAGTATAAATTCTAATGCTGCAAAATATGGTATGTATTGTTGGGTTGAAATCAGTAATGCCGCTCAGTTTAAAAATAAATTCCTTAATTCTGCTATTACTCAAAGTGGAAAATTAAATAAAGATATAATTGGAAATATTCATTTGAAAAATGGAGAAATCGAAATTAATTCTCTGAATATTTCTTATGTTGATATAAAAGCGAGTAATTTGTACAGTATAAGAGCTTATCAATCTTCCTCCAAAGTAACATTTTCCACATTTAGTAATAGCACTGATACATGGCCGTCAGACAATAATTTTGTATATTTTGATAAATCATCATATGTATTATTGATTAAGTTGTGTAATTACTTAAGCAACAATTTAAATATTATAATTTCTGCATCAAATGCATCTGTCAATGTAGTTAATTGCAATTTCGTGAAGAATATTGGCAGGAATTATTATTTTTATCTTTCGAAGATTGGATATATTTCTGTGAATGATTGCTATATAGATTCAAGTAATTTTCTAAAATACGGAACTAATACTGTCACTAATAATGCAGTTAATTCATTCAAGATAGAAATTCCCACAATGACTTGTGATTTTGAGATACCTGACTCAATGAATCAAATTGAAGATGAAGATGAATTAATATATTTAAATAAAAACAAGGCAATAATGAAAAATATTTGTTTGTTTTCTCTTCATATATTTACTGTTTTATTCAGTGAAGTAAATAGTTCATAGTTATTATCTTAACCATGTTTTTATAATAATAATCAAAATGACCAAATTTTTTTGGGCAAACTTTCTTGTCATGTTCAATAAAAGAAAATTCTTCATCATCACAAAAGATTGAATCTTAAATTTCCACTCCAATACCATTTTCAATCCCAAAATACAATGATCAATCGCTAATTTCACATCGATTATCAATTTTTTATTACTTACAATATTAAGAGTAGTCATACCATTAGGATAAAAAAATTTTAATTCTTTTTCATTTCAAAATTATTTTCATCGATTTTTACAAAATTCGATTCCATACATTTTGAAGATTAAGGATGCACTTACACCCCTATGGAATGACATTCAATTCAGATTTTTAAAGTTAATTTTCAATGATTCTTCATGTCATTATCAAAAATTTGAATTAAAATCAGTTGGGCACATGTGCAGCCTTAAAAGAATCAAATTTTTCGAGCAGACTTTTTCAAATATTGAGGGAAAAATTGTAATTTTTCAAATAAACATAAACACACATCTTTTAATTAAAAAAACATTAAGTTTCCTCACCAGACAAATCGTAAACTTCTCCAGTATTCACGTCGTTGAATCCAGCCATCATTTGTGCCCAAGCTTTGTCAGATTCTTGGAAGAAGAGATTCAAATAGAAAATTGACAATTCGTTGTTATTCAATGTTTCTCTGATGAAATTCTCTGCTTCTTCACCTAACGACGCCAAGAAATTTTTCATAGGAGTAGCGAATGTGTAAATCAATACTTCCTCGCAATCCATCTTCTCTCTCTGGTATCTAGGAACAGCGAACTGAATTATCAGTTTTCTGAAAATTTCTGTCATGTCAACACCAGTCATTTGCAGGACATTCAACGAAGAACTGATTGTCGGAAGAACATTGAACTCATATCTTATTGGTAACACATTCGTCAAAGCGTTCTTCAACAGTTCTTTGTCATAATTCTGTCCATACAAAAGTGAAAACGATATCAAAAGTGACAACAATTTTTCTCTCATTGTTATTTCGATTTTATTTGTTTCATCAGTATTATTTAGTTTCTCTGATATTGTTGTTATCCATTTTTCTTTTGTAATCATTGAAGATTTCTGAAAATTATAAGCTTTCAAACAAGAATCAGCGATATTTGCTACAATGATTGATGCAGCATTGTCTGATTCGAGGAGATTCGATAACAAGAAAGATTCAATGAACAAAAAGTTTTCTTGGTCCAAAAAAGAAAAAACTACACAATCTAATGTCAAAATCAAATAAATCCATAACAATTTGTAGTAGGCACTTAACTGGTCATCGTTAACATAGTTTGCATACAAATTATAATATTTCAGACACAATTCAGATTTTTTATCTTCATCTGAAACAGTTTTCAGGATTCTGGAAATATTATATATTGTATTGGAGTGTATGTTAACTAAATCAGGTGTTAATTGTTGTTTTCCTAAAATTTCTTCAAAACATTTGTCACTTTTTGTCAAAATTACATTTGAACAATTTTCATCAAATAATTCTGGGTGTAAACCATGAATATCAGAGAGACAAATGCATACTCCGTCGTCAAAATCCATGCTAATTAGTTTTTCTAGCAAACTGGCAAGCACATTCGTTAATCCTTCGTCTTTTGAGTTATTACAGTTAATTAATTTGGAAAGAATGATATTTAGAACGGAAATAATCTCTTCCTCGTGACCTACTTCCAATCCAAGCATTCCTTTGTTAACGAAAAACCCGATATTCTCTGGAGAGTCAAAATTAATATTTTCATTTCTAAATTCATAAACGCAATACCTAAGAAAAGATACGCAAAATGAGTAAGCTGAGCAATATACGTTATGTTCGTACTGAGAACAATTACGATCAAGCATGTCCGCGAACGGTTTTATATCATTATACAAAATTTTAATGATTTCGATATCTTTTATGTTGTCCAATATGTTTCCTGTCACCTCTATTGCAAGGCTGTTCAGGTACAAGTCGGAAGATTTGATGAAAGTTTCGATCATTTTAACTAATCCTTCTAAATTCTCTTGGAAGAAGTCGAAAGCGGACAAATAGCGCATGATCTGGCCAAGTATCAGTATGAACAAGGAATAATTGTCTTTGTTATTACTTATTAGCTCATAAATTTGATTATAAATATTTTGAAGAGCTTCTAAGTCTCTAAGATTAGTTACGAGGTTCATAAGCATTGGTGTATAAGTATTAGGGTCTGGAGCTTTCTCCATTTCGCTAAAACACCAATTAACAAGTTGAATTACAGTTTCTGGGTTATCTGAAGCGCATTCTGACAAGATTTGTAATATATTTGTTGTTAGAGAGACATCTGAGCTCTGTGAGATGTATTGTTCTGTGTTTGCCCACACAGTTTCGAAATTAATTTTAATATAATCTTCAAATAACTTTACATAGATCAAAATAAAGGCGCACGTTGATGCTATGTATTGGTCATCAGATACAAGACTCTCTACAACAGTTTTGAACACTTGCGGGGCGTAATTTGAGAAAATTGTTGGATAAGTTTTGATTCCTGTAGCCATTAAGAGTAAACCGATACAAACTATTTCCCTCGTGTTGTTTTCAATCAACTCATTGAATTTTGTCTCAACCATTTCTTGTAAAAATTTCATTGGAATTGTTGAGAGAATTAGCTTAGTAATATTGACGAAATCCATCATAATGAGATTGTATGAGTATTCCTGTGAGAATGAGTCCATTGCAAAGAATACTTCGAAGTTTAAAATTTGATCTAACAATTCTGGGGACAAATTATCGATTTTAAGGGGTAATAATGTAGACAACAGAGCATTGAACTTGTATTTTATGTCAAATGTCAACTCTTGGTTCAATAATTTCTCTAAAATTAGTTGAAAAGATTGATCTTCAATAAAAATCCAAAGAATCTTTTCATCGAGTGCAACAAGCTTATCTAGTATAGAAAATTGGTTCTCTTCAATGGAAGAATTAAGAATTTCGCGAATTTTTGTTGTCAATTCCTGAAATTGTTGATGGGAACCGGGAACTTTAATGAACAAATTGTAGGAAACTTTAATGCAGCCAAGAATCGTCTCTTCTTTACCTGATTCTATGCCATCTCTGACTAAATCAAAAATAATTGGTAAATTTGACTTCAAATAGTCAGGATAATAATCAGCAATAATCGAATTGATTAATTCGTACTTGTATTCTTTGTCAGAATCTGATACAAACGCTAAATTAATTAATTCCAACCATTCACCATTGATTTTTTTGACTAAATTGCGTGCTGCCTCAACGAGTAACTGATTTAATTCGATATTTTCTGGAGTAAAAAGTGATATTAGTAAATTCTTAAATTGTTCCAAATATTCTTCGTCGAATTCATTGTTTTCCTTTATATAATTGATTATACTGATAATGGCGTGCATTTTAAAAATAGTATTCGCATTACTAGAAATGATTTGGCACAAAATAAAAATTGAGTTTGGATCTTGCACAAATTCTTGAATTCCTTGAGTTGCTACTTCTACATGAGCACCTGTTTGATCTCTCAGCAGCTCTACGTTGTGGAGATAGCTCTGGACAGTAGTAACCATTGAATAAAATTGTTACAAAAAAACTGTAAAATCTTTGCCTCTCTTCACTTTTATTGCTTACATTTTTCTCGCGATTAAATTTTCTTTACAAATAGATCCTAGAACCAAAATAGTAATAATTTTCATCAGCAACTATTGTTTACTGTCAAAAATATGGAAAAAATGTCACCAAATTCTTTTGCAAGAGTAATACTCTTAACCTTTATCCTAGAAACAAATTCTATGCTGGTTATCTATCCTAATACTAGATATATCAACGCATTACAAGAAGTTAATGTTTTGATTACAAAGTAAAATAGTAAACAATGAAATTTTCAGATTAAATTGTATAAGTATAACCGCAAACTTTAGCATATTAGTTCCAAAACTATTCTAATTCTAATTCAAGTTAATTTGGATTAAGAAATTTGATTTTCTAACGAAGATTTTATGCATTTAAAAAGGAGTAATACTTAGGGTGAGAGAATAGACAAGGTTTTTAGAGAAAAAGATAAAATTAATATACAAAATAATCTTAAACTTAGCAACAACGACTATTTTCCTTTTGAACTTCTTCAGATACCGGCTGAAGGTTTTTCTCTGGTGCTTTTTGTGTTTGTAATGCTGCTGCTGCGACGGCTTGGAATAATTGATCAACAGAATCGCCTGTTCTTGCAGATACAAAGAATATATCTTCACAAACTGTTTCTGCTTTAGAACGGGCTTCATCCATTGTAAGTGGAGCTCCTTCTAGTAAATCGATTTTGTTGATTGCGGCAACAATTGGTGGATTTTCGCCGGAAGCGTATAATCTTTCCTTCCAAACTTTCATGTGATCGACAGAATCTGGATTGACAATAGAACCTGTAATAATGCAAACATTTGCACCACGAGCGTACATTGGGACCAAAGCAGCAAATTGCTCTTGACCTGCAGTGTCCCATAACATCAATTCAATATTATGATCTTCAACCTTTAGACGAGTCTTGATGTGAGATGCGCCAACAGTTGGATTCATTTTGTAATCAAAGATGCCTAATGATTGTTTTCTTGCAAGAGATGTTTTGCCTACACCAGCATCTCCAAGAATAATGACCTTATATTTCTCATATTCGATCAGTTCAGACATCGCTCAAAAATTTTTTTTATCTCCAATCTGACCGAGTATTCTGAAAGATCAAAAATAAATGAAGATTCTGTATGTGCTTATTCTTATTTTTTAGAATTTCTTTTTAAATTTCGGATATGCCCATAAATTGAATTGATCCAATTTATCGCAGGGTAAATCAATCGTTATGCCAAAAACCCAGACATAGAACTTATTATTTCTTTGGAAGTAAAAGGTCATCGCTGATGTAAAAACAAAAATTAAAAGATAAAGGAAAATAATCTTTATTTACAAACATAAAAGGAATAAAAGAATGTGCATACATAATAAAATAGTGATATTTCTAATGCTAGTATTGAATGGAAACTAATAATATTGTTTCAGGAACAATATGGTCATAATAGCTCATATTTTGGGTGAAGGAAGTATATAAAATACTAAATTTGTAACTGATTCTTCATTTTGATCTCATATGATAAAAATAGCGAAATTATTGAAAATTATTGCTATTAATATGCGTATGTCGGAATAGCTTCTGGTGTATTCTGATATATGCAAGATAAAATTTTTGATTTTGGTTTCTATAGCCGCTATTGAAAGCTCAATCAGCCCATTTTCCGACTTCTTCGATATTATCTATAAATGAATCAAGAGCGGCGTCAAGAGAATCTGGAGGAGTACCAAGCTCAATTTGCTTAGCTGTTTTTCGTGGATATTCTTTTTGTGGAGATTTTCTGAATTTATAAATTGGTTCACGATGTCGATGTTCATGTTTCTTTGGCTTAGGTCTTAGACCAAGAGATGGATCAGCTTCATTCATCAAATTGACAGGTAATGAAGGAGGAATTTCAGGTTGAATAGTATTTCTCTGATATGTATAATCATTTCCTCTATTAACTGGAACTAAAGTAATTTGTGGGTCAATTCTATGCGGTTCTGAAATTTTTGGATAAGTTGAATTTAAATCTTCGTCAATATCGTAAACAGGCTGTGATGGATAGAACCTGACAGGGCTCAGAGCCTTTCTTGCCATATTGTCAAGATATTTAGTCTCATTTCGTAAGTCATCCAACGACCATCTAGGTTTATAATGTGGTTTTGTATAATATTTTTCTGGTGTTGAAGATTGTCTTGCTAATTTCGTTTCTAATCTTGCAAACTCTAATTCAAGCATCTGAAATTGTTTGTCATTGCTATACATTCTTTTCTTTGGATAAATTTTTTTCTAAACGTCGTGGGGAAATTTGCCATGTAAATTGATTTTGTCAAATTTACTTATTCTTAAAGAATGATGAAATCCAAGCAAGATTCTGTGGCGCATTAACTTTCTTTTGTATGGACTGGTCTATTTCTAACATATTTTTAAAAAGAGGAACGAAATTATCAGGAATATCGTAAGTCATGTAATATGCATCATTGCACTGGTTTTTGATATGGTAAAAGTCTTTGAGATCTTTGGTAATCTTCCATCCTGTATTTAAATAATAATTTTTAGCAGCTAAATTTGATTGTTGCATATGTAAGTACATATGATGGATTTTATAATGTTTTAGCATTACATCGAATATAACATTCATGATGTCTGAGCCAATTTTGGATCTTCGCTTTTCTTCAATAACCCCAAATGTGGAAACATATGCTGTGCGATCAGTTGAGAAAACAGATTTCCATTCAAGATGTAAAGACACGAATGCAATTATCTTATCTGTATTTTTTTCATTTTTTACGGTCGCTACAATACAATATGATGAATTATTGAGGAAAGATAAAATATAGGAATAAGGATATTCAACTGGAAACAATTCTGAATGCAGTTTCCACAACTGCATGCAATCTTCTTTTCTCAGTTCGCGAATGCGAATTCGATTCGAATTCGTCATCCAAAAAAACTGAATTTTATTCAGTTGATAGCTATTAATATTATCAATAAAACATAATTGAATGCTAGAAACTAAAGAGAAACTGAATAATTGAGCCAATATTACTCTCGAGTATTTCCAAATACATGTAAATGGCTTTATCTCATTTTGATGTAATCGAAGAAGTTTGTCAAATGTAAGACAATGAAATTGTGTATTTAAATCAAAATTCAAATTTCTTATATAAAACTCAATCAGATAGAGACAGACCAAAGAATGCCTATATGAGGGAAATGAATTGATGAATGCACCTTTTAGATGCTAAAGCAGAAATAGAATCCGAAATGAAAGCTTATGAGTAACGAATTCAAGCATAGAGTATAGCACGAGTAATGATTGTAGAAAATCAATGCAGCGTAATAATTAAACTTATTCTTTTTGGTAAATTAGCGAAAATGTAAGAATACAAAGAATGAAGCATGAAGAACTCTCATCCAATTCTCCCAACAAGTGGCAGTGCTTGATGGTGTGGAGTTAATGATGGTCTCGTGTAAAGAACAATTTATATGCCGGCGCCATTTTGAGCGCCATATGTCACCTTTTTACCGCCATTATTTATTATTTTCCGAAAATATAATTGCAATATTATGAATAGTTTATTTTATATGAATAACTCGTTTTATGTAATTGAATTGAAAAAAATTGTACCGCGCCATTTTCAGGCGGGATTTTTGGCGGGGTTTTCATTTTTTTCAAAATATCCGATGACAACACACTCAGAGCCCTCATCTCAGTCAAGCTCGAGTGCTCAGTCATCGCCCATCTTGAAGAAAGAAGGACGAACTCAATTATTTGAGTTTAGCGTGAGTTTAGACGATTCAACAATTACAAAAGATGTCAATATGGCACCTACAAAGCGTGAAACAGATTCAATGCCATTAGGTCATGTGAAACTTGATCCTATTGCGTTACCACCTCTTCTAAAAAAGAAGAGACAAGAACCGTTAGTATTTCGACCATTTTCTTCATTTTCTGCACTCGAATTAACCGTGAAATCACTCAATCTATACCTTTCCAATACAATGACGGAAAGAAAATAATTATTCGACTTACTGTTTATATTATTTTTGTAAATATATTATTCTTTTATATTTACTGTTGTTTTTATTACTAAAAACGCCCTGTCTTCTTGTTAAGATTATTATCTTGTTCTAATCTTTAGACTAAATTACAAATTGTAAAGAATAATCCCAAATAGCGGCCATTGCATGAATTGAGCAGCAAAGAATATTGTATATTTGTAACGTAAAACACAAATTTTATTTAAACAATTGATGAAAAAAAAACACAGATGAATTAACGGATGATAAGGGGCTGGCAATATCTGAATCTCAATACTCTTGGTCTATTTGTTGGAATAGGATCAACTGGAGGTGTTGCCCTTCCATGGTGCTGAGGTTCTGCAGCTCTTTGAACTAATGGCTTAGCTCTTGGGTGAGGTCTGCTTGATGGTCTGCGTGTGCTATCCATTGGAGGAGCAGCCGGTTCGCGAACTGGTAAATCTTCATTCTGTTCATTAATCGGTTCGAGTTCTTCTGGATCTGGGAGAAATTCTCTTTGTTTGATTTCATTTCCGCGGCATTTAACTGGAGACCAGCAATCAAAGTCTGCTATTGCTTGGAGTTCTCTTGTTGAGACAAGTGATAATCTCTTTTGCGGATTGATCACATTTCCTTTTGCATGAATTCTTCCTTCCAGAGGAATAAATATAGCATCATCCTTCTCATAGCGTGGACGTGGAAGATTTAACTGTTGAAGATTACGTGGAACTTTAATTGTTGCGATTAAATCTGCGTGGCTCTGCTCAACAGCTGGCATGAAAACATTAATTAAATTGATGTGTGCTTGAACTGCTGGAACAGCAAGAATGTCTTGAACTGATGGACGAAGAACTGGATTTTGTTGAAGCATGCTCATGATGACATTGATAAGATCGTCCGAATATATTGGAGGTATTCTTGGGGCCTTGGTTGTGCAAACCTTGACGGAGAGGTCTTGAGCAGTTTTCGCATTGAATGGATATCTGAAAGTAGCCATTTCATAGAGCAAAACGCCAAGACTCCAGATGTCGCACTTAGAATCGTATGGTCTGCGTTTCCAAATCTCAGGAGCAAGATACATTGGTGTTCCAATTTGTGTTTTGGCGAGTTGACGCTGAGCAAGAACTGTTGAAATGCCAAGATCACCAATCTTAAAAAGATCTGGTGCAGAGAGAAGAATGTTTGCACTCTTAAGATCACGGTGAACAATTCCTCTTTCATGAAGTACTCTTAAGCCTTCGAGCATTTGTATAAGGAATCTCCAGATTGTTTCTTCCTTGAACTGTCTCTTCTTTTGCTTCCTACGTGATATTGCATTTGATAAATCTCCAAGTTTTGCGTATTCAGAAACAATTACGAGTTTTCGACCAATGATTGATGATTCATGAAAAGAGATAATGAATGGGGATGAAACAGAAGCCATGATTCTAATTTCATTAATTGAATCTTCACGCTGCTTCTGATTCATTGATCCTAAATCTACAACTTTAAGAGCATAAGACTGGCCGTCTGAATTACGCTTGGCTTTATATACTGTTCCATAAGAACCTTTTCCAAGTTGTTTCAAAATTGTAAATCCGGGAACAAGGTGGGTATTCATGTTTATTTTTGATTCTTAAACGTACACATTTCTCCTTCAATTTTATGAAATGTGACAAATCATCGGATAAAATTTATTTCATAAACGATTTCCCATAAATCAATAATTACTTAGACTGTTGAAGAGAATTAAACAAATGAAAAACTAAACCAGCTAAATTCAAGATGAATTATGGACATTATTCGAAGAACTTGTATAAATAGTACATATACAAGTTTGCTGATTTGAAAATCCAATAAAATATCGAATATGCCAAGGTTGGAATTCCAAATAAAATCAAAAATGGTTGAATCTCCAATCTAAAGTACAGATTAGATTTACTACTATGAATAGTATTATAATTTAGATAAAGCTTTACATTCAATAACTCAAGCCGTTAAAAACCAAACAGGCATCAAAAAAATGAGTCAACAGGATGCTCAGAAGAGAGTTCTTATTACAAAAGAGGCTAAAATTGATTTAGACAGAAAAGTAGATCGTGATATTAAAAATGCTGGCGGAAACAATGTTATTCAAGCAAAATACATTCGCGAAATTGGAAAGCAAATTAATAATGCTACAGATGCAAAGATTGATCGTCTTAAATCGGCTCCATTTGTTCATGATGAAGAGGCATGGCAAAAAGCTTTTAACCTTGTTGTTGCATATCTTCGTAGATACAAAATGGATATTACACTTTCAGCAATTAAAGATGAGGGAATTACTGTTCCAAAGGAAACCGGTTACCAGAGAGCATCAGATGTAAATGGTCAATTTAGAAGATTTGATCTCATTTCTGCCAACCTTGGAGCTCTTACTTTCAGAGATCGTGTTGAAGCACTTGCAAAAGGAGTACAAGAAACACCAAAGAAATGATTTCTGTAATTCTGTATAAAATTATTCAACTTGTTGTTTTAAATTAGTAAACATTAATAACTCAATGTTTCGATAAAATACAGTTTTAATATTCATTGATGATTTCTCAAATGAAAACAAAATTTTATTTTAAAAATCATGTCAATGATTAGGATTTTAGTAATGATTTGTCTTATATATACTTTTCTATTTTGGTTCGGGTGAAAATTGATCGAATATATATTGGAATTCTAAAATTCCAGAGATTTTCTGCATCTTTGACCAATAATTATATGAGATAAAATGATTGTTATGTGATTACTAATCTAAATGTTGAGTATTGCATATAAGAATTACGTTTTGTTTTTTAGGAATGCGGAGGAAGCCGCAAGTGCGCGTAGAGCCACTGACGCTTTCCTTTCCAAATACATATATCACAACAACAAATCGGTACGCATTTCAAGTATTTAATGATAGTACTGAGCAAATCAAGTTTGAATTCAGGAAGTTCAATTCGGCGGGAGACGAAAAGTCATTTCTAATTCGCGAAAGTGTCGATGAAACTGAAAGCAAACGCACAAAAAACGAAATGCTTCTATTTAAAAGCGATATATTCGAATTTATTCCTTCATCAGGTACGTTATGGCCAAAAAGATTCATTACAGTCATAGCTTTGTTTCATCCATCCGCACCTGGACCATATACAGCATCTCCTACACTATACATAGACAGATTTAAAGAACGACATCAGATGTTATTAAAAGGATTAGCATTACCTGCTGCGGCAAAGTTCAATATCTCAGGCATAAATATCGGAACTGTCGAACTCGGAAGCGTTTTAGAATATGAAATCGAACTAAAGAATACAGGTCAAATTCCTTGTGAATTTACTATTGCAAATAAAGATGTTTGCGGTGTTAAATATGAGTTTAATCCAAACGCAGGAACTATACAAGCTGGTGAATCAACTCCAATACGTCTAACTTTTACGGCAGGCCATGTTTTTGTTATCAATGAAGTGTTTTCAGCACAAATTAACGGAAATCCGAAATCCACACCATCAATATCTCTATTTGGACGTATTGTTGGACCTAAATTCCTTACAAGCGTTAATATAATTGAATTTGGAAGAATTGCATGCGGAACAATTACAACTCAGCGATTTGAATTGCAAAATCATTCAGAAATACCATTCAATTTCAGTTGGCGTGTACCAGAAGACGGATCTTTTGCAGATAGAGAATTTAATATTATTCCTTCAGGAGGAATTGCAGAACCATTCTCAAAAACATTTATTACTGTCGAACTCATGCCAGTTTCTCCGAAAAATATACGAAAAGACTTAGTTCTTGACATCGAAAATTTCGGTCAAAATTTAATTACAATTCCAATAATGGCAGACATCATTGCACCAAGAATAGAGATCACACCAAACGGATTCAAGCTCGGAGCAATCTTTATTCACTCACAAAACATATTATCGATGAAAATGAAAAATACATCAACAATTGTAACGAATTACGAGTTCATTCCTCCAACAGGACTTGCAGGAAGACAATGCGCAATAGAGCCTGTCTTGTCAGGTGGCGAAATCCCTCCAGATACAGAGGTAGACTTCTCTGTTTCTCTTTCTGCAAACGAACTTGGAATTCTCGACACTTTTTTCAATTTACATTTGTTAGGAACGGATATATTAGTTCCTGTTCATATAGAAGCAGTTAGTGTTGGTCCTGATGTTGAATTCTCAACGAAGAAGATTGATTTCGGAAAGATAAACGTTCTCAAAGAAGAGAAAAGAATTTTGACATTGAAAAACAATTCATCAATCGAAGCATTTTACACAGGAGAAATTAGTCATGAGATGTTTTCTGTTGTACCAACTGAAGCTGTCATCAAACCAGGAGAATCCCTTGATGTTGAGATAAATACTTATTTGGTTGATGCAGGAAGATTCGAAACAGCTTTAATTGTTAAAATTAAAGATATTCCTCAAGTTGTTGTACCTGTAAAAGCTCTTGGAATAGGAGTTCCTATTGTTCCTTCAATAGATTTCGATACAATTAACGTTGGATCGATAATCACTGAGCATCCACATCAAATACCTTTCACAATTACTAATAGAGGTTTGAGATGGTGCACAGTTACTTTTATTTGTCAAAAACCAAAAACGCCAAATGGAACTGAAGTTACTTTTTCTGTTACACCTGTTATGCAGGATTTAGAACCGAATGTTCCTTATGATTATGTAATGACAATACAATGTCCAACACCAACTGAATTCGAGTGTCATTGTCAATGTCACGCTTCAATTGGTCCAATGAGAGTTGTTATGTTTTCTCCTGAAATTTTTGGTCAGTTTAATCATCCGAAATTGCTCTTTAATCCCAAAGAAATCAACTATGTTCATACACATGATTATGTACAAGAAGAAAAGACAATTAAAGGACCAAGTCCGAAACCGAATTTGTTACCAAAACAAACTCAAATTGTTTCGATTTTTAACAAAGCGAAATTCCCTGTTGATTTCGTAGCAATTCCAAAAGATCCTTTCTCTTTATCTAAATACGAATTCCACATGGAAGGAGAGTCACAAGAAGATATAATTGTGACTTTTAATGCTGACCAAAAATTGGATTATTTTTCAAATGTTATTAAACAAAAAATAATGTTCGATATGAGCCACACGAAGAAGTTTGGCTTCTTTGCAACAGCTGAGTATCAATTCCCTAACTTAACTTTCTCAGAGACAACAATAGATTACGGTGTTTTGTTGAAGAATACCGAAAAATCACATGAAATTATTTTAACAAATAACTCAGTTTTACCTGTGATTTTTGAATGGACATTGAATGATAAAACAGATGATTTCGATATATATCCAATTAGAGGTGTCTTTAATCCAAACGAATCCGCTAAAGAATACTTTACTTTCACAGCAAGAACAGATTCCATTGAATCAGAAGCGATTTGTCATGTTGATGGCGGTCCTGATTACACAATAAAACTCAAAGGTGGATCAGATCTAATTACATTTAATGTTACTCCTAAAGTCATTGATTTAGGTGCTAAAAGATTCTCACAATCAGTTAATTCTTCTTTTGTCATTGAAAATACTTCTTCTTGTTTGATCAACTACGAATTAAAAGTTGAGCATTTAACTGATTTGTTCATTACAATCAATGATCCAATTGGACAATTAAATCCTTCAGAAAAGAAGACAATTAACTTCAATGTTAAAACAACACATCCTCAAAATTATAAAGAAAGAATCATTGTTTGCATTGGAGGTGTTCAAGATGAATTCATTGATTTGTTACTAAATGCACAATTCGATAACATTCAAATCGGAGAAAGTGACAAATCATCTGAATTATCACGAACATTTACAGAGTTTTTGTCATCAAGATCAATTGAAAGTCCTAAGAAAGCACAGCCATTTGTTTGTGATTCATATGAAATAGATATGGGAAGAATTGTTTTAGGAGACAAGAAAGAAAAAGAACTACCAATAACATCACATTCTTTATGTCCTATTAAATGCAGAATTGTTGCTACAGAATTAGAAAACACAGGATTTTATTTCGAACCAATGAATTTCATTTTGGATCCAAACCAAACAATGAATCTCAAAGTAATTTATGATACTTCTAAGCGAGAGAAACTTGAAGAAAATGTTAAACTCACTGCAAGTATCATGATGGCTGATGGAGTGCAAACTCCAATTGTTATTCTTGCGGATTTAGTTGTTCCTGAATTTGAAGTTTCATTGCAGAATATGAATTTCGAATCAGTTATTGTTGGTCAATGGAGATCAATCAGTTTCCAGGTAAGAAACAAAAATGAAATTGATGTTGAGTTCTCTGTAAACAACACTAACCAAGTCTTCTCATCGAATCCTCAGAAAGCTATTATCAAAGCAAAGAGTTTCGCTAATTTTGATATAACTTTCACTCCGAAAGAATCAAAACCATATGAAAATACTCTCAAAATTGAAGCCGATCATAGTGACAAGCCCTTCGAATTACCTGTGAAAGGAATTGGAGAGAGAATAATTGTCGAATTCGATCCACCTCAATTGAGAGTTCCAACGATACAACCGTTTTCAACCGCTTCAGAAAGTGAAGTGAAAATAATCAACAAATCAAAGCATCACATTGAGATATTTTCTTATCAATTTGACTTCAAGAACTACGCAGATCTTAGAATGTCATTGACGAACACTAATTCGCAAGCCGTATTTCAAAATGACAGTGATTCTGATGATCTTCCTCAATCACAAAGATTTGTTCCTTGTATCATTGTTCACGGAACAAAATACTCTGGAAAGACATCTGTTTCTAAGTATATTTCAGAGAAATTCGGTTTACCAATTGTTGTTCTTAAAGATATTTGGGAGAAAGTAGAAAGTGATGCAGGTGCTGATTTCATCTCCGCTTTCACTTTGTATATAAGTGATCCGAAATATGATGACGGTTTTATCATTGACGGTTTGAACGGTTTTCCTGAAGGAAATAATGATGCTTTGATACAGAAAGTTATTAAAACAAAAGCATCATTTGAAGACTTGTATAAAAATCCATTCACTGATTTCCAACACGAAACATTTACTAGTGCAGAAAGATCATTGAGATTTGTTTTAGCTGGATTAAATGGGCAACATGTGTTTTTGATTGCTCTTCAAATGCCTGAAGAAGTTTATCAATCAAGAGTTGAATCTCTTGAGAGCGAAGAAAAGAAACTGAAAGAACAAGCACACCAAGAAAGAAAACAAGAACTAATTAACATGAATGATGAAGAATATTGGGCATTAGATCCAAAAGAACAAGAATCAGCTGATAAAAGAAGAAAGGCATCAAGAGATAGAGTTATTAAGAAAGCAATTGAAGCTGATGAAGAAAAGAGATTGAAAGAAGAAAAAGAGTCCAAACGTAAGAAGAAAACTTCATCATCGTCTCATAGATCTCATTCAACATCATCTAAAGATAGAAGAAGAGAAAAATCACCTGATAAAGATAAGAAATCAAGAGATAAATCTCCAGATAAAACTCCAGAAGAACCAGAAGAAAAGAAACATTCGAAGAAAGAAAAGAAGGAAAAGAAAGATAAGAAAGATAAAGAACAACAGAAGAAACAAGAACAAGAAATGTTACCTAAAGAACACAAGAAACGTAAAATTGCTATTGTTCCAAATGATCCTTTGATTTTGGAAGCTGTTACTTTCCAATTTACATTAGGTTCAATTGCTTCGATGATTGAGAAACCAAAAGAAACATTCAACGTTGTAAATCCAACAAATGTCGTTGGTATTGACACCGCTTTTATTCAAAATGTCTGTATACAGCATGTCAATACATTAATGATATGGGTTGACAACCAATTTAAGTATATCTATGAATCAATTGACAAGTTTTTGCCTGAATTTGAAAAATTGGAAACTTCTATTTACAAGACATTTCTTCCACATACTAAGAAAGGTATTTCGAAGAAAGTTATTCCTCCTGAGATCTCTGAAAGGCCTCATTACTTCAAGATAACAAGTGATGATCCTGTGATTGAGCCTCCACAACAATCACCAAGAAAATCAGGAAGAACAAGTAGAAAAGGAAGATCAAGAGAACCTCCGATGTATCCTTTCCTTGATGAAATCAACTTGAATGATTACACTCCAAGATGGAAGATAGATCCTGAAGAATCCAAGACAATTACTGTTTCGTTTAATACGAATCTCATTGGAGAATACAATCAGAATCTTTATTTCGGATTAGTTTCAACAAAAACTGACATTTTCAAACTTCCTGTTACAGGTTTTTGTATTATGCCTGAGATTTGTAGAGAACCAGAACAGATCTTTGCGAAAGTGCTTCCAAAGAAGACTAAGAAGACTGCAGAAGCATTCACAATTAAAGACAACACGTATCATTTCGGAATGCTTTTAGTAACAAAAGAAAAACCAACTAAAAACGGAATTCCTCCTTATAAAGCTGTTCTTACCATCAAAAACATATCGGAATTCAATGCGGAAATAGCCACAGGAATCATTGAATGCCAGAACAAAGCGCCATGGCAGATTGACGTTCTTTCTCCCTTAATCAAGCCAAATGAACAAACAACAATCAATGTTGGAATTTATCCAAATGCAACTGATGTTTACAACATGACATTGTTGATAACAGTTAAAGATAATCCTGTTCCTCTTCGTTTCTCTTTCTCCGCTGAAGCATCTCAGCCAACAGTAACATTTAGTACTGCTGCATTAGATTTCGGAAGAATTTTAACGAAAGCAACAATGGAATTACCAATTTCAATCACAAACAACAGCCAAGTTCCTGTCATGTGGTCATTAAAACACAATACAATGCCTGCTCCTCCATTTACATTATCTAAAACAGAAGATACAATTCCTCCAAAGCAAACAACAGAGATTGTTGCTGGTTTTTCATCAGTTAAAGCTGTTGTTGCCAAGAAACAGTTTATTTTCGAAATGCAAGCACCAGACAAATCTAAACAATATGGAACACATGTTCTTAACTTGCAAGGTGAAGCATTTGATTCTGTTTTCGATATTCAATACAGTCCAAAGCAGAATGCGATTGTTTTCGGAACTCTCAAAGTTAATCAATCTAAAAATGTTGTTATTAACTTGAGAAGTCGTTCGAAATATCCATCTCAATTCACTTTAACACTTAATAATCATATACAACAATTAGTTAAAGTGAATCCGACAACAGGACCAATACCTGTTGGAGACAAAATGACTGCTTTAACATTCACTTTTTGTGCAAACAAATGTGTGAGTTTCAACAACTACAAAGTTGGAACAATTGTTGTAACTGATACACAAACAAACGTTCAATGTTATAAAGCAGATATAATGATGCAAGCACAAACTGTGTTTAATACTTACGAAATCGCTCCGTTTGTTGATTTCGGACCAATACAAGTTTCAACAAACAACACAAGAACATTGACATTGAAGAATACTGGACCTTTCCCAATGGAATACAACTTAGCAATGAAACCCGAACCTCCGCCAGTTAAAATTGTCAAAGGAAAAGAAGTTGTTGGAAAGCCACCGCCAACTCCGAAACCAAAGATGAGAAAAGGACAAGGAATGCAATTACAAATTGGCAATTTCGTTGTCTGTCCTTGCCAAGGAACAATACAACCAGGAGCAACAGCAAATATATCAGTTGAATTGCAAACAAATGTTGTTGGAAAAACTTCTTCAATTGCAACATTAAAAGCAAGTGATACTGATGCTTCCAAGCCACAAATAAACGAAATAGAACTCAAGGCTGATGTCATTTCTCCTTCTTTGTTCAACCAAGATTACGAACCAATCTTTGCAGGAACAAACTTTTGTCTCAGAAATGATATCATTAAAAACAATGTCACTGCTTTCCTTGAAGATGAACACATGTTACACTTCGCTCCTTCGATGCTTGGGCAGAAACAAACTGCTGTTATGCATGTTATCAACCCAACACCAATACAAGTAACAGCAGATGTCAATCTCAAGCCGAAAACGAAGTCAGGAATGTCAACATTTCCTTTCGATGTTGGCAGCAAGCAAGTGACAATAGAAGCAAATGGTTCTGTTGATCTGCCAATCACATACATGCCAAACACTGAAGGCTCCTTTATTGGATACTTCGAGTGTATTGCGCGCGGTTCAACAGATCCAAAAGGTTCTATGTTGAAGTTTGTTGTAGAAGGAATTGCGGCTCTTCCAACAATTTCCGCTGACAAATCTAAAACAATTCCTCTTGGAAGAGTTTTGGTTGGTTCTTCAAGAGAAAGAGCTGTTGCTGTTAAAAACGATGGATTAATTCCAGCAACATTTACAATTTCACAAAAATCCTGTCCATGCTTTACTCTCAAGGAGACTGAAACAGAGGTAACACTTAATCCTGGAAGACAATTCATGTTAACTGCTGTTTTCAATCCACAAAAAGTCCAAAGATACAATTTCGAAGTTAATTTGGCCGTTACAGAAAATCCAAAGTGTTCTTACTCATTTAACTTCGCAGGCGATGGTTTCTTCGATGATATTGTATTCGAAGGAGATGCTGCTTTCAGTGAAGATAGTGATGTCTCCTTTGCAAACACTGTTGTTGGAAGAAAAGCTGAATCTTTGTTCCTTGTCAGAAATATTTCATCAACAGATGTCAGATTTTTGTTGCCACAGCATCATGATTTCAGTTTTTCACCAAGAATTGTTCAGTTGCAAGCAGGTCACCAGATAAGAGTTGACATGTCTTTCTTCTCCGATAAACCTGTTAAACACCAAGGAATTAAATTACCTGTTTCTTGGTTCAAACTTGAACAATGCTCTGGAGATTGGGATGATTCTTCAGCGCAAAAACAAAAAGGAACACAAGTCGTAGAGCCTCCTTTCAGAGTTTTAGGAGCAAAGCAGAAAGACTTGTACTTGAGAGTCACAGCAACAACAGATGTCATTAAATACACAATAGATACTCATGACATCGATTTCTCTCCAACAATGATGTATGAAACGAGATCTGTTGAAGTCAGATTAACAAATACTTCATCAATAAGATTGGAGTATGCATGGGAATTACAAAGGTTCACAGCTTTAAGAACAGATTACGCAACAACAAGGAAACCATGCTTCAAAGTTTTGCCTTCTTCTGGTACAGTTGATGGCGGAAAAACAACAGTTTTCAAAGTTGTTTTTGCGCCTGAAGAAGTTGATGATTTCACTGCGGAATTTATGTGTAAGATTCCTTTCTTAATTGGAAATCCTCCTGTTATTTCAATGAATGGTATCTCAAGGCGTCCGCTCTGCCACTTCGATGTCGATGTCTCTGATTACTTGACAAGAAGACATCCTGCTTATATCGATAATCCTTTGCCTGAAGATATCCAAGTTATTGAACTTTATTCGAAAGCTGTTGGCAGCAAAACAATCAAGAAATTCGATGTTATCAATCCTACTTCGATGCCATACGAAGTAATCTTTAAGTGTGAAGATGAAAGCAACACAGCAATTCAGTGTTTGATGAGTGCGGCTTTGATTTCTGCCGGAAGAAGATATTCTTTCGCATTTTCTTATTTACCAACATCAGTAAGGACTGTTGAATCGATATGGACATTCTCTATTCCAGTCCATAATATATCAAGGCATATACTGTTTGTAGGAAGAATTATGCCTGAATAAATTTATTTTTTTGTAATATTATTTGATAATTAAAATAAAATGTTATTATTTGCAACAATATTGTGCTTATTTATCAATAGAAACCCCTTTGAACAATGACAATCCTCTTTAAATAGTACAAAATAAAAATCCATCGTTTGGAAATTTCAACCACATAAAACAATATGAATTGTCATCGATAATAATCTTTTATTAGTTAAATGGATCAAAAATCTCCTTTTTTGGCTGAATTTATGATACTTTATCAGAGATCACACATATTTCATATATTAGTTTGAGTGTTAGAGCTTTAAATTGATGCATTTTTACATATATTTTTAAATAAAGATAAAAATGAAAATAAATAATCAAATCTCACCGAATCAGATCAATTTCAGATAAAAAAGTTAATTTTTTAATTTTATTTTGGTTGATATATACTAAACAATATCTAAATATAACATATTTGACTTCGACTTAAAAAAAAATAATCGCGATCATTCAATTTTAAAACTTCGATATTAGAATTATAGTAAGATTGTGATGATATTAATTAATAAAAAACGTTTTTTAGTCTGAAATTTATCGTTCAAACCATCCTCACTCGAAGCGAAAATATCTGTTTTTAGTAGAATTGTCAATAAAATATATGGTTTACGATAATTCAGATTATCGTATATGAAAAATAGTTTTACACTTCCCTTCAAATTTTAAATACTATTCAAAACATAAATATTTTAAATTGTATCATTTTTCTGTGAAAATAATATTCAAGTATAGTGTTTAGGTACAATATATTTCAACTTAGTCGATTTTATTCACAAATGTTTGAATTCCTTCCAGCTAATAATATTTAATGTTAGACTAATGTTTGCATTATATATCGCCAAATCACCATTTTATTTCGAAGAAGCCGATAAATTTTTAATAGGATGGACTGTGGGGAAGAGTATATCCTCTTCCCCACGCCTCTTGACAAGAGAACCGAGGAGAATGGTAAAGGTCCTCCGGAAGATCTTGCGATAAACAAAATCAGTATGAATTTCGAAGCAAAGAAAAAATCCGCCAAGATTAATTCGTTTATGGTAAACTCGAAATACACAGCAAGGAAGACTATATTCGTTCTCGTATTTGGCATACTCGTAATAACTATTATGAACTTTGCAATAAACAACTTCGGTCGGGTATCAAAGGATATTATTGACAGCAGAACTATAGAATTTCTGGGTACAATGGGTGCGCAAGCGTCTATACATGTTACATTTATGCTGAAGAAAGCAGTATTCTTTTCTAATTTACTTTCACAGATATTAAGTGCGCCTTCCATCCTCGAAATGACGAAAGATAATGCAGGAAATGTCGTCAAAATGCTGGATTCGGCTCGTGCTTCAAGTGATGATAATATATTCTGGTGGGATCTGGCTCTAGAAGATGGAAATTACTTTTCTCTCTCATCTGATCAGCGAGAAAACATGAAAACAGTTAGCTATGGCGAAATGAGTACCAAAACTTCTGATAGTTTTAACTATGTTTGGCTGATAAATATGACCTCAGAAATACCTCCGCGTGGCTACCCAGATTCCAACTATAGTAGTGTCGAGAATGATTGGACAACATTCAACCAACCGTGGTATCAATACGTCAAACAAAATAATAAGAGTTCATGGATCTCTCCGTATATTGATTTTTGGGGCGATATTCCGTTGATTCTAATATCATACGCGGTTCCTATCTACGATGGTCCCAATTTCACAGGAACCACAAGTCATACGATAACTTTACAAAAACTCAAATCGGAGCTGGTCAATTTATCGCCATCAGCGAATTCAAGGCTTGCATTGTTAGACCAAAGTGATAACCTAGTTGTTTCTACTTCTGCCGACTTAGGATTGGGAATTTCAAATAATACTCTCTTTGCCAACGGTTTAAGCTCAATAAATGATCCTGTGTGGCGATGTGTATACAACTACAACATTTCTACTCAATCACATGAAGGAGAATACTTATGTAACGTAAATGGAAGGAAACTGACATACAGAATGAACAAAATCAACCTCCTTATGAACAAAGAGATACAGTGGTCAATCATTGGAGCCATTTGTCAAAATGACTTCACCGATGAAATGAATAATTCTGTGAGAAGATTTACGGTTTCATTCAATATTCTGATAGAATTTGTGTTTGTTATTATTGGTGTGTTCCTTATGGTGAGAAATACCGCTGTTATTCACTTCCAAAACAGTAATTTACAAACAGAAAATCCGAAAAGCGACATTTTAGACGATTTAGAGGAAATCATTAGTAATATCACAGACCCTAATATCAATAATGAGATTATCAATATCTATCAAGACCTTATTTCAACAGATAACACATTAAAATACGATTATCACAGAATGTTGGCGAATATCAAAGATACGTATGTTCGATATGAAGTAATAGAGAAATTTACGCCTGAATTCATTACAGATGTCCCGATTTTGAGCTTTAGAAGACGAGATGCAGCAGAAAAACTGATTTTTCCTGGCAGATTCCTTGTAGACTACGTAGTTCCAAGACAGCATGTTAAAGAAAACATGCATGGAACAATTATCCAAATGTTTGTCACAATTAACAACGATGCGTTATTTGATTCGCAAAAATTGCAACAAGTGCTTAGTAATGTCATGGAGCAACTTCCAAGCAGCTCAATTGTACTAATGGCTGATAGTTTTAACCTTCTTCTTTTTCTAATAACGAATGGAATTCCTCCGATTCTTAATAACCACGATAAGGTCTTTTGCATGATGTTTCTGACTTTTGTCTTCCATGTTTCAATGGCGCGCAAGAAAAAATTCGGGAATATTGAAGAAAAATATTCTCTTTTTGAATGTGAAGAAGTTTACAGCTTTGTTGAGATGCTCCTTGACAATTTCAATGCTATTAAGCTTGACAGTGTTGGTTACGACTTCAAACGGTGGAAAAAAATTACAAATCAAATTATTTCTTTTTTACCAGCATTATTCCTTGAAGAACAGCTTACCCTTCCCAAGAAATTCTTATTTAATATCAAAAATCGATCTGGAACTCTTACAGTCAACGAAGAAAACCTTTTTTGCTCAATTTTAATTATAATTTCACAGTATTCGTATTTTTTAATCGACAATGAAACGTCGAATAATTTAATCAGCCTTATAAGAAACCCATTTCTCTTTCCGATTGAAGATCATATGACACACGAACGGTTAATCGTTAAATCAATCCTTAAACCTTGTTTCGAAGCAATTCATACTGTAATACTTCCGTCTGTGACGGAGCCTATATTACCTTAACTTTATATTATTTTTTATTTTTAATTTTTTTTAATAAATTGTTTGTATTTTCGATTTTTTTTAAATGGGTTAACATAATAAGTTTTAATCAAGAAATAAACAAAAATCATGGTTACTTTGCACATGGTTAAGGGTGCACACGAGAGAATCATGTAAACTTCAGAATTTAGAACCTTATTTTTAAGCATTATCTTGGCTACCTATTTAGGCTCGAAAAGCAAAAAATATCAAAAAATACAACTTGACTCCATTATGACCCTTTCATGGAGGTAGTTTTTATCCGCTAGTATTTTCCCTTTGAATCTCTTTACAATTCGAAATCAAATTCAAACCTCAGTAGAAGAAAGGAAGAATCGACTTACTACGGTTGTAATACGAATAAATACATATATTTAATTATTTTTATTTACATAATAATTGTTTGAAGCTCATATTCCATCAAATTTTTAAATAAAAACATTAAAATGTTGAAAATGTTCATATATTTTAATAGGGTTTTGGCACTTTATTGAGGAATTACTACATACATAGTCGAACTGAACTTGATATTTTGAAATTTAAATTATTTATCAAAATTAAAATTTAACTTGAAATTTATAATTATTTAGTCATATTTTGCATAATTCTAAGTAGATTTTGTAAAAAATCAAGAAAGAAAAAAATTAAAGTGCTTTATTTTTTCTTTTTTATAATAATACATATTATTATATAATTAACATATTCATAATGTTTCACCCTTTCAAAAATATAATCCTCCTCCTCTCAAATAAACGTACATACGGGTGGCCTCTTTTTTCAAAAAATTAAAATTTGAAATTTTGGGCTCAAATATTAGAGATTTTTTCAACCTTCAACGATATATGTTGTCTATATCAGACCTCCTTTCTTTTTGATACTTAACATTGTTCCTAAATCATAGCCGTTAAGGCTGTTCTGAAAATATTTTTTTTTCGAAAAAGTTCGAAAAAAATTCTTAAAATTCAAAAAACCCTTAATTCCTGAAGATTTTGGAAAAAAGTTTTTACATGAACATGTGTATATTATATGAAGTATATTGATAAGGTAAAAATCAAATTTTATTGCATATTCATCGAGAAAATAAACTAACGAATCCCTCAAAATTGAGAGGGTAATCCTCCTCCTCTCAAATAAACGTACATACGGGTGCACCCTTAAAATTACAAATTGAAATAAAAAACAATAAAATAATATTATTAAAAACATATGATTGGAGATGTAATATCTAAGTAAATAAAAAATATTACACCGTGTTCGAAGAGAATGATCCGCGGGGGAACGGTGGGGTAAGAGGCTGATCAACATTCTTTTTCCTCTTGACATCTGGAGAACTAGAACAAGGACGAATAGTTTTTGGTGAATTAATCTTGATCTTTTGTTCCCTTATTGTTGTCTTGCCGTTCTTGTATTTAATTTGGATCGATTGGGACTGCAATTTTGGACTAATTGGGCCGAAGAATGGGCTAACTTCAGCGTCAGCAAGGTGAGCTTCAATGACAACATCAATGTCTTTGTGGATCTCATCTTGAGGCTTCATTTTTAAGTTCAAACGACTAACAGCATTCAATGGGAGAATCTGAATGTTCATCTTAGCGTAAGATTTGAGCTCTCCATTCCCGATAATTTTGAAGAGAACTGTCCCGATTGGATTATTTACGGGGATTTTGAAATGCTCTGGGATAGAAACATGTTGATTATTTTGAACTTGAATTTTTAGCTCAGTTTCGTCTTTGAAACCAATTGCGAGTTCGTGAGAGATATGTTGACACGCTTGTGGCAGTACTAATTCGATGATACGGATATATAATTCTTTTTGCGTCATTGATGTACGAATAATTAATAAAACAAAGAAAAAAATTAATTGTTGAAATTGTATTGATTTTTTCGGTTTTCCCAGAATTTCTGAGGCGCTCTCAATTTGATAATTAATTGAATTTAATATTAATGTAGGAGAAATATTAATAAAGAAAGAATATTTTGTTTTAGCAAATTACTGTTATTGTTCACAAACTCCACATTCATACCGCAAACAAACCCATTTTATGGGAAATTATCAATGGTAATTATGTATCTAATACAACACAAACGAATGATTAAAAAGCTGTATACGTTGGGCTCTCAAATTAATTGTCTGACCACGGTTTGTTGTTTTTAATATTTTTATTGAATTAAGCATGAATAAAATAGTTTAACAATTATCTTTGATTTTGCTAAATTGTTTATTTCACCTCATAAAAAATTCAATGGATAATATTCAGGAATGTAATGGAGAAAATTCAAAAATTATGATCAGCATATGATATAATTTGGTTTACAACTCTCATTAGCGAAAACTAATGACAAATGTCAGAAAAAATTCTTTTGCTTTTTATGATTGTCCCTCAGACATATTGAATACGCTTAAGCATAAAAAATCTAGTAGATAATTATAGTGTGTTCTCTTTAATCTCGATTTTGAATCAATTCTTTATTACAAGAACCCATTCAATTTAAACATTGAGGAACATAATAATATCATTCTAATGCATTGATCATCATGTTCGATAGAAAGTTCGTTTAGACTCAATCCATAACTGTATTTTTTTGAGTGACATAAACAGTGAATCATTAGCCCGGAAATGAGTATCTTCTTTGACTAATTTTGTTGGAAGGCGAGAGTAGTGTTGTAAACAGAAATTCATCAAAAGTGACACCTCAGAAAAGCTAAAATATTGAATTTTTGCAACTTTTGATAGAGCACGTTTTTAAATATTAATTAAAGTAAATGTATATTTTGTAAAGATTCTTTTTAATAAAAAAATAAAATTTTGAAGAAGAACACAAAATCTTCTGAAAAATAATATCACATAAACTCATATTATTTTCTAATATATAACTATTTTATATAAAAATCAAATTCAATAATCTTAAAAGCGAAGGATAAACCTCAAAATTTACGAATATAATGAGTGGGAATATAATGCTTATCTATCATAAAACCATATGAAATATCAATTTTTGCTTTACGCCTAATTTTTGACGACAATTAGCAAAAAATGTTAAATGTTGACACTCAGTCCATTTGAATATGAAAAATAAAATTGACTTTGATTAAATGTTTTTATTTTTCATATTCAAATGGACTGAGTGTTAACATTTAACATTTTTTGCTAATTGTCGTCAAAAATTAGGCGTAAAGCAAAAATTGATATTTCATATGGTTTTATGATAGATAAGCATTATATTCCCACTCATTATATTCGTAAATTTTGAGGTTTATCCTTCGCTTTTCAGATCATTGAATTTGATTTTTATATAAAATAGTTATATATTAGAAAATAATATGAGTTTATGTGATATTATTTTTCAGAAGATTTTATTCTATATGCCTATGAAAAGTACTCTCAAAACTAACTTTTCCTAATTATAATTAAATCTAGAATATTGTATTATGCTTAGTATTATTTCATTTTCTCATTTAATTTAGAATTTACAAATGTCAAAAAATTGAGAGCTGTCACTTTTGATGAATTTCTGTTTATTACAATACAAGTTGTATGCCTCAAAAAGCAACATTTTATATCGAATAAATGATTCATAATAAGATTTATAAAGTTATCGTATTTGCAAGTATTCAAATCACTTTGTCTATATGAAATATATGTGCTTATGATATATAAATTAGTGAATTGTATGGTTTACGCATTCAGAACTCACATTATCTCAGTTCATTATTGATACAGACAGCCATAGCATTCAAATAAGAGATATGGAAAGTCACACAATTTATGAAATGTAAAAAAAACGATATCTTTATTCCTAATGAATCAATACTTTACATTGAATTGCTTAAGAGTCATATAATAAGGTTTATAGGATACCTACAACATACGTTTGTCTTATTTGCATACGATGGATCGCGATTCATTTGGGTTTCGCCTTTCGAGAACAGGAGTGAAATCTCAATTTTTCATTCGAAACTCTCCGCGAAGTGTACGTTTAAAAATTATGGCTGAGGTTCAAACAAAGCCTAGAGTTCATATCAAGTCCTGGAAGTGCGTTGCATCTTGGAAATGGGATGTTGCTGAAGAGAATGGTTGTAGCATCTGTAACACAGAGTTTGAAATGGCAGCTCCTGGTATTAAATTTCCGGGTGATGATTCGCCAATAGTTCTCGGGCGATGTGGTCATGCATTTCATCTTCAATGCATTGAAAAATGGATTTATAGACCTGGATCAACTGGAACTTGCCCAATTTGCCGAAGACCATTTGAGTTCAAGAATTAATCAACGACTCGTACGCATAATGTGATATGTTACCGTGTTTTAATGCAAAATATGGGTTATCAATTAAATTCACCATGAGTCGTATACATTTCATATGTAATGTTTTTCAATTGTCCAAATAATTCCATATTTATTTACGGGTTAGACATTTGGAATTAAATGTATTGAATGTTTGATAAATAAAAATATACTTCAAAAAATACAAACAATTTATTAAATCTACCACGGGAGTTGACTTTTTTGATCAATTTTATCCCCTTCCACTGACTGTTGGAACTTAGAAAACATATCTCTGAGTGGAAAAACTGGCACTTTGAGTCGGTTTGTTTTCTTTGATTCAACAGTAATAGAAATATCCAATGGCTTCTGGAAATCAAACTTTAGGATGTAAAACTTATTGTCCATGAACGCGAAGTCAAATTTTTTAATTAATTCTTCTATCGGTTTATCTAAGTCATCAAATTCGAAATCTACAAGGGAATCCATACTATTTAATTCTGCTGCAAGAGCTAGTGCCTTATAATCTGCAAATTCATGGCAGTAAAGTCCGCCTTGAGCTATTTGATCGGCAATAATTTGTGTTTCTTCTAAAATGATCTTTTCATTAAATGTTAATCCTGAAGAAGCAGTATCAAGCATGAATTTGTATAAAGAATGTGGATAATTTAGATATCCAATTGAAATATTTTCAAAAAGTTGAAAAGAAGCGTATATAAATCGAAGAGGTATTTCTGAGCATATGAAATGTAATGGAGTTCCTCTGGAATCAATCATTTTTTGTATGATTAAACCGATTTTATCTAAAAGCAGAGAAACTGAAGTTCCGTCTTTCATGAGGTCAGAAACATTTGTGAGTTCGTTAATAATTTTTGATGATAAGCAAAATTTAATATAATTCAAAGGTTTGAAGCGAATTTGTTCTGGAGGAATCTGAAAATTGAGTTTCTCGTATGGACTTATATTCGCATTGGATTTTAGGAAATTTTGCATATCAGAAATGAAATTCTGCCTGTTTTGAATAATTGTTTTTGTTGCTTCTGGAGAAAATCCTCTAGGATTCAAACTGCATCTATAAATCGCGCTATTAGTGGAGTTATCGAAGTAAGAAAGTTCATCTAGTACATTACCAAGTGGATTGAATCTTGATCCAAGAAATTCTGGTGGTTTAGTATAATCTTCGTCATCTGATACTTTTTCCGCAAGCGATTCTTTTGTTCCGAACATTAATAATTGATGCGTTCTATTGAAAATTGTATTTGACAGTACAAGATTTTCTATTTGTAAATCAGTATTTCGTTTCTTATATGAAGTACTACCACGACCGATTAATAAACTATTGTTTTCTTTTGCTTGTTTTTCAATATTTTGCTTTTTGTTGGTAATTCGTTTCGAAATTGGTTCTGATATTGGTACTAAAAAAGAAATAATATGATTTTTCGAATACATATTGTATTTAGCATTATTGTTCGTAGAATTGAGCAAAGAAAATGGTGTCGATTTGATAATCTGAATTGGAAACTTTTCTTTTAGATTAACTTGTGATTTTTTTGATTCATGATGTGTGCCAATTGTAAGATTGGATGTAAGAAAGCCCTCAATTGTAGATTGAGAAATGTTAATCTGTGAATCATTTAGTAAGCCAATATTCATTATGAAATTTGAAGCGGAAAATATTATTGGCTGAATATGTAACTTGATTTGAGTATCTTTATAATGAATAAAAGGATAACTTCATGACAATGAAAAAAAAAATTATTATCGAATAAATTATTAGAAGAAAAGATGGGAATTCACTAAAAATGACTAATTTAAGGGAAAATTAAACTATCACTGATATAATCAATCAAAAGTTCTATCCTTTGAAACCATTTTTATAGATTTCCCAAGAAAATCAAATGCAATTCTCTGTCTATTCAATGTTGTAATGAATATGATTTACACCCTAGATATTACTCATCATAATTGAATAATTGTTAAAACATGATCAGGCATTCATTAGGCTCATCACTTAAGCCAGAAATTTGGGACTCTACATATTGTCCTAGTGTTCTAGGTACGAAGTGCCAAATATGCACAAAATCTTATTTATTCACTTAAGTATCTAAAATTTTTCATTATTTCTCATTCTCTATTTCTCTTGTTCATTTTATATTATCTCATTGTTATGTAACTTGAAATCTGTATTTATTGATTCAAACTAATTTGAATTTTTGTTTGTTTAACAAGTTTTTGAGTACTGATTTGTATTGCTGATCATACATTAATAAATAAACAAAAAAATATATTGAAATTTTGAGTGAATCGCGAAAAACTAAAGATAGAAATGGAAGAAAATGTGAATCAAGCATCATTAGGAAATGTTAATAAAAATATCTGTTTTCTGTTGTCATTTGGATAAATTTTGAACGTTGTTTTGTAACAACAAAGTAGATTAGCAATGTTGTGTGTCTAATATTATGTGTTATTCATATATCATTACCACATGTTGAATTAACTTGAAATTAAAATTGAAATAACAAAAAGTCTATATTCTTGAAGATTAATATAGACGAATAAGTATTAGATAATGAAAACAGTAAAACGATGCATTTTAGAATAGTCATCTAGCGGATTTTATGGGTTTCCATATTGAAAAATATTTAAAAAATTGCCATTTCAATAAATTTATTCTGTGGAGTATGGATTAAAATTATGTAAATATATGCCAAAAAAAAGCACTATTGAAAAATTGAATTGAGTCTCATTTTCTTCACAAAAAATAAAATGAAGTTAGCGTTATTTAAGTATGATTAAAGGTAACACTGAATTAGTTCAAGGATAACAACAAATTTTTTGTCAAAATTCATTCAATTATAAATTGGTGATTTTATCGTGGAAAATTGCTTATCATCGCATGTGCAAAGTAAATCGCTGAAATTTTTTGTTACGAAAAAACTATGAACGTTTATGTCATTCAATGCAAATAATACAGGGATACAAAATTGAATTATTCATAGTATTTTATAAGTAGTAAAGAAAACAAAATTAGCTAAAATTGAAGAGCAAAAAATTGGGACAATTAATAATAATATACATAAACATTTAAAAACATTTAAAATTCCGGATTGTGAAGGAACAAGTCGATCGAACTAGTGCCTTTGGTAGGGACTGTGATGCTCTGTGGGAAATCTAATGTCATAATTGATGGCAATGGGGTATGAGTGATCTTTGGTGCAACCTCTGGAGGAGGGGTGACATACTTTGGTTGAATCGGTTCTACCTGATATGGAACATATGTTGGAAGCATTCTTTGGCGGCTCTGGATGAATTTGAATCTGTTGCGGCACATCATTGCACTCTTTGTTCCGATTAATTGTGCAATAGCAGACCATCTGTGACCATATTGAGAAACGCAATAAAGAAGAATGTTATCTTCTTCTGCAGTGAATTCTTTCGATGATACATTCTTTATGTTAGCAAGAATGTGTTCGCGGACTTTCCTGGGAGCTAAACCCATAACTTCGGCAATTTTAGTATAATTACTTCCGTATTCTTTGTAAAGTTGGCGAATGGTGTTTCTCTGTGTCTCACTGAGAAAGACTCTTGGAACACGTCTCCTGTTGATTGGCTGTTGTGTTGTTGGGTTCATGTTGGATTGGTTCAATTAAAAATTTAATAAAAGTTTAGTTATGAAATTGAAAGTTTCGAAAAACAACGGTTATTCACAAAAAATTACCAATTTGAGAGGTACAGAGTGGTTTTTTTGTGAAGATTTAAATACTGATTCGCCAGTAAAATTTAGGTGATGAAGGTGATTAAGATTGGATTTCTGATAAGCTAAATTTAAATTTGCCTTATAAATAAATTTTGATACGCCCGACTAATTCTATCGTCGGAAGATTAGCCTTGTTAAGATATAACAGCAATGCTTTGAATAATTGTTTTCCAAAAGTTCGTGATTTTATTATAGATAAGATTTGAGAGATATTTCAATATTTTCAGCGAAACAGCAGTTTAATTCATATTTATTGATTTTTTGATAGCATAAATCAACTTTTTTATCGAATATATCCAATTGTATGAAAGGAATTCTTGGGTAAAATCTATTGGGAATTTCTCGCATATGTTCGTACATGAGCAAATACTATACCTTTTGCGAATAAAGAATTTTTTAAAGGTAGTCTCACGAGAAAACTGACGGTAAAAATTCGATGAAACCAGGTGCATTGTATAGTACATATATGTGGTAAATAAATGTCGATTAGCTTTGTAAAAAATATCCCACAGTTTTTGAGATCTTGAAAACGGCCATTCAAAAAGTCGAAAATTTTTCCGAGATGTTAATGGGCAAGACAGTTTTTCGACAAATAAATCGTAAACATGGGAATTAAAATAAGGCGTTATATTACATATATGGTAAAGAATATGGATGTGAAGAGCGTTAGTAGAATGGAAAGACTTTGAAATTTTAAAAAATTTATCTGGACTAAAAAATTATTTGATTATAAAAAACATATTATATATCAATTGCTATATAGAACTATCATAACAGATTTTGGAAAAGCCGCAAATCCCCAAGCTGGAGAATTCATTAAATACTAATTATTCAGCTTTTTATCAGAAAGGAAGGTAGTCTAGGGGTTGGGAACACTATGCTCTTTTTGAATCTAAAAGGCAACTGTTCAAATCATAACATCTTTGTTTTTTTTCTTATTCTGCCATTATTGTTTTTCCTTGTTATGATTCAAATTAAAAATATTTTAGTAAAGGTATTTTGGACATCATTTTTTCACATTGTCTCAATGCAAATGTTTGAAAATTTTGTAGGCAATATGACAACTCTTTCAACATTTGTTCTCTTTTATTAACTCAAACAGATTTAGGATCTAATTTCATGCCTTCGAAGACATTTAAACCATCTTCAACATAATTTATTGACAAATTGATAACAATTACTCATGAATGTCGTAGATTTAATATCCTGTCACTCAGCAACAAATTCGGGTTCAATAACAAAGCTCAGTAAAAACTTTACAGAAATTCTCTAATTTATTTTAGTGTCTTTTTGCGTCATTACGGCTGCATTTTCTTCTGCATCTGAACGCTGTGTTTGGAAGAAGACGAAATACAGAAACTTTCAACACAAGTAATCAGATTTTCTTGTCTTTCATGTTAAAATGCTTCATCTCGCTAGGTATACGTCATTTATTGGATGGATTGTTAGCTTTGTGTCCAAATAGCAAAAAAAAAGTATTAATTTAAATTTCGCATTTTGCATAAGTATACGCTTTAATTTATATCAAAACAGATTTAGATAGCTTAAAACAATATAGTTTACTCATAAATACATCTTGATAATTCACTTCTTCAATTTTCATAATCTTATATCCTGACCTATATCCTCTTATAAACCATATTTCTACTGAGATCTTCTTAAAGCATCTTTTTATCCCTATCTACGCCTCGAAACCCTATTTTTCCGGCGGAATATGAATCTTCGGGTCTCGCTGATTCGATTTCTGCAGTCAGATCGTAAAAATACTCACTACATAGCCTGATAATCTCAATTTAAGTTCCTTAATTTTTTTGAAAAAAAAATTAAAACTCCCTTATCAAACATCATGCTCATTTTTACGAATTTCATTTTTCCTTTAAGTTTAAAATATACGCTTTAGCATGTTTATAATACATTTTCAATTTACATTTACATTTTTATTTTTGAATTGTTTATTTATATTTCCGTTTGAACAATAATATTTATTGAAAATTGTGAGAGAAACGGATATAATAAAAAACACCATACAACAAAATTCACTTTTTTTCATACTTACGCGGATCACTCCTTTTCGGCCCAATATGCCGGAAATGATAAAACTCTCAGATCTAGTTGCTAAGATCCAAACTCTCGACTCTCAAATCTACTTCCTCAGATCTTGTTGCTAAGATCCAAACTCTCGACTCTCAAATCTACTTCCTCAGATCTTGTTGCTCAGATCTACTTCCTCAGATATTGTTGCTAAGATCCAAACTCTCGACTCTCAAATCTACTTTCTCAGATCTTGTTGCTAAGATCTACTTCCTCAGATCTTGTTGCTAAGATCCAAACTCTCGACTCTCAAATCTATTTCCTCAGATCTTGTTGCTCAGATCTACTTCCTCAGATATTGTTGCTAAGATCCAAACTCTCGACTCTCAAATCTACTTCCTCAGATCTTGTTGCTAAGATCTAAACTCTCGACTCTCAAATCTACTTCCTCAGATCTTGTTGCTAAGATCCAAACTCTCGACTCTCAAATCTACTTCCTCAGATCTTGTTGCTAAGATCTACTTCCTCAGATCTTGTTGCTAAGATCTACTTCCTCAGATCTTGTTGCTAAGATCTACTTCCTCAGATCTTGTTGCTAAGATCCAAACTCTCGACTCTCAAATCTACTTCCTCAGATCTTGTTGCTAAGATCTAAACTCTCGACTCTCAAATCTACTTCCTCAGATCTTGTTGCTAAGATCTAAACTCTCGACTCTCAAATCTACTTCCTCAGATCTTGTTGCTAAGATCTACTTCCTCAGATCTTGTTGCTAAGATCTAAACTCTCGACTCTCAAATCTACTTCCTCAGATCTTGTTGCTAAGATCTAAACTCTCGACTCTCAAATCTACTTCCTCAGATCTTGTTGCTAAGATCTAAACTCTCGACTCTCAAATCTACTTCCTCAGATCTTGTTGCTAAGATCGATCTATTATACTCAATTTTACTTAAGCAATATAGATCACCTTTATTATGATTCTCTTTATCTGTACTTGTTTAAAATTAAATTACATCATAAAGATCTAATTACAAATTATTTAGAATTTTGAAATAAAACCAGTATTTTATCAAATGCTTTGAGATTAATGCATTCAAACTTAAAAAAAAAGATATATTCAGATCAATTTCAATATTATTGATTTTTTAATGTAAAAACTATGTCTCATAGATCTCAAACAATTTTATTAGATACTCTTTTTCCCAATTTTTTTCAAAATCTCTTTTTACATATCAAAAATTGTATTTTTCAATTTCATTTTTATTTTTTCCATATTTTTTTTGGAATTTGGATATGCGTCCAAAGTAGTTATGTCATTAGAAAAATATTAGATATCTGAAGAGAAAATGATAACTTAGAGAGTTTTAAAGATTTTATTTTCGAATACAAATATAGACCTCAGAGGAATACATTCTAAATAAATTTGTATCTGAGGGTGAATAAATAAGAACAAAATTTAAAGGGTTAGCATAAATAATGTAGAAATTAAGATTGGAATTTAAATTTAATACAAAATTAAAGGGAATGAATTTGCGATTAGTAGGGTATGGCAAATGGATTGGGAAACATTGGTTACACATGAAAATTATCAGATGTAAGAATTTGGTGCAGATATTTTAAAAATGAGATCTGAGTGCTTAAACAATATCTCAAAATTCAAATTTTCCAAATGAAAATTTGGAAAATTCCCAAAATGCAGAATCAACTGATGATTTTCAATCATTAATAACGCCAATACAAGAAGATCATTTTCCTTCTGCCAACGAACTAAAACAATGGTTTGATATTGCCCATGATGTTTTAATTAGTCCGCCACCTGAGAATCAACATCCAGAAATTGATGAAGAAGAGACACAAAAAGCAATTTATCTATTACAAAACTTAGACTTTCCTAAGAAATAAAATTATTTAATTTATTCTTGTTTGTTTTTTAATTAAACATGTATATTTATTAACATTTTTTTTTTTAATACCTTTCCAACTTCTATTAGTAACAAACACATAACTAATTTGAAGATTTAGCGTTATGAAGAAGTATCCAAGTAATAACGTCAATAATGCATTTGCGATAGGATATAATTGCACCAAAGGTTAAAACTTGTATAAAGAATGAAAAATGAAATTTAATACAATTTTTTTCGAAAAAAAATCCATGCTTGGCTAGATTTTCATAGTTATTGAATATGCATTACTGACATCTTGTAAAAGATGCCGATCAAGGCTTTCAAGATTGCTAAATTTCTCGATTAAAATTTACATTTTTTTTTTATTTGTGTTTAATTACATTTTACAGTTTGCAGACTTACATAAAATCCGCAACATAGTGGTTATTTAATATTTGCCCCACAGTATTGTAGTTTGAAATTTACGATAAGATTATAATTGATAAAGTAAGGTTTTGTCATTAATGCATCTTATAAACTTTCATTGATAAATATGGATAGATAAGTTCTGTGTTCAAAAGTAAGCATTTTTTAAAACGCGCAATTATATCAAGAACGACTATCATAAATTCATGAGTATCGATGATTTTCGTTTAGGATGGACTTAATCGGCTTGATTGATATACATATTTTAAAATGGCATAGCTTTGTGCATGTTATGTCAAGCATTGTGCCAAACCAATTTAAAATGAAACAAATTATTTTAAAGAAACTATATATGAACTATTCGAACACTTTATATTAATGTAGGGAGCTATAAATTTAAATATTCTAAAAATTTATTTATTTGTTAAGAGTTCGGAACAAATTTATTATTGAATATATAGGAAATCAAATAATTATGCATAATCGCATAAAAAAATGCTGAAACAATGAAAAGAAAAAAATAGTTGCCCAATAGAAAAAGTCGAACCCATACCCCTACCCATTGAGTTATCCTCACTTTCAAGTTTCGATCGAAAAAAGGTATTTAATCGCGTAACTCGCACCGTTTAGTCGTATTTCGAAGTTCTATATAGTATTAAAGATTAAGTTACATTATGTACAAAATAACTTTTTATTGTTATTTGATTTTGATAGCATTATTAGCTGAATATGAAAAATCTCGTAGAAATAATCATTTCATTCAGACATAAGTATTGGATTGTTTCCCAACAAGCATAATAACACACGTTTCATATTATAATTTATTTCATTTCTGTACAAAATTTAGATAACGATATCAAATAAAAAAAAACTGTGGCATTTTTTTACTTCAAACTATCATGAAGTGTAACCAAATTGGGTGAGTATTCTTGCTATAAGTATGACATGAAAAAGTGAACGACAAAAATTGAAGATATTGTAGTTAACTCGGATTTTTTTAATTGCAAACACATCTATAATTTGTTTAAATATCATTTATTATATCAAAATCGAAAAATTCGTTTTTGGAAATCTTTGAATTTATGAGAAGTTCTACAAAGACACTTACAAATATAGCGTTTGCAATAAAAAGGCTCTTTAATCTTCTTCATCCTTGCTCAGAAACTTCTACTGGTTACCTTACGGGTAACCTGCAAAGCTGCTTCCAAGGCATCGGGAAAATAACGTATTTTCGTGAGACTACCTTTAATTTTTTCATAAAAAAAATTTTTTAGGAATTAGCATATCGGCGTTTTGCGACATTGCCAAACGCCAGATTTTAACCCGACATATGAGCATAAGCTCGTATATTGGAATAAACTCGACTTATTCCATATTAAAGTTATTATAATAATAAGGCACTTAATGTGCAAATCTAATTGAATTAGAAAATGCACATTAATATGAATGTCACAGTTAATCAATCATGATTTCGGATTTCTTAGCAGCAAATCAGAATTGATTATCAAAGCAGTATTAAATGCGAAATTATCGGAAAGTGAATAGCAATTTTTTTGTAAAAGGTTATGTAAAAATTTGAGATAAACGTTTTGCTCAATGGTCATATCATTTTAGTTGGGCGTTAAAAATCAAAATTGAGCTAGATAAATGTTTTTGTTAATGCAAATTATAATTGGGCTATTGATAGGAACGTAAATGATTGCAATATTAAAAAGAAATTAATTGGAAAAAATAAAGATAAGATGAAAATATCAAATTGAAGTGGAAAATGGAATCTGAACACTAAATGTTTTAATATTAAAAATTAATAAAAATATAAATAAAAATATCGAAAATAAAAGAAAAAGAGTATATTTAAAAGATTTTTCTTTATGTAAATATTGTATTGGTTAAATGATCAAATTGAGAAAAGAACATAATCAAATTTCCAAATAATTTTTTTGTGAATAATTTATGTAAAAATATGTAACTGATTTATAAATAAATATAGAATTGCACAGTGGGTTAATAGGAACTGAAATAGTATTATCAAAGGTTGATAAGATTTGTGAAATCCCGTGAAATGTCTGAAAATTGAAATCTATAAAAATTTGAAAAGATATCGGTTTCCTATGAAAATCAAAATTTGTAATTCATTTATATACTGAATATAAAATACGAATGAGAAATTATAATTTATTTTTGACATATAATAAATTTTTGAGAAAGAAATCCGAAAAATCTTAAAATTATATTTGATGTAACCAAATGGATATTATTGTCAAAATTGCTCAATGATAAGTATTCAAAAAAAAACAATACTTTTTCAAAAGACATGTTTTGAATTGAAATCTAAATATATCAAAATAATTACAGTAAATAACAACAAACATTTGGATTTAAAGTTTAAAGAATTAGACATTAAGAATCGGTTGAATTTCAATTAATTGAATTCGCTCTCAAAAGAAGAGTTATTAAATCTATATTTATTCGTAATTGTTAATAGAATTTGATTATAGTACGTTTTTGGTATTTAACAAGCATATTATAATTAAATGAATCGATTCAATAATAATTCTTAAATTTACGAATTGAAATTATCTAATTAGCAAGTCCAATATGGCTAAATTATATTGAAATTAAAAATAAGTAATTAATAATAAATAAAAATAATTTTATATCTAAAACAAAGATTCTAAATTTTCACCTTCAAAATACATGCTCATTTCATTGAATACAGTATGTATCATTTCTGGTAATTCTTGATCAATTGATTTTTGTGTTTCAATCTTTTTCGAAGTGGATCTTTGTTTTTTGTCAATTCGAGCTATTCTACGAGCAAGAACCTTATAATGATTTCTTAAATTATTAGTAGATCTCCCATTAAAATGCTGTGCAATTTTACACCATTTTGCTCCATATTCAACGTACAAATCCAAAAGAAGAGCGTCTTCATCAGCGGTGAATGGTGTATTATTCAGGGTTGGATCAAGATAATTGCACCATCTATCTCTGCATTGGCGTGCTGTCCTAGATTTCATTTCAAGGGCAATAATTTCCCAATCTCTAATTCCAAGTAGTTTAATTAACTTTCGAAGCTTAACATCTTCTTCTGGACTGAATTTAACCCTTGAGGTTGATGAGTTTGACATTTTAAATAATGAAGATAAAAATTCACATTGAATTTTTTGAAAGATAATATAAAATTGAAAAGATAATTGTAATTTCAATATTTTTTGAAATGACTTTTCACAGTTCTCTGAATATAAATGACTAGATCTAGAGCAAATAACTTATATTGAAACCAATAATAATAACTGTTTAAAAGTATTGAAAATTCAAAAATGACATAAAATAGTATTCTAAATTATTATCTAAAATTTAGGATTGGTCGATTAATATAAACAACATTTTTCCTGTGGATATGTTTTGAAAAATTTAATTGTTAATGTATTCAAAATTTAAAAAACTCTAGTGATAAGGAAAATAGATTGCAATTATAATACAAATAATAATTATCCATAAAATTTGGTTAATTAGGAAGTTTTAATGTAAAATTCTTTCAAATATATTATTAGTAATTAATGGAATTATTTATATGATGGATGTATTTGCTCAAATTCCGTAAATTGGTTTGCTCTCAAAAAATTCTAAACCAATTTAAAATATTTAATTAAAATATAAATAATATTATTCTAGTGTTTTTGCTGATGTTAATTTACATATAATTCAATCGAATAATGGGCTCATTTTTGTTATAGACCGAAAATAGATTTTTTCGGTTTTCTCTTCAAATAATTGAAAGAATGATACTATTATAGGTTTATTATATTATATAGCATATAATCATGCTATAGCCGAAAATTATAAGTTTTGAGAAGATTGAATATAACACAAATAAATTTGAATGTAAGTTAAATTGCTTGTTGTTTTTAATAGCTATTTAATGAGAAATCCAATATTGCAAAATTCAAATTGAATGATTGAAAGAACAGAAAAAGTCGTTCTTTTCAATTTCGAATATGTTTCATTGTATTTATAATTATATGGCAAATATGATATTTAAACTTGATTTTTGAAGGAAAATTCACAAAATTGAATAAATTCAAATAATTTTTATTCAAAAATAAACTAGTTATTTGAGTTTAATACTAATTATCTATTCAAACTTAAAAGTTTGTAATTTAAAATATTTTGTGAGATCAGATTGAATTAATTCAAGGTTCTTTTCAATTAATATTAATGACCATATTACGCATTTTCGAACATTCTAAACCAAATATATAAAAATGGGAGACGAATGTTAAATTTCCTAGACATGGGGGAGTTGTTTACCGAGTTTTAGCTCTTATCTCTAACAAAAAATTAATTTTAAAAAAAATGACCGAATACGTTTCACAGCGAGAAAAAAATAAAAGGCAAGATAGAATTTTCTAGACATAAAGAAGTTGTTTACCGAGTTTTAGCTCTTATCTCTAACAAAAAATTAATTTTAAAAAAAATGACCGAATACGTTTCACAGCGAGAAAAAAATAAAAGGCAAGATAGAATTTTCTAGACATAAAGAAGTTGTTTACCGAGTTTTAGCTCTTATCTCTAACAAAAAATTAATTTTAAAAAAAATGACCGAATACGTTTCACAGCGAGAAAAAAATAAAAGGCAAGATAGAATTTTCTAGACATAAAGAAGTTGTTTACCGAGTTTTAGCTCTTATCTCTAACAAAAAATTAATTTTAAAAAAAATGACCGAATACGTTTCACAGCGAGAAAAAATAAAAGGCAAGATAGAATTTTCTAGACATAAAGAAGTTGTTTACCGAGTTTTAGCTCTTATCTCTAACAAAAAATTAATTTTAAAAAAAATGACCGAATACGTTTCACAGCGAGAAAAAAATAAAAGGCAAGATAGAATTTTCTAGACATAAAGAAGTTGTTTACCGAGTTTTAGCTCTTATCTCTAACAAAAAATTAATTTTAAAAAAAATGACCGAATACGTTTCACAGCGAGAAAAAAATAAAAGGCAAGATAGAATTTTCTAGACATAAAGAAGTTGTTTACCGAGTTTTAGCTCTTATCTCTAACAAAAAATTAATTTTAAAAAAAATGACCGAATACGTTTCACAGCGAGAAAAAAATAAAAGGCAAGATAGAATTTTCTAGACATAAAGAAGTTGTTTACCGAGTTTTAGCTCTTATCTCTAACAAAAAATTAATTTTAAAAAAAATGACCGAATACGTTTCACAGCGAGAAAAAAATAAAAGGCAAGATAGAATTTTCTAGACATAAAGAAGTTGTTTACCGAGTTTTAGCTCTTATCTCTAACAAAAAATTAATTTTAAAAAAAATGACCGAATACGTTTCACAGCGAGAAAAAAATAAAAGGCAAGATAGAATTTTCTAGACATAAAGAAGTTGTTTACCGAGTTTTAGCTCTTATCTCTAACAAAAAATTAATTTTAAAAAAAAATGACCGAATACGTTTCACAGCGAGAAAAAAATAAAAGGCAAGATAGAATTTTCTAGACATAAAGAAGTTGTCTACCAAGTGTCAGCTGTTACTTCTTCTCAATACTGATATAAAATAAAAATCTTTATTATTTATTTAACCTTTATTGTTTCATTAAACTTCATTTATTTTATATTATAGTTTTATTCTTTTAGCTACTTGTAAAATAATCTAATTTTATACCATCATTTTACCGGATTATTCTTCAGTACATCGATTGTGTATCTAAAATAATATCATTATCCTTATTCTGTTTTTTCCAAAATTCTTTTAAATATCTTTTTTGGTTAGATTACTTTATACTATTCATGTGATTTTATCCCAAGCATATGGGGATTCTAAATTAGAGATGTGAAAACTTAAATTTTATAATCCCTGGGATGCACTTTCTTCGATTTTTTAAAATTTTTGGGATAAATTTTGACATCTTTTTTTTTGCTGGCGACCCCCCGTTTAGGGCATCAAAAAAACATGTTGTTTCGTTTCAAGATCGGGATATGTTGTGAACCCGACTTCTTTCATTAATGAAGTGATTTCTTAAGTTGAATAAAAACAAATTTGATTGAAATTCATACAAAATTTCTTTTTATCATTATTATTTAAGATGCTTTTTTATGTTGAATTGTTAATTTTTTTATTTCCACCTGGGATATTTTGAATTGGGCTAGCCCAATCCCACCTCTCAATTTTCTCTCAATTGGGCAATGGGGATCCCATATAAAATGTATTGTAACAAATTTTACATGCATAATATAGTACAATTAAACAACATTCTAAAAATATTAAATTCACATCATTTACTTGAAGATTTTATATTTTCAACAAAAATTAATACAATAATTACATTAAATTGAGGAGATTTATAATATTTATTATAAATTAAAATATTATTACTCAATTTTTTGAAATATTGCATTTTAGTGGTAAATAAAATTTAAGTTTACATGGAGAAAAAAATTTTAAATTCCAAAAAAAAATTCAATTGGGATAACGATAGGGACAAAAATTTAGAATCCCCATATGCTTGGGATAAAATCACATGACTATTCTAAATTTTTGTCCCTATCGTTATCCCAATTGAATTTTTTTTTGGAATTTAAAATTTTTTTCTCCATGTAAACTTAAATTTTAATTTTTACCACTAAAATGCAATATTTCAACAAATTAATGAGTAATAATATTTTAATTTATAATAAATATTATAAATCTCCTCAATTTAATGTAATTATTGTATTAATTTTTGTTGAAAATATAAAATCTTCAAGTAAATGATGTGAATTTAATATTTTTAGAATGTTGTTTAATTGTACTATATTATGCATGTAAAATTTTGTTACAATACATTTTATATGGGATCCCCATTGCCCAATTGAGAGAAAATTGAGAGGTGGGATTGGGCTAGCCCAATTCAAAATATCCCAGGTGGAAATAAAAAAATTAACAATTCAACATAAAAAAGCATCTTAAATAATAATGATAAAAAAAATTTTGTATGAATTTCAATCAAATTTGTTTTTATTCAACTTAAGAAATCACTTCATTAATGAAAGAAGTCGGGTTCACAACATATCCCGATCTTGAAACGAAACAACATGTTTACATGCGATATAAACATGAAGGTAGTCCCAAGTGGTATGTAAAATGCAATGAACTTGTGACACGATCTGATGGCGTAGTTTGCCGGTGTTCAATGCAAGAACAAAGGGAGGATCATTATAAAAACTGGCTTAAGACTCATGTTCACACATGTCAGGCCGGAGAAGCATTATCGCAGCAAACATTACTTGACTACTACAATAAAGGTAAACAGTCAAATGATCCAATGTTGGATTTATCGAATGTATACGATGAAATGACCATTTTTACCGGTAAGTTCAACCTTGCCTTAGACACATTTGCATCCCCAGAATTCACGCATGTTGCAAAGATTTTCATTATGTTCACAATATATCAAATGATGAACAAATACAAACAACTTCAGTCAGCTAATATCAATCCGGAAAAACTTGCTGACAAATTATATAAGCCTATTACACGTGATGAGATCCGAAATAGAATGATTGCTATTGCTAACAGCATACACCTTGCTAAAGTTCTCGAATTCGCCAAAAAAGCATACACTTGTGTCGCCATCGATGAAGGCAAGACACATGATTACCACAATCTTGATTTTGTCTTAACAAATCCGTTGGAGCAAATGAAGCCATACCCAGTAGAGGCGATAGATATGAAGGATGGCCAGACAAGTCAGGATTATAAATCCGCAATAACAGCAGGATTTAACAGAATTGACATTAGGAAAGTCAAGATAGGTAGTGTGGTAGTTGACGGAGGACCAGCACAGTTAAAATGCTTCAAAGATACTTGGAATGATTCATTCTATCATGACAGAGATCCAAAATACTACAAGATATTGCTTATTCCCTGTTTGTGTCACAGAATCCACAACAGCTATCAATATATTGCTGGCAAGAACAACCAGTTACAAAGTTTAGTAAAGGATGTGCACAGAATTGCAGAACTTTGTCGCATTCATGCTGACGATATAGGTGCACAATGTCCACAGCATGTATCCACCAGATGGATATATGACTATAATATATGTGTCTTTATTCTTAAGTACGAAAACAAAATCAAGCAATATATAAATGTAGATCACGATAAAATCGTACAATTGAAAGATTGTTTAGCTGTTCTTAAAAAGCTAATCTTAGTATTCGAATCGGATAAGGCATTGTTGGCAAATTGTTACATTTGGCTTCGTAAAGCCATATCAGCTCTCAATCTTTTGACATCCAATTTGCATAATGCATTCGGATCCATCTTGGCATCTTCATTGGATAGCTATACCTTGGACTCTGACTTTGGTGGGCTATGGTGTTTGGCATTCTCTCTCACGCCGAGAGGAAGGTTCTACTTCCATAGAAAGTTTGTTAAAAACGAAGAAGTAGAAGATTTGGCCGATCCCTTGAGTTCCTTTCAAAGTGAGCATATTCCTGATAAAGATCCGGCAGAAGATTTACAGGACATTTACATGGATTCTATTTTTGAGGAAGGTAACACAAACGCTGTAATTGATGTAACAGATGAAGGCACATTTCGTAGAATTGTCGAATCTGATGATCAACTTAGGCTTACATTGCAAGATGTACGCGAGGATAATCATCAGACTGCCGAAAATGATCTAACAGCAGCTAAAGATTACCTCAAGCGCATTTTGGTTCAATTCCGATTGAACGAAAGACAAAAAACGCTTGTACTCTCGTTATATAATACGTTCATCAATAAGGAATCAGACATCTTTGAGAACGATCTGATGGACGAGGCACAAAATTATGCTTGGGAAGAGATCTCGCATAGAATTGGAGAAAAATCCATCCTTGCGGAAATAGCATTACGCTTGTTATGTTCATCTCCTTCGGAGGCAACATGTGAACGTAATATCAAAGCACAAAGGTTAATTTTGAACGTTAGGCGGTTAAGATCCAAGAAAAACTTGTTAAATAGCCGTCATATCTTAATGGCAACTAAATGAAATAAACATTTTGTTATTATTTATTTTTCAATATTAAATAGCCATTTTCTTCACAAATATTTCAATGTGTTTTTACAACAATTTAACATTCAATAATTTATAAGAGAGAGGGTCAAAGTTGCTATTTGTCACTTTTCCACAAGAATATAATGGGGAAAAAGTTATCATATAGTTGATCTCATTCACTGAGGTGAGAGATGCATGTAGTGTAATGGGATAAACAGTGGGATTGCTGCTCTAAGTTAGTATGGCTAAGTCGTGTACTGAGACACTGCGCGCCTCCGTACACCACTTAACCTTAAATATTTACAAAACCAGTAACGTATATTTTACAACACAAACGACAACACTAACTTAACCTTAAATATTTACAAACCGCCAACCACTAATGACTTCATTAATGTAAAAATAAACGTTCTCACTTACAAAAGTATTGCAACTCCTCCCATTGCTGTGCTTCACATAACAGCTCATAATCTTCTGACTCACTTTCTTCTTCATATAGGTCAAAGTCACTGTCAAAATAAATGTTAGTAAGTTTTGACAAAGCTAATGAAACACGTTTACCGTTTGTATCGTATGCTTGTATAAACTTTCCATTCTTCATTCCTTCATAAACGCTCAAACTAACTTTACCCTTTCTCCCTCGTATCTGATAGAATGTATTTTCACGAGGAACGAAGAACAAATTCTTGAACTCATGACCGTTGTAGTTTGTTATCTCAATAGTTTTCGTCATTTATATAAAAATAAACTTAAAAATTAATGATATCACCACCCTCACACGTATGAAAACATAGCGCAAAAATAAATTTAGGGTAGAAGGGTAGATCTAACCTCATTTCTACCCTCATTTCTAACCTTGTTGAATTCATTGCTTTATAACTCTCTTCCTTGGTTTCTTTTTAGTTGCTTTCTTCACGTCTGTCTCCAACTTGACTGTCTTTCTTCTTCGTCCGTAATGATACCAGTTACTTCCACCAGTCAATGGGTCAAATGGTCGTTCATAAGGGTTTCCATACATTCCATAGGGACCATACGGAAGAACTACTGGTGGAGAAGAAACATTTTCTTTAGTTCCATCGAATCTATTTAAATGCATTGTTTCACCTTTCATCTGGTCATTAAAGTCTTTTGCGTGTTTTGCAAACTCATCGTCCTTTCCTAAAGCATTTTCTGACTCAGTCGCAACCAAATTGGATGCTTTATTTATGAGCCCTATTTTATTTAATCTTAACTTCTTTGCAACCCAGCCTCCAATCTTCCCTTTATTTGCATCTAATGTCTTTGAAACCCCTCCTCCACTCATTTTATTTACTGCGTCATAAGCTCCAAGTGCTTTTGCTCCAAATGCTAATGCTTTTGTTCCCATTGCGCCTAAAGCTGCCCAAGCTACCATTTACACCATATTAAAATCATCTCTCTTCAATATTATCTCATAAAAGTTCTCGTTACTGGAGAAAGTCAATGAAACGTAAGCGTTCTCACGGGCTTCGCCCTCACCGCTTTGCGGTCTATCTAACTTATTTCTTATATCATCTATACGCTTCAAAATGTCTGAACAATTGCTAACATCTTCTACAACAGTTATTTCATCATGAATGACCTTCAAGAACAAGCTCATTTAATATGCAATTAAAATCATCTCAATAATGAGTCCATCCTTTCCGTCTTTGGGTAGCACAACATCTTTCATTGAAGAAGGTTCGACAAGTCTTATGTTAAACTTACTGACAAAGTTTGTTATACTATAATGCTTTGGCGGCGAATACATATAGTTTGAAAGACATAATATAGATTCTTCAGCAAATTCACTTATACTGGATTTTATAACAATGTTCTCACGAGACCAAATACCACCATTTGACAATCTTGTAAGCAATCCTGCTGAACCTTCAACTGTAAACGTCGATGGTAACATTCCACGAAGGTCATCTATTGACATCTTTGAGTCACTGAATTTAAATATTTTCTTAAAGCAATCGTCATTATCTAACCATGCAATAGCTTTGAAGTTTTCATTCGAATATACATCTGCTTCATTAAATGTAAAACCTGACTTCTTTGCAGAGACGACTTTAAAATCTATTGAGTTTGTTTCAAAATTATATGCTATGGTAACTTCTGAAGGTAATGGATGCCCTTCCGCAGTCAGTTGTTCTCTCACTACCGTTTGAAGCTTTGTGTTAAAAACTTTCATGTCATCTCCTGTGTCTAGGTTCACATACACAGCAACAGGGAAACTATCTTGCTTCTTTGTTTCATCATTATACCTCAAAACATTAAAGTTCTTCAATAATATTGTTCTTCCTGCTGGAATACTTCGAACTTGTCTGATTTCAATAGCTTTCTCACCTCCTATATACTCTACCCAGTGTCTTGGATATTCATAAGTATACTGACTTTCTTGAATTTTGGTTGGTTTCATCATAACGTGTTCATAGTATATCTTTATACTCTTGTCAGTTAGACTCGGTGCTATATTCTGAATATTTCTGACTTGCATTTTTAATGGAGATAAAATGAAGCATTTAATACATGACGTAGATGAAGACATGAATGAAAGCAGTGAAAAGCTCAACAGTTCTCTTATTCTTCCTTTCAGTAAGGACTATGAATTCTGTTCAAATGGCGTTTATTTCTATTGTGGAAAGATGGGGTCAGGTAAGACATTTAACCTCATTCGTCATATACTCATAACAGAGCGTTTAGGAAACGACTCTTACTATGACCAAATCATTATATCAGCAACTTCAGACTCTATGGATTCAACAGCGAAAACATTTATGTCAAAAGTTCAAGCCTCTGTCGTTAAAGTTCCAGACAGTGAACTCATTGAATTTCTTCAACGTTACATTCGACGTAAGAGGAAATATTATGCCATCGTTGAATTTATACAGTCAGGAATGCAAAAGACTTCTGAGGAGATGGAAAGAATTATTGACAAACACCACTTACGTCAGTACTCAGGAGTTTACGATATGAAACGACTTACAAACTACATTCTGTCAAAACTTTCAAAATACCCCTTCAAAAAATATCCATCAAACACTTTATTAGTTTGTGACGACTTCGCTGGTAAAGGTTTAGTGTCAAAACCAGACTCACCATTAGCGAACATCATAACTAAAGTCAGACATTACCATTTAACTGTAGCAATACTTATGCAAACATGGAGGTTTTTAGCTTTAAACATAAAACGTCTCATAACTGACTTCGTTATCTTTCAAGGTTTCTCACGTTATGATATTGAACTCATTTGGAAACAGTCAGGTATAACATTACCTTTTGAAGAAATTTGGGAAGCATATAAGTCTCTCATCTCTCCTCGTTCATACCTTGAGATTCATATCATGACTAATACCATTAAAGTCAAAAATATTCCATGGGAACGACCAACATTGTTTTAAAGTTTAACCTTCAATTGACTGATGGTAAACAAATTCCATGCATCTCTGTCGCCATTTCTGTTAATATTTTTGCTGTCATTCATATCATCCACTTCTCCATCTGTTAACTTTTGAGGATATGCGTTAGAATAGCTGTTCTTAAATGAAGGCTTTTCACCTTTGAGAGCATAAACTCTATAACTTTCTGCATACTTTATGTTTGAACCTCCTGAGCCATCATTGACATAAATTTTTATAGGCTTCCACCCTTTGTTCATGTTCCTGCTTCTTCCCTTAGCTCTTTTGTTCAGTAGTTCTACATCTTTATACACAGCTCCTGTCTCAGTGAATTCAACAATATTTTCATTCGTTAGCTTTACATTCAAACCCTTGTCGAGTATATTGTTCATTTCATACATATAAAAGGTTTTTATTCTATATGAAATGAGAAGCAAATCCATCTTAGCTGGTGCCGTTAATGTTCCAATTGAACCAACATCAAATGTTGACTCACGAACGACAAACAATATTGTCATAAAGAACTATAGTTCAGAGTGTTTGAAAGAACCAGAACCAGAGCTGAAATCCGTGAATTTAAACACAGCTTCAAACGCTAACGCTACATCAGATGTTAAGTTAGAGTATCCACCACTGGACCAAATTCTTTCAAGAGAAGCCAACGACAACCCTTACACAAATGTTCAAACAAATCCTTCAGATAACGTAGACCATTACCTTCTTCAGTTATACCAAACAATTTTACTCAAAGACGATAAGAAGCTTTTGACAAATCTTATAAGCAAGAACCAAATAATTCTAACAAAGGAGGATTTAGAAAATGTTATATCACGAATAACAGGGAAACAATGTGTCATTGACTATCTCGACCCTGAAATCGAATGCTGTGGTCAAACTCCACTATTCATGAAAATAGGTAACATCCGCATCATTGAAACACCAGGAACTACAGGAGTTGAGTTTAAGTATAAATATTCGAACGAGTATACAAAACTATCTACTGACTATAAACTTTGTTTGAAATATGTTTTAGTAAATTAAAGCAGTCAGGAGGGCTCTTTGAGCCCATCTTGGCGCTTTGCGCCGTTAGTCAAAAAAATTTCAAGTTAGCAATTTGTAATATCTATCCAAAACTTCTTCAACAGTATCGAACTCATCTTCATAATGCAAACCTAATCTTATTGACTTGGTGCAGTTTTCACTAACACAATATTTTTCTGTTCTCTTGACTGACATAACTAACTCATTTGTTTCATCAAACAGCAACAACCAAAGTTCATGACCTAATACATAACATTCATACTTTATATTTTTAGCTCTGAGTTCTCTTGTAAGCTGTTGCATTTAATATTTTCTAAAAAGTCAACTTCAACAGTCATTCGCACTGGTGCCTTCAGTTCTACAGGCTCTCCTTGAAAGTCAACAAGTCTGAATTGCATGTCTTTCAAATTATGAGGACTAATGCGAACCCATTTACCTAAATGAGTTGCTATGACAGGAACGTTTGGAATGAACATTGAATTGACTGCATAACAGAAGGATTTATATTCTACTGAACCTTTACTATTAACTCCTGAAATACCTGTGACATTAGCTATTTTAGACTCAATGTACAAACAATTACCATAACATACGTATGGAACAGATTTCATCTCAATCGTTTTGTCAACACTTTTCAAAGGAAATGTCATATGGTATGCTCCTAAAAGAAGTTGAACTCTATGACTCATTCTTGGTATCTTAAACTCTTTCTCGCTGCTGAACTTCAATGTTCCCTCAGAAGAGAGTTCGACATCTATGTTGTCAATAGTTTCTTCATTTATGAGAGCATTTAACACTCCAGCAATTTTATCTATTCTATACCCAACTCTGTTAGGAAATGTTATAACACTTCTTTTGTCATCTATTTCAATCTCCATGAAATCTGTTTCATCTGTTATGACAAAAGTTGCGATAGTATTGAAGTCAACAACTCTGAAAGCAAGCGCTTCATTCTGAAGACCTAAGTTTGTTTGTAGCTTTACTGTCCCGTATTCGTTTGGGTCTGTACTTTGCAAATAGAACAACATTTTATTCTCATTAAAATATGACTATTGCTGCATATGCGTATGAAACAAATGAAGCAAGAAGAGCACATGAACTAGTAAACGAAAACTCAACTTTAACCATTGAAGGCAATGATTTAGTCATTGACGATGGAAAAACTAAAAAAGTCATTGATTTCGATACTTTTAACACTTATGACCCATTCATTACAATAAGTAAAGTTCCTATCATAAATGATGGAACGGTGCAATATATAAATTCTACAGTAGATGCCTCATTAGTGAAAGTACTGAATGTTCTCATTGAATTGTTAAAGAGCTTTCGATTTGACGACAACATTAAATGCCTAAAGAATTTAGTCATGAATGAGAAACAAATTCTCGGCGTTGCTGGTAGCAGTAATGATGTACACCTTATGACATTAGAATATTATAACGAACATAAAGATGAACTGAAAGGAGAGAAGGGTGACACTGGACCTCAAGGACCACAAGGAATACAAGGAATTCAAGGAATTCAAGGACCTCAAGGCGAAAACGGTTTGGATGGAAAGGATGGAAAAACTGCTAAATCATGGATATGGAACCTTATAAATACTGGTTTAACAGCTGCTTCATATGGAGTTCTTCAATACCAAATCGGAAAGATATGGGCAGTACTTGGTGAAGAAGTTTTAGATGACGTTAAAAATGCTTTGAACTTCATTTCAAATGGTTCGGATACTATTAAAACGTTATCTGGTTGGATGCAAGAAACAAGGAGTCAAATAGATACTGTAAGACGTATAGCAAACAATGCACGTACGGGATTGGATACTTTACGAGAAGCACAAAATACACTAAAGGAAGCAAATGATATTCTTGGCTCAGTATCAGACATGCATGAAGATTGGCTTAAAGGTATTGACAAATCTTTAAAAAATCACAGTCAGTCTATTGCTGACTACAAGAAAAGTATAGATTTTTTACATAGTGCTATGGACGTACATGATGGAAGCATAAGGAACTTACTTAATGCTAACAATAACTTACCAGGAACTATTAAAGCATTTATAAAGTCCTTTGTAAAACCTGGTGCTCTAACATTTAGGTCTTTGAGAGCAAGAGCATTGAAGTCAAGAGATGCAGAAACTCCAACAGAACCTACAGAAGGAACTGAAACAACAGAAACTCCAGAAGAACCACCAAAACCAACAGCTAATGAAATATTGTTCGAATATTTTCCAAGGTACTCTGTTCTCATTGCATACATTCAAGAAATACTTAAGAAAGCAGACTTGACTTTAGGAGATGATGAAAGTTCTGTATATCTTTCGTTCCAGTTTCAAATAGCAGAACTTTTGAGACAGATATGCTTAATGTATGACAACATCTCTGATTTCACAAGATATGATGACGACCATGATCCCGAACACGGTGAAGAAGAAGTTTTACAAACATCCATTAAGACAGGAAAGGTTTTAACTCAAAGTCTCATTATTGACACTAAAGATGGCGAAGTGGACGTTCTTCAAGAGCTGAAGAAAAATACTTCTTCGGGAGGTGGTGGTAGGCATGAACTTGAAATAAATGAGATAGAAGAGAAATTAGCCGAAAAAGCAGATAAAAACCACGTTCATTATATAACTTCAGACGAACAGATTATAACAGACTACCATGGATATTTAACACGAAGTGATGAAGTGAAGACGGAAGATGTTAATGAAAGAAGATATAAATACATTCGTGCTAAAGGTTATGACATAAGCTGTACTGTACAGTATGACACGGGTAAAGCACCAGAAGCATTTAGTTATAACGATGAAATTTATGCCTCTACTTTCTCTGTTAACGGTGTATTAGTTGAACCAAGATTTACATTGAGAGTTAAGACAAAAATAACCGTTGAAGATGCTATTAAAAGTAAAGCTGACAAAGTTGAACTCGAAGCAATGAACAAAGTTTTGAAATCTCATAAACACAACATCTCCGATATAAATGAACTTCAAGCTACATTAGACAGTAAAGCCGACAAAAATCATACACATAAATCCTTCACTACTGTTAGAGCAGACGACATAATATTGAACTATGATTTGGGTTCAAGTGCACCTTTAGAGAATCCGAGTACAAGCGTAAAAGATACTCTTAACAATTTAGATAAGAGTTGCAGGAATATCGAAGATCATGCCAGAAACTTTGAAGCATATGAACTACCATCAATGTTAGACAGTAAAGCCGACAAAAATCATACACATAAATCCTTCACTACTGTTAGAGCAGACGACATAATATTGAACTTTGACCTTGGTTCAAGTGCACCATTAGAAAATCCAAGTACAAGCGTAAAAGATACTCTTAACAATTTAGATAAGAGTTGCAGGAATATCGAAGATCATGCCAGAAACTTTGAAGCATATGAACTACCAACAATGTTAGATAAGAAAGCAGACAAAACAGAGCTTCAAACATTAAAGACAGAAATACTTCAAACATTATATCCTATAGGCTCTATTTATACGTCAATGAATTCAACAAATCCAGAAACAGTTTTAGGTTTTGGTATGTGGGAGCAGATTGTAGATAAATTCTTATACTGTGCGAACTCTTCAAAGCAAACAGGAGGTTCGAAGAAAATTACTGAAGCAAACCTTCCACCGCACACTCATACAGGAACTACAAACACAACAGGTAGTCATTCACATTCAATAACAAAAAGAGGTTATACAAATCTTGCAGCAGGTTCGGATAGACAGGGAATGCATAGATATGATATTTCAAGTGACCCAGTAGATTCAAGCACAGTATTTTCTGTGGAACCACAGGAAATCATTCACACACTTTCACAACAAATCCAACAGGCTCGGGTGAAGATTATATGCCACCATTTGTGACTGTATTCGCATGGTACCGCGTTCAATGAACGCGCTTGAGCCTTGAATAAAATCTTTAACTTTACATAAATGAGCTTGAAAGAAGTATTCGAACAACATCCATGGAGGTCATTTAAGAAATTCAATGAAGCTGCAAAGAGTTGGGGATTTACTAACAGAGCTGAAGTGAAAAGGTTCTTTGACAAAAATGTTGTACATCAAACAAAAATAAACCCTTACGACTACTTTTTACCATTTACTCCAACACTCCTGACGCATACCAATTTGACACTCTCATTCAAAGCAGAAAAGGAGGACATAAACCATTCCTCATCTTCATTAATGTTAACACTCGCAAAGCTTTTGCGTATATAATGAAAAATAAAGGAACTCGTGAAGTGTTAAGAGTTTTACAAAAGTTTGTAGCAGAACATAGCCCAAGTACTTTAACATCAGACCAAGACAGTGCATACCTCAGCAATGAAATCACAGATTTTCTCATTAAGCATAACATAACTCACTACACTACTGAAGACCATAACCATAACATACTTGGCATCATTAACCGCTTCATAAGAACGCTCAGAGATTTAAATCAAGAGCGAGACTTTACCGAAGAAACAATGAAACACTTTCTCGAAGTATATAATTCCTCAACACATTCTACAACAGGACATACACCAAATTCAATGACACAACAACAAGAAGAAAAGTATATACAAAAGAAACGAAGTCAAACACAAAATATCAGAAATTCAACACAATTTACCCTCATTCCTGGTACAAAAGTTCGTGTAGTTCTTGACGACAAACCATTGACAAAGAAACGTTTAAGGTTAAGTCGAAATTATTATATCGTAGACTCTACGCAAGGTAATGGATATCTTATAAAAGCTGCTGACGACTCCATAGCGTTTTACCCTCGTCATAAATTAGTCGAAAGTAGTAATGGCAAACTTGCTGAAACCATTGACGAAGCAAAGCGAGGAGTGGTTATTGAAATACTTGGCTATAACACAAACGATGACACTTATAAAGTAAGATATGAAGGAGGCGTTGAAGATGTTATACCATCTAAGAACTTGAGAGAGTCGAAACCAACACATCTGGGACCATTAGAGCGGGAGTACTGGAAAGACAAAAATATGCCAGAAAGAATAAGAAAATTCTTCTAAACTTTTTCATTAGATGTAAATCAGACATGAATGAGAACAGTCATGATATCATTAATGGTACCATTTATTTTAACATAAAGACGCAAAGCGGCGAGGACGAAGTCCATGACCAAAAATAATGTTTAGGGTAGATGGTTAGATCTACCCTCATTTCTACCCTCATTTCTACCCTCATTTTTTGTATTTGACGGGAATTAATTCTTGATTTCAGGGATTTTTTGACGAAGTGCAAATCTTCACTTCGTCAAAAATAACAGTTATCTACCCTCATTTCTACCCTCAGCCGCTAAGCGGCGAGACTCAAAGGGTCTTGAATTTTCATGAATTTCCTTAAGATGAAAAAAATAAAGTTAGTTTTATTTTTATTTATTTTTTTATTTTGTATAAAAGATATGATTTCAACAATCGGCACAACAACAATTCAAACAACAGCACCAAATTCGTTAGTCATGAATCCAACATCTATGTTAGTAGAGATGAAAAGCTTTATTCCTTCTTCATATACTTTTGAAACAAAAATCCAGAAGATAAAGCAAGAACTTTTAACAAGTAATTTAGACTGTACCGCACAGGATGAAGAAAATGAAGAATATCTTTATGACATGCAGGACATTATTGACCATTTACCCAAATTGCCTGAAATCCAACAACAAAAGCTCACTATTCATGAATTCGATGAAATAGAAGTGAAACCAACTGACTCAGTAGAAATAAAGAAGTTCATACGTAAAGTAAATTATGAGTTTCTAGGATATCATTGCAACCATAAAGTTATGGACAAAGATTGCGACATGGTATATAAGAACATCTCTGACATATATAAATCCGAAGAATTTAAGACATACGACAACTTTGTTTCATTAGTTGCAGAATGTGTATGGCAGATAAGAGATAAAGATAGAAGAGGTAAGGTATGGAATGAACAGATAAAACCAACTACTTTTGAGTTAAAGAAAACCATTGACGCCTTAGTTGTTCTAGCAGGTCAAATTTCAATGTATAACGCAAAAATGAATCCACAATGTTCTAAATGTAAAGCAGCAATGAGGAAATATAACTACTCCGTCAAAGAGATAGAACGTATGAGAAACGACTATGCTGACTTAAAGAAAGAAGTAGAGAAACCAGCAGAAGATAAAATGGACATGTTAGCATTTCTGAACAAAAACTATCCAACTGCTGACGATTTCCTATTATCTGACGTCAAGAAGAAGTATAAAGAAACCTTCGGCATTGTTAAAACATTTCGATGTAACTAAAAGAAGAAATAGAAGCTACAAAACTGTTTAGAATCTCACGAATTCATAACGTATATCATGTAAAATGTTTATAAAATAACTGGGGTAGAAATGAGGGTAGAAATGAGGTTAGATCTAACCATCTACCCTAAAATATATTTTTGCTGAATTCAACACAAAAATAATGAATTTCCTTAAGATAGAAAAAAATAAAGTTAGTTTTATTTTTTTCTAACTTTTTATCTTGTATGTAAGAACAGAAATGTCAGTCGAAGCAAAAACATTCACTAACAAATCTAATGGCGAAACATTCACAAAAGGCACTTATAACGGTATTGAAGTCTTACGTAGAGACAAGGATGGTTATATAAATGCAACAAAGATGGCAAGAGAAGCAGGAAAGTTAAACCATTTAAACAGATTTCTCAATAGTGCTAAAATGCAGGAAATTCTTGAGTTTTGGTTGAAAGAATACGGTCGAGCCAAAAGTGGCTCAACCTCAAAACAAACATTTTATGAGCTTACTAAGGCATTTATGAATGAATTCAAAGGTATTTGCATACATCCTGACCTCGTTCATTTTGTTGCTGAATGGTGCTCTGTAAAGTATGCATTTTATGTCAAAGATATTATGGACTCCATAGACAAGAAAGTTCATGAGAAATTAGATGAAGAAGAACTCGAAGATACAGTAGAGAATGCTAAACCTTTGTTTGAAGAAGAAGTTAGAAAAATGTGTGAAAAACAATTAGAACATGAACGTGAGATATGTTATGGTTATAGAGATTCTCAATACGAACTAGACCAATGGGAACAAGAAAATTTAAAGAGAGAATTTAGAGAATATGAACTCGCTAAGATAGCATTAGAAGCTGCAGAAAAGAAGTTAAAAGCTTGGGGTTGTTTTGTACAAAAATATTGTGAGTAAATGAACCATTTATTTTTATTGAATTCAGCACAAAATTCTGAGTAAAATGACATATGGCATGTGTCAAACCGTTGAGTTTTCACAAATTTTAAAAATTGCTGCGGAAAGTTCGTCAAAAAAGTGAAGGTTCCCGACGGTTTCAAACCGCCATACTTTACATGAAGATAGTTTACAATGTCAACTAAATATCATGTACGATAGAAACGGTTATGTAAAGTTTACATTTTGTAAAGTTTTGTCCTGATTCAAGACAAGTCTTGTATTTTTCAGAACAAGTCTTGTATTTTTTCAAGACAAATCTTGTCCTGATTCAGAACAAGACTTGTATTTTTTCAAGACAAATCTTGTCCTGATTCAGAACAAGACTTGCACTTTTTAGTCAGTTTTTCTTGTAAAGTTCTCAAATTTGAGAACAATTGTCCTGATTCAAGACAAGTCTTGTATTTTTTCAGAACAAGTCTTGTATTTTTTCAAGACAAATCTTGTCCTGATTCAAGACAAGTCTTGCACTTTTTCAGGAAATCCTATCGTCCAACTTTACAAATGTCACTTTTTCAACATGATTGCATTTTGGTCGGGGAACAACTTTCTCTCAATTTATCACTTTTTCTATCGTCGTGTTTTGTCACTTTTCCCTCAGGGTGTGTGTCAGAAAATATCCAAAATCTTTATAGCCTCGTATCTCCTTCAATTCTTGACGGTTTGACATGTATGACACACCATTCAATTCAGAATTATGTGCTGAATCTTATGACATTCATTTGTTCGTGACTTCTTTTCACATATGTAACCCTGAATTTTTAACATTTCTTTAACACAGAAAAATAAAGTTAGTTTTATTTTTATTTATTTTTTTATTTTGTATGTAAAGACAGTAATGTCAACATTAGAGAACAAAACAACTGCTATCGTTCATGAAGCCATAAATGAAGAATACGAATACATACAATATAACAAACAACTTCGCCTCATTCGTTCGGTCAAAGATGACATGTACCAGATGCAAAGTATAATGAATGCTCTTCGTTCTACAAAGCAAGCATATCATTGGTTTGAAAACCAACAGGCAAAAGAACTTTTAGAAGAATTTCCTCATATGATTGCTTCCCTCGGAAAACCGAGGGAAGAGATTCCGTACGAAAATCGCAAGAATTTGGCTCCTGGTTTGAAAGGTTATTATGTTCATAGACTTTTAGTAAATGCTGTAGCAATGTGGGCTTCACCTCGTTATGCTTGTTATATTTTCATGATGTTAGATGAACTATATAAAGCAGAACGTGAAGATATGGAAAAGAAACTTCATGCAAAAGATGAAGTCATTGAAGCAAAAGACAAAAGCATA